GGCCCAGGTCTCGTTTTCGTGTCGTTGGTACGAAAATTCCATTCCAGTCCTCTTTTCGCACTTCAAACCTTCGTTTTTCCGCATCTTTTCCATCCTTACAGGCTGGTGCGTTGCGTAGGTCCTAAAATTTGTGATCAGTTTTTCTGCGAAATTCAGCGTTTCTGGGCTTTCGAAACAAAATTTCCATTTCGAAATCTCAGAAATGTCGCCATAATCGATACGAGTGATTCAGCCTTACATGCACGTCGTGATCCCGGGAAATCCCCCACGACAATTGTGCAAATAGGGGGGGGCGGATTACCGGCGGCTGGCTGCCGTGGGATGAGAGAGTGTGGTTAGGGGTAGAGGGTCCCGACGGCAAACCACGATTTTTTGCCGAATTTTGCGGGGCGCTGCCCCGGCGGCGCGGCCCAATCGAATCTACATTCATGGCGGCGGGGCTGGGATCTGGGCTTAACTTGGTATAATAAGTAAAGAACTGCTATTAACTGTTACGAAATCGCAATCAACCTCGAATATACCTTAAGAGCCGATTTTCAAGGGAAATTGGCTTATATATCAAAATAGTTTATTTTTCACCTAGAATGATATTTATTTTTTTATTTACACCGTTGATAAGCTATAAAACCATGCAAAACAATTTTCCAAAGTGATTTTATATTGTTTTTAGCTGGAAAATGCCAAAATCCCGACAGCCAAAAACACAAGCAAAATACCCCTTCAAAATGGAGTAGTGGCATGCAAAGTAGCGTCAAGAAAATGTCGGGATTCCGGCTTGTCGGCATTTTGGCTGGAGGCGTTTTTCTGATTGTTATTTTTGTGGTCGACAAAGTGCATTTGATCGGGTTTTTAAATGCTTTTTGGCATTTTAAAGGGGCTAGGACATGCCATGTTTCGGCAGTTATGAGGTTTTTGGGCCTTTGATGGTTTCTTAAACTCCAAAAACTCTCAAATGAGCGTCGTTTTCGCCTTTCCATCCCGCCTATCTTTTTCGACACATTCCCAGCTGTCGGGTGGTTCCGTAATGAACCGTTTTCAGGCAAAACCCACGCCGTTTGATTTGATTCCATCGCGGAAATCCATTTATGCGTGACGTAAAGCATTATCGGGTCCAGAAGGGGATAAACCCAAGCAAGGTAGCAGAGAACCTTTGATATGCGATTATAGGGGAAAAGCCAAAATTCCGACAATCCAAAACACCGACAACCAAAATGCCGACAACCAAAATATCGACGAGCCGAAATCCCGGCATGCGAAATAGCTCTTCAAAAGGAATTGGCATTCAAACAAGGGAGAATGTGTCGATATTCTGGCTGTCGGGATTTTGACTGTCGGTATTATGGCTGTCGGCATTATGATTGGAATTCTTATGCGAGCCAGCAGAGCTAAAATATTTCAAGTTTTCAACTTTTACCTGAACCATTTAACCAGATCAATTTCAACAATCGGATCATGCTCAAAATCCCGTCAAGCTCCCCCCCCCCCCCGACATTTTTTGTGGCCAACCCGCGTGTGTTGGGAGGGGTTCATGGGCCATCAGCTGACAGGGTTTGGGAAAGCTTGACATCGGAGGGCCCTCCTCTTTCGTGAGCCGATCCGGGGAGAAGGGCGAGACACGGTAAAAGAACTCCCCCCCTTTCGAGCTTTTCCAGCTTTTCCACATCCATTCTATCCTTCCGACCTCGGGTTGACTCTCGCATTTTCGGTTCATGCCATTCGACCTACAGGGTATGCTTTTAGCCTGACCCTAAGCTAAGCCAACGCCAAGCTTAAGCCTAAGCCTATGTCTAAGCTAAGCCTAAGCCTAAGCCCGAAGCCGGAGCCTAAGCCAAACCTTAGCCTAAGCCTAATCCTAAGCCTAAGCCTGAACCTGAGCCCAAGCCTAAGCATGGCCTAAGTCATTTCTGAGCTAAGCCTAAGCTAAACCTAAGCCTAGGCCTGGACATAAGCTAATTCCTTTCTACCTCAACTTGACATTTTTTGAATAAAAAGTCTCTTTAGCTTAGGCTTCGGCTTGGCTGAAGCTTAGGCTTCGCCTGCGTTTAAGTTTAGCAGCTTAGGCTTGGGTTTGGCTTGGGCCCGGCTTAGGTTAAAATCTTGGGTTTAGGCCTGCCTAGGCTTAGCTTAGGCTTAGGCTAGGAGCTGGATTTTTATTTTCGCTTATGCTTCGGCTTCAGCTTAAGTTTAGGTCTGGGCTTTGGCTCAGTTTTACCATTTTGAAGATGCTGTCAAACGCTTGCAATGGCAAATTTTCTAAGTTTCGCTCTGTCTCTCACTCACTCTCTCTCTCTCCCCTCATTCTTCCTCGGATTTACCGAGGTCCACCCCAAGCAAAAGCCCATGTCGTTTGGGTCAATTTGCAGAGTCAATTAGGGGCGGTGTCCCTTCCCCCCATTCTGCCATCCCTGACAGTCAGAATTGTGCCCCCATTCTGTTTGTGAACTTCTCTTGTATGCGACCCGGTCCCTACAAGAGACAACCTGTGGTTCGGCATGCGCGGGTCAGTACAAACACTTCAATTCTCATCCTCCCCCCTCTTCATTTCCACCCCCGTCTCGCCCGATTAATTTCGAGATCAGTGGGGGAGAGAGAGAGTCAAGGATTAAGGGGTTGAGTCATTTTTTGACATGTTAGAGGAGGGACAGATGAAAATTGTCTGTAGGATGGGTTTGTTTGGGTTTGAAGAGGAAGACGTTCCGTTTTTCTAGTGCTCAAACCACGGTACTGGACTGTTAACGGCTGGGGGGCGCTAGGTTTTATTTAACGACGTGTGATTATTATATAATGTATTTTTACATGGGTTTTAACTGTTACAAAAGCACAAATATATTCTTTTTTGACATTTTTTGGTGATTTTTCAAGCATTTTCGGCAAAAGTAAAAAATTGTCAAGGTTTCAAATCCGTTATGTGCTTTGTTGTATGTTAAAGCTGTGTAAACTGTTTTAAAATAACTGCTTGTGGAAGACCCGTACCTCCCCCCGCTAACAGTACATTGCCCAAGCTAACCTAGGAAAATTAGATAGAAAGAAAAAGTATGAAAAATTTTATTGGAAAAATTTCATCTATTTATCTCTCTCTCTCGCTCACTCTCTCGCTCTCGCCCGCGCACGCTCTCTCGCTCTTTCTCTCTCTTTTTGCCAGCTATGTCTCGCTCTCTCTCTCTAACAATCTCCAGTTCGCGCTTTCTATCGCTCTCACTATATCTCTCCCTTCTAATCATTTAAAGCCACCCGAAACCCTCAAAAATCGATACCTCCCCTATGCAACACTACTATCCTAAAATACTCGTCGACAGACAGCGCGCATTTGATGGAGCACGGAACGGCTCTGCAAAAAATCCGTGGGTCGCCACTGCCACAATTAACCAAACAGCAGACCTCGAAGTGCAAACAGAGGATCGGAGGGGCAAAAGGGAGACTGAGCAGCATTCAAGAATTTGTCTCACTCTCCATCCTCATGTCTCAACCTAAAGGATTACAGCTCCAATCAATCATTTGTCTACTGTAATTTATTGGAAATGCATTTGGATTCGTCTCTCTCTCTCGCTCTCTCTCTCTCTCTCTCTCTCTCTCTCTTTCTCGCTCTTTCTCTCTATCTCTCTCGCTCTCACGCTGACTTTCACTCTCTATGTCTGCCCCTATCTCTCTCACTCTCTCCCCCTTTACTGACTCTCTCGCTCTCTCGCTTTCTCTCTCGCTCTCTCGCTTTTTCTCTCGCGCTCTAGCTTTTTCTCTCGCTCTCTCCCTCTCACTCTATCACTCTCTCTCCCTGTATCTCTCGCTCTAACTCTCTCTCTCTTTCTCACTCTATCTCTCTCTCATTACCATAAACCAACCACATTCCACACCACTCCTATGTAGCTTCGCGTTTCTCTCCCTCCAGGGTTACGGTGACGGGGTGTAGTGTAACACACGGAGCCCCGTTCCAAGGTGATACTATGTGACTGTGTTTGGCCCACGGGATGGCGAACGGCTGTTCTCCATTTTCCTCAAGAAAAAGCTTGAGCTTTTTCCACGCGCCTATCCGGGGAACGGGCTCATCAACCGATCGCTCATCGCGTCAACTTGCACACCAACTGGGGGCTGTTGCATGAGCCCTAGGGGTGTGCAGCGTGTTGCTAAGTTTAACTGGAGTCTGGGGTCCTGCAAAAACTAAGACAATTTTCCCTCATGTTCTCCAAGTTCAGCATAAGCCTAAGCCTATAGACGAAGCCCAATCCTATGCCTGCGTCCATGCCTCAACTAAGCTCAAGCCTAAGCCGAAGTCCATGCCGCAACTAACTCTAAGCCTAAGCCCAGACCCAAGCCTATGGCTTATCTTATACTCTTTCATCTCGCAATATCATCACCAAGTTTCCACCCCATCAATACTCGTCTCCACCGGCCCTGCTTACGAAATCGATCCCTCAAACAATGAGCAGCTTCTCCCCCCCTCAGCTTGATCCATGACCCGGTCATCCCCTCCGGGGTGGAGGAGACACATGGCCCAACCGTTTTTCTCTCTGCCGCAGGCACCGGAAACGGACAAAAAAGCGAAACGGGAAAAGCCGCCTCCGGTTGCAGCACTTGATGAGTAATAAGCTGTGAACAGACGGGAGACACTGGAACCATCGTTTAAAGGGGAAGGGCCGGGAAATTTTGGTCCTCAATGCCGATTATCTTGTTCTCTCTAGCTCTCTCTATCTCTTTCTATCTCTCTCGCTCTCTCTCTCGTTCTCTCTCTTTACGCACAGCTTGTTAGATAGCTTTCTCTTGCTATGTCTTTCGATACGTTTCTTGCAATCAGCTTTGGGTTTTGGTTATTGCAAACTTCTTTCCTTCTAACGTTCTCTTTCGCTCTCTCTCTCTCACTCTCGCTCTCTATCTCGCCCTCTCGCTTCTAAATAACCTCATCCCTTAATTTCAGACGCGCACACGTCGCGATCCTTGTTGTGGAGACGAGCCTGTAGCCAGGAGTTGTTCGCCCCGAACTTTCTCAACGCGACCCCTAAAGGACTACAATGTCCGACCCACATGATAGGGGTAAGTTATCCAGCAACTTTTTTTTTGATAGTCCATAGCCCTAACGAAACATCTGTATTTTCAGCGGCTCAGGCCGTCTCACAAATCGTCCCCGCGGACGAGGCATCCGGTTTGGATGAGCGACACCGCGTCGCTGTCGCTGGCCAATCAGGTAGTCAACTAACATCCTGGCACTTGGCTTTATCAAAGCTTCAACCCTATGAGCCTACGCACACCTTTCCTGGCACTAAAAGGGTTGCGAGCACTCCAAAGGGCTGAAAATCTGACCACTCTCGAATTCTCGCAGCCCTTACGCTTACCCTCACCTCTGCAGGCCCAACCCATCCATCCGGACAGCCCACGACAACCACCGAGGATCCAGCCGGAGACGTCGATGCGCGTCTACTAGGTCCTGATCCTATGCTTTTTTGCTTTGCTTTGATTTTTCCCGAATTGCACAATGCTTTTCCTTAGACTGAGTTTTGCGACCGTAACTGAACCTAGCAACATCCTTCCACCTACCAGCTCGATACCTATGACCATAACCAATCGCTTGTAGGTTTCGAAGATGTACGACTCCCCGCCAAGGGCGCTTTGGACGGACAGTACGGTAGGTGTCGGTCTCGAGCTCGGTCATGTTTGTTGTAGTCGTCAACGTCGACCAACCCGCCGACGTCTCCCACATGGGCGTGATGGGAGCCGGCATTGCCGACCAATTTGTCGACATTTCGAAGAAAGAAGGTCAGGCTCTTTCTCGATCTCGGTTTTCTCTCTCTCTCCTTCTTTCTCTGTCTCTCCTTCTTTCACTCTTTCTCCCTCCGCCCCTCGCGCTCAAAGACAGTACTAATTTTAAAAAATTTGTTTTTATCGATAACTTTTTCATGTCACAATCTTCTGCGCTGAAAATTTTTGTGCATATAGGTTCTGGTCTTCCACACCGGTCCTACAAATTTCAGCCAAATTGGATATATACCGACACTTATACATCCCATTTCAGCACAAGCCGCTGTGGGCGCAGTGGCCGGTGCCTCCGAGCAGCTCGACAGCGCTAACGCCGGCATCTATGCACTTGGTAGGGGACCCCGCATACCTCACTAGTACACAATTCTAGCCTCTGGTCTTCTGGGCGGAAAGACCGCGGGCAGCTCATCGGGTAAGTCCTGATGGCAAAATTGTAAAATCCTCTTAGGCCCCACCTCGAGCCTTGCCTCCTTCTCCGAGATTGACGACGTTATGGGCGATAGTCAGTTGAAAAAGGCCTCCAGAAAATTAGATTATTTTCAGACGGCGTCACCAAGTCTCAACTTTACATCAGCAGCCATTCGAGCGGCATGGGCGAGCCGTTCGGTGGTGAGGACTCCAAAAGTTTCAGAGATTTTTCTTTTTTTTAGCTTTCTCCGATCGTGAAGATCTGGTCAGGAGCATATACGGTAAATATACAACTCTTTCGCGTTGAATGAATTTAGAAACCGATCCGTTTAATGACCCGGGGCGAAGGGTTACGGAGGTGACGTTGAACATTTTCTTGTCGCGCGGAGGGAAGCACTATGCAGGTGAGTATCAAGACGTTAGGCTCAGGCTTAGGCTTAGACTAAATTTTAGGATGAGGCTTAAGTTTTTTTGGAAGCTTGTTAGGCTTAGATGAGACACAATTGGTTTTATGTTAGTTCCTAAAAGCTAACGCCGACTATTTCTTAGCGTAATGAACCGACGCCGAAGAATCCATAAAAATAAACTAAACAAAACTTCACCCATTCAGTCGGCCCACTCACACAAGACGAAGACATGGAGCAGGAGCAATATTCCGAATCTGAGGCCTGGAAGTCGAGCAGCGAGGTGGGTATCGGTCTTCCTAAATCGATTGCATGCATCCTGTCAAACCTTTTCAGTTGATTTCCTGTCCTAACCAACTTTCCAGAAAAAAGCACCCTCTGCAATCGGACTCGGGGCCGAGAATGTGCGTGAGGGTATTTTTCGGCATTTTTCTAGGGCTGAGCCATCAGAAAGATCCTCTTGTTAAGGCTACGCTTAGGCTCAGGCTCAGGATCAGGCTCAGGCTCAAGTAGTTAAATAGCGCTGTCGTGGCAAATGTCTGTTCATCGTCCTGAACCGAGCGTTGTCGCCTTGTCGTTGCTTCTCCGCCAGCACCAGCACCAGAAAAACCCTCAACATCCACTTTTCACCGCTAACAACGCCTTGTTTAGCTACCCACTTTGTTGCGTTGGCTTTAGAACCCATCAGCTGTCAAGCAAACCCAAGCCTTTAGGTCCGAGCCTTCTCCGACTCCGAGGACGACGAGGATGCCAAGTCCATGTCCATGGAGGTACGCGCCGAAAACGCTTCATGACGATAATCGTGGCTTTAGCTTATCGATAAGGAGCTCGTCGAAGAGCTTGAGCAACAGCTTGATGAAAAGGCGCCGACGCCCACTCAGGTAAGCAAGAAACATATCAGGCTGATCAGTTTTAGTCTGAGCTCGAGGAGCCGTTGGCGAAGAAGTTGAAGGAGGCAAATGGTAAGTCAAGATTTGAAAAGAAATATTGGGAAGGCGTTATCGCCCGAAATTCTAAAAGCTATAGCGTTGCATGCGTGACCGTAAGCTGCAATACTTTTCTGAAACGCTTTCATTTCAGAACCTCTTGAGATCATCACCAACCAACAAATGATGCAAGCCATGATGCAGAGCAAGATGCCGATAGGTAAGTAGTCATCCAGGAACCTTAACAACGCTTTTTACCTAGAATCCCCTCCAACCGAAGCCTCCTCTTACATGTCTGAAGGCGGTTGGGAAGTCCTCCAAGACACTATGACAGCCAGTGTACATTCCGACGAAACGAGCAGTCAACCTAGTCTCGTCCATTCTGAGGTAAGGATCACAACATGTATGCCCTAGATACCCCTCATTTAGGACTGGGATCAAGCCCACGCCTTCTCACTCCAGCAAGCCCTCCTCGGCGAAATGGCCCTCCAAACCAAATCAGACCCTATCTATGATGGCGACAAAGATAAACCGGAAAGCGAAGGACTCGCGGAGAAACGGAAAAGAACCGATTCCACCGAAAGCAACACCACTCTCGGAGATAACAATTATGATGTTGTGGCCGACGCTGATGAAAGCCGCTACGCTGAGATCCTGAAGACGCCAACTAGGGAAACCCGTGATGCGGCCTTCTTTGATGAAGCCCAAACATCTCAACAGCACCTAACTCCCGAAGCCGTGCCCGCGGAAACTTCCACACCCGAGGAAAAGAAAAAGAAAAAGTCCGAAGAATCTCAGGGCGAACAAAGCTCCTCAGCAACCGATGCGACGCAAGCCGCTGCAGACCAGGCGGAAGTCGAAAACGAACCCCTTTCCGCTGACACCCAATTCAATACGGTAACCATCGTTAACGATGAGGCTCAACTACACGACCACCAACAAATCGCTTCCGATTCCACCGAAGCTCAACCAACTGAAGCCCCAGCTGCCGATCTGGCTGCTGAAAACGTCGAGAAGCCTGAGGAACACGTCGAGGAGCAGCACATTGCTGTCACCGAGGTTGAACCTGTTGAAGGCGAGAAACCCGCTGAGGATGTCGCCGTCGTCCACCACGAGGCCGAAGAGACCAAGCCAACTGAGGAGGGCGAGGTTCAGCAACTGGACGACCAACAAATCGCTTCTGATTCGACCGAGGCTCAACCAACTGAAGCCCCAGCTGCCGATCTGGCTGCTGAAAACGTCGAGAAGCCTGAGGAACACGTCGAGGAGCAGCACATTGCTGTCACCGAGGTTGAACCTGTTGAAGGCGAGAAACCCGCTGAGGATGTCGCCGTCGTCCACCACGAGGCCGAAGAGACCAAGCCAACTGAGGAGGGCGAGGTTCAGCAACTGGACGACCAACAAATCGCTTCTGATTCGACCGAGGCTCAACCAACTGAAGCCCCAGCTGCCGATCTGGCTGCTGAAAACGTCGAGAAGCCTGAGGAACACGTCGAGGAGCAGCACATTGCTGTCACCGAGGCTGAACCTGTTGAAGGCGAGAAACACGCTGAGGATGTCGCCGTCGTCCACCACGAGGCCGAAGAGACCAAGCCAACTGAGGAGGGCGCGGCTCAGCACATCGACGATCAACAAATCGCTTCCGATTCGACCGAGGCTCAACCAACTGAAGCCCCAGCTGCCGATCTGGCTGCTGAACAAGTCGAGCAGCCTGAGGAACACGTCGAGGAGCAGCACATTGCTGTCACCGAGGCTGAACCTGTTGAAGGCGAGAAACACGCTGAGGATGTCGCCGTCGTCCACCACGAGGCCGAAGAGACCAAGCCAACTGAGGAGGGCGAGGCTCAGCACATCGACGATCAACAAATCGCTTCCGATTCGACCGAGGCTCAACCAACTGAAGCCCCAGCTGCCGATCTGGCTGCTGAACAAATCGAGAAGCCTGAGGAACACGTCGAGGAGCAGCACATTGCTGTCACCGAGGCTGAACCTGTTGAAGGCGAGAAACCCGCTGAGGATGTTGCCGTCGTCCACCACGAGGCCGAAGAGACCAAGCCAACTGAGGAGGGCGAGGCTCAGCAACTCGACGACCAACAAATCGCTTCTGATTCGACCGAGGCTCAACCAACTGAAGCCCCAGCTGCCGATCTGGCTGCTGAACAAGTCGAGCAGCCTGAGGAACACGTCGAGGAGCAGCACATTGCTGTCACCGAGGCTGAACCTGTTGAAGGCGAGAAACCCGCTGAGGATGTTGCCGTCGTCCACCACGAGGCCGAAGAGACCAAGCCAACTGAGGAGGGCGCGGCTCAGCACATCGACGATCAACAAATCGCTTCTGATTCGACCGAGGCTCAACCAACTGAAGCCCCAGCTGCCGATCTGGCTGCTGAAAACGTCGAGAAGCCTGAGGAACACGTCGAGGAGCAGCACATTGCTGTCACCGAGGCTGAACCTGTTGAAGGCGAGAAACCCGCTGAGGATGTTGCCGTCGTCCACCACGAGGCCGAAGAGACCAAGCCAACTGAGGAGGGCGAGGTTCAGCAACTGGACGACCAACAAATCGCTTCTGATTCGACCGAGGCTCAACCAACTGAAGCCCCAGCTGCCGATCTGGCTGCTGAAAACGTCGAGAAGCCTGAAGAACACGTCGAGGAGCAGCACATTGCTGTCACCGAGGCTGAACCTGTTGAAGGCGAGAAACCCGCTGAGGATGTTGCCGTCGTCCACCACGAGGCCGAAGAGACCAAGCCAACTGAGGAGGGCGAGGTTCAGCAACTGGACGACCAACAAATCGCTTCTGATTCGACCGAGGCTCAACCAACTGAAGCCCCAGCTGCCGATCTGGCTGCTGAACAAGTCGAGCAGCCTGAGGAACACGTCGAGGAGCAGCACATTGCTGTCACCGAGGCTGAACCTGTTGAAGGCGAGAAACCCGCTGAGGATGTTGCCGTCGTCCACCACGAGGCCGAAGAGACCAAGCCAACTGAGGAGGGCGAGGCTCAGCAACTGGACGACCAACAAATCGCTTCTGATTCGACCGAGGCTCAACCAACTGAAGCCCCAGCTGCCGATCTGGCTGCTGAACAAGTCGAGCAGCCTGAGGAACACGTCGAGGAGCAGCACATTGCTGTCACCGAGGCTGAACCTGTTGAAGGCGAGAAACCCGCTGAGGATGTTGCCGTCGTCCACCACGAGGCCGAAGAGACCAAGCCAACTGAGGAGGGCGAGGCTCAGCAACTCGACGACCAACAAATCGCTTCTGACTCGACCGAGGCTCCACCAACTGAAGCCCCAGCTGCCGATCTGGCTGCTGAAAACGTCGAGAAGCCTGAGGAACACGTCGAGGAGCAGCACATTGCTGTCACCGAGGCTGAACCTGTTGAAGGCGAGAAACCCGCTGAGGATGTTGCCGTCGTCCACCACGAGGCCGAAGAGACCAAGCCAACTGAGGAGGGCGAGGCTCAGCAACTGGACGACCAACAAATCGCTTCTGATTCGACCGAGGCTCAACCAACTGAAGCCCCAGCTGCCGATCTGGCTGCTGAACAAGTCGAGCAGCCTGAGGAACACGTCGAGGAGCAGCACATTGCTGTCACCGAGGCTGAACCTGTTGAAGGCGAGAAACCCGCTGAGGATGTTGCCGTCGTCCACCACGAGGCCGAAGAGACCAAGCCAACTGAGGAGGGCGAGGCTCAGCAACTGGACGACCAACAAATCGCTTCTGATTCGACCGAGGCTCAACCAACTGAAGCCCCAGCTGCCGATCTGGCTGCTGAACAAGTCGAGCAGCCTGAGGAACACGTCGAGGAGCAGCACATTGCTGTCACCGAGGTTGAACCTGTTGAAGGCGAGAAACCCGCTGAGGATGTTGCCGTCGTCCACCACGAGGCCGAAGAGACCAAGCCAACTGAGGAGGGCGCGGCTCAGCACATCGACGATCAACAAATCGCTTCTGATTCGACCGAGGCTCAACCAACTGAAACCCCAGCTGCCGATCTGGCTGCTGAACAAGTCGAGCAGCCTGAGGAACACGTCGAGGAGCAGCACATTGCTGTCACCGAGGCTGAACCTGTTGAAGGCGAGAAACCCGCTGAGGATGTTGCCGTCGTCCACCACGAGGCCGAAGAGACCAAGCCAACTGAGGAGGGCGAGGCTCAGCAACTCGACGACCAACAAATCGCTTCTGACTCGACCGAGGCTCCACCAACTGAAGCCCCAGCTGCCGATCTGGCTGCTGAAAACGTCGAGAAGCCTGAGGAACACGTCGAGGAGCAGCACATTGCTGTCACCGAGGCTGAACCTGTTGAAGGCGAGAAACCCGCTGAGGATGTTGCCGTCGTCCACCACGAGGCCGAAGAGACCAAGCCAACTGAGGAGGGCGAGGCTCAGCAACTGGACGACCAACAAATCGCTTCTGATTCGACCGAGGCTCAACCAACTGAAGCCCCAGCTGCCGATCTGGCTGCTGAACAAGTCGAGCAGCCTGAGGAACACGTCGAGGAGCAGCACATTGCTGTCACCGAGGCTGAACCTGTTGAAGGCGAGAAACCCGCTGAGGATGTTGCCGTCGTCCACCACGAGGCCGAAGAGACCAAGCCAACTGAGGAGGGCGAGGCTCAGCAACTGGACGACCAACAAATCGCTTCTGATTCGACCGAGGCTCAACCAACTGAAGCCCCAGCTGCCGATCTGGCTGCTGAACAAGTCGAGCAGCCTGAGGAACACGTCGAGGAGCAGCACATTGCTGTCACCGAGGTTGAACCTGTTGAAGGCGAGAAACCCGCTGAGGATGTTGCCGTCGTCCACCACGAGGCCGAAGAGACCAAGCCAACTGAGGAGGGCGCGGCTCAGCACATCGACGATCAACAAATCGCTTCTGATTCGACCGAGGCTCAACCAACTGAAACCCCAGCTGCCGATCTGGCTGCTGAAAACGTCGAGAAGCCTGAGGAACACGTCGAGGAGCAGCACATTGCTGTCACCGAGGCTGAACCTGTTGAAGGCGAGAAACCCGCTGAGGATGTTCCCGTCGTCCACCACGAGGCCGAAGACACCAAGCCAACTGAGGAGGGCGCGGCTCAGCACATCGACGATCAACAAATCGCTTCTGATTCGACCGAGGCTCAACCAACTGAAACCCCAGCTGCCGATCTGGCTGCTGAACAAGTCGAGCAGCCTGAGGAACACGTCGAGGAGCAGCACATTGCTGTCACCGAGGCTGAACCTGTTGAAGGCGAGAAACCCGCTGAGGATGTTGCCGTCGTCCACCACGAGGCCGAAGAGACCAAGCCAACTGAGGAGGGCGAGGCTCAGCAACTCGACGACCAACAAATCGCTTCTGACTCGACCGAGGCTCCACCAACTGAAGCCCCAGCTGCCGATCTGGCTGCTGAAAACGTCGAGAAGCCTGAGGAACACGTCGAGGAGCAGCACATTGCTGTCACCGAGGCTGAACCTGTTGAAGGCGAGAAACCCGCTGAGGATGTTGCCGTCGTCCACCACGAGGCCGAAGAGACCAAGCCAACTGAGGAGGGCGAGGCTCAGCAACTGGACGACCAACAAATCGCTTCTGATTCGACCGAGGCTCAACCAACTGAAGCCCCAGCTGCCGATCTGGCTGCTGAACAAGTCGAGCAGCCTGAGGAACACGTCGAGGAGCAGCACATTGCTGTCACCGAGGCTGAACCTGTTGAAGGCGAGAAACCCGCTGAGGATGTTGCCGTCGTCCACCACGAGGCCGAAGAGACCAAGCCAACTGAGGAGGGCGAGGTTCAGCAACTGGACGACCAACAAATCGCTTCTGATTCGACCGAGGCTCAACCAACTGAAGCCCCAGCTGCCGATCTGGCTGCTGAAAACGTCGAGAAGCCTGAAGAACACGTCGAGGAGCAGCACATTGCTGTCACCGAGGCTGAACCTGTTGAAGGCGAGAAACCCGCTGAGGATGTTGCCGTCGTCCACCACGAGGCCGAAGAGACCAAGCCAACTGAGGAGGGCGAGGTTCAGCAACTGGACGACCAACAAATCGCTTCTGATTCGACCGAGGCTCAACCAACTGAAGCCCCAGCTGCCGATCTGGCTGCTGAAAACGTCGAGAAGCCTGAAGAACACGTCGAGGAGCAGCACATTGCTGTCACCGAGGCTGAACCTGTTGAAGGCGAGAAACCCGCTGAGGATGTTGCCGTCGTCCACCACGAGGCCGAAGAGACCAAGCCAACTGAGGAGGGCGAGGTTCAGCAACTGGACGACCAACAAATCGCTTCTGATTCGACCGAGGCTCAACCAACTGAAGCCCCAGCTGCCGATCTGGCTGCTGAACAAGTCGAGCAGCCTGAGGAACACGTCGAGGAGCAGCACATTGCTGTCACCGAGGCTGAACCTGTTGAAGGCGAGAAACACGCTGAGGATGTCGCCGTCGTCCACCACGAGGCCGAAGAGACCAAGCCAACTGAGGAGGGCGCGGCTCAGCACATCGACGATCAACAAATCGCTTCTGATTCGACCGAGGCTCAACCAACTGAAGCCCCAGCTGCCGATCTGGCTGCTGAAAACGTCGAGAAGCCTGAGGAACACGTCGAGGAGCAGCACATTGCTGTCACCGAGGCTGAACCTGTTGAAGGCGAGAAACCCGCTGAGGATGTTGCCGTGGTCCACCACGAGGCCGAAGAGACCAAGCCAACTGAGGAGGGCGCGGCTCAGCACATCGACGATCAACAAATCGCTTCTGATTCGACCGAGGCTCAACCAACTGAAACCCCAGCTGCCGATCTGGCTGCTGAAAACGTCGAGAAGCCTGAGGAACACGTCGAGGAGCAGCACATTGCTGTCACCGAGGCTGAACCTGTTGAAGGCGAGAAACCCGCTGAGGATGTTCCCGTCGTCCACCACGAGGCCGAAGACACCAAGCCAACTGAGGAGGGCGCGGCTCAGCACATCGACGATCAACAAATCGCTTCTGATTCGACCGAGGCTCAACCAACTGAAACCCCAGCTGCCGATCTGGCTGCTGAACAAGTCGAGCAGCCTGAGGAACACGTCGAGGAGCAGCACATTGCTGTCACCGAGGCTGAACCTGTTGAAGGCGAGAAACCCGCTGAGGATGTTGCCGTCGTCCACCACGAGGCCGAAGAGACCAAGCCAACTGAGGAGGGCGAGGCTCAGCAACTCGACGACCAACAAATCGCTTCTGACTCGACCGAGGCTCCACCAACTGAAGCCCCAGCTGCCGATCTGGCTGCTGAAAACGTCGAGAAGCCTGAGGAACACGTCGAGGAGCAGCACATTGCTGTCACCGAGGCTGAACCTGTTGAAGGCGAGAAACCCGCTGAGGATGTTGCCGTCGTCCACCACGAGGCCGAAGAGACCAAGCCAACTGAGGAGGGCGAGGCTCAGCAACTGGACGACCAACAAATCGCTTCTGATTCGACCGAGGCTCAACCAACTGAAGCCCCAGCTGCCGATCTGGCTGCTGAACAAGTCGAGCAGCCTGAGGAACACGTCGAGGAGCAGCACATTGCTGTCACCGAGGCTGAACCTGTTGAAGGCGAGAAACCCGCTGAGGATGTTGCCGTCGTCCACCACGAGGCCGAAGAGACCAAGCCAACTGAGGAGGGCGAGGTTCAGCAACTGGACGACCAACAAATCGCTTCTGATTCGACCGAGGCTCAACCAACTGAAGCCCCAGCTGCCGATCTGGCTGCTGAAAACGTCGAGAAGCCTGAAGAACACGTCGAGGAGCAGCACATTGCTGTCACCGAGGCTGAACCTGTTGAAGGCGAGAAACCCGCTGAGGATGTTGCCGTCGTCCACCACGAGGCCGAAGAGACCAAGCCAACTGAGGAGGGCGAGGTTCAGCAACTGGACGACCAACAAATCGCTTCTGATTCGACCGAGGCTCAACCAACTGAAGCCCCAGCTGCCGATCTGGCTGCTGAAAACGTCGAGAAGCCTGAAGAACACGTCGAGGAGCAGCACATTGCTGTCACCGAGGCTGAACCTGTTGAAGGCGAGAAACCCGCTGAGGATGTTGCCGTCGTCCACCACGAGGCCGAAGAGACCAAGCCAACTGAGGAGGGCGAGGTTCAGCAACTGGACGACCAACAAATCGCTTCTGATTCGACCGAGGCTCAACCAACTGAAGCCCCAGCTGCCGATCTGGCTGCTGAACAAGTCGAGCAGCCTGAGGAACACGTCGAGGAGCAGCACATTGCTGTCACCGAGGCTGAACCTGTTGAAGGCGAGAAACACGCTGAGGATGTCGCCGTCGTCCACCACGAGGCCGAAGAGACCAAGCCAACTGAGGAGGGCGCGGCTCAGCACATCGACGATCAACAAATCGCTTCTGATTCGACCGAGGCTCAACCAACTGAAGCCCCAGCTGCCGATCTGGCTGCTGAAAACGTCGAGAAGCCTGAGGAACACGTCGAGGAGCAGCACATTGCTGTCACCGAGGCTGAACCTGTTGAAGGCGAGAAGCCCGCTGAGGATGTTGCCGTGGTCCACCACGAGGCCGAAGAAATCAAGCCAACTGAGGAGGGCGAGGCTCAGCAACTCGACGATCAACAAATCGCTTCCGATTCGACCGAAGCTCAACCAACTGAAACCCCAGCTGCCGATCTGGCTGCTGAACAAGTCGAGAAGCCTGAGGAACACGTCGAGGAGCAGCACATTGCTGTCACCGAGGCTGAACCTGTTGAAGGCGAGAAGCCCGCTGAGGATGTTGCCGTGGTCCACCACGAGGCCGAAGAAATCAAGCCAACTGAGGAGGGCGAGGCTCAGCAACTGGACGACCAACAAATCGCTTCTGATTCGACCGAGGCTCAACCAACTGAAGCCCCAGCTGCCGATCTGGCTGCTGAACAAGTCGAGCAGCCTGAGGAACACGTCGAGGAGCAGCACATTGCTGTCACCGAGGCTGAACCTGTTGAAGGCGAGAAACACGCTGAGGATGTCGCCGTCGTCCACCACGAGGCCGAAGAGACCAAGCCAACTGAGGAGGGCGCGGCTCAGCACATCGACGATCAACAAATCGCTTCTGATTCGACCGAGGCTCAACCAACTGAAGCCCCAGCTGCCGATCTGGCTGCTGAAAACGTCGAGAAGCCTGAGGAACACGTCGAGGAGCAGCACATTGCTGTCACCGAGGCTGAACCTGTTGAAGGCGAGAAACCCGCTGAGGATGTTGCCGTCGTCCACCACGAGGCCGAAGAGACCAAGCCAACTGAGGAGGGCGAGGTTCAGCAACTGGACGACCAACAAATCGCTTCTGATTCGACCGAGGCTCAACCAACTGAAGCCCCAGCTGCCGATCTGGCTGCTGAAAACGTCGAGAAGCCTGAGGAACACGTCGAGGAGCAGCACATTGCTGTCACCGAGGCTGAACCTGTTGAAGGCGAGAAACCCGCTGAGGATGTTGCCGTCGTCCACCACGAGGCCGAAGAGACCAAGCCAACTGAGGAGGGCGAGGTTCAGCAACTGGACGACCAACAAATCCCTTCTGATTCGACCGAGGCTCAACCAACTGAAGCCCCAGCTGCCGATCTGGCTGCTGAACAAGTCGAGCAGCCTGAGGAACACGTCGAGGAGCAGCACATTGCTGTCACCGAGGCTGAACCTGTTGAAGGCGAGAAACACGCTGAGGATGTCGCCGTCGTCCACCACGAGGCCGAAGAGACCAAGCCAACTGAGGAGGGCGCGGCTCAGCACTCGACGATCAACAAATCGCTTCTGATTCGACCGAGGCTCAACCAACTGAAGCCCCAGCTGCCGATCTGGCTGCTGAAAACGTCGACAAGCCTGAGGAACACGTCGAGGAGCAGCACATTGCTGTCACCGAGGCTGAACCTGTTGAAGGCGAGAAACCCGCTGAGGATGTTGCCGTGGTCCACCACGAGGCCGAAGAGACCAAGCCAACTGAGGAGGGCGCGGCTCAGCAAATCGACGATCAACAAATCGCTTCTGATTCGACCGAGGCTCAACCAACTGAAGCCCCAGCTGCCGAACTGGCTGCTGAAAAAGTCGAGAAGCCTGAGGAACACGTCGAGGAGCAGCACATTGCTGTCACCGAGGCTGAACCTGTTGAAGGCGAGAAGCCCGCTGAGGATGTTGCCGTGGTCCACCACGAGGCCGAAGAAATCAAGCCAACTGAGGAGGGCGAGGCTCAGCAACTCGACGATCAACAAATCGCTTCCGATTCGACCGAAGCTCAACCAACTGAAACCCCAGCTGCCGATCTGGCTGCTGAAAACGTCGACAAGCCTGAGGAACACGTCGAGGAGCAGCACATTGCTGTCACCGAGGCTGAACCTGTTGAAGGCGAGAAGCCCGCTGAGGATGTTGCCGTCGTCCACCACGAGGCCGAAGAAACCAAGCCAACTGAGGAGGGCGCGGCTCAGCAAATCGACGATCAACAAATCGCTTCTGATTCGACCGAGGCTCAACCAACTGAAACCCCAGCTGCCGATCTGGCTGCTGAAAACGTCGAGAAGCCTGAGGAACACGTCGAGGAGCAGCACATTGCTGTCACCGAGGCTGAACCTGTTGAAGGCGAGAAACCCGCTGAGGATGTTGCCGTCGTCCACCACGAGGCCGAAGAGACCAAGCCAACTGAGGAGGGCGAGGCTCAGCAACTCGACGACGAACAAATCGCTTCTGATTCGACCGAGGCTCAACCAACTGAAGCCCCAGCTGCCGATCTGGCTGCTGAACAAGTCGAGAAGCCTGAGGAACACGTCGAGGAGCAGCACATTGCTGTCACCGAGGCTGAACCTGTTGAAGGCGAGAAACCCGCTGAGGATGTTGCCGTCGTCCACCACGAGGCCGAAGAGACCAAGCCAACTGAGGAGGGCGAGGCTCAGCAACTCGACAACCAACAAATCGCTTCTGACTCGACCGAGGCTCCACCAACTGAAGCCCCAGCTGCCGATCTGGCTGCTGAAAACGTCGAGAAGCCTGAGGAACACGTCGAGGAGCAGCACATTGCTGTCACCGAGGCTGAACCTGTTGAAGGCGAGAAACCCGCTGAGGATGTTGCCGTCGTCCACCACGAGGCCGAAGAGGCCAAGCCAACTGAGGAGGGCGAGGCTCAGCAACTGGACGACCAACAAATCGCTTCTGATTCGACCGAGGCTCAACCAACTGAAGCCCCAGCTGCCGATCTGGCTGCTGAACAAGTCGAGCAGCCTGAGGAACACGTCGAGGAGCAGCACATTGCTGTCACCGAGGCTGAACCTGTTGAAGGCGAGAAACACGCTGAGGATGTCGCCGTCGTCCACCACGAGGCCGAAGAGACCAAGCCAACTGAGGAGGGCGCGGCTCAGCACATCGACGATCAACAAATCGCTTCTGATTCGACCGAGGCTCAACCAACTGAAGCCCCAGCTGCCGATCTGGCTGCTGAAAACGTCGAGAAGCCTGAGGAACACGTCGAGGAGCAGCACATTGCTGTCACCGAGGCTGAACCTGTTGAAGGCGAGAAGCCCGCTGAGGATGTTGCCGTGGTCCACCACGAGGCCGAAGAAATCAAGCCAACTGAGGAGGGCGAGGCTCAGCAACTCGACGATCAACAAATCGCTTCCGATTCGACCGAAGCTCAACCAACTGAAGCCCCAGCTGCCGATCTGGCTGCTGAAAACGTCGAGAAGCCTGAGGAACACGTCGAGGAGCAGCACATTGCTGTCACCGAGGCTGAACCTGTTGAAGGCGAGAAGCCCGCTGAGGATGTTGCCGTGGTCCACCACGAGGCCGAAGAAATCAAGCCAACTGAGGAGGGCGCGGCTCAGCACATCGACGATCAACAAATCGCTTCTGATTCGACCGAGGCTCAACCAACTGAAACCCCAGCTGCCGATCTGGCTGCTGAAAACGTCGAGAAGCCTGAGGAACACGTCGAGGAGCAGCACATTGCTGTCACCGAGGCTGAACCTGTTGAAGGCGAGAAACCCGCTGAGGATGTTGCCGTCGTCCACCACGAGGCCGAAGAGACCAAGCCAACTGAGGAGGGCGAGGCTCAGCAACTGGACGACCAACAAATCGCTTCTGATTCGACCGAGGCTCAACCAACTGAAGCCCCAGCTGCCGATCTGGCTGCTGAACAAGTCGAGCAGCCTGAGGAACACGTCGAGGAGCAGCACATTGCTGTCACCGAGGCTGAACCTGTTGAAGGCGAGAAACCCGCTGAGGATGTTGCCGTCGTCCACCACGAGGCCGAAGAGACCAAGCCAACTGAGGAGGGCGAGGCTCAGCAACTCGACGACCAACAAATCGCTTCTGACTCGACCGAGGCTCCACCAACTGAAGCCCCAGCTGCCGATCTGGCTGCTGAAAACGTCGAGAAGCCTGAGGAACACGTCGAGGAGCAGCACATTGCTGTCACCGAGGCTGAACCTGTTGAAGGCGAGAAACCCGCTGAGGATGTTGCCGTCGTCCACCACGAGGCCGAAGAGACCAAGCCAACTGAGGAGGGCGAGGCTCAGCAACTCGACGACCAACAAATCGCTTCTGATTCGACCGAGGCTCAACCAACTGAAGCCCCAGCTGCCGATCTGGCTGCTGAACAAGTCGAGAAGCCTGAGGAACACGTCGAGGAGCAGCACATTGCTGTCACCGAGGCTGAACCTGTTGAAGGCGAGAAACCCGCTGAGGATTTTGCCGTCGTCCACCACGAGGCCGAAGAGACCAAGCCAACTGAGGAGGGCGAGGCTCAGCAACTCGACGACGAACAAATCGCTTCTGATTCGACCGAGGCTCAACCAACTGAAGCCCCAGCTGCCGATCTGGCTGCTGAACAAGTCGAGAAGCCTGAGGAACACGTCGAGGAGCAGCACATTGCTGTCACCGAGGCTGAACCTGTTGAAGGCGAGAAACCCGCTGAGGATGTTGCCGTCGTCCATCACGAGGCCGAAGAGACCAAGCCAACTGAGGAGGGCGAGGTTCAGCAACTGGACGACCAACAAATCGCTTCTGATTCGACCGAGGCTCAACCAACTGAAGCCCCAGCTGCCGATCTGGCTGCTGAACAAGTCGAGCAGCCTGAGGAACACGTCGAGGAGCAGCACATTGCTGTCACCGAGGCTGAACCTGTTGAAGGCGAGAAACCCGCTGAGGATGTTGCCGTCGTCCACCACGAGGCCGAAGAGACCAAGCCAACTGAGGAGGGCGAGGTTCAGCAACTGGACGACCAACAAATCGCTTCTGATTCGACCGAGGCTCAACCAACTGAAGCCCCAGCTGCCGATCTGGCTGCTGAAAACGTCGAGAAGCCTGAAGAACACGTCGAGGAGCAGCACATTGCTGTCACCGAGGCTGAACCTGTTGAAGGCGAGAAACCCGCTGAGGATGTTGCCGTCGTCCACCACGAGGCCGAAGAGACCAAGCCAACTGAGGAGGGCGAGGTTCAGCAACTGGACGACCAACAAATCGCTTCTGATTCGACCGAGGCTCAACCAACTGAAGCCCCAGCTGCCGATCTGGCTGCTGAACAAGTCGAGCAGCCTGAGGAACACGTCGAGGAGCAGCACATTGCTGTCACCGAGGCTGAACCTGTTGAAGGCGAGAAACACGCTGAGGATGTCGCCGTCGTCCACCACGAGGCCGAAGAGACCAAGCCAACTGAGGAGGGCGCGGCTCAGCACATCGACGATCAACAAATCGCTTCTGATTCGACCGAGGCTCAACCAACTGAAGCCCCAGCTGCCGATCTGGCTGCTGAAAACGTCGAGAAGCCTGAGGAACACGTCGAGGAGCAGCACATTGCTGTCACCGAGGCTGAACCTGTTGAAGGCGAGAAACCCGCTGAGGATGTTGCGGTGGTCCACCTCGAGGCCGAAGAAACCAAGCCAACTGAGGAGCGCGAGGCTCAGCAACTCGACGATCAACAAATCGCTTCCGATTCGACCGAAGCTCAACCAACTGAAGCCCCAGCTGCCGATCTGGCTGCTGAAAACGTCGACAAGCCTGAGGAACACGTCGAGGAGCAGCACATTGCTGTCACCGAGGCTGAACCTGTTGAAGGCGAGAAACCCGCTGAGGATGTTGCCGTCGTCCACCACGAGGCCGAAGAGACCAAGCCAACTGAGGAGGGCGAGGCTCAGCAACTGGACGACCAACAAATCGCTTCTGATTCGACCGAGGCTCAACCAACTGAAGCCCCAGCTGCCGATCTGGCTGCTGAACAAGTCGAGCAGCCTGAGGAACACGTCGAGGAGCAGCACATTGCTGTCACCGAGGCTGAACCTGTTGAAGGCGAGAAACCCGCTGAGGATGTTGCCGTCGTCCACCACGAGGCCGAAGAGACCAAGCCAACTGAGGAGGGCGAGGCTCAGCAACTGGACGACCAACAAATCGCTTCTGATTCGACCGAGGCTCAACCAACTGAAGCCCCAGCTGCCGATCTGACTGCTGAAAACGTCGAGAAGCCTGAGGAACACGTCGAGGAGCAGCACATTGCTGTCACCGAGGCTGAACCTGTTGAAGGCGAGAAACCCGCTGAGGATGTTGCCGTCGTCCATCACGAGGCCGAAGAGACCAAGCCAACTGAGGAGGGCGAGGCTCAGCAACTCGACGACCAACAAATCGCTTCTGACTCGACCGAGGCTCCACCAACTGAAGCCCCAGCTGCCGATCTGGCTGCTGAAAACGTCGAGAAGCCTGAGGAACACGTCGAGGAGCAGCACATTGCTGTCACCGAGGCTGAACCTGTTGAAGGCGAGAAACCCGCTGAGGATGTTGCCGTCGTCCACCACGAGGCCGAAGAGACCAAGCCAACTGAGGAGGGCGAGGTTCAGCAACTGGACGACCAACAAATCGCTTCTGATTCGACCGAGGCTCAACCAACTGAAGCCCCAGCTGCCGATCTGGCTGCTGAACAAGTCGAGCAGCCTGAGGAACACGTCGAGGAGCAGCACATTGCTGTCACCGAGGCTGAACCTGTTGAAGGCGAGAAACCCGCTGAGGATGTTGCCGTCGTCCATCACGAGGCCGAAGAGACCAAGCCAACTGAGGAGGGCGAGGCTCAGCAACTCGACGACCAACAAATCGCTTCTGACTCGACCGAGGCTCCACCAACTGAAGCCCCAGCTGCCGATCTGGCTGCTGAAAACGTCGAGAAGCCTGAGGAACACGTCGAGGAGCAGCACATTGCTGTCACCGAGGCTGAACCTGTTGAAGGCGAGAAACCCGCTGAGGATGTTGCCGTCGTCCATCACGAGGCCGAAGAGACCAAGCCAACTGAGGAGGGCGAGGCTCAGCAACTCGACGACCAACAAATCGCTTCTGACTCGACCGAGGCTCCACCAACTGAAGCCCCAGCTGCCGATCTGGCTGCTGAAAACGTCGAGAAGCCTGAGGAACACGTCGAGGAGCAGCACATTGCTGTCACCGAGGCTGAACCTGTTGAAGGCGAGAAACCCGCTGAGGATGTTGCCGTCGTCCATCACGAGGCCGAAGAGACCAAGCCAACTGAGGAGGGCGAGGCTCAGCAACTCGACGACCAACAAATCGCTTCTGACTCGACCGAGGCTCCACCAACTGAAGCCCCAGCTGCCGATCTGGCTGCTGAAAACGTCGAGAAGCCTGAGGAACACGTCGAGGAGCAGCACATTGCTGTCACCGAGGCTGAACCTGTTGAAGGCGAGAAACCCGCTGAGGATGTTGCGGTGGTCCACCTCGAGGCCGAAGAAACCAAGCCAACTGAGGAGCGCGAGGCTCAGCAACTCGACGATCAACAAATCGCTTCCGATTCGACCGAAGCTCAACCAACTGAAGCCCCAGCTGCCGATCTGGCTGCTGAAAACGTCGACAAGCCTGAGGAACACGTCGAGGAGCAGCACATTGCTGTCACCGAGGCTGAACCTGTTGAAGGCGAGAAACCCGCTGAGGATGTTGCCGTCGTCCACCACGAGGCCGAAGAGACCAAGCCAACTGAGGAGGGCGAGGCTCAGCAACTGGACGACCAACAAATCGCTTCTGATTCGACCGAGGCTCAACCAACTGAAGCCCCAGCTGCCGATCTGGCTGCTGAACAAGTCGAGCAGCCTGAGGAACACGTCGAGGAGCAGCACATTGCTGTCACCGAGGCTGAACCTGTTGAAGGCGAGAAACCCGCTGAGGATGTTGCCGTCGTCCACCACGAGGCCGAAGAGACCAAGCCAACTGAGGAGGGCGAGGCTCAGCAACTGGACGACCAACAAATCGCTTCTGATTCGACCGAGGCTCAACCAACTGAAGCCCCAGCTGCCGATCTGACTGCTGAAAACGTCGAGAAGCCTGAGGAACACGTCGAGGAGCAGCACATTGCTGTCACCGAGGCTGAACCTGTTGAAGGCGAGAAACCCGCTGAGGATGTTGCCGTCGTCCATCACGAGGCCGAAGAGACCAAGCCAACTGAGGAGGGCGAGGCTCAGCAACTCGACGACCAACAAATCGCTTCTGACTCGACCGAGGCTCCACCAACTGAAGCCCCAGCTGCCGATCTGGCTGCTGAAAACGTCGAGAAGCCTGAGGAACACGTCGAGGAGCAGCACATTGCTGTCACCGAGGCTGAACCTGTTGAAGGCGAGAAACCCGCTGAGGATGTTGCCGTCGTCCACCACGAGGCCGAAGAGACCAAGCCAACTGAGGAGGGCGAGGTTCAGCAACTGGACGACCAACAAATCGCTTCTGATTCGACCGAGGCTCAAACAACTGAAGCCCCAGCTGCCGATCTGGCTGCTGAACAAGTCGAGCAGCCTGAGGAACACGTCGAGGAGCAGCACATTGCTGTCACCGAGGCTGAACCTGTTGAAGGCGAGAAACCCGCTGAGGATGTTGCCGTCGTCCATCACGAGGCCGAAAAGACCAAGCCAACTGAGGAGGGCGAGGCTCAGCAACTCGACGACCAACAAATCGCTTCTGACTCGACCGAGGCTCCACCAACTGAAGCCCCAGCTGCCGATCTGGCTGCTGAAAACGTCGAGAAGCCTGAGGAACACGTCGAGGAGCAGCACATTGCTGTCACCGAGGCTGAACCTGTTGAAGGCGAGAAACCCGCTGAGGATGTTGCCGTCGTCCATCACGAGGCCGAAGAGACCAAGCCAACTGAGGAGGGCGAGGCTCAGCAACTCGACGACCAACAAATCGCTTCTGACTCGACCGAGGCTCCACCAACTGAAGCCCCAGCTGCCGATCTGGCTGCTGAAAACGTCGAGAAGCCTGAGGAACACGTCGAGGAGCAGCACATTGCTGTCACCGAGGCTGAACCTGTTGAAGGCGAGAAACCCGCTGAGGATGTTGCCGTCGTCCACCACGAGGCCGAAGAGACCAAGCCAACTGAGGAGGGCGAGGTTCAGCAACTGGACGACCAACAAATCGCTTCTGATTCGACCGAGGCTCAACCAACTGAAGCCCCAGCTGCCGATCTGGCTGCTGAACAAGTCGAGCAGCCTGAGGAACACGTCGAGGAGCAGCACATTGCTGTCACCGAGGCTGAACCTGTTGAAGGCGAGAAACCCGCTGAGGATGTTGCCGTCGTCCACCACGAGGCCGAAGAGACCAAGCCAACTGAGGAGGGCGAGGTTCAGCAACTGGACGACCAACAAATCGCTTCTGATTCGACCGAGGCTCAACCAACTGAAGCCCCAGCTGCCGATCTGGCTGCTGAAAACGTCGAGAAGCCTGAGGAACACGTCGAGGAGCAGCACATTGCTGTCACCGAGGCTGAACCTGTTGAAGGCGAGAAACCCGCTGAGGATGTTGCCGTCGTCCACCACGAGGCCGAAGAGACCAAGCCAACTGAGGAGGGCGAGGCTCAGCAACTGGACGACCAACAAATCGCTTCTGATTCGACCGAGGCTCAACCAACTGAAGCCCCAGCCGCCGATCTGACTGCTGAAAACGTCGAGAAGCCTGAGGAACACGTCGAGGAGCAGCACATTGCTGTCACCGAGGCTGAACCTGTTGAAGGCGAGAAACCCGCTGAGGATGTTGCCGTCGTCCATCACGAGGCCGAAGAGACCAAGCCAACTGAGGAGGGCGAGGCTCAGCAACTCGACGACCAACAAATCGCTTCTGACTCGACCGAGGCTCCACCAACTGAAGCCCCAGCTGCCGATCTGGCTGCTGAAAACGTCGAGAAGCCTGAGGAACACGTCGAGGAGCAGCACATTGCTGTCACCGAGGCTGAACCTGTTGAAGGCGAGAAACCCGCTGAGGATGTTGCGGTGGTCCACCTCGAGGCCGAAGAAACCAAGCCAACTGAGGAGCGCGAGGCTCAGCAACTCGACGATCAACAAATCGCTTCCGATTCGACCGAAGCTCAACCAACTGAAGCCCCAGCTGCCGATCTGGCTGCTGAAAACGTCGACAAGCCTGAGGAACACGTCGAGGAGCAGCACATTGCTGTCACCGAGGCTGAACCTGTTGAAGGCGAGAAACCCGCTGAGGATGTTGCCGTCGTCCACCACGAGGCCGAAGAGACCAAGCCAACTGAGGAGGGCGAGGCTCAGCAACTGGACGACCAACAAATCGCTTCTGATTCGACCGAGGCTCAACCAACTGAAGCCCCAGCTGCCGATCTGGCTGCTGAACAAGTCGAGCAGCCTGAGGAACACGTCGAGGAGCAGCACATTGCTGTCACCGAGGCTGAACCTGTTGAAGGCGAGAAACCCGCTGAGGATGTTGCCGTCGTCCACCACGAGGCCGAAGAGACCAAGCCAACTGAGGAGGGCGAGGCTCAGCAACTGGACGACCAACAAATCGCTTCTGATTCGACCGAGGCTCAACCAACTGAAGCCCCAGCTGCCGATCTGACTGCTGAAAACGTCGAGAAGCCTGAGGAACACGTCGAGGAGCAGCACATTGCTGTCACCGAGGCTGAACCTGTTGAAGGCGAGAAACCCGCTGAGGATGTTGCCGTCGTCCATCACGAGGCCGAAGAGACCAAGCCAACTGAGGAGGGCGAGGCTCAGCAACTCGACGACCAACAAATCGCTTCTGACTCGACCGAGGCTCCACCAACTGAAGCCCCAGCTGCCGATCTGGCTGCTGAAAACGTCGAGAAGCCTGAGGAACACGTCGAGGAGCAGCACATTGCTGTCACCGAGGCTGAACCTGTTGAAGGCGAGAAACCCGCTGAGGATGTTGCCGTCGTCCACCACGAGGCCGAAGAGACCAAGCCAACTGAGGAGGGCGAGGTTCAGCAACTGGACGACCAACAAATCGCTTCTGATTCGACCGAGGCTCAACCAACTGAAGCCCCAGCTGCCGATCTGGCTGCTGAACAAGTCGAGCAGCCTGAGGAACACGTCGAGGAGCAGCACATTGCTGTCACCGAGGCTGAACCTGTTGAAGGCGAGAAACCCGCTGAGGATGTTGCCGTCGTCCATCACGAGGCCGAAGAGACCAAGCCAACTGAGGAGGGCGAGGCTCAGCAACTCGACGACCAACAAATCGCTTCTGACTCGACCGAGGCTCCACCAACTGAAGCCCCAGCTGCCGATCTGGCTGCTGAAAACGTCGAGAAGCCTGAGGAACACGTCGAGGAGCAGCACATTGCTGTCACCGAGGCTGAACCTGTTGAAGGCGAGAAACCCGCTGAGGATGTTGCCGTCGTCCATCACGAGGCCGAAGAGACCAAGCCAACTGAGGAGGGCGAGGCTCAGCAACTCGACGACCAACAAATCGCTTCTGACTCGACCGAGGCTCCACCAACTGAAGCCCCAGCTGCCGATCTGGCTGCTGAAAACGTCGAGAAGCCTGAGGAACACGTCGAGGAGCAGCACATTGCTGTCACCGAGGCTGAACCTGTTGAAGGCGAGAAACCCGCTGAGGATGTTGCCGTCGTCCACCACGAGGCCGAAGAGACCAAGCCAACTGAGGAGGGCGAGGTTCAGCAACTGGACGACCAACAAATCGCTTCTGATTCGACCGAGGCTCAACCAACTGAAGCCCCAGCTGCCGATCTGGCTGCTGAACAAGTCGAGCAGCCTGAGGAACACGTCGAGGAGCAGCACATTGCTGTCACCGAGGCTGAACCTGTTGAAGGCGAGAAACCCGCTGAGGATGTTGCCGTCGTCCACCACGAGGCCGAAGAGACCAAGCCAACTGAGGAGGGCGAGGTTCAGCAACTGGACGACCAACAAATCGCTTCTGATTCGACCGAGGCTCAACCAACTGAAGCCCCAGCTGCCGATCTGGCTGCTGAAAACGTCGAGAAGCCTGAGGAACACGTCGAGGAGCAGCACATTGCTGTCACCGAGGCTGAACCTGTTGAAGGCGAGAAACCCGCTGAGGATGTTGCCGTCGTCCACCACGAGGCCGAAGAGACCAAGCCAACTGAGGAGGGCGAGGCTCAGCAACTGGACGACCAACAAATCGCTTCTGATTCGACCGAGGCTCAACCAACTGAAGCCCCAGCCGCCGATCTGACTGCTGAAAACGTCGAGAAGCCTGAGGAACACGTCGAGGAGCAGCACATTGCTGTCACCGAGGCTGAACCTGTTGAAGGCGAGAAACCCGCTGAGGATGTTGCCGTCGTCCATCACGAGGCCGAAGAGACCAAGCCAACTGAGGAGGGCGAGGCTCAGCAACTCGACGACCAACAAATCGCTTCTGACTCGACCGAGGCTCCACCAACTGAAGCCCCAGCTGCCGATCTGGCTGCTGAAAACGTCGAGAAGCCTGAGGAACACGTCGAGGAGCAGCACATTGCTGTCACCGAGGCCGAACCTGTTGAAGGCGAGAAACCCGCTGAGGATGTTGCCGTCGTCCACCACGAGGCCGAAGAGACCAAGCCAACTGAGGAGGGCGAGGTTCAGCAACTGGACGACCAACAAATCGCTTCTGATTCGACCGAGGCTCAACCAACTGAAGCCCCAGCTGCCGATCTGGCTGCTGAACAAGTCGAGCAGCCTGAGGAACACGTCGAGGAGCAGCACATTGCTGTCACCGAGGCTGAACCTGTTGAAGGCGAGAAACCCGCTGAGGATGTTGCCGTCGTCCACCACGAGGCCGAAGAGACCAAGCCAACTGAGGAGGGCGAGGTTCAGCAACTGGACGACCAACAAATCGCTTCTGATTCGACCGAGGCTCAACCAACTGAAGCCCCAGCTGCCGATCTGGCTGCTGAACAAGTCGAGCAGCCTGAGGAACACGTCGAGGAGCAGCACATTGCTGTCACCGAGGCTGAACCTGTTGAAGGCGAGAAACCCGCTGAGGATGTTGCCGTCGTCCACCACGAGGCCGAAGAGACCAAGCCAACTGAGGAGGGCGAGGTTCAGCAACTGGACGACCAACAAATCGCTTCTGATTCGACCGAGGCTCAACCAACTGAAGCCCCAGCTGCCGATCTGGCTGCTGAAAACGTCGAGAAGCCTGAAGAACACGTCGAGGAGCAGCACATTCCTGTCACCGAGGCTGAACCTGTTGAAGGCGAGAAACCCGCTGAGGATGATGCCGTCGTCCACCACGAGGCCGAAGAGACCAAGCCAACTGAGGAGGGCGAGGTTCAGCAACTGGACGACCAACAAATCGCTTCTGATTCGACCGAGGCTCAACCAACTGAAGCCCCAGCTGCCGATCTGGCTGCTGAAAACGTCGAGAAGCCTGAAGAACACGTCGAGGAGCAGCACATTGCTGTCACCGAGGCTGAACCTGTTGAAGGCGAGAAACACGCTGAGGATGTCGCCGTCGTCCACCACGAGGCCGAAGAGACCAAGCCAACTGAGGAGGGCGCGGCTCAGCACATCGACGATCAACAAATCGCTTCTGATTCGACCGAGGCTCAACCAACTGAAGCCCCAGCTGCCGATCTGGCTGCTGAAAACGTCGAGAAGCCTGAGGAACACGTCGAGGAGCAGCACATTGCTGTCACCGAGGCTGAACCTGTTGAAGGCGAGAAGCCCGCTGAGGATGTTGCCGTGGTCCACCACGAGGCCGAAGAAATCAAGCCAACTGAGGAGGGCGAGGCTCAGCAACTCGACGATCAACAAATCGCTTCCGATTCGACCGAAGCTCAACCAACTGAAGCCCCAGCTGCCGATCTGGCTGCTGAAAACGTCGACAAGCCTGAGGAACACGTCGAGGAGCAGCACATTGCTGTCACCGAGGCTGAACCTGTTGAAGGCGAGAAACCCGCTGAGGATGTTGCCGTCGTCCACCACGAGGCCGAAGAGACCAAGCCAACTGAGGAGGGCGCGGCTCAGCACATCGACGATCAACAACTCGCTTCTGATTCGACCGAGGCTCAACCAACTGAAGCCCCAGCTGCCGATCTGGCTGCTGAAAACGTCGAGAAGCCTGAGGAACACGTCGAGGAGCAGCACATTGCTGTCACCGAGGCTGAACCTGTTGAAGGCGAGAAACCCGCTGAGGATGTTGCCGTCGTCCACCACGAGGCCGAAGAGACCAAGCCAACTGAGGAGGGCGAGGCTCAGCAACTGGACGACCAACAAATCGCTTCTGATTCGACCGAGGCTCAACCAACTGAAGCCCCAGCTGCCGATCTGGCTGCTGAACAAGTCGAGCAGCCTGAGGAACACGTCGAGGAGCAGCACATTGCTGTCACCGAGGCTGAACCTGTTGAAGGCGAGAAACCCGCTGAGGATGTTGCCGTCGTCCACCACGAGGCCGAAGAGACCAAGCCAACTGAGGAGGGCGAGGCTCAGCAACTGGACGACCAACAAATCGCTTCTGATTCGACCGAGGCTCAACCAACTGAAGCCCCAGCTGCCGATCTGGCTGCTGAAAACGTCGAGAAGCCTGAGGAACACGTCGAGGAGCAGCACATTGCTGTCACCGAGGCTGAACCTGTTGAAGGCGAGAAACCCGCTGAGGATGTTGCCGTCGTCCACCACGAGGCCGAAGAGACCAAGCCAACTGAGGAGGGCGAGGCTCAGCAACTGGACGACCAACAAATCGCTTCTGATTCGACCGAGGCTCAACCAACTGAAGCCCCAGCTGCCGATCTGGCTGCTGAACAAGTCGAGCAGCCTGAGGAACACGTCGAGGAGCAGCACTTTGCTGTCACCGAGGCTGAACCTGTTGAAGGCGAGAAACCCGCTGAGGATGTTGCCGTCGTCCACCACGAGGCCGAAGAGACCAAGCCAACTGAGGAGGGCGAGGCTCAGCAACTGGACGACCAACAAATCGCTTCTGATTCGACCGAGGCTCAACCAACTGAAGCCCCAGCTGCCGATCTGGCTGCTGAACAAGTCGAGCAGCCTGAGGAACACGTCGAGGAGCAGCACATTGCTGTCACCGAGGCTGAACCTGTTGAAGGCGAGAAACCCGCTGAGGATGTTGCCGTCGTCCACCACGAGGCCGAAGAGACCAAGCCAACTGAGGAGGGCGCGGCTCAGCACATCGACGATCAACAAATCGCTTCTGATTCGACCGAGGCTCAACCAACTGAAGCCCCAGCTGCCGATCTGGCTGCTGAAAACGTCGAGAAGCCTGAGGAACACGTCGAGGAGCAGCACATTGCTGTCACCGAGGCTGAACCTGTTGAAGGCGAGAAACCCGCTGAGGATGTTGCCGTCGTCCACCACGAGGCCGAAGAGACCAAGCCAACTGAGGAGGGCGAGGCTCAGCAACTCGACGACGAACAAATCGCTTCTGATTCGACCGAGGCTCAACCAACTGAAGCCCCAGCTGCCGATCTGGCTGCTGAACAAGTCGAGAAGCCTGAGGAACACGTCGAGGAGCAGCACATTGCTGTCACCGAGGCTGAACCTGTTGAAGGCGAGAAACCCGCTGAGGATGTTGCCGTCGTCCACCACGAGGCCGAAGAGACCAAGCCAACTGAGGAGGGCGAGGCTCAGCAACTCGACGACCAACAAATCGCTTCTGACTCGACCGAGGCTCCACCAACTGAAGCCCCAGCTGCCGATCTGGCTGCTGAAAACGTCGAGAAGCCTGAGGAACACGTCGAGGAGCAGCACATTGCTGTCACCGAGGCTGAACCTGTTGAAGGCGAGAAGCCCGCTGAGGATGTTACCGTCGTCCACCACGAGGCCGAAGAGACCAAGCCAACTGAGGAGGGCGAGGCTCAGCAACTCGACGACCAACAAATCGCTTCTGACTCGACCGAGGCTCAACCAACTGAAGCCCCAGCTGCCGATCTGGCTGCTGAAAACGTCGAGAAGCCTGAGGAACACGTCGAGGAGCAGCACATTGCTGTCACCGAGGCTGAACCTGTTGAATGCGAGAAACCCGCTGAGGATGTTGCCGTCGTCCACCACGAGGCCGAAGAGACCAAGCCAACCGAGGAGGGCGAGGCTCAGCAACTCGACGACCAACAAATCGCTTCTGACTCGACCGAGGCTCCACCAACTGAAGCCCCAGCTGCCGATCTGGCTGCTGAAAACGTCGAGAAGCCTGAGGAACACGTCGAGGAGCAGCACATTGCTGTCACCGAGGCTGAACCTGTTGAAGGCGAGAAGCCCGCTGAGGATGTTACCGTCGTCCACCACGAGGCCGAAGAGACCAAGCCAACTGAGGAGGGCGAGGCTCAGCAACTCGACGACCAACAAATCGCTTCTGACTCGACCGAGGCTCAACCAACTGAAGCCCCAGCTGCCGATCTGGCTGCTGAAAACGTCGAGAAGCCTGAGGAACACGTCGAGGAGCAGCACATTGCTGTCACCGAGGCTGAACCTGTTGAAGGCGAGAAACACGCTGAGGATGTTGCCGTCGTCCACCACGAGGCCGAAGAGACCAAGCCAACTGAGGAGGGCGAGGCTCAGCAACTCGACGATCAACAAATCGCTTCTGATTCGACCGAGGCTCAACCAACTGAAGCCCCAGCTGCCGATCTGGCTGCTGAACAAGTCGAGAAGCCTGAGAAACACGTCGAGGAGCAGCACATTGCTGTCACCGAGGCTGAACCTGTTGAAGGCGAGAAACCCGCTGAGGATGTTGCAGTCGTCCACCACGAGGCCGAAGAGACCAAGCCAACTGAGGAGGGCGAGGCTCAGCAACTCGACGATCAACAAGTCGCTTCCGATTCGACCGAGGCTCAACCAACTGAAGCCCCAGCTGCCGATCTGGCTGCTGAACAAGTCGAGAAGCCTGAGAAACACGTCGAGGAGCAGCACATTGCTGTCACCGAGGCTGAACCTGTTGAAGGCGAGAAACCCGCTGAGGATGTTGCCGTCGTCCACCACGAGGCCGAAGAGACCAAGCCAACTGAGGAGGGCGATGCTCAGCAACTCGACGACCAACAAATCGCTTCTGACTCGACCGAGGCTCAACCAACTGAAGCCCCAGCTGCCGACCTGGCTGCTGAAAACGTCGAGAAGCTTGAGGAACACGTCGAGGAGCAGCACATTGCTGTCACCGAGGCTGAACCTGTTGAAGGCGAGAAACCCGCTGAGGATGTTACCGTCGTCCACCACGAGGCCGAAGAGACCAAGCCAACTGAGGAGGGCGAGGCTGAAGTTCAGCACCTCGACGACCAAGACATCGCTTCCGATTCCACCGAAGCTCAACCAACTGAAGCCCCAGCTGCCGATCTGGCTGCTGAACAAGTCGAGAAGCCTGAGGAACACGTCGAGGAGCAGCACATTGCTGTCACCGAGGCTGAACCTTTTGAAGGCGAGAAACCCGCTGAGGATGTTGCCGTCGTCCACCACGAGGCCGAAGAGACCAAGCCAACTGAGGAGGGCGAGGCTCAGCAACTCGACGATCAACAAATCGTTTCTGACTCGACCGAGGCTCTACCAACTGAAGCCCCAGCTGCCGATCTGGCTGCTGAACAAGTCGAGAAGCCTGAGGAACACGTCGAGGAGCAGCACATTGCTGTCACCGAGGCTGAACCTGTTGAAGGCGAGAAACCCGCTGAGGATGTTACCGTCGTCCACCACGAGGCCGAAGAGACCAAGCCAACTGAGGAGGGCGAGGCTCAGCAACTCGACGATCAACAAATCGTTTCTGACTCGACCGAGGCTCTACCAACTGAAGCCCCAGCTGCCGATCTGGCTGCTGAACAAGTCGAGAAGCCTGAGGAACACGTCGAGGAGCAGCACATTGCTGTCACCGAGGCTGAACCTGTTGAAGGCGACAAACCCGCTGAGGATGTTCCCGTCGTCCACCACGAGGCCGAAGACACCAAGCCAACTGAGGAGGGCGAGGCTCAGCAACTCAACGACCAACAAATCGCTTCTGATCCGACCGAGGCTCAACCATCTGAAGCCCCAGCTGCCGATCTGGCTGCTGAACAAGTCGAGAAGCCTGCGGAACACGGCGAGGAGCAGCACATTGCTGTCACCGAGGCTGAACCTGTTGAAGGCGAGAAACCCGCTGAGGATGTCGCCGTGGTCCACCACGAGGCCGAAGAAACCAAGCCAACTGAGGGGGGCGAGGCTCAAGATCAGCACCTCGACGACCAACAAATCGCTTCCGATTCGACCAAAGCTCAACCAACTGAAGCCCCAGCTGCCGATCTGGCTGCTGAAAACGTCGAGAAGCCTGAGGAACACGGCGAGGAGCAGCACATTGCTGTCACCGAGCCTGAACCTGTTGAAGGCGAGAAACCCGCTGAGGATGTTGCCGTCGTCCACCACGAGGCCGAAGAGACCAAGCCAACTGAGGAGGGCGAGGCTCAGCAACTCGACGACCAACAAATCGCTTCTGATCCGACCGAGGCTCAACCATCTGAAGCCCCAGCTGCCGATCTGGCTGCTGAACAAGTCGAGAAGCCTGCGGAACACGTCGACGAGCAGCACATTGCTGTCGCCGAATCCCAACCTTACTTTGTCGAGGATGGCAGTGAGGTTCGCACCCGTGGAAAGCGTGATGCCGGATTCGAAGAGCGGGAGGTAGTCGACCCCTCCTATGCATCCGTTCCCCTTGTGAGAACTGCTGCCTCGAGCAGCGTCACTTCCAACTTTATCCCCACCAAACGGGTAGCCGCCACCGCTTCATTCGCCGTCGGGTCGGCGATGAAGATGAGCAGCGACGCGAAGGAGGTGACGTTGGCCTGGAAGGCCAACAAGATGCCAGCCGTGGCGGAAGATCTAAAGGTCGGCCAGATCGAGGTGGGAGGAGCTGGACATGGTGAATTTAAAGGTAGGCAACATGGTTGGGGTGGATGTAAGTTTGTTGCAGTTAAACGTGAGGCGGCCTTTACCAGCGCTTCTGGAAAGCCGTGGCCGAAGCGTTGCCGTTGCATCGGTAAGGTTTTAAAGCTGAAATTTTCGGGTTAGGAAAATACACTTATCCTTAGACTTGATCTGACAACCTTGTCAGACCATCCGACAGACAGAACACAAGAAGCAAACAAAACGAAGAAACAACAAACAAGGGCCTAGATGCATCGTGTATCACCACTTTTTCAGTGATGGACGTGATCCTGATCGCCGGCGAACACCGTGCGGGTGCCACGGTCCGGGTCGGGCCCCGCAAGTATTACGACAAGGCGTAAGCCTGAACTACACCAACTGCTCATTGTATATATTCTTCCACGACAAACATACCCGAACTTTCCAAAACCTGGATGCCGTAAAACGCCATAGAACTCTAGGTTATCAGATCAGAATGAAATTCAAGATTCTCTGGTGTTTTCGGTATCCTTCGATCCTAGCGCCTTTCTGCCTTTAGCACATATTGTTCCACTTTGTGTGAATTGTCGTGTTGCCGTCGCCGCGGCTGGTCTCCGCTTGTTTTTGGCCATTACCTTCATCATTGAATCCCATGGATGTCAGCCCCCATTATTCCCATTTTGTCGAATCATTTTGTTATTCCTGAATGCTCGCGCTTTCTTTTACACTAGCTGCTTGGCTCCTAGCATTCCCGAAACACTTTCCCGCTCGGTTTCGCCCAGCCGTTGCGGAAAGTTAGCTTTTATTTGACGTCGCCCAGTCGGATACTAGATCCTTATGCCTTGAATTCCCTGGAAAGAAAGAAACAACTCTGGATTCGCCCATCTGGAGTTACAAAAAACCTTCATAGCTTTCCGCCCGAGACGGTCTCGCCCGCCCGTTCTCGAGGCTCAAATTGGAGTTACACATAACGACCCAAGCTTCGCCCAGTTTGAGTCGTCTAAATTTTTCGATTCCAAAACTTTCTCGTGTATTCAAGGCATTTCGATACTTTGCTATGGAGCCCTTCTTCGCTAGACCCAATGCATTAGCCTCTAAGTCCAGAAAAATAAAACTTAATAATATTTTAGCAACCCTGGACTCGAGCGCTAATCAAATTCCCCCGAAACTAAACTTCCCCGCGGTCTTTGCACGCTTGCAAAGCCGCACCCCGTCCTAACACGTACTTGTCCCCTACAAGTACACGGACCGCGCGCCGGCGCCGCTTTTGTGCCCCGCGCGGGCACAGAATGCGGCCCGGCCCGTTGTTCGAGCATTCCCCGGTTTTGCGGCGAGGTTTGGGGATGGCCATTTTCGAGTCTCCGTAAATGGCCAAACCTATTCCTTGCCCAAACCAACCAATCTCTCTTTCGCTGTATAATTGCTGATTCGAGGTATCCGCGATGGTTCTGCTGACTACTCTTTTTTGCACACTATCTTGTTCTTCTTGGGATTCTATTTGCTGTGTGGCACTTTAACTATCCGACCTTGTTCGACCGTGTGTATGTGCGTGTGTGCCTGTTTGTGACCCTGCGTGGCGGCAACGTGTTGTTCTTTGTGTAAATTCACGTGTAGATACGAATAAACTTATAGAAATTTAACGGGCGGTTTGTTGGCAAAGATATGATACAAAATTGCAACGAATTCTTGCAACGGCTGCGCTTTATTGAAAGTTATACCTTGTTGTTTGCCACGGCAGTCACAGAAATTCTTGCGAAAGTGAAGACCAGCCTAAAAGCAAAATTTTTGAAAGTACCATTACAAAAGAGAAGGAAAACAAAAAGCGAAAACAAGAAAATATGTTCAAGGCGCTGAAAAAAGGATGGAATGGCTGCCGAAGGCCCGCTCACGGGGTTTTTTCTCTATGGCGAGGCGCGCACGGGATAACGTAACAGTCCAAGCGACAGGTCGATCGGCTGCGCGCACAGAGCCCCATATTAACCCCAGAGAGGGGCCCGAAAAGTTGCCAAATTTTACTCCTTCTAAGGCTTATAACTTTTTTCTAGAAACTTTGATCAATTCTCCACCTCACTATCGATAGAGAAGGATCCCAGCTACATTTTGGTAGCAAAATAAGGACGATCGCGAGGCACAACATTGACTTGAAAGCCGTTTAAATGGACCCAGGAGTGAAAATCTGGAAATTGTGCGAAGCGTTTTTCTTAGAATTTAGACTTAGTATTTCCGCTTTTTTGGTTTAATTTGGCTGACGGATGATGGCCAATGACAAATTTGCTACTTACAAGGTGCTGGATGTCAAAACGCCGAAGAGCCGAAGGCTTAATTTTCGAGGCCTTCCGGAATGAACCGTTACAACACCCCAATTTGCCTGCAACTGTTTTCAGGGGCAAACCTAAACAGCTTCGGGCAATTCCTGGTAAAAACTAAGTTAAACGAGCCAGAAGTAGCCATAATCACTCGATTTCTATTTGTAGCGTCAACTTGGGTAAATTCGGCAGTTCTCGTTACTGAGATGTGTATATCAAGGATGTTGATGCTCTTCCGCACCTTTTCGTGAAAAAAGCAAAACGGGATCACGTTTCTTTCCCCGGGAGGGATCGAACCAGCACCCCCCACCTGTCCCTTGGACCGGCGCCTTAGACCACTAGGCCACGCCCCTCCCCACCCCCCATGCGCGCGAAAAGACCCCGTGCGCTGCTGGCCGGGGAGAGGGCACCGCGCATTAATGAGAACCCGTGCGATCCGCGTCAGATAGGCAAAAGAAACTCAAAGTGGTGGTTATATTCAATTAAAAAGTTCCATTAGCCATTTCCGAGTAATTTCCACAAATAATGCCACAAGTTTGTCTTGGTTAAATAGTTTTTTACTCGCTTTCCTAAAACCTGACTTTAGTTGCTCTGCCTTTTTCTGATCTCCCCAAATTCAAAACATGTTCCCTTTAATTTAATATGACCCTTGTTTTGGAGGCAACACCTATCCGGAATTCTATTCTGTCAACTTCACCTGCCACCACAATCTCGCTGGTCCCCTTTTTGCGATTGCCCGACCAAACTTGCACACTTGAAGGAAAAGCTTTATTTCCAATTCCGGGCGTACATTTCAAAGTATAAGCCCTGTTGCTCGCGATGCGATACTTGATCGACAAAAACTTTACGTTGTCGCCGCACCGCAGAGCACATCACGATTTTTTGGAGCAGATACAGGAAATCGTCGCGCCACGAGCCGACGAGGAGGATAATAGTAAGGAGGTAGGATTCTTGGTAGCTAAAGGAGCCTAGGTATTAAGGTATAGGCGATTTCTTACATTATTGGGGACATATTGAAGAAAGAAAAGAGGTAGCGGGCGAAGAGACCGCTTTCGTTGGTGCAGCACATCGCCACGCCGCCGACAGAGGCTATGAAGGCCGTGCCGATGCAGCTGACCAGCATCAACTTTTTGAGCAGCTGGAAATGGATACGATTCATTACTTGAAACTCAGTGCTTTAAAAATATCTTATGGTTAAGACATTGAAACAGCTTTTTTGGTCCAAAGTGACACTGTAAATTTGAAGCAAAGCTTTTCGAGTCTCGACTCGATATTTTGGTACGCAATAACTTCGTTCTAAAACCTTATTGCATTCATTTACGTAGCTTTTCAAAGTTATTTCTGGCTTGTGGGACAGTTATGTCCCTTGGTTATCGAATAATGGTTTTGGATAATAAAGAAAGGTTTTGGAGTTTATACCCCGGTGAGCGTCCTTTCATTCAATTCATGTTTTTTTATATATAACGATTTTTGAAAACGCTGGCTTATGCCTCTAATACTCACCACCAAGACCTCTATATTCTCTGTTATTTGGAATCTACGACTCAGATAATGGCCGGTGAATTCGCGGTTCGTGTCAGTTCTCATCAACGTTTTCAACTGCAATCGATTCCATCGCAGCAGGATGAGCAGCATCTGAAATTTTACGGATTTGGAAGAGTTCAGGCAACTCCAAAACAATATAACTAAATGAAAACTTGACAAAAACTGGTTTTGGTTATTTGCAACGTGGTTTCCGCTAATTATTGCTTAGGTCCCCGAGGGGTTTTAGGAGATTAGAAAACAGCTTACTATGAATGCGCTTCCCGCAAAAATCGTTACAGCCGGCAGGGCAAGTGCGGCAATGATGACAAAATCATAGAAAAAGTCTGAATTTAGGATATTACTTCTGCCATTTAAAACGTACTCATGAGCACCATGTAGGCTGACACGAGGGAAAGTGTAAACTTTATCAAGATGATTGTTAGTGGGATACAAATGAGGGATCGCTGCTCGTATTCTTCGATATATTTAGCAGCAAAAATTCTCTCGATAACCACACTTAGCGGGAACATCGAGAGGCTTTAAAATACGCAATTACTGCTAGAAAAATTCAAAGTTACTTAAAAACGGAGTGCAACCATAGAAAAGAGGCCAATATTAGTGGGTAATCGGTTGCCATATTACCTAAAAATCGGAGGTCAGAGACTTGTAGCTCCAATACCTGAAATCAATACGATTCGAAGCTGGTAAAAGATCAGAATCGTGCGCCCGGTGACGAATAACCCGAAGTTGATGAACATGTTAGCGAATATCATCTCAAGGTTGCGGTGGAAGCGTCGCGACCTGCGGATGACGAGCAGCATGAAAGAGAGGGCGATCGACAGAACGGAGATGAGGAACAGCTCAAAGATTTTCACCGGTTCTGATGTGTCATAGGAGGTTCGTGGCTTCTGAAAATTAAGAGGTGGGTCTATCAACAGATCTGACCTCAGCATATGGGCAATCCCCAAAAACCGGGATCCAGATGATCAAGGTCTCGCGATTGGGCAGCGTTTGATTGTAGAAGTTCATCAAAATATGAGCATGAACTTGTTCGTAACGGTCGCGTGGGCCAAAAGTCGGGACAGTGTGTTGAGCCGGCTGGTCCTAATTGTGGCGCGATTCCGCCAAAAAGACACCTGCTTTCCGGCCGGAGTGTTTGTGCGTCTGCGCGTTTGGCAACGCCCTTGATGCGTCGTTGAAGACGGAAAGTGATGGCATGATGTTATTCAGAAAATGTATCATTTTGGGGTTGAACCGCCTAGAACTTGGGGTTGAGCTTGGACTTGCGAATTAGGCTTGACTTAAGCCGTTTTTTGGAGGGTGACGGAGTTTTCTGGGCTAGCCTTTACTTGATAACCCCCCAAGCCGGAAGTTCCCAAAAATTCCCGACATGTTCACGATTTTATCGGGGTTTTGACGACGCCATTCGATAGAGGACAAAAAATATACTCAAAGCTTGAAGAATCAGTTATATCGAAAAACTTTTGGGAGGTTCCGACTGGGGGGAGCAAAGTCTTACCGTTTTCTGAGCCCATTCGATAGAGCCTTGTTTTCTGAACAAGAACAATCCTACTATATATAAAAAAATAGTGTTTGTGTGTGTGTGTGTGTGCATTTGCATGCAACTTCCGTCCGTATGTTCCAGTCGTATCTCAATAGGGGAGGAAGTTACGGGCATGTATGATACGTCATTAGGTGCGGAATGGTCATGACACGACTGCACGCATATGAAAATTTTAAAAAGCAGCTGTTTTCGATATTAAAATTAATTTTTTGTGAAAATCTCGCTCGGCCTCTTTGTTAGGAATCAATTTGCATGCACCGGAAATGGGGGAAGCCTATATAATGGGGGGAGAGGACGCGCTTTTCATTTTTCTGCACAGGAATTCAGGTGTTTATGCAAAGTGACGAACTATGGGGGTAAGACGGGCCAGGGTTGAAAAGTCGCGAAGCGGCTTTTCAACCCTGGTTTTTCAAAAATTACTGGATGGTAACGGTCTTCGAGAAAAGGCTTCGGAAAAGGCTTCTTGTTCCTGGGCACGTTAGTTCCTTTTTCTGATCTTTGGTTCTTCAATCAAAGCGATTCACCGTGAAAATCGTCATCCACTATCAGTCACCCATTCGCAATTCTAACCGCCACCCCCAAAATCCATCATGCTCAACTGACTGTCAGCTAGTGGTTTTTGTGCCCTGAAGGGGCTTTCCCCCCAATTTCGCCCCATCACTGCCAATTAGATAAGAAAGAGGAGGTGGTGAAAGAGGAGGGCTGGGATATGCCAATACGAGGCGCAGGAAGCGGGGCCATTTTTTGCCGGGGATCGAACTGGCATCTCCCCCAATTCGCATAGCCCGAGGGCATGTTCGTAACAAGTCGCCCTCCCCAAACACATTCCCACTCTTTCGAGTCTCACCTCCCAACAATTTGACGGTCTGACCACTTTATTGATTCGGAACTAAATTTGGTATATTTATTTTGGTAAGTACTTTTTTATTTAAGGCGAGTTTTGCTTTTTTTACGTCAAGGTTTAGTTTCCCCGGTGCATATATATAAAATTTATCCTATGTAGGTCACTGAAACCTCACAAATGCTATGAACGAGCCAGCACTTCTGGAAACGTACCGGAAAGCCAGACGAACCGCAATACTATCGATTCTGTTGGTCACCATTTCCGGCTTGCTGCTCATCTCGGCGCTTCCTGTATTTATTTTTCTGCAGCAATTTTCTAGGTAAGTAATTTTACAGATAGGTGAAGCTTGACTTAAGCCTGAGCCTAGCTTAACGTACGTATTTATTAAACTGTAAAAAACTTTAATTTTTCCATCCTTACCAAAATAAATTTATTCCAATTTAGAAATGATCTCGACTTTAATCTACGCAAATGCCGTATCGATGTGTTTGTGCTGTGGAATGAGTACGAGCAGGTTTGGACTGCTGCAAATAAAACTTACTTTCAAATTTAGTTAACCAAATACCTAGCAGTTCAGCCCCGTCTGAAACGGGATGTTATTTCAAATGATGGCACTGTCGGGCCGGTGTATACGGTAAGGAAAGTTTCTATTTCGGAAAACCTTTTATTTAATACTTTGGGTACATATAAAACATCATAGCTTTAGTACGGATATCCTTACGGCTTCGCGGCCGCCTACGGTAGCCAAGTCCTTTATGGGACGAGACTGAATGCGAATACTTTTAACGAAGAGCCCCCACCACCACCGCGTCCCAGTGACGTTGAAGTGGAAGAGATGCGGAAACGGACCCGGAAACATGTTCAGCACGTCCATAGCAGCAGGAGGAGAGTGGGTTTTTATTCTCCTTCCGACTAGACATCCCAAATTCAGCCCAAGCACCACATAAAACATTCGCAAAGTCGACGCACTGGTTCGGAGCCTAGGCCTGGGCATTATCAACCACATACCTTGCCTGCTGCTGCATTGGTCGGAAGTCACCAGGAACCGGCTTTTCCTCAGGTTCGCAATTAACCGAAGTTCCAGCCTCACGAAACTGTAGCCTCTTCCCGCCTTGCCCGTTTCGGCGATCCCTGAACAAAACGGATTCCGGGTGGAGGACAAACGATACAAGATACATTACATAACAACACCAACGCGGGAGCAGATCAGCAACGGGATCAGGGTCAAGGAGCGGCAAGTAAGAACTCACAGTTGTCAGTAGTTTAACTGAGACCTTGGATACCTTGACCTATGGCTCGAATCTATGTTAATAACCTCATAGGCCGACACCCCGGTCCCAGAAGCGTCCAACAGCTACAACCCCCGGCAGCAGTACGAGCAGCTGATGACGTTGGAGCAGCTGAAGGCTCAAAAGACCATCGCTAGCAGGAAGACAGCCAGTGATTATGACGATTTATGGCAGTTAGTTTTATCATGTAAAGTTATAACAAGCTTTAGAGAAACTGCCACCACCAGAGCTCCACCATCTTTCAGTCCAAACCGCGACGCTTATGTGCTCCCGCCGACTCCTGCGGTATGCCCTTGGGAAAAAATAAAAGACTTCATTCAGACACCCCGACAGCCTATGCCACAACTGGCTGTCCCCTGGCAGAACCCAATCTTCGCCGGCTCGTGGCCAGATCGAGGTCAGCAACCGATTCCGGCCATACCGTATGCCCCAGTGGAGGAACAGTGTTGTCAGGGACTACCGGGTGATCCTGGGCCGCCTGGTGATGATGGGGAGCCTGGTAAGAGAAGTAGAGGATTTTTACGATTAACTTTGAAAGGGCAAATAAGCAAGTGGAGGCCCGACACGCGGATGTGTTGCTTTTTGCGGGCGTTACGAAATCTTTGAATAGCCCCACCAGCTAGCACGATATCCTAGCCTTTTCCCCTTTTCATAGATAGCCGATTTCTCTCACTCGAATTTTTAGGTATCGATGGAATGCCAGGGGAAGAAGGCCAACCCGGCAATGATGGTCAGGAGTTTGAGGTTTGAAGGCTTATCCCTTAACGACTCCCCAGGATACCGAGCACGCCGTAGAGGAGAACGACGGCTGGTGTGTGGTCTGCGAGCCGGGTATTCCTGGGCCAATTGGTCAGTTTTCAATCAGAGCAATCCATAAATTCTTAGGTCAACCCGGAAAATCCGGAAATCGGGGTGAAGCCGGCCAGGATGGGCCTCCGGGAATACCCGGTAAATCAAAGAAAGGAGCCAAGGGACTACAGGGTAGCTTTACTTCCAGATTTTTAAGGTAGCTTCAGGTCCCGCCGGTGTTCCCGGAAGGACGGGACGCAAAGGAGAAGTTGGGCAAGCTGGGAAGTTGGTCTATCAAGAAGGCCCATCGGGGCCGGTCGGACCTCCAGGGAAGCAGGGGCCACCTGGGAATCCGGGAGAAGACGGTATGGTCCTCTTTTGGCTTTGAGTTTTGGTTTCAGGTCCTGGCGGGAAAGCTACAGATGGTCCACCGGGAGAGAAGGGCGGTCCGGGAAGTGCTGGAGTTCCTGGGATACCTGGGATACCCGGTCGGCCAGGCCCTACTGGGAACCCTGGTCCGTCAGGTATGGATTTAGAACTTGTCAAAAATGCTCAAAAATGACGATTGGCAGGATTTTCAGTTTTTGCCATAGACTCTTGATGGATTTTTGCGCGCTTTCCATTGCGCAACGCATTGTGAATCCGTCCAAGGCGAAACTGTGCACTACTTTAAGTGTCCAGCATGGTTTACTTTAAATTAATAAGGTAATACCACGAGTTTTCAGGCGGTTGCACCCACTGTTCTGCTCACACCAAGACCCCATATCAGCCATATCGACACCGGCAGCACCGGAAGCAATAAATATCTATTTGAACAAGCTCTTCGTCCCACCGTGAGAACCTCACGATTCTCACTACCTGCCCTCTATGCTAAAGATCAGCAATCAGGAGGGAAACTAAAATCTTTCTGATCGCCCGGGGAGTTTCAGTCGCCCGCCATCAAACGGCGCCGCGCCCATTCCGCAGAGATTTACGGCCAGCCCGCGGCTAATTCCAGGTCGTCCCTCGTTGGATTTGGGGATGAATCAACTGGCCCGCGAGCGAAAACCACAAAGAACGTTGCTAGCATCGGGACACGGGTTACAAATTGTCGGGTTGTTTGAAACGGACTGGAATAGGGTGTGTAAGTGGTTTTAGGTGTGGATACGGTAGTCATGGAAAAAACGCGCCGTAGAAGACGGTACGATAAGCAACAATATTTTTATTGAAGAGGCTTAGGCTTGACCTCATACTTAAGTTTTGCTTAAATTTAGTGACGTGCCTGAACTATTCTATGTAGAGGTTTAGCCAATACTTTGGCTTAATCTTAGTCTTAGGCTTACATGGCTTGTTAGGTAAGGCTTTGGCTTAGGATTGTTTAGGCGTACTTTCGAGCCTAATCAACCCCTTCCAACCCCAATCCAATCACTCCCAGAAAGTTAGATCAACTTTTTGCACCCCCCGAGCGACCCTTGGGTGGTCCCGAGTCTCGCAAGACAATTCGCAGTGTAGTCCTTGAAAATGGTCGAATGAGAGGGGAAGTGTCACTCGAATTCCCTTCGACCCCCTGAAATCGCGAGCCGATGCAAAGTGACAGGGCATTAGCCGTTGATTTTTGGCGAGCCGGGCTTGCGGGGGAGGACACGCGGTGCGGGACTGTGCCCTCTTTTTGTCCTCTCGGCTTTTTCCGTGTCTAGAGCCCCGGTGGGGGGGAGATCCACGAGAAGGTACGGTGCGAGAACGGGTTGGCTCGATCGTTACTGTAGAGATCAGGCTCGGGTTATGAAGCTTAAAGTTAGTGCATATTTTCCGGGCAAGTCATTTTCTAGCAAGCAGTTTATAAATGGAAGCCTAACTGTAACCGTTTTTTGTTGACCGTGGGATTTCGATACGTGAGATAGCACATTTTGTGCAGAATTTTTCGCTGATTCCGAATCCGGTTTCAAAAGTTGCGGAACCCCTCTAGATAAAAAGTTACAGCCAGTTTTCTACCCCAAATGGCCGAAAATTACAAACTTTAAATCCTTATAAAAAACTCATGGAACATTTTGTGGGATAAAATACAGCACTCCTAGGGGTAAAAAAACGTGCTCTTTCGAATGAGCTATTTCACGAACCCGTAACTCAAAATTCACAAAATTTCAAAAATTGGCCATCCACCGTCCATTACATCCATTGGTCCACCGAAAAACTTTTTTTCATGAATTTTGAGCTACGGGTTCGTGAGATAGCCCATTCGAAAGAGCACGTTTTTTTACCCCTAGGAGTGCTGTATTTTATCCCACAAAATGTTCCATGAGTTTTTTATAAGGATTTAAAGTTTGTAATTTTCGGCCATTTGGGGTAGAAAACTGGCTGTAACTTTTTATCTAGAGGGGTTCCGCAACTTTTGAAAACGGATTCGGAATCAGCGAAAAATTCTGCACAAAATGTGCTATCTCACGTATCGAAATCCCACGGTCAACAAAAAACGGTTACAGTAAGCCTACGCCTACGCCTAAGCCGAGCCTGGAAAGTCCCTGACAACCCCTCCTTTCCATCTTAAAAATACCAATCCCTACCTATCGCGCAAGTCTAAAAACGCAATCAAGGCTCTTCAAATTCAGAGTCATGAGCCTAAGCCTATGCCTCAACCCAGGCCTGGGAATGGGCCGGCCCGGGCCGGCCCGGGCCGGCCCGCCAGTCCATTTTTCTCGGCCCGGCCCGGCCCGGCCCGGGCCGGCCCGCAGCCAATTTTTCGGCCCGCGGCCCGGGCCGGCCCGGGCCGGCCCGGGCCGGCCCGACATTTTGGGTACATTTTTACCAAACCAGTATATGCCATCATTTAATTTTTCCGGAGTTACAAAAACGTGTTAGATCAAGTCCGTTAATCGTCTATAGGCTTGTACAACCGATTTAGGTATAGTATGTGACGAGAATTTATTTATAAAGCAGCATACAACCAGTTACATCTTTAGTCCAATAGAAAAAGGTCTGTTTTACTTAGTGGAGTTCAATTTCTTTGACGCCTACGTGTAGTTTGAACGAAAATACACTTAAATAAGGCTAACAAGGCATATTCCCAGCATTTCTGAACATTTCCGGCCAAAAAAGCAAAAAGCAAAAGATTGACCTCGGCCGGGATCGAACCCGGGTCGTTTTCCTGATAAATCAAAGTTAAGCCAAAACTCGGATTTTTTTATTTTTAGCTGTTTAAACAGATGATTTAAGTTGAATATCAATAAGGAAAACTTATAATGTAATTAAATTACCTCATTTAAACTCAATATAACTTATTGGCAAGGTGGCGGGCCGGCCCGGGCCGGCCCGGGCCGGCCCTCCATATTTGACGGGCCGGCCCGGGCCGGCCCGCCAGCCTAAAATCCCGAAAATCTCGGCCCTGGCCCGGCCCGGCCCGGGCCGGCCCGGGCCGGCCCGGGCCGGCCCGCCAAATTCCCAGGCCTGCCTCAACCTAAGCGTATGCCTAAGCCTAAGCCTAAAGCCTAAGCCTAATATGCCAATGCCTCCTAAGCGTAAGCCTATGCCTCAGTCTAAGCATAAAACCTAGCTCTAAGCCATAAGCCTATGCATAAGCCTAAGCCCAAGCACAAGATTAAAGTGAATTCTCAACCTAATAAGCCCCTGCCAACTCTGCCGCTCTGAAGCCCATCTGATAATGCCAAGCCGAAGCTCATTTATCATCGCCGCCAATCATCTCGGCTGTCATCCCGAATAATCTCCGCTGATCATCGACCTCAACTCACTATCACTCCCCCCGCCGATATCGCCCTGAAATTCGACAATCAAATATTTACAGCCGCATAAAAGCGAGCCCCGCTCCCGAACGGAAGGGAACGGTCAATCATCCGTTTTTCAAGAGACAACCCCCGACTCCGAAAATCCCGGGGGATGTTTCAGCGGAAGCAAGCCTCAATAAATTTCGGGGATCAGCCCCGCGGTATGAATTAGCCAGTCCGGCGGAGCTGATCAACTCCACCCACCGGATTTTGGGGATCTTCGGCCTATCCCTCGGGGGCATTCCCCTCTTGCACACCAAAATGTGCCCCGCGTTACCGTAATCTTTTGATCTTTGCGCTGGGTTCACTGTAGTTTCTTTGATTATTGATCAGTTTGCCCCTTCACCTAACTCTAATCAAGTAATATTGAAGTTGACAAGCCTAAGTTTTAGCCAACAACAGATGAACTATGATTCTCCGAGCGTTACTAGCCTGTGCCCTCGTCACCGCAACCTATCAAAAGGTCTTGGAAGAAAGCGCATTAGCAGAAAGGAGTCAATATGATGACGGAACAAAAACTTCTATTCCAATGTCTGCAAAGGATGGTAAGCATTTTTAAAGTTTTGGAACTTTCTTGATCTCTCATTTCAATATTTTATGTTTAGGCGTGGAACTGATGCAACATTGGATGGACCAGGCTTTTTCCGGGCTAATGGCCGCCGTCGCGACCAAGAAGCTCGCAAATCTTAAGCCAGAATACCGGAAGAAGGCGCATGAGTGCAACAAAAAAGCGCATAGTGTAGAAGAGCATGCGGACTGTGTGGTGCTCGTGCTGGACATGGCCAAAGATCCGGCAAAGAATATTGTTAATGAAAGAGGTGGGTTTCAGAAAATAGACAATAAAGTCGTAACTCGATTATGAAAACCTGTTTTAGCCAATCAAACCATTACCATCGAAGCGCCAAAACAAACTCCACCTCCGAAATTGACCCAAACCCCAAAGCTGCAACCGAAGAAGCGCAAAGCAAAGTAATAACATCACCTTGAAGGTTATACAAATCTAGACTCAACCACCTAAAACTCGCCCTCACCAAGTCAAAACTACCCAAAATTCGCCGAGTTGCCAAGTTTTCCGGAAAGTCGAGGGAAGCCAAGGGCAAAAAGTTGGGCGTCTCGAGGTGAATAACTTCAGCATACGGTCTCCAAAAAGTTTTTTAGAAAAAGAAAAACAACAAAACGTAAAAGACGCGTCAAGAAAATTTTGAAGTCCAAAAAGAAAGTGGTGGATGTTCATGACGATGGATTAGAGGTATGTAAGCTTGAAAAACTGGAGGAGCAATAAATTTAGGACTTCTACGCGCATCACCGCGTCGAGAAGCATGATAACTTTGACGAGTCGTTGAGACGGGCCAAGAGATCGATTCATAATCGGGTGCGTTTAATGGAACGTATACACCTTTAGGTGTAATCTTCATTGCTTGTGTATAATAGCTTTTTATAGCGTGAAAGAATTAAAAAAAAAAGACTTCATTTTAGGACCACTACTCGCTGCGCCAAAAATCTGACCAAACCCCTCTGGGGATAATTTCAAGGCAGGTCGCCGCTGCTGTCCGAAAAATGAAGGGCAAAGATGATCCGGAAGTGCAAAAGTAAATACTGAGAGTTTTCTCGGTTTTTATTACTTTTCAGATTTACCTTTAACGTTTTCAAACTGAATTACAGTTGGCGCACCGTCATCTACGAGATAATGGGAAAAGCAAAGGAGCTGAAGATGCGCGAAAAGATGAGGAGAATGATGGACAGGAGGAATAACTATTACCGGAATGCCGGAAAAGAAGCCGATGAGATGGACGTCGCGCTCGACCCGCATCGAGCGTTGGCTATGCCCGTTGGTTTTTAGTTATTTTCAAAACTAGAAAGGCTGAATAATGAGTATAAGATTCAATTCATTTCAATTGAAATTCTGATAAACCGGGTAGTTTTTGCAAGCTCTGTGGTCAATAGTTACGCGAAATTTCTTTGAGCGCGTGCTCCCTATGCTTGGACATCCGTTTTTTCCAGTGTTTACCTTAATGTTCCAGTCCCTTTAATTGCAAAAATCGGAAATTTTATGTAAGATGAAATAAGAACACGCTCAAGGTCCGCTGATTAGTGACGAAAGCAAAGTCACGAAGTATTTTTTTTCTAATCTAAATCAAATAAATGCTCCTAACTAACTTAATTTTTCTAACATCACTTTCCCAATCTTGCTCGGTATTCCCCTTTCGAAATTTCCACATCAATCTCTCTTCGCCCTCTGTTTTGCAGAATCTCTAAAAAATATTAATTCCCGAGAGGCGAACGCGCCCAAAAAATTAATTCAGCCTCGTGACCATTCCGACCACCATATTATAAATAGCGCGAAGTTCCCCCGAAATCATTATTGCAATGACTTCTTCATACTATTGGCCGATGGCCTCAAAACTCGGTAATTTATGGGACCTGGACGCGATGGACGAGAAATACGAAAAGGAGGAGATGCTGGCAGCGGTGGGTCGCCAGATGAAGAATATGACGGAGGAGCAACGGATTATGGCCGGGCCTATGCAAGTGGTTCGACAAGGTAGGAGGAAGTGAGCTATGACACTTGGTTGTAGCCGTGAAACTCGGCATGTCGGTGGCCGGCCACAATGTTACGGACTTCGAGAAGAAGAACGTAAATCTGATCTCGCCAAGGATTCTGTCGCTTGTTTCCGAGGATGAAGAAACGAAAAAGGACGAGGTTAGGAATGATGCTTATGGAAAATATTGTTTTTCAGATAAATCTACTATCTCCGTCGGTGTTTTCACTACACAACGACGGCAATGGTTTAGAGAAGGAAATGTCCATGGCAAAAGCGCTGGAAACCGTTGGCATGGACGCTGACACGCAGCAGCTGCTGGACATGATCATTGAATTGTCTGGAGTTGGAGAAGCGGTTGATGTCATTGCGGTAAGTATGTTAACGTTAGGTTGCATTTACAGAAATTTTAATCAGCTTTTGAAACCTCTATCTAAACCTTTACAGCGCCAAAAATTCGAAACCATCGAGAAACAGGACGAGATGAAGGGCCCGAACGGGCAATCTTTGACCTGGAAAAAGGAGAATGTGACGGAGGAGCTCGGCAAGGAAGAGGTACGCTTTTTGAAAACGACAGTTACGGCCTTAGGCTCACAAAGTCGACGTGATGGAGCAGCTGCAGCGGATGTACACACCGCGACAGGTGAGGAGCAGAAACGATCAATACTAAGATAAAATCCCATTTTTAGCTCGAAGAAATGCGACATTCCGGCTATACGGCCATGACGCCGCGGCAACTCGATTACGTATACGGCACGAAATCGCCGTACAGCAACTCCGAGGCCTTGGATAATTTGAAAAGTTGGTGCTCAAAAACTACACCCATTTGCTGGGCCAAGGTAATTTCAAAACCTTTAGGGACGAACCTCACGCGCGAAAACGTCGACCTCGCCATCCACGACATTATCCGCAACGTGGCGCAGGGCGACGTCAAATTCCGGGCCGATCCTCACAACAAGCACGCCGAGCTCGACAAGTTCGACAAGTCGAGAAAGAAGGTGAGTTAGGCATTTTTGGCGATGCGGAATTTTTCAGGATATTGTCCTCTCCCCAATCGCATTCCTGCCCGTCATCAACAACCCGGCGCTCGTTTCGCAACCCTTGATTTTATCGCCGGTTTGTAAATTTAACGAAGTGAAGCTAGAAAAATCAAAACTACATACTTTGAAGCGTAATTTAAGGTAATCTTTTCCTACCTCCTCGGCTCGCCCGCCATTTTCGGCGCCATCGTTCTGTCGCCGTGGTTGTTCGTGGGTGTCGTGCTGTCGCCACGTATTTTGTCACCTGTATTTGCTATTTATTGTGCTTCAACACCCGCTCCTAGGTGATCCTGAACCCATTTGGCTTCGTCCCAATCATCTTGACCCCCCTCGCGTTGACGCCGGTCATTCTGTCGCCCGGCATTTTCAACCCGTTCGTGCTGTCGCCGCTGGTGCTCTGCCCGTTCATCGTGTCCCCACAGGTGCGTCTCTTTTTAAGATTAACTTATGGATAGGCTCGCTTTTTGCATTAATGGTGGGCCGGGAGAGTGAAGTCTAGCACTTTTTAAGAAACATAATTCGGCATTGAACGGAACGAATTCACCTATTCCAGGCCTTCACGCCTCTTATCCTCTCGCCCTTCGCGCTGACGCCGTTCATCCTAACGCCGAATCTCCTCTCTCCACTGATATTGTCCCCATTCGTCCTCTCACCGATCATTTTATCACCTGCCTACGTTTCCGGGGTTATCCTATCACCGTTTGCGCTCTCACCGGCGATAGGTTCGAACGGAGCTGTGGTGACGGTTTTCGGCTCCCCTAGCTTGTTGTCTTAACCTTTTTAAAATGAGTATTGGCATTCGGAAATTGCTATTTGATTATTTATTTTAAAGGGGACAGTCGCTTGCCAAAATTCTACAATCGGGTCATGCAACGAGCGCATAACATAAAGGTGTACGGAGTAGTTCTTCGTTTGCTAGAAACGCGCCGTTCCACTAAACGTTTCACATTTTTGCAATTCAAGAGCGATCACTGTCCGCCAAAACTAACAAAATAATAATAATCAACTAATTTATTCTGAATTTGCTTTATAAAAACTATTCCGAATTTGTATCTGACTAACAACTAATAATGGGTTAAGGGTAAAGATGGTAAAGAATACTAATGATCGCAATAACTAAACGCTTTTTAATACCCTTAGATACCCTCACACTAATAATTGTGCTTAACTTTATTTCAATTTTGGTATTTATCAGACTTTTCTGCACGCATGGCATTCCCTGGTTTTTCGTTTCATTTCCCTGTGAGCTTACTTCTCTGATGTGCAATAAATCATTGTTTATCGTTTTTTTTACTTTATTTTTCTTGATTTATCGTCAATGTTCTCCTAAATCTAAATCCCGGGCAACGAAAGATAGAGTCGCGGTTCGGGTTGGATAACTGATATTTGTGAAAAATGATCTCCCACAAAAGCAACAACACCGAGACGAGCCCTAAGACAAACATAATCCTGAACAAAGGCCAAATATAAAGGATGGACAGGACGTAGAAGTAGTTTTGACTCTCCGACCGTTGGTAAGCGCGGAGACTGGTGCGGTATCTGTACAGAAAGTTGCGGATTTTTAAAAATTGCCGACCTTCCCGCAAAATTGCTATAGCTGGACTGCATTGACCCAATAGCGTCGTTGAGACGTCGGCAAACATTACCGGCTTTTCTAAGATTTGTAACTGTTTTAGAAAATCTACAAAAACTACTTATTAACGGCAAATGCTAACATCTCGGTGGGTAGACCGACGTCACGAATGAAGAGAACGCTAGAAAAACGTGAAAAACTCAGTTATAAGACAATCTAAAATCTAAAACTAATGAAACCTAGAAAACCCTAAAACTTACCGCCTGCTCCGGTCATAATAAACGACATCTTCTCGCAAAATATCCGTCTGAATCCCCGAAAAGAAGATGGCTTTTGGGTTCGCGGCCAGAATCTTAATTGAACAACATAATTCGTTAAAAACACGTGCAAGAATGAAAATTCATTAATACCCACAAAAACTATAACTTACCTGGATCACATCGCTCGCGTTAAAGCTTTCTTTTGGCAGGAACCTAGGCTTCACTTTATTTTTTCACTTGCGAATTCAAACTTTGGCCGCAACTTATCAATCCTTCCGGTGCAGTCGTGAACGTCATTCCGGCAGAATACAGCCGGATCGTAGCTACTTCTTTAAAAAAAGAGGGTTTAAATTTTAAACATTTTAAACATTTTAAAACCCTCATCAAAATTATAAAACCTACTTATCGCCCAATATCGACCATCCGTGCAGTTCGACGGCATCGAGAACGCCGTTCAGATTGTTGAAGATATATCTGGAATCGTGGAATTCGAGTGAGCTCTTTTTCTATAGACTCTAAAATGTGCTCACCCCTTTTTGGCCGTCAACGTCATCGTGCTCTTCATCGAGCTCTCGTAGAAGATGATGAAAAAGAAGCAGAACCACGTCCACGACGCCACGATGATCGCCGTCTTTTGGTCGAATCTGTAGTTTGAAATCTTCTGTTTCATTAGACGCTTCGCAATTATCGTATTTTAATAACAATAGCGTATTGGTAAATTTGGCTAGAGTTCAAGTGGCGGGAATAATTAAAGAACTTGGCAAATGTTTTAAATTTTATACTAAAAATCGACCAATTTTGGTCGAAGAATTTACATTTTCGCTTTTTTTAAATCCAAAAAAGACGGTTCGGGATTTGTAGTAAAACAGGGTAGAAACATCTCCACTATTACGCTAGCTTACCTCTCCTTCAAACTCGGCTGCTTCAGCAGTACCATGATACAATGCATACACCAATCATAGAACCTGGGTTTTGTCTAACTCGTGAATTCCGTGTATTTCTGAAGCTAGACGTACCCTGTTTCCAGATAATAAGCACATTAACAACGCAGATAATGCAAAGGCTAATAAAATTATAGGGTACATGGTCAGCTCAATCGAGCGGACGATAAAATCTTCAATCTGGAATCAAATACTATAAAAACGAGAGTTTAGATTTAACCTGCACGTCATCCACTTCTTTAACCAAATAGCCATAAACTAGATAATTGATCGGAAGCGTGAAATCGACCTTTAAACCTTTTTTTATCTCTATTATTTGTCTGACCAGCGCCCAAAACCCGCTTCGCGGGCCTTGGGCGCTGGAATGCGGCTCTTGCATGAGAAATTGACTTTCCGATAGCTTGGGTCCTTCGCCGCCCCCCCCCCCCGAACCGACCACACACGCGAGCGCAACTTGCAAGAATGAGGAAATTTCTATTTTTCACATTATGCAAATTAGCCTTCAGGGACCCCCAAAAATGAATAATACCGGCTTTAACTTTGTAAACTTGTATTTTATCGTAATTCTAAGAACGCCATCGGAAACAGAAGGGTCGATTCCCCCAAGTGACGAAGAATTAGCGCATTTTATCCAGGGGAAGGCCCTTAAATCGGGCCTCGAAAGTGACATCCACACACACACACAGATATACACCCCAAAATTATATAAGGTAGGATACCTTCGACATGCGGTCCGTTCTCTGAATAATAGAATGGACGGTGAGGTCTGCCGTGCCGTTAGACACCCAATCCACGCTGTCGCGGGTCATCACATCCTGCTGTATCACCTAGAAGCTATATAATTACGGATTCAGCGTCAGAAACTTCAGCCCGTAGCCCAGCAATTTTCAACGCCGCGTTCAGCATCTCCACATCGGCGCCAGGTCGTCTGCACGTCATCGACCAGCAGTTATTGGTGAAGGTAACCATGTGTTCATTGTTCTAATTGGAGAGGTTTATATATAAATATGATAAAAATAAAGTTGTTCTACCTAAATTGAAGCGTTTTATATGTTTATCTAAGTTACCTAGCTAGTTTTTTCCCACTTGATACACATCTAAGTGTTAATAAAATGACTATTGAATCGCTTTCGCTTACATCTGGTTGGACTTGTAAGAAAAACTCTCCCCCGATAATGCGAAAGAACCTCAGAATCTTCTGCTTACTTTCAAGCCGACCGCCTTGAGTATGCGCATTGTCAGAGAGAAATATTGAACTCTAATGAGCACCAGGTGGGCGATGCGGGCCCTTCAATTATTAGTCCCCATTAGAAACCCGACCCCCCAGCCCGCATCTGAAGTGCCGGCTTTATGAACGGCAGAAGGTGGACAGGTACCCAAAGCAATAGCGTCGCACCTTAAGATTTAATGTTTGTTTGAAAAAATTATAAAACAATTATTTATATTTAAAGGCATAAATAACATTTATTCTATTCACCGGGAGATCAAATGCAATGCACCATAACAAGGGATGTCGATCACAAACTGATAACTGGCAAGCAAGGCTATAGGATATACAAAAGCAAGGCAGAGGGGTAGAAGATAATTATTCTTCGGTGAGCACGTGCCGCTCAGTGGGCACATCGCGAGAGCGGGCGCGCATGAAGCCCTCCAGCTCGCGCTCGAACTGTCCATAGTTTGAGTAGCCGCGTAGGCAGGCGCGGACCCAGCTGGAAACAAAAGTAAAATTTCTAAAAAGTAAAGGCACTAATTTCAAAATATAATCGTCACTTTCTTTAAAAAAACCAACCCGGAAATTTTATTAGGAGCCTGTGGCGAGAGCTGGGCGCTGAGTCTTTGATCCACGAGCACAATGGCGCCCCAATCTCGTTGATGGCGCAGACATCTAGAATCATACTTTACATGACTTATGAAAACCGCATGCCTTCCAATAGCCTGGTTGAGGGCACGGTAAGCCTGTACAGTATACCAGGCATCACCGGAGATGTTGGCCGTGTCGGACGGGGATTTCATGCGCCGTTCGTCGTTGAACTTCTTCTTTTCTAGCACCTAGGAGAGGATTGTAAAGCGGTCTACACCATACTTGTTCGTCCTTCGTATTCGGGAAGGGGATGCCAACGGAGATCACGCATCTTGCCAGTTCATCGGTGAAATCGATGCCTTCACTGACCTGAAATTAGGAAATTACGATTAGAAAATTAGCAAAATAAAAAATTACTCATTTCTTACCTTTCCCCTAAAAACCGCAAACATAATCGCGCCGGTGCAGTCGGGCCCAAGCGTTTCCGGTTTCTGGATAGCTGCACTATATTCGTCCATGGTACGCTTCAAGTCCGACGAGCGTCTCGGCTCTGAGAAGACGGCTTTGACGCTTTTGAGTCGCTTCATAATGCCGATGCGGTCCATCTCTCCGGTAAGTTGGGCCATCAGACGGTATGAGGGGAAGAAGCAGAGCACGCCGCCCGGGGTGCGCTCGGAAACGGAACTAAATTAAATTAATTAATATATTACTATAAATTAAATTATTTAAATTATAAACGGGGATTATAAGTACTTACAGGCAGACGCGGGCCAATTCACGGGAAAACGTGTTGTCCTGGCCGGAAGTGTGCTTGTAGGTGGCGATGAAGGGCAATCCGGCAGGGCCCTAAATTCAAATTAGAATTCCAGGATATGCCCTATATTACCGTATTGACGACAGAGGCAAAAATCTGCTCCGGGGGAATCACTTGCTCACCATCGAGTTTGTGGCTAAATTTGGCATTTACGTATAATAAAGAAGTACGAATCTCTACAGTCATTTTACTAATTAAGTACCAATATAATGTATAGTCTAAAATAAATGGAGCGAATAAACTAACTGGAATTTCATCCCCAACTCGGATTCGAAGGATTCGGTCGGCGTCAATGTGCCCGAAGCCAAGACCACCGATCGCACGCTGGAGAAAGCGCCTTGGAATGCCTAAAAAAATTTTCTAGAAGCAGAAAAAACTAGACCAAAGACGGGTTCATACACCAGAGGCCGATCGTCGTTTTCCAGCCATCAAGCACTTTCTGGCCGGAGCGCCTCGGAGCTTTTCCGGAAATCAAATCCAGCGGATTTGGCACCTAAAACGTCATTTTCACAGTATCATTCACCTTACCGTTGTTTGCCAGCCTTTTCTTCTAGCGACATCAGCTGAGGAAAACGTCTCGTTTTGGGTGGCAAAGCTGTTCGAGTCCTCCTCCTCCATCAGCACGTTCATTCTAAATCAAAAGGAGAATCGGTTCTTCTTCTGAATATCTACCTATACGACTCGCTGTTTCCTTGCGGCAAGAAAAAAGTTTGGAAGTGCAACATCTTTTCCATAAAGACGATCGCTTCGGACGAGGGCTAGAAAAAAAACAATTTTGTCGATGAATAGCCGTATATCTAACCTTGTACCGAGATATTAAAAAATCCGGATCCGCCTCTTCGTCGTCCAGCTTTGCACTGCAAACCTGCTGGTAAGAAGTCTAGAAACAAAGAAAATTCATTTCAAAAGCACTCGAAACCTTGAAGCCGTCCGCCGTCTTATCGCCCTCCGGCAGCAGCAACTTGTGACGCTCCAGGCTTACGTGGATCTCGGCAAAGTTCATCGTTTGCGTGAACTAAAAAGAATCAAAAATGAAAATGTGCGTTTCGAAATTTAACCTTTTGAACGTCGTTGAACGATGATTGCGTGGCTCTAAACGGCGTCTGACCCCAACTACCGCCTTCCTCGCATTTCTTTTTCACGGGCCTCGCGACTTCCTGGATCCAGCTGCTCATTTGCTTGATGTAGCGTTCCATCTAAAAATGGCATACGTAATACTCGCAAAAGCATACGTTTCGGAGATGAAGCTGGTACTCCTCCATTCGTCGCAACTGCTCCTGGGTGTGAGCGACAACTTGGGCTTCTTCGTCATAGGTTGCGGCAGCCGCCGTTGCTACCTTTCGTTTTGCTCCGAGATCTCTGCCAATCTCGTCGCCTATAAAATATAATACGTCGAATTTTGGTACTTTACATTTCTCAGCCATTGACGTTTGCGCATTCATCGCTTCGTCATCGTGAAAAAGGAAAGTGGCTGATTCTCTAAACCGAAAATCCCTTTTCAATCAATAAAATACCTGCAAAAATCTTCTACATTATGTGCTTCGTCTAAAATCACAACGCTGTTCTTGAGATGGACATCTGACGACTCGCGTATGATTGGATCTAAAAATAAATTGAATTGCCGTACGTATAATCCGTACCGATTAAGTAGGAGAATGGGCAGAAAATGATATCCGAATCCAGGGTGAGCACGCGAGTTGCTGCAAAATACGGGCAAGCAGAGATGGGTCGCTCACCAAGCGAGTCTTTCAGTGACTAAAAATAACAAATTAAACGCACTTTAGGAATCTCCGGACCTCTACATCCCAAACCGTCGGTTCGATGTACTCTCGCAGCCGCGTTGCCGTTTTTGGCGTACTTTGCGGGCATAGAGCTTTCAATTTCTCGCGAAATTGACATCCGAGCTGAATAAAACAAAATATGATTAAAAGCGAAAACTTACGCCACTGTCAGCGTTCAACAACTCCTTGCATTTTGCGGTCAAATCCGGCGCCGAGCGGACAGTCTGATTGACGCAGAGCTGTTCACGAGAACCGAGGATCGTATGCCTAAATAAGGCTGCTGAATCAAAACTCGAAAACCTCACTTCAATTTGTGGCCGTAAATCAGACGCGAAAACTCCTTGACGACCTGCGAAATCTGGCGATGCGTACGACTGGCATAGTAAACACGGATGCGTCTAAACAAAAATCCGATGCTTCCGTATAACACTAACGGCTCGCAGGTGCAATTCGGCTGCTTTGTTTCTTCATCAGCCTTCGGCTCTCCAGCCTCAAAGAGATCTGGGGACAGTTGCTTCGGCTAAATTTCCGTAGATCATAAAGAAAAAAACAAAAGTACCTGTGTGATGATCATATCCTCTTGATCGTCCTCATATCGCTTGTTCGCTAAAATCGTCAAATGAAAAGCATTGGTAGTAAAACCAAACCCTGCTCCAAAATGTCATGCCCGAAGCCGATACGGGAATCGTCCAATTTACTAAAGAAATTGTCAAGAAAAAAGTATTCGAAAACCCTACACGTCATCGATGATGATGCAGTCATCGAGTACATTCTCGTCAGAATGTTTCCGAAGAGGCGATAGGTCCAAATTCTAGACAAATAAGCTCTCATAAGAAGGTAAACGGATACCGCCTTGGGTGATGGTTCTTCCTGCTTTACTACTGCTTGCTGCGTGGCTTGAGCCGTTGCGGCAGCTGCTAAAAAATTATTAACGTGACAACGGCAATATTTCTACCTTCCTGTCCGTGTACCGGGCACTTCTCTATCGACTCAACGACCCGCATTTTGTGCCTCACCAGCCATTCACAAGTAGATGACAATAGCCCAAGGGTTTTCCCTAAAATCTTGTCAGCGAAAATGAAAATAATTGTACCGCTTCCAGTCGGGCTCTCAATCATAACATTTTGCTTGGCGTTCAACCCCATGAGGATCTTGACAATCATCTTCTTCTGGGTTTTGTATGGCTGTATTCCTTCCGGGAGGCTAACCTAAAAATTCCAACGTGAAGAAAGTCAGATAAAGCCACCTGATAGCCGAGAAATGGAAAACTCGAGCATGGCGGTTCGACATCAACAGCTATACGTTTCCTTGTTGCCTAGAATTGAAGCTTGGGGCAAGCCAGCTTATTACCAACCCTCTTTGCGCTTTGGAAAAAGTTCTGAAGCGTGTTGGCTGAGTTGCCGTCAAGCAAGCTTTCTTCCTTTGCAGCTCTTCTTTGCAATGCACCAGGTCCTGCTCCTCTTGAGCGGCGGCGGCTCATCCACTAAAAATTGATTAATATGGTTGTAATCAAAGAAAGACAAGTAATGGAAAGGCATTTTGCATAGATAAAAAGCGAGATATATGGACGTTTAGCTCATATATGCGAAAACGGGGGCTGTTGAACCCGGTGAATTTAGAGGCTTTGCACGGCGTCTTAGGCCTTACTTGGAGCGCGCACGAGGGGACGGGAGGGACAGGGCTAGGCCACGCCCCTTTTTGGCCCCCAAAATGTATTAGAAAAAGCTTTCTAAAGGTTATAACTTTTTTTCGAGAAAGAATTACAAATGTTCCATCTGGTGATCGATAGAGAAGACTCTAGGGAACATTTTGGTCAAAGAATTTGGGCGATCGCCGGGAAAAATAAGGACTTGAAACGTTTTGAAGCAAAAATCAAGAGTTTTTCTGGTTACGGCCTCGGGACCGTTCCATCTGCCCATTTTTCTACGTGGAATTCGCTAAAGATTTATTGACGGTGCTTTGCAGAAACGTTTTGCAAAAAAGCAAAATGTGTCGCGTCTTTAGGCGAGGGGAGGAATCGAACCAGCACCCCGCGCCTGCCGCCGCCTTAGACCACTAGGCCATGCCCGTCCCCACCCCCCGTGCGCGCTCTAAGACACCGTGTTTGAATTGCCGCCCAGAGCTTTTCGCAGAGGTACTGACGGTCTTTCGGGCGCGCAAAGGCAAACACGTCCGGATGCACGGAAGGGAAAATCCGTGCCATGACCGCGCGGCCCCTGCGACTGCCGTGCACGCGCCATGCTCCAGCCACGGACGCGCCGTGCGCGAGCACTTGCCGCGGACTGGCCACGCAGTTGCCATGCTCGCGCCGCGCATGGATTGCCCTCGGCTGGGGGAGAGGGGCGCCACTGACCCGCCGAGCGCTAGCCATGCTCGGCCCGTGCACGGCTAAGGCGCGGCAGACGTCGATAGTAAAATTTGTATCATGGCACAAAAAATTCGACGGCCATGTTTTCAAATAAAATTTTATTTAAAATATTATAAAAATATAATACAAGACTCGATCACCTCAATTAAACAAGCATTCAAATAGCTTCATTTTCTGACATACAACTGAAACTTGTTAGTAAATAACTTTCTTTCTTTCTTTTCACGAACTAGCCTTCTTTTGTGACACTTCTTTTTCTTTCTTCTTTCTTTAGTTCCAATTACAATTTGCTGGATGTTTCGTTTTTCATGACGTTTGGATCATAATGATGGCGATTCAATAATTTTTTTTGCAGGGGCGATGCCAAGGAAGCGGCGATGGCCATGGGGACAACCACAAGATGTTGCTGGAAAGGCTGGCGGAGATGAACCCACCGGTTTAACACGATTACTCTTTACAACTAGATATTTAGATACTAGGATCGTGGTTCAAAATGAAGCAGCTCAGGACGACGACTGGCAATTACCAGGCAAAGGTTTTCGGATTGGTTAACTCTGTTATTTAGATGAAACGTGGGAAGCGGATCAAGAAATGGCAAGTCAGCCGAACCATGAAGGAATCTTGCCGTCCAGAGGTTCCGCCTCGGAAGTTGGTAAGATTTTTCTAAAACATTTCCAAAGAATCTGGGTGTGAATCCGCCCTAACTTACTTTCGTTCAAAAAAATTTTTTAGGCGCTTCGGAAGAGACGGCAGGATTCTCGATTGGTGAGACGACACCGGCTCAGATTTCCACAGCGCAAGGGACCAGATCGTCCAGGAATTTCACCTGGGTTAAAGGTTGGGATTTTTCTCGATTTTGGAATTTTCCTAGGTGCTTCGAGCCAGAGGGTCGGGATACCCTCGCAGCTGAAGATGGATTCTCGAACTTACGACTCCACTTTGCTTTTCCTTTCCATAGCATTGGAACATAATTTGCCGACAACGGCGTTGGATGACATAACGATGCTAGGTACAATTACTTTTGCGGGTTAAACATATGCCTAGTGAATGCATCGTCGGCAGGAGCTCCACCTACCTCAAGCGCTCTACTCGATAGTCTGAAGATTGCTTTTCTAGCCAACTATAGGTATGTATATTTCCCATTGATAGACACTAGCTTCAGGCTTGAACCATATCTCATCTGCATGTGCGAAGGGCATTCTAAAAGAAGTTTGCCGGTTGATACCGACTGTGTTGATTGCCTTTTGCGAGGGTTAGTGCATTGCGGTCGGTTTAACTAAAAGCTTTAGGTTGTCAACAAGCCAGATGCGACAAGGAGCCACAAATTCGCCGGGACGTGGCTTGAAAATTGCCCTCCGGCCTCAACTTCAGTCCCTGTTGGATAAACATTTCCCCATACTCAGGTAACGCTTTATGATGGTGCTATTATGAGGTGTTTGGAACCGATGAAATAATTAGACTGATATTTGCAGGGAGCTACATGAAGCTCTACACGGCTTCTACACGGCACTAATATGGCTTAGTTGGTGCCGCGCGGTCTGCAGACGGTTTATGTGTCCGCTGCCGTGCCCGAAGATGAGGATGGGAATGGTGACCGTGTCTATTTGACGACCGCCGATGTCTCGAAATTGCGAGGTAGCTTCGTATGCACCGTTTAAACTTCTATTTCCTATTTCCTATTTTCAGCTATTTATCGACTGCCCGGCAGAATACTGGGATGCACTGGGCTTGCAGCTCCGCACCTACCTGATCGCCAGCCTGTAAGAAGTTGCCATTTTTCAAATCCTTGTCCTCTTTAGGAGCAACACGCGTCGGGGCGACCGGAAATACGCTTATATGGATACTCCCGAATTCGATGTGGAACACGAGCGAATTCGCTGCTGGTATCAGCGCCAAGTCCCGGCAACCAAACCCGTTAATCTGTAATCCCGTTGCTTAGCCGGGGTTAGGTTTAGGTACTTGGAGCAAACGAGGTACTTTTTACAAAAAAAAATATGAAAATCTCTCTAGTAAAATTAACCTAAAGTTTAAGCGATCAAAAGGTACGTTGCTTTGACAAAGGTTCGTAGAAATAGTGTAAAAAAAATTTGCCACTGACCCTGGCCACCTACCCCTACGTTTACAAGTGTTGTGCTATGTAATAATACTTGTTCTGCCTGTTGTGATACATTCTATTTCGTTTTGCATGGGATTGATACATTCTATTTCGTTTTGCTTGGGATTTCTTCTCTATCTTCTGACATTGATGAACTCTATACTTGCGGATTACTTGTCGAATAAATATTTTGCATCTTATCATTGTAGACTACAAATGAAAAAGCGTGCACAATACAGAATTAAAAGCAAAAGAAGCAATATTAATAACAAAATCCATGGAACAGCCGAGCAAGGGCCACGCACGTGCCGTGCACGGGCCGCGATCTTGCCACGCACGGGCCGCGATCCTGCCATGCATGGCGCGCGCCCCGCGAGCGGGGGCCGTGCGCCCGCCATGCATGGCGCGCGCCCCGCGAGCGGGGGCCATGCGCCCGCCACGCTCGGCGCCTGCGCCATCCCCGTGTGCGCCGGTACCGGGCGCACACGGGGATGGCGCAGGGGCCGAGCGTGGCGGGTGCACGGCCCCCGCATGGCTGTGGCACGGATTTTCCCTTCCGTGTGAGAACCGTAAAACAGACAAATTGCCAATTGTAAAATAACCAAATTGTATTTTACACCTGCGGGAAGTTAACAAATGTCGCACGGTTCGTGCTGTCACGGAAGGGAAAATCCGTGCCACAGCCATGCGGGGCGCGCGCCATGCATGGCGGGCGCACGGCCCCCGCTCGCGGGGCGCGCGCCATGCATGGCAGGATCGCGGCCCGTGCGTGGCAAGATCGCGGCCCGTGCACGACACGTGCGTGGCCCTTGCTCGGCTGTTCCATGGATTTTGTTATTAATATTGCTTCTTTTGCTTTTAATTCTGTATTGTGCACGCTTTTTCATTTGTAGTCTACAATGATAAGATGCAAAATATTTATTCGACAAGTAATCCGCAAGTATAGAGTTCATCAATGTCAGAAGATAGAGAAGAAATCCCAAGCAAAACGAAATAGAATGTATCAATCCCATGCAAAACGAAATAGAATGTATCACAACAGGCAGAACAAGTATTATTACATAGCACAACACTTGTAAACGTAGGGGTAGGTGGCCAGGGTCAGTGGCAAATTTTTTTTACACTATTTCTACGAACCTTTGTCAAAGCAACGTACCTTTTGATCGCTTAAACTTTAGGTTAATTTTACTAGAGAGATTTTCATATTTTTTTTTTGTAAAAAGTACCTCGTTTGCTCCAAGTACCTAAACCTAACCCCGGCTAAGCAACGGGATTACAGATTAACGGGTTTGGTTGCCGGGACTTGGCGCTGATACCAGCAGCGAATTCGCTCGTGTTCCACATCGAATTCGGGAGTATCCATATAAGCGTATTTCCGGTCGCCCCGACGCGTGTTGCTCCTAAAGAGGACAAGGATTTGAAAAATGGCAACTTCTTACAGGCTGGCGATCAGGTAGGTGCGGAGCTGCAAGCCCAGTGCATCCCAGTATTCTGCCGGGCAGTCGATAAATAGCATGGCAAATGCTAGGAACAAGTTTAAACGGTGCATACGAAGCTACCTCGCAATTTCGAGACATCGGCGGTCGTCAAATAGACACGGTCACCATTCCCATCCTCATCTTCGGGCACGGCAGCGGACACATAAACCGTCTGCAGACCGCGCGGCACCAACTAAGCCATATTAGTGCCGTGTAGAAGCCGTGTAGAGCTTCATGTAGCTCCCTGCAAATATCAGTCTAATTATTTCATCGGTTCCAAACACCTCATAATAGCACCATCATAAAGCGTTACCTGAGTATGGGGAAATGTTTATCCAACAGGGACTGAAGTTGAGGCCGGAGGGCAATTTTCAAGCCACGTCCCGGCGAATTTGTGGCTCCTTGTCGCATCTGGCTTGTTGACAACCTAAAGCTTTTAGTTAAACCGACCGCAATGCACTAACCCTCGCAAAAGGCAATCAACACAGTCGGTATCAACCGGCAAACTTCTTTTAGAATGCCCTTCGCACATGCAGATGAGATATGGTTCAAGCCTGAAGCTAGTGTCTATCAATGGGAAATATACATACCTATAGTTGGCTAGAAAAGCAATCTTCAGACTATCGAGTAGAGCGCTTGAGGTAGGTGGAGCTCCTGCCGACGATGCATTCACTAGGCATATGTTTAACCCGCAAAAGTAATTGTACCTAGCATCGTTATGTCATCCAACGCCGTTGTCGGCAAATTATGTTCCAATGCTATGGAAAGGAAAAGCAAAGTGGAGTCGTAAGTTCGAGAATCCATCTTCAGCTGCGAGGGTATCCCGACCCTCTGGCTCGAAGCACCTAGGAAAATTCCAAAATCGAGAAAAATCCCAACCTTTAACCCAGGTGAAATTCCTGGACGATCTGGTCCCTTGCGCTGTGGAAATCTGAGCCGGTGTCGTCTCACCAATCGAGAATCCTGCCGTCTCTTCCGAAGCGCCTAAAAAAATTTTTTTGAACGAAAGTAAGTTAGGGCGGATTCACACCCAGATTCTTTGGAAATGTTTTAGAAAAATCTTACCAACTTCCGAGGCGGAACCTCTGGACGGCAAGATTCCTTCATGGTTCGGCTGACTTGCCATTTCTTGATCCGCTTCCCACGTTTCATCTAAATAACAGAGTTAACCAATCCGAAAACCTTTGCCTGGTAATTGCCAGTCGTCGTCCTGAGCTGCTTCATTTTGAACCACGATCCTAGTATCTAAATATCTAGTTGTAAAAGAGTAATCGTGTTAAACCGGTGGGTTCATCTCCGCCAGCCTTTCCAGCAACATCTTGTGGTTGTCCCCATGGCCATCGCCGCTTCCTTGGCATCGCCCCTGCAAAAAAAATTATTGAATCGCCATCATTATGATCCAAACGTCATGAAAAACGAAACATCCAGCAAATTGTAATTGGAACTAAAGAAAGAAGAAAGAAAAAGAAGTGTCACAAAAGAAGGCTAGTTCGTGAAAAGAAAGAAAGAAAGTTATTTACTAACAAGTTTCAGTTGTATGTCAGAAAATGAAGCTATTTGAATGCTTGTTTAATTGAGGTGATCGAGTCTTGTATTATATTTTTATAATATTTTAAATAAAATTTTATTTGAAAACATGGCCGTCGAATTTTTTGTGCCATGATACAAATTTTACTATCGACGTCTGCCGCGCCTTAGCCGTGCACGGGCCGAGCATGGCTAGCGCTCGGCGCGCGCTCGGCGGGTCAGTGGCGCCCCTCTCCCCCAGCCGAGGGCAATCCATGCGCGGCGCGAGCATGGCAACTGCGTGGCCAGTCCGCGGCAAGTGCTCGCGCACGGCGCGTCCGTGGCTGGAGCATGGCGCGTGCACGGCAGTCGCAGGGGCCGCGCGGTCATGGCACGGATTTTCCCTTCCGTGCATCCGGACGTGTTTGCCTTTGCGCGCCCGAAAGACCGTCAGTACCTCTGCGAAAAGCTCTGGGCGGCAATTCAAACACGGTGTCTTAGAGCGCGCACGGGGGGTGGGGACGGGCATGGCCTAGTGGTCTAAGGCGGCGGCAGGCGCGGGGTGCTGGTTCGATTCCTCCCCTCGCCTAAAGACGCGACACATTTTGCTTTTTTGCAAAACGTTTCTGCAAAGCACCGTCAATAAATCTTTAGCGAATTCCACGTAGAAAAATGGGCAGATGGAACGGTCCCGAGGCCGTAACCAGAAAAACTCTTGATTTTTGCTTCAAAACGTTCAAAATTTTTTGTGCCATGATACAAATTTTACTATCGACGTCTGCCGTGCCTTAGCCGTGCACGGGCCGAGCATGGCTGGCGCACGGCGCGCGCTCGGCGGGTCAGTGGCGCCCCTCTCCCCCAGCCGAGGGCAATCCATGCGCGGCGCGAGCATGGCAACTGCGTGGCCAGTCCGCGGCAAGTGCTCGCGCACGGCGCGTCCGTGGCTGGAGCATGGCGCGTGCACGGCAGTCGCAGGGGCCGCGCGGTCATGGCACGGATTTTCCCTTCCGTGGTATAGTTAGCTTGCAGCACAATTTACAGTAAAAATGAGTTGTATGAATCGTGTTTCTTTACGTTTCTCGGTAAACAATCGAATATGCTTTATTGACAATAGTAAGTAGACGTGCAGGGCCTCGTTTGACATGTGTAGTACCGCCCTGCTGTGCAGCTTACTGAGCTGATCGCCCAGTTGAATCCTAGGTATGGTTGGTTTAGCTCGAATTTCTCCGCAGCTTACCGTTAGTTTGCTGGACCTGCGCGCATGTATTGACGCCGTCATCTTGGATTACTCCGGACTGTAAAGAAGGTCTTTGGGATAATTTGCTATGTGAACCCCTAGAACAAACGGAATATACAAAAAATCCAAATAATAATGATTTTGGTTATAAACGCACGATAGAGCTCACATAAAGGCTTCCGTCATCCCATCGCCATTGTCCGGCCTGTTTCGTCAGCCCAATGTAGAAGCCGGGCTTTGTCAGGTTTTGCGCGGCGACTATACCGATTCTTCGGAAAGCGGAATTGGCCTACCAGACAAGACGGAAGACTGTTGCAGCAAAGTTTTTGGCATGGTAGGCACCCCACGTGCCGCCGATAGGATGGCGCAAGTGCTCTTCACAAGTGGTTGAATGGCGATAAGGGTGGAATCCTGAGCATTATTTGCCGGGGTTTTTTTGCAGCTTACCCAATAACATCCTTGGGAAGGCCAATCCTGGTTTTGATCGTGCACTTGGTAATATGGGTCATTCGTCTCTTCTCCGGGGCAGAAACAGTTGGCTAGATATCGATTCGTCTTTGAAGTACCACTGAGAACTTACCATTGCAGAGTAGCGTCTTCATTTGATCAAAATTCGGATTTCTGCCAGGGGTTGCGTCGATGTAGAAGCCAGGTGAGGCAATATCCTTCAAGATTTGTGTGCCCAGTCCATGGGGATCGCCATAGGCTAACATTCTGTATACAATCAAACCCTTTGATGCCACTTACCGATGACGATGATGATTCCATGGTTTTTCTTGAAGGTCAGTGTCTCGTTGTAGGGGAACGGGTAGTCGCGGCTGCTTCTAAAAGATGACAGTAATCTTTTCGAGTCTATCGAGTCTACCTATAGGTGCTGGCGCCCAGAATTATCACTTTTCTCGACTTTGTACGGTGTTGTGCGGAATTCAGCTGGTCGGCCGCTATGTTGACAGCCCTATAGAGCGTGTAAAAAATTACATAGTGCTTACCCGAGAATATTGGTGTCGTCCGCTCCGTCATAGGTCCAGTTCGTTACAAACATATCAGTTATGCTGTTATAGTCAGTCAGGTTGGCTAGTGTGACCGCGTTTTTCGCGTAGCTGACGACACCGACGCGTGTCTGATATTGTTGTGCTTGACCGACGCTGGTCTGAGCGAGGGCGGAAAGGACGAAGGCTCTGAGCTGAAATTTTGGCGTGAATTCCTTAAAATCCTACCTTATATAATTTTGGAGTGTATCTCTGTGTGTGTGTGTGTGGATGTCACTTTCGAGGCCCGATTTGAGGGCCTTCCCGTGTCCAAAATGCCCTAATTCTCCGTCACCCGGGGGAATCGACCCTCCTCTTTCCGATGGCGCTTTCAGAATCCCGATAAAATACAAGTTTACAAGATTAAAGCCGGTTTTATTGATTTTTGGGGGTCCAGGAGGGCTAATTTGCATAATGTGAAAAAATACAAATTTCCTCATTCTTGCCAGTTGCACTCGCGAGTTTGGTCGTGTCCTTGGATCTGCCTCTCGATGCCTTTCCTTCCCCTGCCCCGGGCAGCCCTCTTGAGGCATAAAACGGGTGTTTAGCGCGTGCTGCCAAGCATTGCATGGTGTAGTGGTTAGCGCTGCGCCGTGCTAATCTAACCATCGGAGGTTCGATCCTCGGATGTAGTAGTGGCTTTGCTTTTTGCTCGGAAAGTGTGTTTCGGAGTAGATTTCCGTGTAGGGACGTTATTATGAAGTTAATCACTCAAACCTGCGCCGCAGCCTATTGAATGAAGCTACCCTCTCAAGCTTGCGCCGCAGACCATGGAATCAAGCTAACTGCTCAAGCTAGCGCCGCAGACTTTGGAAGGACGCCAGCCGCTGAAGCTAGCGCGGCAGGCTTTAGAACGAAGCTAGCCGTTCAAGCTAGCGCCGCAGGCTTTAGAACGAAGCTAGCCGCTCAAGCTAGCGCCGCACGCTTTAGAACGAAGCTAGCCGTTCAAGCTTGCGCCGCAGGCTTTAGAACGAAGCTAGCCGTTCAAGCTAGCGCCGCAGGCTTTAGAATGAAGCTAGCCGTTCAAGCTAGCGCGGCAGGCTTTAGAACGAAGCTAGCCGTTCAAGCTAGCGCCGCAGGCTTTAGAACGAAGCTAGCCGCTCAAGCTAGCGCCGCAGGCTAACGAATAAAGCCAAGCATTGAAGCTAGCGTCGCAGGCTTAAGAAGGAGGTAGCCGCTCAAACTTGCGCCGCAGGCTTTATCTCGAAGCAAACTGATCAAGCTGGCGCCGCTGGATGAGGAACTGGGCGATCAAGCATGCGCTGCAGGCCTAATAACGACACTAGCAATTTAAGTTTGCGCCGCATACCAATACAAAAAGAGGTTTGCATGGGAGATGCGTTTTTCTTTCTTCAGGGTAACTTTATATGGAAGGCCGCTGATTCATAGGACCTAGACGGGGTCCAGCGGGGGAGAGTCGCGAAGCGGCTCCTCCCCCGCTGGTTATCAATAGTTTGGCAACAACATCCAACTGCGTCACCATTTTTGAGATTTGGCATTTTTCTGTGTACTACTTCCCATACCTCGCCAAAACGGTCGTTTCCCATGGCAGATGAGCTGTCAGCAATTACCACAACATCGTTCCATGATTTGGTGATGTCACAGTCGCATAGCGTGACGTTGTCATCGTTCACTGGGCTACCAGTTGGAGGGGCCGTTGTATCGGTGTTGTACCATGTTGGAACGTCGGTAACCTCCCAACATCCGTCTTGTCCTAGACTTTTGTTGTATACCATAAGCGTGACCAACCAATTATCTGGCCGCAGATTCCTGCTTCGATCCTCTTGACCAGATTATAATCCAACGTTTGAGCATTGCATAGCACAGTCACGTTCGGGCCATTACTGCTAATCCAGGAACTAAAATAAAACAATTACGTTAACCCGAGTTTTCTTGCCTGAAATCGCCGACACCAAGATTGACCACGACCGTTGGCACCTTGCTGGGCAGCCAAGATGAAGCCTGGATGTCTGCCGGATTTCTATTACGTATTTAGTTTTTAGCGGTTAGTTACTCATTACCGTGCAGCCGTGAATAAGAGGATCCGATCGTACGGTTTGGTTTCTCCCCTCAAAGCGCATGTTGTAACGTCCGTCGCGATTCTGTAAAGGATGGGGTCAAGTCACAATATAAGCTTACTCACGTTTGAAGTTGGACTTCACCGAGGATTCCGCGGTCGACCGACCCCTTCCATTGGACGATCGCTTGGCAAATTCTGTCAGGAACGCTCTCCCCATAAGTGATATAACCTTTGCATGCTATGGCCGATACGTTTATGATCCCTGAAAAATAGACGATTTTCTAATTTATTTTACCGTAGGTGGCAAATGAAAACTGCGTCTTTCGCGAGTTGTAGCCCCAATTTGCTAGTAGCATATCGCTCGTAAAGTTCATATACTAAATCGAAAAATGGTAAATGCGTTTTGAACTGACGTCAAGGACGGTCTGCACGCTCTGGATCTCTTCGGATGCGTCCATAACGATGAGCGTGTGATCCGAGCATTCAGCTTGAGCCCCTGACAAAGCACCACAACTTGCTGCTAAAGTATGATCATCCTCATGGTAGGGCTTCGGCCGGTTTGCGTCCCTATGATGAAAAAAACTAACCCGAAGAAGATGCTACAAGGGCCGCGACAAGGATTATGGACCTCGTGATCATCTCGAAAGTCCCAAAGCAACCTAGCAAGTAAACAATTGGAAAACCTCTAAAAACTAAAGAGAATGAGAGAAACGAAAAAATACTTGAACAAAAATACTCCCGAAACTTCTGGACGGAGATAACTGTCGAGTCTGACGTTATATTTGCCTCTTTACTGACGCCAGTGCACAAAGATATCCGGAGAAAAACGTGGCTTCACTTGTGCTTATCGGGGCCCCTAATGGTTCACATAATGCATCGCAATGCTTGGCGCCGCGCAGCACACCCTATTTTGCAGGCGATAAGCGGGGTTCGAGGCCCGGCTTAACCGGCTATCAGCCCCCTCTGATGAAAGCAACAGGAGTTTTTCCGGGGTCGAATTAATCGAATCCGTTAATTGTGAATGGGGGTTCGTTGGGTGCTCGTTGTGCAGTTCAGTGTGCGGATTGGGTAATTCTGATAATGTCTAGAATGTGACTTGATAAAACTGTCAAAACGTTTATTTGTCTAATGTCTAGAGTTCACGGACGGCTCATTCGGCGAGCGCCTAAATTTCGCGTATTAGAGAGAGAATGTAGAATACCTCTTTGATAAACTGGGGCAGCGCGAAGGCAGCTCGGTGAACTTCCGAGTTGTAGTATCGAAGCTTCATTTCCTTCACTTGATCCTAAAAAAGCGAAAAAATCTTAAAAATTGTAGAATCGAACCAACCTCAGTCAGGATCCGGGTTGGCGTGCTGAGGTCACGTTTCTGAAATATCAAATTTTGTGTGTAGGATGAAATACACGACAGGCTTGACGCTAGGTCTACAATTAGATGACAGGTCTCAACGTTAACTGTTAACACTACAACACCTCTTTTCCGCAAATCAAGTAGCCCATCGAGCCCGACGGATAGGTGGAGACAGGGCTGCTCGCGTACTGCACGGCGGCGAAGAGACGGCGGTTGAAGCTGACCAGGTGCTTCACGAGGTGCGCATGCAGCCAGAAGCTCTCACCTACACAACCGCTATACAACGTGCAGTGGTAGGTTAATTTTGAGAGGCAGGGAGAGGTTAGTCCAGCATAACCAGTAGTGCTTTGAAAAAGTCTATAAAAAGTTAGTGATAGCTTTTTTAGTGTGCCGGGTATCTCATGCAAGGACGACAAGGCTAGCTTTCACCTCTTCCCGACCGCAAACAATATAACCCATCAGACCACTCGTGTAGGTCGGAACGGACGCTATTGCATATTTAGCCGCTGGGAAGAGCCGTCGGCAAAACGTGTACACCTTCCCCACCAAGGGGAGGTCTATCCAGGGACATTCCCCTAGCAGCCAATGACTCGTTCAACTTTTCGACAAACCTTGGGACGACAAAATACCGGTGTCGTTGAGCGCGTCTCGCAGAAGTTCGTAGTAAGACTCGCCGAACAGCGACTCGGCTGGCCCAACCGGATCCGAGGAGTCGGTGATGATCACGTCGAATTGGTTCTGAACGACTAAAACCTAAAAATTTAACAAAATACCTTGTGGTTCTTCAAAAACTCGAATCCATCCCCGACAAACAAATTCAGCTTGGGGTCGGAGAACGAGGTCGACATCCCCGGGAGGAATCTAAGGGAAATATTTACCGCAAGATATTCCGGAGACTTACTTTTTAGAAACGTCGATGACCATCTGGTCGATTTCGCACATGGTGACCTGCTCGACGCCACTGTGCTTCAGGACTTCGCGGAGGATGCCCCCGTCACCGCCGCCAATGATCAATACCTACAGGATCAATGAAATAACCTAAAATCCGAAAACTCACTTTTTTCGGATTCGGATGTGCAAACATCGGAAGGTGGGCCAACATCTCTTGGTAAGAGAATTCGTCCCTTTCCGTACATTGAATGATACCGTCGAGCACGAGTACGTTACCGTACGTCTCGCTAAACGAGAATATTGTCTCGGTTTCCCAATTACCTCTTGAAGACGAGCACATCCTGGTATTTGCTTTTTTCGTGGTACAGCACCTCGCGAATCTGGAGCGAAAATGCTTGACCGGGCCACGCGCCACCCATATTTTCGCCGTCGGAACGTAATTCTTTGCTCGAGGCATTGCCTAATAAATAGTTTTCAAATCCTGTTAAAAAAAACCATTTCGTTTTCTCCGCAAATAGCCTTATTACCTACCAGTATCGTTCATTTTCTCCAGGTCATCGGGCGAAAATTCGGTGAACCATCCTTTGTGCAATCGGTCGACCATGCTGCAAATTTGCCGGTTTTTTTAGGAATTAGGGTTGGATCAATTTATTTGGGGGAACGACAATGTATGTTGCTAAAGGGCATGTCTTCTCGGCCCCAGACACTCGTTGACATGATTAGATAAGGCATCGGTCAGCTCATTTTCCTGGAAATCGTTATAAACGTATTGGCATTTTTAAAAGGGAAGTTCACTAGGAAATGCCCAATCTGGCTAAAAATGGTGATATATCATCAAAAAAGCAAAATCACAGGACTTCTCCACTTGAAGTTTGCATAGGCTGTTTTATTTTACATTTTTGTATATTTGTAAAACAGGGGAATCTTCGGCGACCTAAATTCTATCTTTGTGTCAATTTTGAGCCCAATCTGACTGCAGGCCTATTCGAAGCACGCACTAAATGATTTTTTCACCGCTTTCTCCGCCTCTTTTGCGAGGTGCGGAGCCAAGAAAAATCGATTTTGAGTCTGGTCGCATGCCCACTGGCTCATGAAAAACAAATACGTTTTTTAGCGGAATCACTGACAATTTACAAAGTTTTTAGAGCAGAATAAACCATTTTAGCAACTTTTTTTAATAAAATTCTTTTGCGGAAAACTTTTTACTTTGCAGTTACGCAAGGAAATTCCGAGCGCTCCTAAATTGCACAACAGCCGGCAAGGTTGCGATCGGATTGGCTGTCTCGCCGGGCGTCGGATCATAAGCCCAAGCCTACCCCCTTCATCAGCCCACTCAAAAGTTCCGCTGGCATCTTCTCACGTGCCTATTGGTCAATCATGAAAGACTATCGATTTCCCACCGGCCGATTCCCCCTTCTTCTCGACAGCTTGCATCCCCCTTTGCAAACTTTGCTCGTTTTCGCAGATTTTCCTTTCTCTCCACCATTTTCATTTAGACCAAGTTTTCAGAAAACTTTTCACTACCTACCAAGCTACAACCCTCTGCAATCATGGGTGTCTGGCGTCGCATAGACGAGGTGAAACCGATCCGAATCGAGGATCAGGATGAAGTCAACTACGGAGAGTACGTTTTCCTTGATGTAAAACCTTGATTTTCCTTTTAGCTATGACTTCAGCGAGTCGGACAACGAGGCCAATGACGCCGACAAAACGGTGAGAATTTCATAATTTATCCCTTTGGTTATTTGGTATTTATAAGGGAAGCCCGGGGTTTTTCTTAGTTTGAGTTTTTTAATCAATTACATCTAGTATTATTAAAAACAAGATAGACATACTCCGTTTATATAGATTAGAAAAATTAGGACCGGGGAAAAGGTGTATTCAATGAATTTATGACAGTCAAACTACGATTTTGAGCTCAGCTTTTTTCAATCCCAATAATGTTATCATCTTAGCTTCGTCGTTTCCATCAGTGGCTAACTAGGCAGCGATCAATTTGCAAGAGTTGGGAGCCTAGTGCGAGTAGTTGGGCCCTTTCACCCTCTACCGGGCCAAGGGACAATGTGCTCATCCACAATCTAGGCGACGGCCGTGCCCGTCTCGCGCACCCGCAGACGCAAGGAGGAACGCTCGGAGCGCAAGCTGCGCAAGTTCTTCTTGTCGCTGGACGACGGTGGCGTGCAGGTGAAGAAGAACATGGGCGCCCGCAAGCAGCGCCGCGTTGAGAACGGTCAGTCATTTTGTATTTTCCGTACTCATGGTAATAAAATTGGCGCATGGTGCTGACTACAAATTTTTGCTTACTTACCGGTGATAATGTTGTTGTAATAACCCTTGTTTAGCCCGCCTGCTGCTCTCTTTCGTTGATAAGGAAGACATTTGTACGGATTTTTCCGACATCGTCCCCAAATCCGTCTCGTCGTTCGCTCAACTTTTCCACGAGCGCGAAAATATGAAGGTAATTGTCTTAAAACAGCTTTATTTTTTCTAAGATCTGGAACGAGTTCATTTTGCTCGATGAGGAGGACCAGCGTCGCATTTTGGACAACGCTGACCGTCGTAAGAAGCACGGTAAGCAGAAGTATCAAGTCTATCTGTATATCTTTAGATGGGGACATGAACCTGAAGGGCGACGGTTGGTGCGTTGTGGGCGGTCGTAGCGCCGAATCGACGCCCCGGCGTAACGACAAGAAGTCGACTTCTCTGCCAGAAGAGAGTGATGAGGATCATCGCAAGCGTAAGTGGTGCAATCATTTTTTATATGTTTTTAGATCATCCTGCCTACTCGGCGAAGGCCTGCTTCGAGCGCATGGAGCCGAAATTCAAGCAATTTTTCCAGCACCGCGAGTTGCCCTGGGTAAGAAATTTTCAGAATGTCGGCTAGTTTGCGTTTTCTCGCCTTTAGGGCGTACTTTTTGAAAATTTGAAAATTTTGGCTCTGTACATATTTGAGCAAAAAATCGTTTAGCTCCGTTAAAACTGGAATTGAAATTATTTGAAACCCCATTGAAATTCTAGGCCCTCGTCGACAAAACCGAGCGCCAGCTCCGCGATGCTTTCGGTCTCGACTCTTCGGCCATCTGGATCGCTAATTACGAGAGTGGCTTCGACCGCATGATAGTTCACGGTGTAGCCCAGTTCCTGATGCTGACCAGCAAAAGTAATTTATATTCTGAATCCGTAATAATTTCATCGTCCAGGTTCCACCGATACCGCTTCGCATCAACGCATCACCGAGGTGAAGAACTCGCGCTCGTTTTTCGTCCCGCCTCGCAAATACCTGATAGTTTACTTGGAGAAGCTGAGGTTTAACTTTTCAGTTTACGTTTTAACTTGGTTCAGGAAGCATAAAATCGTGTTTGACCCCGAAGAGGACGAACCTCTCGACAGCAACTCGGACCACCTCGGGCACCCCGGCGATTCGCCCGTCGAAGAAACTTCGCTAAAAGCTGATCAGGCCTCCACCCCCGGCCTCTATCAAATCCCCCTGATATTAACACGGGCACTGCCGGTCTAATGTCTCGGTAATATGTGTTGGGAATAAAAAGGTTGAAACTTGACTTACACAGGATATAATGATTTATTTTCAAGGCTATATGGACACTGGCAGAGCTGTGAGAGAAAATTTGTTTTTTCAGGGCCATTTTTTGGGGGGTGGAATTGGATTCTTCCCCCGTTCGTTCCAGGGTCCAAAGAGATCACAATGTGTCAATTTCCGCTTCCGAGCGACGGCTCGGTACGATAAGGGTTTTGTGGTACTAGGATGGTTGGGGGGCACTTTTTTTTGTCGGTTTCAGAGCAGTTTTTTGTGCTGAGTTCGAATTTCACAAAATCAGGTTCGAATAACGCCGTTTTCCACCGTAAAATGCCTTAACCTGTTTAACAAGGGTTTATCGCAACAACAAGGATATAACAAGATAATAGACTAGTAACAAGTGTGGTCGCGCTAGCTTATCATTCGCAAGGGTAGAGATCGTGGACTTGTTCCCAGAAATGGTAGAATGGGTCGTTGGAAAATTGCTGGCGCCATAGAAATTCTTTCAGATAGTCGCTGTAGCGGTCGTTTGAGCGCGTGCTAATTCCACGTTCGACTTTGATCATCATCATTTTGAACCTATTCCACATTGACTCAATATTTTGGGTATGGCTTCCATTTTGTGGGTTAACGAAATTGAGACGATGGTTGACAGTCAAATGTTGGAAACCCTGCGGCATTAGGGTGATTCCATTGTAAGCGCGCCAGCAGTCGGAATGGATGATCGAGCCGGGTCGCACATATTTCTGGATGATCGGTAGCAGTGTTGCGGCGTCCCTGTGTCGAACTAATTCGATGAATCCTATTTGGGAGCCGCGTTCTACTCCGCCAAACATCCACATTCTCCGCTGACTCGGAATCCGGCCGACATTGTACTTTCTTTTGGAGATGGCTGTTTCATTAATCTCGATATGAACACCAGGCCCTCCGATCATTCTAGGGTTTTTGCGAAAATGAGAATCGAAAACATCTCGCGCCCATTGTCCCCATTGTTTGCAGCTATCTAGACTGGTCCCACACTGAAACGCGGCCTCCTTCTGGGTCAGCTGCATGCGAAGATACAAATATGTAAAAAGCATCGTCTGTCGGGGGCTCAAATGAGTTTTTTCGAAAAAGGTACCCTTGTAGAATCCGAGCTTGTGCTTTTTGCCTGGTTGACGGCATCGACGCTTATTACACTCCCATTGCTTGGTACCGTCGGCATGACCAGCGGTATAACGTTTCATGTCGTCGGCCTTGCAAGTCGGGCATGTTCGTTTTTTGTGGAGGAGACCCATGTCTTGCATCCAGAGCTCCACGTCATCATCTGTTTGGTGCAGTTTGGCGCTCAACTCCATGAATGTCATCTCTTGGAGCGCGGATAGTGCGTTCGCCATTGTTGTAATAGCGAAGATGATAAATTTTGTGCAACCCTGGCCCTTTTATACCGCTACAGGTTGCATTTTAGGAAAGTGGATATCGCGACTGCTACCGCCGTTTTACGGTGTAAAACGGCGTTATTCGAACCTGATTTTGTGAAATTCGAACTCAGCACAAAAAACTGCTCTGAAACCGACAAAAAAAAGTGGCCCCCCCAACCATCCTTGTACCGGGTTTTTCCCCGCCCGGCCAACTGTTGTTATCCATCGACCGCCGGCAGATCCGCTCTTTTTCCCGCTTGTCGATCGACGTCACGATCGCTGCTGGTTTTGTTATGGGATAGGCGAAATTGGTCATGTGCGTGTGCTTGCTTGGGGCTTCCATTCCGGGGGCACGCCGTGGCATCACGGCCTTATCAAGACGCGCCTCCGGACGTTGTACTTCGGCATGGGGTGGCGGCTGGAAGTTGCCCTGTAGCAATGCGTCTCGGGACTTTGAACGTTACAAATTGGTGACTGTTAGAGAAGTGGGTGAATAGGACATAACAACGGGTGACTCAACCACGATAATTTGTTTCATAGCTTGTATTTCGATACTTCCGGTTTTTTTTTAGATCTAAAGAGTGCCCAAAAACACCCCTATATCTCGATGGTCGGATCGGAATGGTAGTTACACCTTTCGAAAGCGCTTGAGACGGGGAATTTCAAGCCGTATGCGTAACTCTGGTTTTATTTCTGCGCAAAATTTTAGAAGTTTTTTAAAGGGGCTCCGAACTGCCAAATCAAAGCCCTTTTGGGAGGCCTCTTTGATTTCTGGCAAATTGCCAGCGGGCGCCGCGGGACGAGAGCCCTCACTCTTTCGATTTTTGCGCGAAGTTATTTTTGCCCGGTTTCTTTGGGAAAACACTATAATTTGCGCATTCTGAGCCCATTTTTGAAATCCTCACGCAATTTTAAATAGTTTTGTTGCTTTAATCATCAAATTTGGCCCAGAAACAGCCGAGAGCGTGATTTCGAGGTGACAACAGGGAATTTCAAATTTGCGAGCTTCCCGCGCCTCTAGGTGTACAGAGGCCCCCCATGTACAGGGCTCCCATTTTCGGGCCGTCACTCAATTTTTGGCATTTCGTAGCCCCTTTAAATTCAGGCCAATAAGGTGTCCTGTTTTAGGCGAACGATACTCGCGCGTATACGACTCCTAAATCGTGGCCAGTATCTTTATGCCCTTGCCCATTTGTTCGCCTTGAAGTGCTGTGCCCAGACGCTCTTCATCGCAAATCTCAAACTACAAAGTGCGCGCGCCCCGTGGGGTGTGGATATGCTATTGGGAGGGTTCCGCGTAGTGCTGGCGGCCGAATGCCAGGCCCCCCTTCTCCCGCTCGGCTCTGTACTTTGCCCCCTCTCACCGCCCAGCCTCCCCTCCTCCGAGTGACGATCTGTTTTCCTCCGGCCTGAGTCGCCTCTGCACACTCACAAACCACCGGCGGGTCGACTCTCGGCTGCTGCTCGAGTCTTCTTTTTTCGCACGTCTAACCACCACGTGGCCCTTTGGCGGCCCGGAAGTGCCGGTTAGTAAAGTTGAATTAGCTTTAGGTCCTATATATTTTGTTCTATTTAAGATTCGCGATCTTTAGAGGACGCCACGGCATTTGTGACTCAGAATTTTTTAACCAGACTTCCTGATTTTACTACTAGCAATTATTTTCTATTTTCAATTATTTTCTTCTAAAAACACGATTGAAGCGGTTCTGTTATATGTCTACAATAAAAATTAATGTCCGAAAAACCTAACCCGCAAGTGTCTTGACGCCTTTTAAAGGGGGCGAGACATACGAAAAGCGAAGATGAGGAGTTTCGATTGTGCGCTGTAGCCCGATGAGGGAATTTTTTGCCGTTTTCAAAGTTATTGAAGCGGAATTTCGAGCTAGACGATCTGACGCAAAATTTTCGGGGTCCGCCTCCTTGTCGACTCAAGATCGAGTAGGATGTTTTCAAGCCTTACTCCCATCACCCAATCCCTCTCCCTGCTCGATCCACCTGTTTTTGCGCATGGCATAACGTAAACAACACTTTGCAACACAACTCCCCGTTTTGGCACTAGATATCACGAGGCGCGAAGTCCCTAGAACCACCCATTGTCTGGCTTTTAATCACGAATGCGTGCCGCCGTTCGTCAGTCCACAAGTTCATGAAGATAAGGCGGCCTTGACATCAGCGGGTATTTGAGCCAACCCCACGTGCTCGTTGTCCCCAAAAAGCGGGCGGCTGGGGGCTGGGGAAACGAGATCCTTCAGTCGGACAAAGTCCACTTTTTGATCGGCTCCAACAGTGTCTGTTTTTGTATTTGCTGAACTTAGGGAAACTCTCTTCTCATTTACGATATTGATAAAGCTCTCATTCTGCGTAATTTCGTGTCTTGCTCTCGAATTTTCGTACCTTGACTCAGTTATAGTGTCTTTTACAGGCTAGCTACACAAGGAGATTCGCTAGCCCGCCATGGCTGAAGCCCGCTCAGCCGCTGCGTTGAGTTTTCAGGTTGGTACTATTCGAAATCCTCTAAATCTAATCTTGTTTTAGATAACCCACGATGGCGTATCTGTCAGCTACGATCAAGAGCTTCTCCGTGAAGTCTGGCATGCATTCTCGCGACAATACAAGCGCCGCATCGGACAGTTTAAGGTTTCTCTAGCATAATCTTTCAAAACCTTGCCTTAGAATAACTTTTTGGCCGGCACCTTCCCAGCAAACGGCTTCACCTTCGCCGGTGTCGTCGCCGCAATTTCTATATTCTCCGTTTTCCGACGGGATTTGAGCTTCGGAATCGTGCCCTTCATCCAGACCTACATTATCCACTATATTTTTGGGTGAGTGACGGCTTTGTTGTCCTAATATGTTTATTTTCAGCGACGGCTTGATCGGACTCTCGCTCTCTGTCCTCTTATCAGCGGCCATCGTCTGGTTCCTGTTGATTCAGATTTTCCGGCTGTCCTTGAAGGTACAGCTTATTTTGCGCTTTCTTCGGCTCAGACAGTCATGCATGTACTTTCAATATATTGTTCCAAACATCAAAATATGACGGAGTGACCAATTAAACTTTTAAATAAATTTTATACGGAAGCTTTTCTAGGCTCTTCTGTCGTACAAAGGATGGATGTACGAAAGCGTCGGGAAGCCAGTCTCTTCGGCGACGAAGATTTGGCTTGTAAGGTCGATAGCTTTTACAAATTAGAGATTTAGACGGTCCTTCACTTCATCTCCAAGGCTTCCCCAATGCTTCACTCTTTCCAAGGAGCTCTTCCGCATCTGCCGCTTCCCTCCCTCGATGAAACTGTCAATAAGGTTTGTAGTGAATTTTCTGAAATTTCAAATTACTTTTTTTAGCATCTGCGCTCGATGAAGCCGATTTTGAATGATGACGAATATGCGGAGCTGGAGTTCTTGTCCGAGAGGTATTTTTTAAGACAATTTTTGAGCTTGTATTTTTTCAGATTCCGTCGTGGTGTTGGGCGCCGTCTGCAGCGTTATTTGACCTTCAAGAGTTGGCTGTCTTCGAATTACGTAAGTGCTAGTTGCATCGATTTTTTTATAGCCGTTTTAGGTTACCGACTGGTGGGAGGAGTTCGTCTACCTCCGCCAACGTAGCCCCATCATGATCAACAGCAACTATTACGCTTTGGTTGGTTTTTCCTCAATAGATAATCTAGCAAATTCAATATTTCTGGCATTTCTTGAATTATCATTTTATTGTTTAGGACACGCTGAACGAGCACCCTACCAAAAACCAGGCCGCCCGCGCCGCTAACATGACCTGGGCTGCTCTCCAGTTCCGTCGTCTCGTTGACCGCCAGGAAGTGTCGCCGGTAGTTTATTCACAGCAATTTTTATATTTTGAATTAGTTCTCCATCTCCCCTAAGAGCAAGGTGCCGTTTTGCACCATGCAGTACCAGCGGCTGTTCAACGCCTGCCGCGTGCCCGGCGTCGAGGTGGACCGCTTCTTGGTTTGCGACGATGCGAAGCATGTGGCCGTCTACCACAAGGGATGCTGGTTCAAGGTATTTTTTCACGACAAATTGAAAATTCTATGAGATCAAGCTCTGGTCAGGTGAAAAACAAATTAATTTCTTCTGGGAACCCTTAAAATTTTGTTTAGGTGACCGTGCACAATGGAAAGCGACTGCTGGAAGCTTGTGAGCTTCAATACCAGTTCGATCAAATCGTCAACGGCGAGTACGAGCCGTCCGCTGGAGAGGCTCACCTTGCCGCGCTTACCGCTGGCGATCGCACCCACTGGGCAAAATCGCGAAAGGTTTGTCTTTTTTTTCTTCTCGATTATTCTCGCGTTTCCAGGCTTTCCTCGGTTCCGGAATCAACAAGACTTCCCTGCACGCTATTGAACGATCAGCTTTCACAGTAATTCTGGATGATGAGGAGCAGGATTGGGACCCGGTTTGTACATTTACCGTTTCAACTAAAAACAGGCCAGAGATTCATTATCATTTTTTGTTTTCAGAACGATTCTTCTCGTCTTGACGCCTGGGCCGGAAATTTGCTTCATGGAAAAGCCTACGATCGGTAAGCTCGCCTCAAGAAGTTTCACGGGTTTTTCTAGGTGGTTCGACAAATCGTTCAACCTCATCTTCTCGAAGAACGGCCACTTTGGCATCAACACCGAACACAGCTGGGGTGACGCCGCCGTGACTGCCCATTTCTGCGAATACATTCTGATCAAAGACGTCGTCGAAGAAGGATATGATCAGAACGTGAGTAAATTTACGCAGCTCTATTTACTCGATTCTAGGGAAATGCGAAGGGCGTGCCACAGGTGAAAATCGAACCCGAAAGGCTGCGCTGGGACATTTGTGAAGAAGGAGTTGCCGCCATTGAGCAGTCCCTATCGGTAGCCAACGCCCTCATTGATGACACCGAAATGGCGCTGCTCGTCTGGACCGACTTCGGCAAAGGGCTCATCAAGAAGCTGCGGGTCTCCCCGGACGCGTTCATCCAGATGACGTTGCAACTCACTTACTTCAGGGTGAGTTTTTTTGTTTCGGCTCATCTCTTTTAACTCCTAGCGAACTTTCCGCCTCAATTATGCTTGCTCTCGAAATTCTGCCGATTATTTTTAGCATTGAAGCATCTCAGCAGTCATTTATTCCCTTTTTTCCAGAACCAAGGCAAATTCTCGCTAACCTACGAGGCATCGATGACAAGACTCTACCGCGAGGGCCGCACCGAAACGGTCCGGTCGTGCTCGATTGAAAGTACCGAATTCGTGCGGGCCATGTGCGATCCCAACCAGACGGTAATTCAAAGATTCTGAAATTTCATTATCTTGTTTTCAGCGCGAAGAACGCCTACGTCTTCTCCGCGTGGCCGCCGAGATGCACCAGCAACTGTACCGCGATGCGATGTGTGGAAAGGGGGTCGATCGCCATCTCTTTGCTCTCTACGTCATCAAGCGCTACTTAGAGGAGGAGTCCCCGTTCTTCGACAAGGTATGAAAAAATTGTTTGGTAGGATAATTACGAATGTAGATCTTCCCTCCTACGTATCTGCTCTCCACCTCGCAAACGCCGCTCAACCAATGCGATGAAGAAATGAAGGGCATGAGCGCTGAGCAACGGCTTCGTCTCGTCACGGCAGGAGGTAGATTATTTCTTACCAGATGGTTACAGTCGCTACGCGACTGCAACCATCTGGCCTTCGGGCTACCCTACATGTCCCACTCCACCACATCCATTCCCACCTCCATCAATGCCGCCGATAGCGGAAACCCCGTTCAAAAACTACCTAAATACCTTCCTGATGGCATCAGATACCCCCCATGGCTGAAATCCCCTTCAAAAACTACCTAAATACCTTCCTGATGGCTTAAGATACCTCCCCTAGCCGAAATCCCCCTCAAAAACTACCTAAATACATTCCCGATGGCCTCAGATACCCCCCATGGCTGAAATCCCCTTCAAAAACTACCTAAATACATTCCCGATGGCTTCAGATACCCCACATGGCTGAAATCCCCTTCAAAAACTACCTAAATACATTCCCGATGGCCTCAGATACCCCCCATGGCTGAAATCCCCTTCAAAAACTACCTAAATACATTCCCGATGGCTTCAGATACCCCACATGGCTGAAATCCCCTTCAAAAACTACCTAGATACCTTCCCGATGGCTTCAGATACCCCACATGGCTGAAATCCCCTTCAAAAACTACCTAGATACCTTCCCGATGGCTTAAGATACCTCCCCTAGCCGAAATCCCCTTCAAAAACTACCTAAATACCTTCCTGATGGCTTTAGATACCTCCCCTAGCCGAAATCCTTTTAAAAAACGAAAATAACGACCGACCGGATGGAATGAGAGAAAAAAAGAAATGAAATCCTCCGTGAAAATTTTCAACCACGAAACGCGCGCGACCTGGCTCACTATGCCCAAAATCACTCCAACCTCCGTCCCCCACCCCTTTTACTAAGGAAAAAACTTTCAAAGTTAATTTTAATAATTTAGATTAAAACTTTTTCGTAATTTTTTTATCAGTTTGGGGGTTTCTGATGACGCTCTATCCGAATCCGAAGAGAGCTAAGCTCTAGCTCCTTTCCCCTTCGAGTTGAATCTGGGACATGACGCACAGACAGACAGACGGACAGACACCACAGCAAAATTATTATAGTTTTATTTCTTATTGATATTGGTGGCAGGAGGTAGATTATTGGGATCTTGAATCTTTCATAAAGCCCGAAATTCCTTGTAACATCTTAACAAGGGTTTTGCTACTCGTTTTGCTATAGTTTTGCTACATTCCAAGTCAACAAACGGTTTTAAAAACTGAAAATTTGAAATTTCGGTCGAAAATGGAATTTTTGGGTCGAAACATCGATTTTTTTTGGTATTTTTGGCTCGAAATTTGTAGGGTTTTTACGTGATCGTTGACGTTTATCACTTATCTCTATTTCTTCTTTAGGCGGCTTCGGCCCTGTTGCCGATGCCGGATATGGTGTCTCGTACATCATCGCCGGCGAGGACACGATCTCCTTCCACATTTCAAGCCGGAAAAGCGCTTCGAATACGGTACACCACATTGAGTTGCCTTTAATTAGAAGTTTTCCAGAGTGGTGCCGCCTTCCGCGAGGAATTGAAGCGATCACTGCGCGACATGCGGGCACTATTCCTTGACACCAAAAAAGTCGACTAGACCTCAAAAACCTCTCACTACGGATATGTATCAATAAGAGACAACCCTCGCACGGTTCAATTTATGACTACCACCCCCTTTCCTTCCCCAACCATCAATTGTGCAAATGGCCATTTTCTCCTAAACGGGCTCTTCATAAACCTTTAGTAATTGCTTGTACATTCGCAAATTCTCCCTCTTGCTCCTCACGATCGTCTTTGTGCTCAACCAGACCCCCATGTACCCTCTGGCTGCTCTAGCTTTTGGCGCAGGGCCTGTGCCATGTGTGATTTTTTTTGCTTTTATTAACGCAACTACGCATCCCCCTCGAGTTCAGATATCTGTGTTGCATAATTTTGTCAGAGATTTTTTAGAGGTGAGGATAAATCGTCTAACCACATTGGAACGAATACACCTTGTCATAGTTCTACGCGCATTTACTTCTAGAATCAAGGATAGCTTTCGACCATCATTTCTAGTGGTACCGTTCGAATTTTCGGGTCCCGTGCCGGTAATGCAGCTTCTACGCTTTCTACGGTACAGCTCTACAAATGCACTTGCGCAGGTGACGCCTCTCTTGAAATTTTCAAGCTTTCTAGGGCTCCTTATCATCTCTACTACACTTCCACAACGCAGAAAAATGGCCAAAATACATGAAAGAACTGATTGACAAGAACGTGACGGTCACCCGGTTAGAGTGTCCTTTTCAGCCCATTCGAAATTCAGGGATTTTATCACGCCGGACGAAGAATCCGAATTGTTGCGCGAAATCGAGCCTCACATGAAGCGGCTCCGCTATGAAAAGTCGCACTGGGATGACGTATTGGCTTTTGGCTAAATGGGCAAAGAAGGATTAGGCAATACACCTTTATCGTGAGCGCGAGCAGCGAAAGTGGTCGCCTCAAAACGAAAATGTCATTCGGCGCATCAGGTTTGATAGTTGGAAAGTTTATGCTCAAACTTTAGAGAAAGCTCCTTCCCTGCTGATACTCAGCATCTGACCTACGTACACATCCTCGATTTACACAAGGACGGCGTGATCAAGCCGCACATTGACAGCATCAGGGTAGCTTTTTGCTTCGTGCCTAAACACATTTTTTGACAGTATTGCGGCGACGTCATCACGGGCGTCTCGTTGCTTTCCGATTGTGTAATGCGGCTACGACATAAAGATGACAAAAGCGTGAAAGTGGTAGATTTATTGCTGGAGCGAAGGAGTCTATATAGATTGGGGTATGTGAATCCTTTTAAACTTTGTCAAAGAAAAATTAGGGACCTGGGACGGTACGACTTTACGCATGAAATTCTGGAGGAGGAAGACTCGGAATTCAACGGAGTGAAGGTGAGCATTTTTCGCATTTTACGTCGTTTTTAGGTGCCACGGGATCGTCGAATCTCTTTGATATGTCGAGATCTGCCAAAACCTGGCAATGAGCTTCAGGAAGGGGAGGTCAAGATGAGGCCTTTAACAGCAGATTGAAAAGTACTTTTTTATAAATCGGTATGAATAAAGCTTTAATCTAGCAACCAGGTCGAAAAACAGACGGAAATTGTCCAGAACGACCACTTTACTTGTAAATAAAGAAGATATAAGCAAACTTAATATTTATCTAGTCGCCCTCACGATGCCGGCTATAACCCTGAAATCTGGACGAGAATTGGTGACTGTAGACGAGGAGCAACTGAACAAGAATCTACGGGCTGGCGGATTCTCGAAGGTGTTGGATTCTGAAGAATTCGCCGGGAAAGATTTGATCAGCAATGTGTACGAAGGTGGACTGAAGGTAAAACGCTAAACGGCTTTCTAATGTTTGTTTTTTTCCTCCAGGTCTGGGAATGCAGCACCAACCTGTGCGATTATATGGAAGAACATGCAGCTGTGTTCAGCGGCGCTTCTGTTTTGGAGGTATTATTTGGGCGCAGCTCGACATTGATAGTTTTAGCTTGGCTGCGGAGCGGCGTTTCCTGCGATTCTTGCGGCAAAGTTGGGAGCACGAGAAGTGATAGCCCAGGATTATGTGAGTAATTTGTTATTAGGTTGACTCCCCGCTATTTATTTTCAGAACGACTACGTCACCAAGTGTTTTTCTGAGGGTTGTTTTGCAGCGAATGAAGTGCCGACCAAGAATGTAAAGTTCCTGGCGTGTGACTGGGCAAAAATACCCGAATTTCTACCTTCCAAAAGGTCCGTTTTCTTTCTTCCAATCGTTTTATCCAAAGCTTAGCATTGATGTGATCATGACTTCCGAGACAATTTACAACACGCTCAACTACCCGTCTTTGATTGAAGCGTTCGCCCATTGCCTTGCGCCAGAGGGGACAGTGTAATTTCTGATTGTCCTAGAAAAATAAGTCTTTTAGATTGATAGCTGCAAAAGAATACTACTTCGGGTTGGGCGGCTCTGTGCCTGGGTTCCTGGAAGAAGTCGACAAATCCGGGCTCTTTTCGCACGAGATCGTCTGGAGATCCCCGTTCCAGTCTGGCTACCAGAAACAGATTGTTGAGTTGAAGCGGAGATGATGATTGTTGTTCTTGTTGTTCTTGCTTTGTTTGATAATAAAGATTTTTTATACATTTCTTGTTTTTGATGGAATTTATGTAGCCAACTTTTGGTATATTTTGCATATCGTTCTTCTCCGACACAATACACTTTACGTATGGACCCTGGGGGCGCAACTCAGTCGCTCGGCTCAACATTTCCGAATCTGCTTTGAATAAGTCTCGAAAGCTTTCAGTTCCAAGACTACCCGTTATGGAAGATTTATACGACGATGAGCTGGAAGACGAAGAGACCACCGATGTCTATGTGTGTTTTGATTCACACGCCTTGAAAAATCCTCGATTTAGCGCGTCACGAAACGCAACAACATTCTCGTCTGCCATGGCAACAAGACGTCGATGAACTTGAACGCGCTGGTGCTAGAGAACGTCGTGCAGAGCCAGTACAACAAAAACGTGCTCGTCGAATACACGACTTTCCAGCAACTCCTCGATGAGGCTTTCTATAATGTAAGCATAAGTCGTGTTTGTCAATATTTGTCTAGGTTCGTCATCTTGAACCGTGGGAACGCGGAACCCGGAAGACTCAAGGAATGACTGGAATGTGTGGAGGAGTAAGCTATTTTTTTCAAGAAATAATCCCTGATTAGGTTCGTGGTGTGGGCGCTGGCGGAGTAGTTTCAACGGCTTTTTGTTGTCTTTATAAGTTCCATACCCTGAGGATCACCAGGTACGCGCTGATTCGTAAGTTGTTTTCAAGTTGCTCTTTTAGTAGTTTCTTTATTTCTTGATTTTCTTCGAAATTTTTGTTTTCCAGGCGGCAGTTGCTGATGCTCATCGATAACCGACAATCTGCATATTTACGTGGTCTGGGCTTCATTTACGTTCGCTATACTCAGCCACCCGCCGATCTTTGGAGCTGGTTTGAGCCATATTTTGTGAGTTTTGATTAATGTAGATTCTTAGCTTTTTTTTTAGCTTTAATGGTCTGTTCTATTTTTCAGGATGACGACGAGGAGGTTGATCCTCGTTCCGGTGGCGGCGATCAGATGACTTTCGGAAATTTTGTACGTTTTTTTGCTTTTTTTGATGGAAGGAATTTAGGTGCGTTTGATGCTTACAAAACTTGATTGGTACGGCACCCTTTTCCCTCGGATTCCGGTGCCTATTCAGGTTTTCTCAGTTCCAGAGTGCTTGATTTGTGTTTAGAAACAAATTGACGAAAATTTCACAGCGAAGCGCCAGTCCAGCTTGCAGGAATTTGAGCGTAACAGATCCAGGTTGGAAATCTGATATTTTTAAATATATTGACTTAGGGAGCGCGACCGTGATGATCGGGATCGACAGAAGCGACCGCGTGAAGAAGATAAAAAGAAGGAGGAAGTTCCGACCAAGAAGGTACCAAACTTTATATTGCTTGACCCATTTAATTCAGATACGAACTCGCTGTGGCCATCACCTACGTCATCACCATTGCACGAAACACCGGAAGAAGTGCTCCCGCAAAGCGAAAGAGTACGAATTTGCGGTTTTCCCTATTGTTTCGTTTTTCAGGGAACGACAGAAGAGAGAAGCTGAGAAGAAGGAAGAGTTGGTAAGTGCACAGTATTTTTTAATATTTTTGCCTTAGAAAAACGGGAGCTCCGCCGATGTGCATATGGGCGACGCCTGAACGGTTCGAAAGTTTTTATGTTTTTGTTATTCTTCAAATTGTTTCCGAAATTTCACGGCTATCACCGGTATCTCAATTTTTTTGCTGGTTATTCAGTGCTCTCCAAATAAAGCGCTATTCAATTCGGGCGATTTCGCATGCTTTTGAAAGAGAAAATGACGCGGGTCTTTATTCCGAGTGCACGATCACGAAGCAAAATTAACGACTGCAAAAAACGTAAGGCAATAAATCTTGGCATTGTTTAAGAGTAAGCTGGGTGTTTCTTGAGGCTTAGAGGGCGAGGATGGGCTTGAACTGCTCGGTGACGTCGTCCTCATGTTCCTCCTCGAGTACGCCGAGCCGGGGGATGTAGTCGCCGTGCGCGCCGCCGTGGCCCACCTCCAGAGTCTCGATCATCGATTGGATGACGAGGTACTCGAGGGTCAGCTCTGAAATTCGGATTGCTAGGGTTTGTAGTTTCCATCGCACCTGGAAAATACGGGGCCGCCCGCTCCTCCTTGGCGCATAGGTTTTGGTGGCCGTTGCGCCTGAACCAATCCCGGCTGTGCCAGCCGAGCTGCAAAATTTAAAATATCACTTCACGGATACTTTTCCATCTTTTTCTGACAGGTCACTCACCCCGACGAACACCTCCATCAGCGAGTAGTAGACCAGGCACCAGATATCGTCTCTTGACACCTCGGGGAGTGCCTGAGAAGGTTTTTGTGCTCTAGGGATGCAGGGTTCTTACACTAAGGTAACTCTCGAGCGCCTCGATCTCGTAGTCATCGACGCCGGGAAGGTGGTCAGTGGCCGCCGAGGTGGAGAAGACGAGACGGGACATTGTCAGCGGGGAAGCCGGCTCGCCGATCTCAAGCAACATTTGAGATCACACAGAAAGACACACTGTATTCTTCGAGTTTCCAAAGGGCGAATTCAGCCAGCGCCGAGTGGCCAGCCCGCTCTTCGACAGCAGCGTCTTCATCGGCGTCGGGTGACCGCCGCGCAGAGGTGTGTTGGATTCTAATCAGACACGGGAATAATGTTATGCCAAAACCTACCGTAATACGGCTTCTCGGGCGTACGCTGGCTCTCGTCAAATTCGACGCTGATGGGGTGGATGGCGCCATAGACTTGGATCGATAGCCGGATGCCCGGGTAGCAGCTCTTCGGGAATTGGACCTGTGCGTAAAGTTAGGACAACAACAGTAGAAACTCACATAGACCCGCTTCGTCTCCATGGTGCCGATCAGCCCGCTATCGCCGGCAGTGTTGAAGCGTGCGCGCAGCTTCGGATCGGTCACTCCGTGAGCCCGGATCTTGTATTCGGTCGGAATCTCTGGAAAGTTACGCTTTGAAAAAGTTACAAAACTAAAACTGACCACAATCATGGGAATCCAGCCGGATAGAGACGGCCAGACAGTCGTCGGGCTCTGATTTATGCTGGAAACGGTTAATAATGTTATTTCCCGAAAAGCTCACAATCCAGGCCTTGGCGTGTCGATCGACAAGGAGCCCGCACGGTAACTTGCGGCGATCTAAAGAAAAAGTCGAGGAATTCTGAGAGGAAACGAACCTTTTTCAGGCATTTCACCGTACGCCGATGTCGTCAAGGGAGGGCGGGTTAAACTCACGAAAAGCACGTCTAAATAGAATTTTAATATTTTGTAGCTTACTTCGAAAATTCAACTTTTAAATTCTAAATTTAAATTTAACGATTTAAAACCTCTCCTTCAACTTCACGTTAGTGCATCTTTCTATCACTAGGCTTCGACCCGTGAGGTCATAGCCCAAGGTATCTACCCTGCGCTCACCAGCCATCTGCTTCCGCCTGCCTTTCCCTGTAACTGGAATTCAGTCTCAATTTTCACTCTTACAAATCACACCCTCAACATGTCGGCCCTCACTCCCAAGCCTGGAAACGATATTCTCCTCGATGTTTCCACCCCGTTGGTCAGTTTTACTTTAATAGTTTTATTTTAATGGTTCCACTTTAGTATTCAGTAGACAAATTTTACTCATAACGACTCTAATTTTTTTAGTCTACCGAAACCAAACCACCGTCAATGGCTAGCTGGCCCATCACTCCGGCCAGCAGTGCCGCTTCTTCATCGACAACCCCCGAAGTTTCGCCGGAATCGCGTGGCAACGTTGGTTCATTTGATATGCCTGAAAATCGTTTTAGTCAGCGAAACAGAGAATCGAAAAGGTGCGCCGGGCCCGCATCAAGAAAGCGACGACCGAGTTGCGCGACCTTCTTCTCTCTAAGGAGCTAGCAAAGTTAGCAAGTTTTTTTTTCTAGTTTCAACCCTATTCTAGCACCAAGCTCGAGTCCTGTGACATCTACGAAGAGGCCGTAAAATGCATCAAGAAGCTGCGTGCAGGGAAGAAGGAGAAAAAGGATCAAAACAAGGAGGCGCAGGAGGCGGAAGGTGACAAAAGTTTTGCGACAGCTTCAATGCAATTTTATAGAGATGAAAGTGAAGCTGTACCAGGCGTACATGCAGGGATGTGTCGATACGGCAAATAACTACTCGAATTGGCTGGCAGCTGCTGTTGCCTCTTTTCCAGTGATGCAGCTCAATGGAATGAAGTAAGTATAATTCCACAATGTCGAAATTCACAATCCTGAAAATCCCCTTCCCCCTGATAACTCGAAAGAACCGAATTTTGACAATCGGGTAGAAAATAGAAATCAGGATATGGATATTTAGCCCAGAGTTCATCTTCGGAATGTCGCAAGTCCCTGCAGCGACATCAGCCGATGCTTTGTACGACAGGCTTCGCCAGATGCCATCAGTGGTCATCAACCCACATCAGCCCCAACAGCCAAGTACGACAAGCCAACAGTAGGCCAATGACATTCGCATATTTTTATGTATTTTTCACATTGCTATTAATGCGTAATCATAGTTTGCCGTGTAATAAAAAAGTTTATAACAATCCCACCGCTGCCACAAAAATCACATTGTACCCCTAGGTGCGGAAAGGCGCGGTTCAGGCGGCATATAAATAAATCCATAGAAACAGCTGGAAATAAATTATCAACAAAACAAAGTACAGACACACGCAACTGCGAAACAATTATGACCAGAAGCAAGGATGCGGGTAAAAGGCGAAGAGGAAAGAACAAGTAAGGAAAATACGAAAAAATCGGGCTAATGGACCGCCGTTCCATTTTGGGTGGCGCCGGCGAAGTCCTTCTGCTGTGTTTCCCAAAGTTTTTCCAACTTCTTGCGCAGCTTCTTAGAAACCTAGAGAAAATAGAACTAAGCGGTACAACTTAAAAATACCTCTTCGCCATTGGCAATGTGGGTGGGGATGCCCTTTTCGTCCCATTGGGAATATTCGGTTGTTCTGAATAGCTGCTCGGGCGGGATGCGCTTCTTCGCATCTTTTTTCGGCCTTTTCCTTCTCTTTTCGTTCCTTGGCCTAGAGAAAAGTACTTAATTTTTTATTAATAAACAACCTCTCGTTTCTCGCGTTCAACCTTCTCCTGCTCTTCGCGTTCCTTCATCAGCACTTCCCTGAAATTCAGGTATTAAAGAGAGCCGAATTTAAAAATATACACCGAACGGTCTATCCAGTTGTATGTGAAATCTTCCTTTTTTTGCATGTAAGTGCGAAAATTATTCCTTGTTGTATGATGCTTTTGAAACGCTAGTCTACTGGGTGTCCCAAAAAAAAAAGCACCCCCTCTAGCGGTCCGTGGTAAGCTCAGATCAGGATGATTTTTATACCATTCGAAAGCCCGCGAAAAGGCGAGAAAACAAGCGGGCTTCATTTTCTAAGATTTCTTCTAATACGTCCGATATTCAGCGTTTTTCTAAAAAACAGGTATCTTTGCAATAGGAATTTCGCAATTAGCATGCGGATCTCGCGTAAATCTGCCGTTTTCATGGAATTTGGAGGTAAAATTCGCCAATAAAAATACATAATAAAGAAAATGAACCCTCCTTGTTTTCTCCCCTTTTCGAGAGCTTCCGATAGATACCTAAACGGCGATAATCGGACACGTCTGCGCGCCGCTAGAGGGGGGTGCTCTTTTTTGGGACACCCTGTACTTTGGGCTTTTGTATAGATAATGAGTTCCATATCTTATAATCTACGCACGTCGTTGGTTAGGTGGCAAACGTGCCGCGGAGTAAGTTGTGGTACGTTCGGACTTGTGGCCTTTAAAGGGACGAGCAAGTCAAAACTATAGCTTTCGTTGGCTATCGATTTTAAGGGATTTGATCGCGCCCGCGACACGCAACGCACACCACCAAGCTATCTTGATTCACTACGAAGTCAAAGGCGGGGCGCGCGTTGCGTATTGCGTACGTGGTAAAATCATAGGGAATCCATGACCAAGAAACTCCATGCCTGTGCCTCGTTTGTCCCCTTTGTTGCAGGAAAAATTAGCTCACGCGTAGCATGTAATGTAAGAATTGTCGACGAGCGAAGCCAATATTTTTCCTTGTGAACGGCCTTTATTGTACTGTGTGACGTGGGATTTACTCTCAATTAGCCTAGTCACCCGAGTTCCATCTATTTACAAATCTGTACGTTCTTATGATAACTCTGTAACTCCAAGTAAGAAGCACATCGGAGTGCTTTCAGATGAGCTGAGAGAGATTGTGCCTCACTGTTTGTTGTTTAGAAGTCTGTTTCTCTATCTGCCTGCTCTTGGACATAAAATTTCGAGTGTTAATATTTTCCATAGTTCCAATGAAAAACAAAAATATTACCGATCCACCAGCTTGATCGTCGTCTGGTTATTTCGGTCTTCGAGGCGCACACCAAGATTCGGCAACACGTCGTCACGCAGCTCGTCGCAAAGCTGGAATAAAAGAAATAGCAAACAAAATTTAGTCAAAATATAATGCGTTAAATTTTATAACTACCACACACCTTTAGGATTCCGGCGACCTTGTGTTCGCGGGCGATGGTTCGGACATCCTCGCGGAACTTGGCCATCGCATCAAGGTACGGCATAACCACCTCTTCCTTGGATCCGCCGAAATCTCTAAAAGAAGCATACCTTCAAGAAATGCCGTGAAAAACACACCCAGATTCAATTGGATATCCAATCTCCGTCGACTTGGGGATCATGCCGAACGTCTTGAAGATCTCAGTGATGTACAGGGCGATTTGGCGGAGGAGGAGCACGTTGGGGACGGAGTTTTGATTTAACTAAGAAACTAATCGAATTTCGAAGCCAATTCTTACCTTTTCCGTGATGTAGGCATTTCCAACATCCACCATGTCGCGGATTGACTTCAGGGCCGTTCGGGTATCGATAGAGTCGCAAAGAGCAGCATGGACTTCCTCCTAAAATCACTTTTTTCAGCATCAACTGGAGAAACGTACCCTCAGTTTCAAGAACTTCTCGTTGACCTCGAGCTCCTTCTTGTCATACTTGGCATACCCAGCGGCCTCATCGGCCTTCCAGTGCTTTCGCATCAAATCCTTGACGAGAAGGAAGAACTCATTGGTGACGCGTTCGTAGTGGAGGGCTTGTTTTAGGGTCTCTTCGCTGTAGTCCAACGTGTCGGACCAGTTGTGCATCAGGAAGAGGGTGCGGATCTGGCGGGGCGTGTAATCCTCGAGGGCCTTGCGGATGGTGATGAAGTTTTTGAGGCTCTTGCTCATCTTGAGGCCTGCGATCCGGAGGGTGCCGCAGTGGAGGAAGTAGTTTACCCAGTGGGGGTCATCATAGTGGGCTTCAACCTAAAAAAGTTAATAATCGTTTTTTTTTTGGAAAATCTGACCTGAGCAATCTCATTGTCGTGGTGCGGGAATTTCAGGTCGAATCCTCCGGCGTGAATGTCGAGTTTCTTGCCGCATACGGCGTTCGACATGACGGAGCACTCGATATGCCAACCCGGTCGGCCTTTGCCCCAAGGGCTGTCCCATGATGGCTCGCCCGGCTTTGACACTTTCCAGAGAGCAAAGTCGCTGTCGGTCTTTTTCAGCTGAACAAAATAGATTTTAACAATAACGACACCCTCTTACCTGAGAGTTTCCCATGCTCAGTTCCCCTTCTCCTTCGCGCATGTTCTTCAGCAGGTTCTCCGAATCACCGTACGCCTCCGGGACGAGCTTGGCGTAGAAGTGCTCCTTGTTGGCGGTAAAAGCCGCCGTGTCGAAGTAGACCTAAACGAAAGGTTGGTACTTTTAATTAAAAAATCATTTTGCGTTTTTGACGGCGCTATGATTTTTTTGCGTAATCGAAAATCGTTGCCTTTTGTTAGAGTCGCTATGGTAAAATTTTCAGATCACCCTGATTTCGCCAATTTGTTTTTTTTTGGAAATCGTTTTTAGGACAAAATCACGAATTCTAAAAAGCCTCACCGATCCGTCAGTGGTCTTGTAGGCGTAGCCATTCTTGATGATTTTCTCCACGTAGGCGATAATCTCGGGCACGTACTCCGAGACGCGGGTCAACACATCGGTGGGGAGGACGCCGAGTCGTCCCATGTCCTTCAGGAATTCGGTTTCGAATCTAAAAAAGAAAACAATTTGGCGGAAAAAATTTTACATACTCTCGCGAAAGGCTATCGAAAACGTGGTGCTCGCTGATGGTGCTGCCCTTTTCGCTGTCCAGCCATTCCATTAGTACATCTTGCGAATCAGCGAGCAGGCGGGTCTAAAAACATAAAAATTAAACAGTTTGAATTCCATACCTTTCCTCCATCGATTTTGCTCGCATCATTTGTGGCCGCAACTGCTTCCATATTCTTAGAAGCGTTCATCACCTTTTCCAACTAAAAAAGTTTAATTTCGCAAATAACGACCAACTAACCAGCCCGGAGAGCATCGTCTTCTTATCGCTATCCGTCTCGGCGTCAATTTTCGCCTTGAAGATGGCGATGGCCTTGATCAGATCCTCGGCAATCTCCTTGTGGCTTTTCTTCGTAGCCGTTGCCAGATACTCCTTCAGCAGGTGGCGTTGACGTCCGCGTTTGATGATTTTATCGTCAATGTCGGTGATGTTCATCACTTGCTGGACGTCGTACTTGAAGTAGTCGGTCAGCACGCGTCTGATGATGTCGAAGGTGAGGTAGGCTCGGGCATGGCCCATGTGCGAATAGTCGTAGACGGTCGGCCCGCAAATGTAGAAACGGACCTGGAAAGACCAATTTCGAAAAGAAATTACAAAACTCACCAGGTTCCCCTCATTCGGCACAAACGGCACTTTTGTTCGTGTGAGCGAGTTTTCTAGCTTCAGCTCGGGCCGATTGCTGGCGGGGGCGGCCCAGGCCTTCTGGGAGCGTCTGACGGTGGCTAAAAAAATGCAAAAATTGCGTAAAATTGCGAAATCGCCAAGTTTTAAATTAGAGTAAAAATCACCTTCAGCCATTGCGCAGAGGGTGTTTATCGTCCGGCGAATCGTTGTAAGAAACGAGGCTCGGGTTTATCTGAAAATTAAAGAATCGTTTTAAAAATTTCTAAATCGCGGGTTACTGTGGCTTTTTGCAATTTGCAAAAAAGTTGGCAGGTCCGTTGTTTAATTAGACTGCGTGTAAGTTCCGGGTGCTACGGTCAAAGAGGGCCCACCCACGTTTTAGCCGCCCGACTTTGGCGGGGATCCTGCAAACTGCCAGCCAAATCCGAGGTTCGGGACCCGGTTTCTAAAAGTTTTTTTCTTGATGTTTAAATTAAAAGGACGGGGACAACGTTAGAAATTTTAATGGGAGATTTTTTGGGACTCTAGTTGGCCCCTGGCCTTTTATACGCCCCAAACCAATAAGCGGACCACCAGCACAACATACAAAAATCTATGCTGCAACAAAACACATGACGTTCTGGCAACGCCGTGACTAATTTTATGCCGGCATGAAAATCCTATCGCGTTCCTTGAGCCTTGAAAAGACAGTTGTTTGTTTCAAGGCCCCCGAAAAAATGGAGCAGAAAACTCGCAAAAACATCCCCAGGCCTCAAAACTGCCATTTTTATAGCCCGACGATGCGGCGTGGGCAGAATACGCGAATTTCATCACCGGCCCCACGTTTTGGCCGCTTACGCAAGGGAACTGATGCAAAAACGCAGGTATTTTGCAGCAACATGGCGACCACGTGGCCGGAGATGGCTCATGCAAAGGGTGGGGCTGATGCAACCGGGTGGTGGAATTAGATCAGAAGTGGACCCAGCTGTTGCGCTAACGGTCTAGAAAAGAACATTTTGTTTTGTTGCGAGTGAAAAATAAGGTGTTTGGTAGAGGATTTCTTAGGTAAGGAAATAAGTTTGATTTTTGGCTAGCTTTGTTGTGCAACAAAAGCAAGTACGTTGCAAATTCGCAATAAAATGGAATCTTTACGTATCTACGTTCGAAGACAAATTGTACAAGACGAATTGTACTTTGCGTAAGAGAATACTTTTGCTTTTCCCTGGTTTTGTTGTGCTACTAAAGCACATACCTTTCAAGTACTCAATAAAATCGTATGTTTACGTATTCGTTTCAAAGACAAATCACAATTCGCTTTATTCCAACGCTCACCCAGGGTACAGAATGATGAATCACACACAAAACCCGTAAATAATTAGAAGACGTATGTAATCACAACGCGAGTTTTAAGGGGCCCTGAAGTCAAAAGCCGAGGCAGATTGGCTGAGAAATTTCCGAGTTACACCAGATTCCCACGGCTTTTGACTCCAAAATGCATTAAAGGGATCTCCACAAGTAGATAAGCGAATAAATTGTTGCTTCGGCTCGTTGGTCACCAGAATTGAGCCTTGGGCGCCGATTCGTCCAATTCGTCGATGACGTCCAGCGTTTCCTTTTCCCTTTGTTGCGACTGGGCTGCGCCCAACGTTTCGATCATCGCCAGCACGGCCATGTGCTCGAGGGTCAAGTCTAGAAATCATAAAATTAAAATTTTTGATGTTATAACGCTACCAGCATCACATTCCGGTCCCGTTTCGTGGCTGGCGTCGAGTTCCTCGGGGCCGCCCTGCATGAACCAGTCGCGCGAGTGTCGGCCCATCTGGAAAACAGCTCAGTTCTTGTGCATTATCGGGGGGTAGGTGTTGGTCCAGGTATGCCCATTAATGCAATTGCAAGTATTTCAATGATTTTTAGTAAAATTTTACTAAAATGAATTTAATTAGAACTTGGCAAAGTATTTAGAAAACCTAGAAAAAGCTTCAAGTTTTAAATTTTCAGAATTTTGTTAAAAATATTTTTGACGTTTAAGAATAATGAAAAAATAGTGTAGAAACAGTTTTGCTAGTTCTATTAGAAAACCTGGATCCACAGGAAAAAAAGTAGCTTCAGTCCGCACCGACACAAACATGTCCATGATCGAAAAGTAGACGAGGCTCCATACATCCTCCTCGGTGACGTAGGGGAGATTCTGAGGCGGAGGTGTACCTAGAAATGGGAGGGAGGACATACGTTTAAAAGCCGCTCAAGCTGTCCGAGCTCTTGAGCAGTAACGCCGGGGAGCGGATTTTCGGGGATCGGCGTGTACGAGGCGGAAGCGGAAGTCTTTGCGTCCGTCGTCGTTGATCCGTCCGGGGTCTAAAATCAGGAAAACTTAGGAAAGACTAACGAACATACCAGAAGCTTGGGGTCCGGCGGTGCCGGGGAGCCGAGTCGATTTTGAGCAACCTTGGATAGGAGAAACTTCATCGGGGTCGGGTGGCCGGAGAGGAGGCTGCGCAACGGCGTCGCGTTTCCGATGGCAAACTCTAAAATGAGGTTATAAACTGTAAAAAGATTCTTCCAAAAAAACTGAAAAGCGTACCTGGTGTCGGCTTCTCTGGGGTGCACACGCGCTCGTCAAAGTTGACGCGGATCGGGTAGATGGCGTCCGATACTTGGATGGATAGGCGAATCCCGGGGTAGCAGCATTTCGGGAATTGGACCTAGAACAGAAATAATAAATTAAAAAAAGAAAAACTCACAAAGACCTGCTTCAAATCGTTGGCCCCGATTCGACCGCTATCGCCAGCCGTGCTCACCAGGGCGCGAAGCTTCGGATCGGCCACGCCGTGAGCTCGTATCTTGTATTCGAGCGGAACATCTAAAATTTATCTAATTAAAAACAATAGAAAATACTAAATTAATAAAAAAAATCGATTGCAGGTTAACCGACCACAATCTCGTGAGTTCAACCGGATGCTGACCGCCAGCACGTCTGCAGGGTCATATTTGTGCTGAAAAAAGCGCAATAACCAAATTTTGATAAAAGGCTCACAATCCAGGCATTCACCGACCGATCAACGAGAAGCCCACATGGTAACGCGCGCGCTTCTAAAAAGGTATATACAAAAAGGTATTGAAAAAGCGATAAACCTTTATTTTCTGGCATGAAGGAGGACGACCGAAGTGGTAAAAGTGATGTTTTTGTTGAGCAGGTTATAGAAATTCATTAAAATTATGCAGATTTTAAAATGTAAAATATCAAAATGGTTCGCGTAAATTTCGAGCAATCATATTGAGCCGTAATTTACGTAGTACTCTCGAATATCATACTTTAAATTAACATATTTTTCACAACAAACAGAACCTATGATAAAAAAGGGCATTTGCTCACCATTACTCGCCCCCGAAAATGCTTCGGATGAAGACGCGAAGGCTTTGCTTGCAAACCGTCGAGTTGGTCTCCCGCGTTTTCGAGATACTCTCCAAGGGCGGGTTTTCTACGCTTAAAGTTAGAGGATTTTTAAGTTATAAAGTTTTGCCATTAAATTACAAACATTTTCTAATTTTAGGCGTCTCCCTTGACACCCTCTTCGACTCCACCGTCCGTCCCTTGGTAAAACGCGTTGTTTTTAACGTCTGATTGACTGTTTCCTACCTTCCAGTCTACCCTCCTTCCCGGCCGTGCCCGTCTCGCCGTCGACATCCTCGGCGCGTTCATCCTCTTCCACCTCTTCCTCATCTACGTGCTGATCTACGGCGGCATTAGGGTATTTTCGTCCACCTTACGGGAGGATGACAGAAGCGCCAAAGCAAAAGCGCCAACGACAAAAGCGCCCATGCAGAAGCGCCAAACGAAAAGCGCCCAATGCCAGAAAGCGCCCAATGCCAAAAAGCGCCCAATGCCAGAAAGCGCCCAATGCCAGAAAGCGCTCTATGGGGAAAGCCAACGTATGGAGAGAGGAAACAATTACATAAAGTATATATATATGAATGGTTTATTCAACCGGGTAATATAACGTAGGCAAAAAATGATAAACACGTAAAGTGAAAAAAAAACATGGGTGAAAGACGAGGGACGGGGATAATAGGTTTTTTGCTTAGGAGGGATTATGGGCTAGGGGAAGGGTTTCAAGACTTTTCCTAAAGCGTTTCGCGCTGGTCGGAGGGTTCAAGAGGAGAGGTGGCGGAAGTGAATTCCATAGTTTTATGATGCGTCGTGAAAAGATAGACCTAGGGGTATCTCCTACGCTGTTAAATCTAGTGAGCTGGAACCTGTGGGAACTCCTAGAAGGTCGCGTCGCAAGTTTAAGAAATTTGACTGGATAGCTCTGCTGGAAAATTATTCGATAGCACAGGACGAGGTCATTTTGGTTTCGGCGTGTTTCGAGGGTGGGGATTTCAAAAAATGCTAGCCTCTCTTCATACGGAATTACGGGAAACCCTGGGCAAAGTTTAGAGTAGGCATGAAAGGTAAATCTTTTCTGGACATTTTCGATCTTCTGAATCAGATATTTGCGGGATGGAGACCAAACTTCACTCGCATATTCCAGAATCGGTCTACATAGTGTGCAAAAAGCGCGGATATAAGTAGTTTTATTGGGTACCTGAATCTTTTTGATGATTAAGTACGAAATTCGCGCCGCTCTTGCGCAGATTTCAGTGATATGCGGCTTGAAAGAGAGCTTATTTGTGTATCTAACACCGAGATCCTTGATGATATCGACCGTTTCGATTGGGCTATTTGCGAGAAGTAAGGGAGGTGCGGGACTTAGGGAAGTTAAGCAAAAGGTCTTATTAACGGCGAGGGACATCCCATTTTCCGAGGCCCATTTTTCTATGATAGAGATGTCGGACTGGATAGAGGTGTGGGGGACTGGGACCTGAGCGCGGCCCAATACCTGCATAGATTTTGAGATCGTCAGCGAATAAGAGATTTTTGTTTACTAGAAGGGGTGGGAGATCATTTATGAAGATCAAAAAAAGTATGGGCCCTAAGACACTACCCTGCGGGACCCCCGAGGTTTGAGGACGTGGCTTAGAAACTGAGTCTCGGTTCTGTACATGAAAAGTCCGACCGGTGAGATAGGCTTTCAACCACGAGTATATGGGAACAGGCAGGCCCGTTTGGGCGACTTTATCTAGGAGAATGTGATGGGGGACTTTATCAAAAGCTTTTGCTAGATCGAAATATATGCTTATTGGTTTTTCACCGGAATCTAACATGTTGGCAAAGTCATGGAACATTTTGATGAGCTGCGCGGTGGTAGAATGAGAGGCTCTGAATCCAAACTGGGCCGGGGAAAAGAACTGTTTAGCATCTAGAAAAGAAATTATTTTGTGTTTCAGCGCAACTTCAATAACTTTGCAAATCGATGATGTGAGGGCTATTGGGCGATAGTTTTGGGCCTTAGTTTCGTCGCCGGTCTTAAAAAGGGGTACTATTCGAGAAAGTTTCCAGTGAGCGGGGATATCACCTTTTAGTAAGGTGATATTAAAAAGCCTAGTCAGAACGGGAGCGAGTATCACCGAACATTTCTTGAGGAAAAGAGTGGGAATGTTTTCGGGCGTCCAGTGGGTTTTTGGATTCATGGAAGCTAGGGCCTTGTCAATATCGTTAGGGGTGAACAAAAAGAGAAGATAAAATAGTTGTTTTAATAGGTTTTCTGGTGTTATTATGGTAGTTTAGCGGCAGTTCGACCTACTAGGCCATAAATTACCGACTGGGTCAAGTTATTTTGGCCTCCTAGGGCATTCTTTCACTCGAATAGCTAGTTCTCTTCTAAAACAGCTTTTCCACTATTTTTGAAGTAGTTTCTTGATCTCTACATGCTGGAACTGGTCCGAAAATGCATTTCTAATGTGAGAAAGGTATAAACTCGCCGTGGAAAGGTTGTTTAGTGCCATTTTCGGATCCATTATCCGGAAATACGGCGTTTTTCTCGTCGTTCTGGCCTCCAAACACTATTTTATAACAAGTATTTCGTGCTTGCAACAGTATTGTGACTGAAAACATCAGAAATCGTGAGAACATGAGGCAAACCCGGTAAAACTAGAGACTGAAACAGGGCAATTCAAGCCAAAAAGACCCAATAAAGCCAAAACAACCCGCTCGGGGTGATAATTTGCCGTCTACAAAGCCTACCTATCGCTCATCAACGTTTAAAAGGCATACAAAGCTTGAAAAACGCCATTTTATGTAATTGTTTCCTCTCTCCATACGTTGGCTTTCCCCATAGAGCGCTTTCTGGCATTGGGCGCTTTCTGGCATTGGGCGCTTTCTGGCATTGGGCGCTTTTTGGCATTGGGCGCTTTCTGGCATTGGGCGCTTTTCGTTTGGCGCTTCTGCATGGGCGCTTTTGTCGTTGGCGCTTTTGCTTTGGCGCTTTTGTCATCCTCCCCACCTTACGCACCGTACATTTTCAGTTCGTCACCCAAAACACCCGACTGAAGGGCCGCAAGATTGTCCCGTCCACGCCCGAACTGCTAGAGGTCGTCCAAAATGTAGGAGAACACCAGAAGCCCACAACATCACAATTTTAAAGGTCTCTGTGTGGGTGTGCGGCTGCGTGGCCGTGATGCCGGCCGTCACCCGTCTGACGATCGGCGTTCCGTTTTTATCGTCATGGTTTGGTCGGCTGGCCCGCTGGGTGCCGTCGCTGAAGCCGCAGATTAACATTAAGCCCCAAGTGGTTTGTTTCTCCGCTTTTTCACCTTTCTCACGCTGTTCAGAAACTCGTCCAAAAGGACGGCAAGACGAAGGTGGAGCTCGGCATGGACGAGCTGAAGCCGAAAATGGCCGTCGGGCTGGAGCCGGCCGATAAACAAGTCGCCACCATCCTCAAGGGAGTCAGGGTGGGAATTTTAGTAAAATAACTGATCGAAAATAGCATTAAGAAGTGTAAATTTTGAAGTCATCTAGAGCAAAATTTCTAGACGACCACTGATTGTGCCGTGGCCGCCCAGCAGCTCGGTGAAGCCGCCGAGCAGTCAGATTTTGCTCAGCCCGCTGTGGAAGCTGACCAGGAGCAAGAGTAGGCGAGATAGAATGTTGCAAAAACTATCGACGAGAGGCTTGACTTAGACTTAAATGTCCTTTTCCAGGGACACCTCCGAGCCGTTTTACGACGCCTTCTCGGTCCAAGCTTCCGTCTCCGATCATGGGCTAATCGATGGTGTCCAGCGCCTGGACGAATCAGAAGAATCCAGCCAAGTCTAGAAATCTCTACTTGTATGTCCCTCATCCGTCTTTTTCGACTTTTGTGTTGCTATCCGTGTTCAATTCGGTTTTGGATGTCATAAAGGGCTGTTTTTGTAAAACGTTTCCCAATTCAGCATCAGACTTCATATAGTTTTTCGCGAAACTGTTCCAAAACGGCGAAATAGATTTTTACAAACATTTTTTATGAATTTCCAATTTTTCGAACTATCGGCGACTACACAGCCATACACGCAACACTGCTTTTCGTGTCGTAACCGTTTAATAACGCGGTTTTATAAAATTGTGTTTCCAAAATAGTTCAGCTTTTTTAAGATTTAAAAGTGAAACACGCAATGTCAGACCTTGCTTTATGTAAGCTGTGCATCCGTCAGGTAGTCATATTTATTAATCTTTTAGATTTTTTTGCAGTTTTCTGGCGAGCAACAAGAAATAGAAATCAAAGAACTCGGCGAGAACGAGTATTGCCCTCTCTGTTTCGGCATTATCGATGATGAACTGATAGAGCAGGTGGAGAAATTTCTGCTATTGCAAACCAATTTTTAGGTAGCAGCAGAGGCAGCGCGCCTATTGAATGAGAAGCCTTATGACTCCAGCACATTCATCCTCGCCCTAGCACTTCCTGCCTCGCAGATGCTGCAGTAAGTGTTCATTTGAAACACTATATTTTTTTGCTTTTTCGAGATTCCATCCTGGTCAAGCGGTACCCGAAATTTACGGGTACGCTATGCTCGGTTCCGTTCAAGCTGCGTGCCATCAACTCGTACATTGGGCGTTTGCAACAAGTAGGGTTTGGCTTGCTTCAAATAGCTGTCCCTTTAGGCCACCGGGATGAGCCCGACGTTGACGTCCGAGCTGCAGATGACTATCACATTTGAGAACGACGAATTTGCCGACTCGGACAGAAAGTAATTAATTTTTAGAGCTTGGTGGACTTCAGTTTTCAGCTTTATCGAGAGCACTTTCCCTGGGGATTTCCAGTCGCGAAAACGCAAGCAGCAAAACTGGGCTGAAAATGGGCAGCCTGAAATGAGCAAGGTGCAGCTGATCCCCTATTTCGGCCGGCTGACCGAGGAGCAATCAAAGTGAGCTGCTACTGAAAAATAAACACTATTTTTTAGGCGCTACACGATCAAGAAGCCCTCAAAGAAGTGCACATTTTCGATTGCATTTGAGAGGGAGCCGGTGTATATTGCGGGGCGGTAGGAAAATCATATGTTTTTGACGCAGATGTTTAGTTATTGCAAATACTCACGGTCTCTGCCTCAAAGCCCTTGGTCGGCAGATGAGCAGATATTGCCGATCCCCGGAAATTCGGTAACTTTCGATAAAAATTAAAATACGCGCATTTTTAGGTAACCGAAAAAGTATGTGAGATCCTGAAGCGTGAATTCCAAGCCGAATCGTATCGCTTTGTCGCATCCGGGCGAGAAGATGTCGATGTCCGGATGCTGGGCACTGGACGGCCTTTCGTCGTGCACCTGATTAATTGTCGTCGGCTTCTTGGATTGAAGTGGTGAGCAAAAAAAAACTCGGTTTTGAACCCCAAATATTTAGGCCGCACTATATCGATCGATTGAAGGGACTCGAGGCGGAGATCAACAAACAAGATGGCATCAGGATCAACCAATTAACCAGGGTGAATCGCGATGAAGCTGAATCGTTGAGCGTTGGACAAGAAGGTTGACGAAACTGGAAATCCTATCATACCTTTTTTAGAGAAGCGAAAAACCTACACCGCATTCTGCTACAGCACGAAGCTGATCACTGATGATATGTTGACAAACCCGATGGCGCGGATTCCACTAGAGGTTTTTATAGTTTTTCCTTTTTTAAAATGGTCTTTAGACTATCCAAAAGACGCCGGTACGTGTTATGAAGCGTCGCTCGCTTCTCGACAGGCCTAGGACGATTTTCACGATGGAGACGATGAGAATTGACGATTTCCATTTCTTGCTTAGGTGAGGATATAAAGCCTTTCCGATAGACTTGGGTAGGTGTACTTCTATCTTTTTAGAGTCGAGACCCAAGCTGGCACCTACATCAAGGAATTTGTCCACGGCGACTTTGGCAGAACACGGCCCTCCATGGCCGACCTTATGGGCGTCGACAAGGGCGATGAAGTCGACATCCTCGAGCTCGACGTCGAAAACGTCGACCTCGAATGGCCACCATTCTATGAATCCCCCCAGAAATTCAAATAATTCATTTTCTTGTTGCGAATTCTTGTTCTCTTTGTTGTTGTTGTTTGGTTGTGCTTTCACTTTGTTGCGATAAATTATTTCATCATATTTTTTTTGCGTGAACCTTGAAATTCGATAGTACGATGATTTTCTGAGTGATATTGGAAAAATAGCATGATTGAGATGTGGTGAATTGCGAAGCATTTAGCAGCTCGCATTTTTATGACCAAAACGCTGGGATGACGGTCTCCGTGTTGATGGTGGCTGAAAAGCCGATGCTAGCTGATTCGATAGCACAAATTTTATCAAATGGCAGTGCCCATAAGAGAAAAGGTAGAACCAGAAATTTATCGGCTTCATAAGCGCAATTTAGGTTGGAATAACGTCTGCTCCGTTAGCGAATACATAGGCCGATTCCAAGGGAAGGATGCTCGCTTCAAGGTAGAAATTTTCTTTTCGAATGAAACAGATAATTAGGTGACTTCTACCTGCGGCCACGTGATGAGCCTCGACTTTCCGCCGAAATTCAATAACTGGGATCGCACCGACCCGGCCGAACTGTACTCGGCGCCCGTTCAGAAGAACGAGGCCAACCCCAACATGAAGATGTGCAACGTTAGTTAGGACCTTGGAACCTCAGAATTGCCGTTTTTAGTATCTCGCGTCCGAAGCCAAAAATATCGACTATTTGGTGCTGTGGCTGGATTGTGACAAAGAGGGCGAAAATATTTGCTTTGAGGTTGGTCAGGAGGTTGCCAAAAAACAATTAATTTTTCTAATCCAGGTAATCGATGCCTGTGAAGCCAACCTGAAGCAATCATGCGGCCCAAAATTTATGGACAACGTCTACAGGTTTTTATTCGACCGAGTTGATAAAAAATTGAGTTTCAGGGCACATTTCTCCGCCATCACGGATAAGGATATCAAGGCGGCGATGAACAGCCTGGGACGCCCTGATTTGAACCAGTCGTTATCCGTCGACGCGCGCCAAGAACTTGACCTCCGCATTGGCTGCTCGTTTACAAGATTCCAGACAAAGTATTTTCATGTAAGGATTCGCCTCGAGATAAAAAAAAAGAACTAGTTTTTAGGGTAAATACGGAAATCTGGACAGCTCCTGTATCTCCTTCGGCCCCTGCCAAACGCCAACGCTGGCGTTTTGTGTGAAGCGACACGACCAAATCACCCAGTTCAAGCCGGAGCAGTATTGGGTCGTTCAGGCCACGTACAATTTGCCGAACGGCGGCGCTGAAATCCGCCCAGAATGGAGTCGAGGCCGGATTTTTGACCGGGAAGTGGCTCAGCTATTTTGTGATCGCATCAAGGTAACTTTACTTTACGTCTTCCTGATTATTCCGGATTCCAGAAAGCCGGAAAAGCCGAAGTGTACGACGTTTCTACAAAGGAGGCGCGCAAGGAGAAGCCTCAAGCCCTGAACACAGTCGAATTGCTTCGTGTCGCATCCAGCTCGCTTGGCCTGAGCCCGTCGAGCACGATGAGCGTTGCGGAACATTTATACACCCAGGTTGGAAATTTACAATTGATTAAACTGATTTTAGGGATACATTTCATATCCTCGAACCGAAACGACTTCGTATCCATCTAATTTTGATCTGCAAGGAACCCTGGCACAGCAGACGGGCGATCCACGCTGGGGATCGATTGCGAGAAAGGTGAATTACCACTAGCTCGCTTTTCAATTTTGATGGCGATTTAGGTATTGGCTGACGGGATTAAAAGACCAAAATCCGGGGAAGACAAGGGCGACCACCCTCCGATCACCCCGATGAAACCGAGGGGCGGATTGAGCGGAGGTTGCTCACCTTAAAAGCAATGCAAAAGCCTCGCTTCAGATATGCTGCGAATCTACGAGTACGTGACGCAACACTTCATCGCAACCCTTATGGGGCCCTGCATTTACAAAGTGACTACCTCAAAGTAAGTATTGTACAATCCCAGTTAGTGGAAATTCTAGGTTATCAGCGGCTGGCGAAGAATTCCAAGTCGTCGACCGCCTGGTAGTAGACCCCGGCTTCACGGCAGCCATGTCATGGCTATCAGCCGATGAGGAAAACCTGCGAGCCCCGAATTTGAGGAAAGGCGACGTGCTGATGCTCAAGTATGCCCTCTCCGCTTTTCTACGCTCCCTTTAGGGAGTCCCAACTAGCCGTCCGTGAGACATCTCCGCCCGGCTACCTCACAGAGTCGGAACTTATCACGCTGATGGAGAAGCACGGCATTGGCACGGACGCCTCGATCCCCGTCCATATAAACACAATCTGTGTCCGGAATTACGTGACGGTAAAATTAAAATAGAATAAAAATTAAAGGTACCTAGGTCGAATCCGGACGCCGCTTGATCCCGACCCCGCTCGGAATATCCTTGATCCACGGGTATTGGCGGATTGACGGAGAGCTGGTGCTGCCCACGATGAGGGCGGAGGTCGAGAAGCAATTGACATTGATTGCGAAAGGAGAAGCCGACTATTTTGCGGTGGGTTTGGATCAACGGGCTTATTCGCTTTCACGGCCCAAACCTTTACCGATCGGAATCGTTTATACAAAAGATTTAGGTGAAAAACCACGCTCTCGAGATGTTCCGGCAAAAGTTTGTATACTTCGTCCAGAACGTCCCGGTGATCGACTCGCTTTTTGAAGGTTCGTTTTGACTCGTCTTTCCGGCATATATCCGCCGATATTTCAGCATCGTTCACAACTTTGGCCGACGCCGGCAAGCCGTTCAGCAAGTGCGGCAAATGCCATCGTTTCATGAAGCTAGTGGAGAGCAGACCGATCAGGCTCTATTGCCCGACGTGCCGAGTAGAGTTACAAAGTTATGCCCATTCCCCCCATTTCAGGAAACTTATAATCTTCCCTCATCGAAGGACGGCCAGATCCGACTTCACGGCGATAAGAAGTGCCCGCTCGACGAGTTCGACCTGGTCTACTGGCAGGGTAAGGGGCAAAAATTTATCCGCAATTTCTAAGTATCTAAGCAGTGCGAGGGAACGAGTGCAAGTGCATACTAATAATTCACAGAATTAAATTAATGAAGGCCGACAATATCCTTGGTTGCCCCGAGCACCTCGGCGGCAACGGCACGGGCCCGGGTGGCGTTGTCCTGCAGGATATCTTCGACCTGAAAATAGGAAAATAATAATAATAACTCGCAAAAGCTCAACCTCTTTCGGGTTCTTCTTGTAGTACTCCAAACGCTCGTGGATAGGCCCAAGTAACTCGTTGGTGGCTTGGGCGAGGTTTGTCTAATATTGAGGTTTCGAAAAGCAAAAAAAAGATACCTTGAGCTGTACAACATCCCAATCACGACCCGTTGCCACAATTTCTTCTACCGGCTTCCCGGACACCGCCGAGTAGATGTCCAACTGAAATTTCGTCGATAAAAGAGCTATTTTTTAAAATTTTAGGCCCAAAAATATTTCTTTACTGAAGATATACATTTTTATGGAAGGAAAATTTAAGCCTGAAGCCCTAAAGTAAACTCACCAAATTCGCCACCGCCGGCAGCCCGACCCTATCGTAGTCCAGCTTTTCGTAGGTATTGCTCAGCGCTTTCATACACTTTTGCTGCACCAGCTTGACGTCGTCGCCAATCTCAGGAAATCATAATTAATTATCAAAGACTTACATCGATTCTACCCTTCCCGCTCGGGTCGCTCTTGCTCATCTTGGCCTCGGGGTCCCGAAGACTTTTGATGCGGGCATGGGCCTTCTCGCAGGGCACCACCTGCTCGGCCACCGGGAAGTGGTCAATCCCGTACTCCGAGTTGAAGGCGATGGCAAGGTCGCGCATCAACATCATGTGCTGAGTCTGGTCTTCACCGACCGGGATGTGGGTGCCCTAATACGAAATTATATTGCATAAATACATCACTAACCTTAAAAGTAAAAACATCGGCCGATTGTAGCACGGGGTAGATGAGCAGGCCAACGGGAATCACACCATTCGAGAACCTTAATTTGTTCTATTGTCATTATTACATAGATAATCATACTTGGAAGCTTTATCCTTATACTGGGGCAGTCGTTGTAACTTTTTGACCGTCTGCAGCGAGCTGAGAATCCAATTCATCTGCGAGATCTCGAGAATATCGCTTTGTCTAAAATATAATGCAAAATATTCCAAAACTACAGTACCTAAAAAGAACAGTCCTCGTCGGATCGACCCCACATGCCAGTAGCGAAGCCGCCATAATCCAAGTGTTATTTTTCAGCTTCAAAAATAACATTAAAATCGCATTTTCTTACCTTTCCGGCCGGTAAAACAGGGCCTAGCGACAAGGCATGCTGGTTGACGACCGACAAAAACAATGGCGTTGACTCGGAAGTACTCTAGAAAGAACTTTTGTAAAAAAAAACTATAAATTCTTGCCTTTTGAAGATCAAGCCACGGGCGAATAAAGCCAAAATAATTGCCGAGATGAGGACTACCCGTCGGTTGAATGCCTAAAAGTTGGTCGTAAAAGCGGAAATAGAAGGGTTACCTGATAAAACAATTTTCTGATGCTCCTTTGGCGCGTAGCGCTCGACGGGAGGCGCCGCTTTCAATCGGACCTGCGCGCATAATCTGGGCAATCGTCCATTGAGCACCATAGGCTGAAAAAGTGTATATTATGCGAGAGAAAAAAGAGTTTAGGAAATTTATAATACACAAATTACAACCAGAAACTTTCTGGGAGACAAAAAGAAAAATATTTTACAAAAAACTTGATTACGAATGGGAAAGAAAAGGCTGTGTGCGGGGGGAAGGAGAAAGTGTGACACGGACCCGGGGTAAACTGGAGTGTTACGGACTTTTGTAGTTACAGTAGAGAAAAGTTTACAAATTAAACTAAAAATAATAAAGTTAAATTAAATTACTTTTTCAGGTCCTGGCGGCAAGCTGTCCCGCTCGTTTGCCCTGTGCCCCTGCTGCTACAATGAGCCGCCGTTTCCGCAGATGGGCCAAGGGAAGGGCTGCGACAATTGCCCCCATCCGACATGTCCGAATTCCTTTTTGTGAGCGTTAATTTAGATTATTAAGTTTTTATTTTTAGGACCCAGGGCGTCTGCGGTTGCGTGCAGGATAATTGCGATGGTGTCTTGATGCTCGATCCGCAATCACACCCGAAATGGCGGTTGACTTGTAATAAGGTGTGTGCTTACCTTGTAATCAACTAAATGTTGGCCTATCGCTTCGTGGGGTAAAATAATGAAATTCCCACCATTTGTACAGCTTTTTGCGCTATTTTGAAGTATAGAAAACCCATAAAAATTATCAAAACTTGGTTTTTTTGAGGGAAAATCGTCAAAAATTGGAACTTTTTAGATATTTAGATATAAAAAGGTTTTTAGGGGTTTGTAGTAATGAAAAGCTACGGAACACTATAAACATATACTAAAGCTAGAAAGCCCAGTCGAAATTTACAAATTTTTAGTGCCCATCAGTCGTCGGGCTCTTCGAAGGGGCCGGCAAGGTCCGAGTAAGCGACAACGAGTGCGTGAATTGCGGCGCTCAACAGATTCGCGTCGATTACAAGGTGATTTGTAGCTCCGCCTTTTTTTACAAAAATAATTCTTCTAGGACAAAAGCCCTCTACCGGAAGCGGCGACCACCTGGACGGGCTGCGCATTCTGTGAAGAGTCGGTGAAGTCACTCCTCAACCTCAACCACGCCTACATCACCAGCGAGCAGAAGGAGAGGTAATGATCTGAAAATGAGCGTCTTTTTTACGGTATTTTACTCCTTTTTTAAAATATATAAGTTTATTACAATGTACGAAAAGATTTGGCGTATCGAAACGGTCAAAAATCACAAAAATATAATTTTTAAAACCTTTTTTTAATTCGAAATGGATTTTAGGAGGGACAAAGTTAGACCGCCCCCCGCTAACGAAACAGAAGCGGATCTCCGACTTCAAACGACCTCTTTTTCAGAACAGCTACAAATCGAGGCCGAGGTCGCGGGCGAGGACGTGGAGGTGGCCGTGGACGCGGACGAGGAGGCGGCGGCAGAGGCCGCGGAAACTAGGAACAAATTTTGTTAAAACTTTTTCGTCTTTTAGTTGTTACACTGTTTTAAAGGTCATAATAAACTCGGTTCATTAAACTCTACACAGTAGTTCTCGCCGAAAAGTCAGCATGACATCACCGAAACGACCTGGATGCACCTCACGCAATCGTTGTTCCCTCTGTTCTTTTACAGGGGCGGCTCACACGCCCTCTGATAGCCTGGGCGGCGACCCTCTGATAGCTGCCAAAAATCGGCAGCGGTATCTGGGGGCTTTTTGCGGAAATTTTTGAACTGTTTGCGGCTGGGCTTGCAACCGGATCCTCAGGATTTTCTAACAGCTTTAGTTCGACGAGCGAGGCTACATAATGACAGTTCGTTTTAATCTAGATAAAATCTATGAAAATAGATTTAATGGTACTTTCCTCTCTCCGGGGGGGGGGTGTTTTTCCATAAAGCTAGTAACGTTAAACTGGAAAATCATTTAGAAAACGGTGTAAAATTGAATTTTTTTTGCGAAATATCGACATTTTTGTGTTTTTTAACGAAAATTTGTAAAGTTTTTACGTTTCGCAACTGTTAAAAAAGCTATAAAGTCACATTCTATTTGTAATGAAACAAATGGATCCGCAAGAAAAACAAACACTCCCTGTAGCGAAAAAAGAACCAGTTTTCCTTCATTTGTAAAAACTTGTGACTTTTTAAACTCCAGGTTCAGGATGAAAAGAAAGAGAATATTAATGGAAGCCTATTTGCGCGAAGCTTCTCCGTTGGTGTGCTCACCCTGCTCCACGCCATGACTTTTGCCGATCGGTTTAGCGTTGCTGGTAAGCGATAGTTTATAATAAATACGAAATATTTTTCCTAGGGGCTCTGGCGCCACTTCAAAGTTTCTACAACATCGACAACGCCCAATCCGGCCTAATCCAGACCCTTTTTCTAGCCGCAACGGTTACCGGCGCTCCACTGGCCGGGTATTTTGGTGACCGATATAATAGGCGAGTATTAGAGTGGAAAAAGTATTAAAGTTACTGAAAAGTAAGTATAGAAACACAAAGACATGCTTGTACGAATATTAAAATTCTCTAGAAAATGGATGATGACCGGCGGGGTGCTTATTTGGATCGGAGTGATGATAGCTTCTTCTTTTGTGCCTGGGGATGTAATTCTGAATTTATTAGAGAGAAAAGTATGAATTTTTAAGATGTTCGGGCTATTTCTGGTGCTCCGCTGTATCGATGGGCTATCGGAAAATTTTGTCTACGCTTGTGCTCCTTCGATGATTGCGGATTATTTTTCTGGTGGGTTTTAGAACCAAAAAAACTTGCAAATAGGAAATGAGAGGATGCTTTAGACAAGAAATAAAAGTTCTAGGTTCGAAATATAATAGAGAAATATTTCGAAGCTGTTTTTTTGCGATTCCTAAACGTAAAAACAAGCATTTTTATAAGACAGATGACCGTGCTAGCCCAGAAAAACAATTATTTAGGCCAAGCGAGAAGTTACGCCTACATGTTCTTCTACTACGGGATCAACGTCGGCTCGTAGATGTGTTGCAAGTCTGTAGATGATCAATGTTTCAGGGCTTTTGGCGTGATGGTGGGGACGGCCATCTCCGACTCGGTACCCAGCGCCGATTGGCAGTGGGCTTTGCGGTAAGCGCTATTTTTCAGGTTATAAATTGTCTCCAGGTTCGTACCAGCAATCGTCATCGTCGGCTGGGTCTGTCTGCTGCTGTTCGTCCAAGAGCCGGAACGCGAAAGTCCGGTCGGCGAGAAGTCGACCTCATTCATGTCGTTCTTCCACGACGTTTTGTACCTCGTCACGATGTATGCCAAATATAAAACGATGTAGTTGGTCTTGAATTTCAGCCCAACTTTCCTGCTACAATGCCTCGGCGCGGCGATGATCAATTTTACAACTGGAGCTCAGGTGAGCTAAAAATTTCAAGTTATTTTGAAATTTAAAACCACTATTTAGGGCTGGTGGAACGCGGCGGTGATCTACTACTCGATCGACTACAACAAGAACGTGTCGATGGCGCAGTTTAACCAGATTTTCCACCACAACGAGTTCAAGACGTTCGATATAAAATTTTATTGCTCTATTTTTTGTTTAGAATCATGCTCGTCACCGGTTTTATCGGAATTGCCTCCACGATTACAGGCGTTTCATTTGCGGTTTATTGGGCTGAGGTTAGTCTTTACCTTTGTAAGTCTTAATATTATTTTAGAGCTGGCGAAATGGGCGCGGAATTTTCTCCAAAATTAAAACTATCCGCGCTCCGGCGCTTGTTCTGGCCATCAGTAAGTTTTTATCGCTATTTTAGGGCAAAGCAAATTTAGATTGTGTCACCAGCAGCTCAAAGGTTTTGTTTAGGCTTATCCCTCGCCGCTCCCTGCTCAATAGGCACTCAACTCTTTGTGTTGAAGGATATTTACGGGTATTATGTGAGCAAAAGTAGAGGTTAAAAGTGTAAACCAATTTTTAAGGCTACGCAACTGGCCGGCGGGTTTTTTATGGGTGCCGCGTGGGTGCTGAACTTGGATATACTTTATGTAAGTTAAAAACGACGCAATTTAAGTTGATGTCGTCATTTGAAAGCTAATTTTGCAGAGAACGACAAGCGCCAGTAGACGCGCTACGTCGATTATGATGTGGACGCTTGTGCAACATTTATTAGGCGATGGCCCGTCGCCGTATATCGCTGGATCGGTGGGTGACACAGAAAAAAAGTTGTATTTATCGTTGAAAATGAAATAAGAAGCCAATAAACATTAGAAATGATAAATTCAAAATTTCTAGATAGCCGACGCATTCCGTGGGAGCGACGAGAGTTCCTACGGCGAAATGTGGGCTTTACTAAAAGTGAGTTGAGCTTTTTAATCGTTTAAACTCCACTTTAGTCCTTTTACATTGTGAATTCCATCACGATCCCGGCCGCGTTAATCCATTATGTTGTTGCCATAACAATGAAACGAGATCAGGAGCGGAACGAGCTGGCGGCGGCGCAGGGTACGCTTTTTAGCAGGTGAAAAATATGTTTTTTTTTTCAGAAAACGAAGCCCTTGCCGACGACGCGGGGTCAATGCGAAAAGCGACGCTGCTTGATTGAAGCTGGAGATGAAGCCAAGCTGACACTTTCCGTGTGTCTATGTGTCTACACTGATAAATCGGGTACCCCCATGATAACGGGGCGAACTGCAGAAAAAACGTTAACTATGCTGCTGCTTTTCTGGATTTTTCTCGGGGTTCCAATGCTTACTAATAGCTAAGATATTTTTTAAGGTTGAAAAGTTGCAAACTTTATTTTGCGGCATATTTAGGTGTTCCCCTTCACATTTTGAATTCTCTCGAGCCATTAAACCGTTTTGTAAGGAATTTTTTGAGATCGTAAACCCTATTTTTCAGAAACTTCTCGAGTTTTATCTCTTTCCAAGAATTAAAACGTCTACAGGTCATTTCAAAGGTTGTAGAACTTTAGTCGCGGTATCTTTTCTATAACTTTTAAAATGGTTTCCGACAATTACAAGATTTTTAAGGACCTTAAAGGCTGTAAAACTTCGTTTTCAATTCATTTTTGCCGTTCCCCTTCCACCTGCAAAGCTGCAAACAGGCGTTTACTTCTTTTTTTTGGGGTAAAGATGGGTTGTGAGATTAGCAGGTAAACAAGGCCACCCATCGACAAGTTGGTTTCTCGTCCCTCTCTCTATTTCAGCCTATCTATCGCCCGCCTGGGTCAAAGGGTCACTTTTGTGGGCCGAAGAATGAGAGGGGCGAGAGAAAGAGAGAGAGAGAGAGAGAGCGAGCAACTTCTTGGAGGAGGGCTGTATATCTTTTTCTGGCACGTTCGGTGGTCGATCTCCGCTACCGTCGTGTGGGGTTCTGATGTTTACTTTGACCTATTATTTGCCCAAAACGGGAAGATATATTTTTCTTTTGGTTTTCGCCTAGAAATTGGTAATTTTTGAGAACAAAGTAATTTTAGGTGGTTGCTTTCCAAAGTAGGGCGACAATGGGAGCCGCGCCGAGCGAGGGCGACTTTCTGGAGTGGTTTTTGCATCGTTTCCGCTGGGTGTTCGTGATCCCGGTGCTTCTTCCGCTGTCGTTTTGCTTTGATTTGTATTATGCGGCCAGGTAGGTCTACTTTGAAAACACGAAACTCTCTGGGCTCCTCGACCAAAATTGGTCGTGATTCTTGTGAAAAATAATCAGTTCGAGTGCGAAGCTCGAAGAGAAAATTGTTTGCTTCTGAAGCTTCGGAAAGAGCTTCTTCTAGACCGTTTCAGAAACTGGTTCATCTTCAAAATCCAATCAGCCCCGAAGGCGCACGACCGGAAGGTGGCGTTGATCCAGAAGCAGGTCCGCCAATGGGCTGCCGGCGACCGGAAGGTCAAGATGTGCACGGCTCGGCCGGGGTGGTTGACAATGTCTTTTCGGTATTTTTAATCCTATTATATATAAAAAGTAGTGTCTGTGTGTGTGTGTGTGTGCATTTGCATGCAACTTCCGTCCGTATGTTCCAGTCGTATCTCAATAGGGGAGGAAGTTAAGGGTACGTATGATACGTCATTAGGTGCGGAATGGTCATGACACGACTGCACACATATGAGATTTTTAAAAATCAGCTGTTTTCGATATTAAAATTAAGTTTTTGTGAAAATTTGGCTCGGCCTCTTTGTTAGGAATCAATTAGCATGCACCGGAAGTGGAGGAAGCCTATATAATGGGGGAGAGGACGCGCTTTTCATTTTTCTGCACAGGAATGCAGGTGTCTATGCAAAGTGGTGAAGCATGGGGGTAAGACGGGGCCAGGGATGAAAAGTCGCGAAGCGGCTTTTCAACCCTAGTCTTCTTTAAAAATTTGTTTTTAGGTTCCCGGCGTACAAGCAGAACATGACGCAAATCAGGACGGATCGGCTGATCGATATCTTGGAGGTAATTAAAACTTTCTTCTTATAATCCTTAGATTGATGCCGAAAAAAGGTCTGATTCGTGTCGAGCCAATGGTTACGATGGGCCAAATCACCCGAACACTCATTCCGATGGGTTTTACTCTACCTATCGTCCCTGAACTTGACGATCTAACTGTTGGAGGTGAGGAGTTATAAGTTAAGCAATTTTTCTGAACTGTTAATTACTGTTTAATTACTGTTAAAAACATAGATTTTTATATTAAAAACCAAATATGATAGATTCAAGACAAAAATATCCAAATTTTCGACATTTTTCAACGTTTCCCGCTTGAAAAATAGCTAATTTTTGTGGCTATATCATTAAATAAGCTAACGAGCTAAGCCTAAGCCAAAGTTAAGCTTGAGCTAAGCTAAGTCAATATACTTCAGGAATGATTAACGGTTGCGGCGTCGAATCATCAAGCAAAAAGCACGGCCTCTTCCAGCACATTTGCCACTCCTACGAGCTGGTGATGGCCGACGGAAGCCTAGTGACGGCGGCCAAGGTACTGTAGAATAGGTGAAAAATAGAATATTTTAGGAAAACCCGGATGGTGGTGCCGATTCGCAGGCGCTGTTCTACGGAGTGCCGTGGAGCCATGGAACTCTGGGCTTCCTCGTGGCCGCCACGCTCAAGATCATCCCCTGCAAGCCGTACGTGAAGCTGACGTATACACCGTCGGATTCGGTTAAGGTAAGTTAACAGCTTAATTTACGTATAAATTTTTAGAAAACACAAGATCTGCTGCAAGCCGAGACCGAGAACCCGGAGAACGAGTTCGTCGAGGGGATTTTGTTCTCGAAGAACCTTGGCGTGGTGATGAAGGGAAGGTAGGGAAACATATAATTGTTGGTGCCCAGTTTAAAGTGTTTAAAATTTATAATTTTTGTTAGTTAGCACGTTTTAGCGGGCTTTACGCTTTGTTATCGTTATTTTTTGGTTTCTGACATTGTTCGACGGGGTTTTTAAAGTTGAACAGGGTAATTGTAGGGCATTAAATAGCGTAGAACAACTCAAAAATGCGGAAAACACCAGTGTAAATAGAAATGCAATGTACACGCCAAGTAGCCAGTATTTTTGAGGGTTTTTTGTTCAAATTGGCAACTCAGGGGCGAGAAATAGCGTAGAATAACGCAGACAGCACGGAAAAAACGAGCGTCAGTAGAAATGGAACGTACACGGTATTGTATTAACCTTTTTTTAGTTTTTGTGAAGACGCCCCTCGAAACGGGACGGTGAACCCGATCGGGAAGTGGCACAAGCCGTGGTTCTACACGCATGTTGAGGGGATTGGCCGCGGGGGTACGGTAGGGTATCCGCGTTTACATCAACATCCGTTTTTAGGAAAAAGTGGAATACATTCCGTTGCGCGACTACTACCACCGGCACTCGAAGAGCATCTTCTGGGAGATCAAGGAGATCGTGCCGTTCGGGAATAACCTCTTTTTCCGCTGGTTTTTGGGGTGGCTTTGCCCGCCGAAGATTTCGTTGTTGAAGGTGACCACGCCGGGGCCAGTGAGGTATGGCGGGCAAACGAGCAGAGATAATTTAGGAAGCTGAAAAATTGTCGTTCTGGGTTTTTCCAGTTCGAAATTTTTCGAAATGTTCGTTCACTTTTAGAAAACTGTACGAGCGTAAGCACGTCATCCAAGACATGCTCGTCCCGCTGGAGAAGATGGCCGACGGGGTCGACGTCTTCGAGAAGGAGGTTGATGTGAGGAATTGTAGTTGAAAATGATTAAAAAGCTTTAAATTTAGATTTATCCACTATGGCTGTGCCCTTTCGTGCTCCCCTCTCTTCCCGGGATGATCAAGCAGCGCACCGGCAAAAATCAACTCTACATCGATTTGGGGGTTTATGGCGTGACGCACGTTAAGGTAAGCTGCTTAAAACCCTGTTTAACAGGTTATAATTAGTGATGCTTTTTCAAATAACAAAAATTAATCAACAAAGATATATAAGAAACATTTTTCAGACCTACGAGCCGCGAGAATCAACGCGAAGACTCGAGGAATTTGTGCGAAGTGTTAATGGGTAAGTAATGGATCGAAACGACAACCTAATTTAGAGAAAATCTCAAAAATTACATTTTCCAAGCGGGAAAAAATTAGATGAGGAAGGAAACATCGAAAAAAAATTACAATTCCAGGGTGCAAATGCTATACGCGGACACATACATGACAGAACCGGAATTCTGGGAGATGTTCGACAGGTCGATGTACGATTGGTTGAGGCTAAAGGTAACTGAAATTTTCTACTTTATCAAGGAATTGGGCCATAATCCCGACAGCCAAAATACCGGCAGCCAAAGACCGACAGCCAAATCCCGGCATATCCTTGACGCTAGTTAGAATGTCGCTTCCTTTTAAACAGCGCTTTTCCATGTCGGGATTTTGGCTGTCGGTATTGTTGTTTTCGGGATTTTCGCTGTCGGCATTTTGGCGTCTTCCGTTTTCATAGGTTTAAACAAAACCTAGAATGGTATTGAACAAGTTAGGCCGTTAAATTAAGGTAATCCTACTATCCTACTATCTATAAAAAAATAGTGTTTGTGTGTGTGTGTGTGTATATTTGCATGCACTTCCGTTAGGATGTTCCGCTCCTACAGCCTCGGGAAAGGGTTTTTTGGATAGGGAAGAAACGACAATAGGTTTAGAATGGTCCGGAATCGACTGCACACAGATAAAAATTTTAAAAAACTGTGGTTTTCGCTATTAAAAATAGGTTTTTGTAAAACCCTGTTTGTTAGGGGAAATTAGCATGCGCCGGAAGTGGAGGAGGCTTATAAAAAGGAAGGGAGGGCGTGGTTTTCATTTTTTGGTGATCGATTTTCGAAAACAATTATGCAAAGTCACTACTTTCATAGGTCCTAGACGGGGCCAGGGTTGAAAAGCCGCGAAGCGGTTTTTCAACCCTGGTTATTCGTTAAATTAAGATAAGCGTTCCTTAAAATAGCTAAAATAAAATTAACGTAAGCTTGGGCCAATTATGTCAATTTAGTACGACTGCAAGGAGGCCTTCCCGAGCGTCTACGAGAAGGTGTGCCGGGCGGCCCGGTATTGAAAAATGATACTGCGTGTTTATGATGCGTAATTTGTTGTGGGGTGTAGTTGAGAGTTTGTCAAGAGTTCGAAATAAATTATTATAGTTAAGACTAAATTTTCACATCAAATATTGTAGATTTAATTTTTTAGAGCTTTAGTCTTCAGTTACACACTCAAATACCTTTATTCAGAAAATCACACACACACGAAGCGCATAAGGAATGGCAGATTTCAATTTAACGGGTAGGAGCGGAGTAACGTGCTTGAATTTGAATGGGCGGAGGGGCGTGGCCTACTTCGGCGACTGCTTCAGGGCTGAAAATGGCATTTTAAAGGGATTGGGAAGTCATAAATCGTCAGGAAGAGTGAGAGAGCGAGAGAGCGAGAGAGAGAGAGAAAGCGCGAGAGAGTAAGTGAGAAAGATAGAGAGCGAGAGATAATGAGAGAGAGAAAGAGAGAGAGCGAGAGATAGTGAGAGAGAGAAAGAGAGAGAGAGACCCACTATTGACTTGGCTCATCGTGGATCGGCCGGTGTCCTCGCGTGAGGCCTGCTTCTTCGGGGTGCCCGCCTTCTGAAAGTTCGTGGGTTTAAGGAGTTTGGCAGGGAATCTTTTGGACGCAATGCAACCGTAACGCGCGATTTAAGCATTTTTAACCAAACGCAACGCGCCTGACATCTATTATTTCAGCCAAAAACCCTGCTATCCATACCGTCTTTGGAATATTGGCCTCATCGAGGCGCTTCTTGGCGGCCTCCAGGTATTCGGGCGGCAACTCGGTGTACGTCTCCGTCTCGTTCGGCTTGTTCTTGTCGAGCAGGCGGCGGAGGTGGCGGAGGATCTCGAGGTTGCTGCGGTGGAACGACTTGTGGTAGTCCAGCTGCCAGGAGATGAGCTTTTACGGGACGGGAAAGCGACCTTACCAACTCGTTGAAGTAGTTGCTCACGCAGTGCTGGTGGTGCTTTTGGATGTTCTTCTGGGAGCTGAGTTTGCCCTGGATGATCTCGCTGAAAATGGAGAGGGTGAGAGCGCGCGCGAGAGAGAGAGAGAGACAGAGAGAGAGAGAGTACGCACAGTTGCATCTTATACTTCTCGGCGGCCTTCTCCAACGCCATCTGCGTGGTGGGGCTCGGTTTGGAGGTCTGCTTCTGGCGCGCCTCGAAGAACTCGCGCCGCACCTTTGGCCAGCGGTTCACGTCCTGAAATCGAAAACGTATTGTAAAGTACTGTAGCGTGCTGTGGCGTACGTAGCGTATTTAAAGTCCTCGTATCGCTGTTTAATGTTGAAAGCCACCGTAGATCGCTTACGGTTGCCTACTGTAGTGTACTTTAGCGTATTGTCGCGTACTGATCCCCACCGTACCAGCATAAAATTCCCGTACTCGTCCTGGAACCACGCCTTGATGGGGTGCCACGCCTGGGCGTATGTCTTGTCGGCGTGTTCCTAAATTTATGGGGTGTAACTTGGAGCGTAGCGTTGCCCTGACACCTTTTCCTTACGCGACAGATCGTCGAGGACGACGGCTGTGCGCTGGAGGAAATCTCGGGTCCAGGCGGATGTCATTCCGCCTTCGGCCTGGAAGTTTTAAGCGATAGAGAGAGAGAGAGAGAGGGAGAGAGGTACGAAGAAACCTACATTAACAAAATCCTGGCGCAGCTGCATCAACGGCATCAGGTTCAGGTCGCGCTGCCGGATCTTCTGGTAGTACAGCTCGAACTGGGCGGTCGTCTCCTGCGTCGAGCGGAACGCGCTCTAAAATCCGGATCTCCACGTCCAGGCTATTAATGCTCACACTCATCGAGTCGATCTGGCCCTGGAGCTCGATCTCGGCCGGGGACAGCTCTTCCTTTTTGCGGCGCCATGAGGCCCTGGAAAATGAACGCGTTGCGGAGAGAGAGAGAGAGACAGACAGAGCGCGAGAGAGAGCGAAACTGCAGCAAACCTACCCAAAACCCATCTCGTCGACGTGGAGATGGCGATTGAACGAGTAGCGATTATGAGGCGAAATATTCCAACTTGTAGGCCTGGAAGTTGTAGCTATGCAAATGTGACGACTCAAATCGCATTATTTATCTCTCTTTCTCTCTCACTCTCCCTCGGTCTCTCCATCTCTATCTCTGTCTATTTCTATCTACCTCCGTTGCTCTGTCTCTCTCTCATCCTCCCACTCGCTCTCGCAGGAAAAACTAGCAAGAGAGGGTGAGAGAGCGAGAGATAGAGGGAGAACGATAATCAGAGAGCGAGAGAGACAGAGATAAAGAGAGTGAGAGAGAGAGGAGAGATAGAGAGAGAGAGAGAGAGAGAGAGAGAGAGAGAGAGAGTAGTGTGATCTCTAGACAGCCAGACCCCTTTAAACGAGTCCACGTGCCCTCAGGCTACACTCGCAGCAAAACTCCATCGCTCCGGGAGTCCAATTTTCGTGCGGCTCCTAATTAGGGCCCCCAGAGGGCAGAAGTTTTGCGGGGTCTACGATTTTAGCCTTCTTGGACTCTATTTGCGCTTTTTAAGCTAAAAAATGCAAAACGAGAGGAGCATCAATAGGGAAAACAGACAAACTGTTGTAAAGAACTGAAATTCACCCGATTCCTGAAGAATCTCTGCTTGCCTGCCTCAATTTTTCAATTTTTCAGACCAAAAATTACAAATTTTCAGACGGAATTAGCGCAATCTTTCACCGGTTTTTCCGCCCAGCTCCAATTTACACCCAATTCCGGCCCAATTTTTGTGACCGATTTTTTTGCGGGGCAGCAATATGTGTATGAAAACATGCCAATGCACATCAATCATAACCCATCCCGCTCCTCTCACTCCGGCTAAAAGCCGCAGCTCGCATTTTTGGCCGGGTGCCGCCCGGAAATTGGATTGCCGAGGGGATGAGTAGCCGTCCGGGTAGAGGAGGTGTATTTGACTTATATCCAACTTTTGGGCTCTTAATTTGGGCTTAGTATGATCTCCTATTAATGCGCTTTTGACAGGCTTAGATTTGAGGTTTTCACCTCGTTATCGCCGGAAGTTCTAGACACCGATTAATGCACTCTTTTCGTGGTGCAGAATTTGCCATATTTTGCTTTTTCTATATTTTATACTCTGTTTTTTATTTTTTTGGATTCAACAATGCCTGTTTTAGCTAATGTAAAGATATATCGATTCAAGTAGTTTCATGAGTTTTTTAAATCTTGGAATTCCGGTATGAGCTTTGTATCGCATCAATGTGCGTTTCGCCTCACTCAACTTTAAATGTTTTGCTTGATTTTATAGTTTTTATAACTAGCAATAACACACACTTATTCTACCTTAAATGATTTTTAGTTTATAAAAATTTACAAATCTCGGTTTCCAGACTTCGGCGTCGAAAAGTCCAGGCTTTACCTCCCGTTAATGCGTGTATTTATCATAATCGAATTTTTTGCCCAGTTGCGATTCTGAAGAAGTTTCTCAATCTCCTCACCTTCTAAAAGCTTCAAAAGCCGGGGCCGAAATGCCCGGCGGGCAATCTTGGAATATTCTAGGAGATGCCTGGGAAATTTGACCCTGCCCGATTCGGTGCCCCCCAACTAGAGAAAGAGACTAATTGACTTGGGCGGGGTCCACTAGTCTGGACTACGCTCCGATTCTAGCGATGATTTTGTGGTTTTAAAGGGACTTGAAAGGCAAAATGGAGTGCTTAATTAGGAATTTTGAAAGCGCTGGATTTTTTGGGGTTATAATCGAATCGTTTGTCTCTGGGGGTTTGGCACTACTTTTTTAATGGCTCTCTCTCGCTCTCTCATTCTCTCTTTTTCGCTCTCTCTTTCTCTCTCTCTCGCTCTCTCAACTCGCTCTCCCACGAGAAAATTGTCATAGCTTCGCTATATTTCGAGTGTTTATAATTGAATCGGTTGTCTCGGGCAACCGAAAGCTTTTTCATTATTTCTGGCGCGCTCTCGCTCATTCCCCAGCTCTAACTCGCATTCTCTCTCTCGATATCTCCCACTCTCTCTCTCTCTCTCTCTCTCTCTCTCTCTCTCTCTCTCTGTCTCTATATCTCGATCTCTCCCACTCTCTCTCTCTCACGCTCTCTCTTCCTTCTCTCGCTGCACTTTTCAATTCCAGATCCCAGCTGATGATCACGCGAGAAGACCGAATAAAATGAGTGGCGCCCGCTGCATCTATGCTAGTTGTAAGTGTTACAATTTCATGGAAAAAAATCGATCAATTTTAAGCTGCAGATACTGTGGCATACTGTAACTCCCCCGCAAAATATGGGTCACTTTCCCGACCTTCTCACACCAACGACTTTTTTGGGTTGAAAACAGATAGAAATCTCTTGGGGGTTGACCCAGTTTGTGTTGGTTGTGGTTGAGAGAGAGAGAGAGAGAGAGAGAGAGAGAGAGAGAGAGAGAAGCCTTAGCCTTGACCTCCTCGGGGTTGTGGGTATTTATAAGGCTACATTGGAGAGATCTCCGAGGAAAGGCCGGGCGATTTGAACCCTTTTTATGACCTATTTTCGCGTGTATGTGCTATTTTTATCGCCAGAAACGTCTGAAATATCTTTTATTACGTTTTTTACTGGGAATTACCGAAATATCATTTTTTGCATGTTTGGAAATGAATTTATTGTAAAAAAAGTAGCTATATAAAATCCAAATGAACAAAAATAGAGAAAACTACAAAAAACTTCATAAATTTGTGCTTCGCGATGTAGCGCCCTACCTACAGTAGTCTACGATTTTTTTGGGTTTTAGCTGCTCGAAACAGTGAAATTCCAGGTTTCCTAGGTTACGTTTACTCGCTAATCCTTCGGCGAAAGGGTACAAATTTCAGATGAAGTTGACTTATATTTCGAATACATTTGTATGCTTTCTTAATTTAACAATTAAACTGATAGTTTATAACTTAGGTTTAAAAATTTATAGCTTTTGCGATGCTCATTGCTAATTTTCACTTATTTAGCCCTTTGCAAAACTTAGAGCAAGATTTTGGAATTTTTCTAAAGCGACCAACTTTAATTTTTAAATTAGGTATCTTTTTGGGCCCTCAAACTTTTTTCCGCGCGCGTACTATGAACAACAGGTCGTGGATAGGTGTGGGTTGTAGGGCGGGGTCGGCGGTCACTTCCGGCTTTTCGCCAGTAAGAGAACTTGGGTAAATAGAGCCCCTGGGCGGTTGACCCCTTGACCCAAATAGTAGAGAAAGACGGATAGACAGACAGACAGGCACAAAATGGACGAACAGACATCTTGTAGGCCACACCAGCAGAGCAATTTGCCCTCACATTGTGTCTAGGGCTAGTTTTGTCCATTTTTTAGCTTGAGAATTGCCTATAAATCCTTGAGAATCGCTGAAATATTGGGTTCTGGCGTTTGTAGTTAACTTATCCGTTTTTCGTAGCGTGGCGTAGCCATTTAGCGCCTTGACTGCAAACTACAACTGACTTTTCGCTTATTTTTGGACATTTCATGTACATAATTTAAGTTTTTTTCTTCGTTGTTGCTTCCGAATTGACGGTTGTAGTTTGTAGTTTAACTCCAGCGTTTTTTTGTGTTTGTTGTAGTTGTGTAGCTTCCATACTATGAAGGAAATGGTTCATTTAGGTTTCGCAGAAGGGTTTTGAATTGGTCATAATTCTTTTTGCCTTCCACCTGTCGTTGTAGTTTATAGTTGCATCACAGCGCTTTTTGTAGCGTAGTGTAGTCGCTTACCTTCGATTTTCACCCTGCAGCTAACTAGGATTCGACTTTTAGAGTAGTTTTTCGACTGTCTTAGCTGAATTTCGCTGATTTTTAACTCGCGCTTTGCCTTTCCGACCCCTTTAAACCCCACATTGATCGTTGACCCTGAAAACGCCAGGCTTTCGCCAATCATTTGCCCCCATTCTCGTGGTTTTCCCATCCGCCCGGATAGTGCCACGTCTCCCCGGGCTACGCGGCGCTCCCAAAAACAGTGCGCTGACCCGCCTTTCGATACCACGCCCCCACAAGAAGGCTCTACTTGACTCCCCCACGACCGCTTTATTATTTTATGCCAACGGCGGTTCGTCTGAAACGAGGGGCCGGGAAATACGGTCGGTTTTGCGCTAAATTGGGGAGAAATTGGCGGTGGCTTGATTTATTAGCCTTTTTGGGTCGGAAAGGAGCGTTTTAACAGGCATAAAAATGGCCTGCCGGTTTCAATACGCCTATAAAATTTGTTTAATTTTCGGGAGGCCTAAAAAGGTCTTCGCGCGTCTTTCTAACCTGATTTTTTATTAGCGTTACCTGATTCGTCCGATTTTCACTGTTCGGTAAGAAATACGCTTTTTGGAGCCTAAAAAGTATTGCCGATCTTTCCTGGCTAAAAAACCTTTCTTTTGGTAGAGATTCATTTTTAAAGTTTCGGTGCTTTTCTAAATGCTAATAAAATAATAATAAAAAACGTTTTCAGCAAAAAAAAACAATTTCCCAATCCGGCATCGATCCCATTTACCCGGCTTATCAATCGTTGACCGGTCGTGCTAGGGGTCAACACGTTCACCGAAAAATATTACACCCCCCAAGCACACACTCGGGTCCTATCATTCGCCCTAACTGACCAATCCATTAGACCCATCCTCGATAATAGCCCAGATCGTTTAACAATCAAAAGAAACCTTTTTGTTACCCGAGGTCTTAGTTTTCCATATATAAACTTTCTCTTAGGTTACCATACCTTTCTTTTGTTTTCTACAGCCTGTAAAACGCTAACTAACTTTCTCTTTCCAGTGGTGATGGGTATGGTTGGCCTATTCGTGCTCGGCGTCGTTGCCGTGGCCTTCGTAAGTTTTTAGACCTTAGAATTACTTTAATACGTTTTTTTAAATGGTTTTGATTTATCTTTGCAGTTCGGCAGCTCGCAGGCCGCCGACACGGTCACCGTCACCAAGCAGGTCTACTTTGACATCGAGATCGGAGGCAAGAAGGTGAGGATTTGGCCTTTTTGATTTTAATTGGGCTATCTTTTGGATTATCTTAATTGTCTATTGCAGGAGGGCCGTATCGTCATCGGACTTTTCGGAGATGTCGTCCCCAAGACCGCCCGCAACTTCCTCGAGCTGGCCACCGGCCAGAACGGCTTCGGCTACAAGGGCTCCAAGTTCCACCGTGTCATCAAGGACTTCATGATCCAGGGTGAGTGCATAATTTCGTTCTAAATAGCGTAGCGTAGTTGACTTTGCCCTTTTCGTAAAATTTCACGAAAAAACTCTTATTTTATTTTCATTTTAGGAGGAGACTTCACCCGCGGTGACGGCACCGGTGGCAAGTCCATCTACGGAGACCGTTTCGCCGTGAGTTTTCGGGGTTTTTGCTTTATCACAACCCATAGAATCTGTTTATTTTAATTTTTATCCTTGTTTTCAGGACGAGAACTTTGACCTGAAGCACTACGGCCCTGGATGGTTGTCGATGGCCAACGCCGGAGCCGACACCAACGGATCGCAGTTCTTCATCACCACCGTAAGTTTGATGGCCGAAATTAACACGATTTACAACAAAATTGTACGCGTAGCAGGCGCGTCGTGGCAACTTTTTTATTTTATCTGTATTTCAACAGGAAAAAGTGTTTAAAAAAACAGAATTTGGGCCGAAAAGATATATTTTTAGTCTTTATAAAATCAGGATAGGAGTTTTTCAATTAAGGAATAGTGAAAAAGTATCGATTTGTGTTTGAAAAATCTGACTCTGAGGCAAAAATGTTTTAAAAGTCTATTTGCTTCTTCAGGTGACCACCCAATGGCTCGACGGACGTCACGTCGTCTTCGGCAAGATCCTCGAGGGTATGGATGTCGTGAGGAAGATCGAGGGATCCGAGACTGCCCCTGGAGATCGCCCGAAGAAGGAGGTCAAGATCGCCGATTCCGGAGAGCTGCCCCTTGCCGCCCCGTTCGAGACCCCCAAGGCCGGCGTCAACTAAACCACTCAATCCCTGGGAATTCGCTGCCTCTATTTTTCTCGTTGTTTTTTTTGTATGCTCCACCAAAAATCGTCTCTTTCTCTGTACGTGTCTGACTCCGGAGGGTCTCTGAATTATGTATTTGTGTTTTTTTTTGGAATACTAATAAATGTACACAAAAAAGCACTTGGAAAACGTAATTGTAAAAGCATTGAGACTTTATATTTTGATTTTTTTGTGATTGACAAATGAAAGCGAGCACCAAACAAGCAATCATAACAAAGAAAATAGGCACATAGTGGAGCAAAATTTGCAGGTAGATAGGTTGAGAAATTAAAGTGTTTTTCCATTCTTTGTGACGTCCAGAATCTGAAAATGGACGTTGATGACCTTAGAGATTCTCGTAAACGTTCTAAAAAGCTTGTAGCTTCGGTTATCCGTGTTTTGACTTAGATATTAAAAGCCTAATCGAGCTATTATTGCTCAAAAAATACGCACCTCTACATCCCCTTCGATTCGGATCTTGTCGAGGTACGGCCTGTGCTCCCGGTGGTCAAAGTCGACGAAGCGCTCGCCATTGAAGTATATTTCCAGGTCCGTCCAGGTGTAGATGATGGAGAGGTCGAAACTATCAAGAAAATGGTCATTTAATACAAAAATATATTCTTAATAAATACGATACTCAAGTACAAAAATCCAAAAAGCCACTCACATTCTCCAATCATCAATCGGCATATCGTCACTCTTAATTGCGCGCGCCGGGTTCCAGCGGCCATCCGTCAAGAAACTCTTCTCCCACGTATCAATCCACACCGAATCCTTTTCGAATTGGAGGGAAATCTGAACAAGTCTGGTTTTAATAAAAATTCGATTTGGTCGAAAAACCGCGATTTTTGTTGCAATGCACAATTTAGGAAGTTTTGACGTTTAGGAATATAAAAAACAGTTTGGAAACACTTACTCGAACTATATTAGGAAAATTGGAGCCTTGGAGAAGTGCCCCCCTCGATAATGCAAAAGAACCCTGGTTAGCGCAACCACGACAAACTCTATCACCTTCAAAATCAAGCTAAAACCTTACGATAAACGTCGGGGTATTCGTCTCATCAGAAAACGTTATGTTGATGCTTTTTGCTAAAAATTACCGGCGTTTATAGCCGTCAAAGGAGCAAGAGTTACGCTTCGGAATCTCCACAGTTTTGCCCTGGAACTCGTCGCGGCATCCGTGGTAGCAGTGGGTGGTTGGGACGAAGTAGGTGCGACCGCCGTATCGATAGCTAGGATCAAGCCGTTTTTCCAGTTGACCTTTCACACCTGAAGCTCGCGGGCCCGGCGTACGGGTGTACGGACGTGGCGCTGCGTCCGCGCCAGCTCTTGTACGCGTAGTAGCCTGAAGAGAGTTAGAAAAAGGATTAGTTATGTTTTGCTAGTATACTAAAACTAGTTTTTTTATCACTCAAGGCACCTAATATTTGGAAGAATACCTTGGCGGTTGCGGTTGCGATGCCGGCGACGACCCGAGAAGCCAAACCGGGTGTGCACCCGGTTATGGTAGCTGCGGTACGTTTTTGAGCCTAAAAAGTTTAGGTTTTCAGAATAGGGTCCTACTGCTGCTTCCGGAATACCATTTGACCGAGTGGGAAGAGTGGCCGCCGCCGGAGCCGTGCGACGATCCGTGGGACCTACACGGTTTTTTTATATTACTTTTATATTTTGCGGATCATTTAATTTGGTAATCAAGACTGGAAAACCAATTCAAGGTTTTAACTTTAAAAATCGTTAAATGCCATACCTAGATGACGAGCCGCCTCGACCGCTATGACCGCTGCTTTTCCGTTTCGTACGGATTATGTTAGCTCCTGAAAATCAAGGTTTTCATAAATACAATTTTATTTTACCTGTTACGTCCTGCAGCCCGCGGTCGCCGAAAATCTCGCGTATCTGCGCATCATCGCGCACTACAAACTCAATTATCCTAAACCATTTCGAAAAACCTACATTCCATCATGGGCTGAAGCTTCAAATCCAGCCGATCATCCCTCTCAAAATGTACGTTGTTTTCGAACGGACAGGAGTAGGAGGCTCCTTCGACTCTGAAAAATAAAACTAAAAATTTATGAAGGTTTTTCTCACCTGAATAACCGAACGCCGCTGATGTCACCGGACAATGTGGCGGTCAGCTCCTAGAAAAGCCGCATCTTAAGCAAAAATTCTATTTTTCAGGGCTACAAAAGATTTCAAAAGTATAGCAACCAATCGGAAATTCGTTTAATTTTTACCCCTTCAATCCCAGCCGGTCGATCATAGATTCCGAGCTCGCCTTGGTTTCCAAAAACCTAAAAAGCGTCTCAGAGTCTTGAAATCGTAAGTTATACCTGCACGTACTTTTCGGTGAAACGAACGCGTAAATCGACGGTGCTGTTGCGCTAAAAACAAAGGAATAGGTTTATTGGTGCTTTTGCAATAGTGGAAAACAATAAAAACGTGGAAAAATGTTAAAATACTGGCCGAAAAATCGACATCTTTTGTACTTTTTAATGGAAACTTCTGAAGATTATAATAATTACTATTATTAGATTAGAATACTAAAAACCTTTAGAGACAGTTCCTCTATTTCGATTAGACAAATTGGATACTTAGCATTCCTCCCCCCCGATACAGCAAAAGAGCTCAACGTTTCCTCAACCTTAGTTTCCTTACCTCAAATGGGTTCACGGTCTCCTCATTGACAGTTTTCCCGTCTTTCCCCAGCATTTCCATGAACGAATGCACGCCACGATCTAAATGCAACATTTTTGGGCCTGAAAATATCAAGGTACCAGTTTCATTGGTGAAGTCGGCGCAGAATTTGAACTTTGACGCGCCGTGGCTCTTCAGATCGAGGCAAAAGCTAAAAAACGAGTTAGAAAATCAGACACTACGCACCGATCCGCGAGTTCCGTAGCATTGCAGTAGACGTGAATGAATTGGCCGGATTGGGAGATGGTAAGGTGTTCCGTTAGCGTACCATCTTCAGCCAGGGTCTAAAAGAAGCCTCTAAAGTGACAATTATACTCTTTAATAGCTCATATAAAAATTCAAAAGCTAACGAACCCAAAACAAAACTTTTTACTTACATAATCTCGTTCTCCGAAAAACGGAAGCAGCGGCGGATCCTTCAGCCCCCCTAAAAAGGTGTTTTTAAGGAAAAAGCCTCAATGTATGCTCTATTCTATTAGACAATACAAAATAATAAAATTTATATAATACTTTATAAACGATATTTTTACATCCAGAAACTAGCTTTTTAAACTTACACTTTCCTATCACCACTCCCGCCCCAGCGCAGAGCAACAGGAAAATCAGGATGCCGCTCCATTTCGCCCAAATGCCAACGGGCGCTTTTCTAAAAACAATTTTAGGACAATTTAAAGCAATTTTTTAGCTCACTCCTTCTCATCGGGCACTGATATTGTAGGTGGCGGCGCGTCATAGGTGTACACCGGAAGCGGATGCTGGGTGGGCACCGGTTGGTACGGTTGCCCGTTCATCCCCGCTAAAACGGAGAAAGTTAATCTGAATGTTATAAGTTTAATGTCGGCAAAGCAAGAAAGAGAAAATACATTTAAGATAGTGAAGAAAAAAATATCCCTGGAGCTAATTTAATATAATTTCTTCTTTTTATCACCTGCTCCAATCTTTTTCAGCCTTTCGCGTGTAAAAGAGCGAGTTAAAACTAACTTTATAACTTAAAATTAAAAGGAAAACCAGAGTAAAAATACACTTTAAAATTATTAAAGCAATAATTACAGTTTTGCACTTTACCCTTGATTTTTAATAACATTTAAGTGGTTTCTAACACTTTTTAGAAGGTCAAAACAATTCTTAGTCAATGTTTTAAAAGGCCGTCCGCCAGTCACTCGAACAGGCCCCATACTAGCTTGGCACAGTTTTTTTCGACCCATTTTTTATGACGTCATCTGAAAGAGCATGGTCGAATTAGTAGACTGGGATGGTTTTGAAAGTTTTAAAAGTTTGATTTTGAGGTTAAAATGGGCCTCAAAGTTGCCGACACCCAAAAAAATATATCGAAAACTACTGAACGGAATTTGCTGAAACTTTGTGACAATCCCTAATTTGGGTCGGGGAACATTTTTCTAATACATTGCGAAACCAGAAAGTGGCCGGAACATAGGTATCTTGCGTACTAAAAACAGTTTTTTCGGAATTAGTAGTTTTACGGGTGATCGCTGCATCAAGCGATTAGTATTAAAAGATGCACCGAAATTTTCTCTATCGATTGATGTATCTTTTAGAATGCAGCGAGCACCCGTAAAAACCGAAAAATCGTCCTGAATGGGTCGCCGGGGCGTCAATTTCGGCCATTTTGGTGAAGAATTCCTTGTGGGGATAGGCTAGAGTAGGCGAGATAGTGGGGGAAAGTGAGAGAGTGGCCTCCGGGGGCCGATTTGGCTGCAGGCCTGTTCGGCTGTCGCTGTGGTGCATTGGTAGTGGCGTGGGATCCTTGCGCCGGGGCGCCTCTAGATCAATCCCAGCCTACCTTTAGAAAGCTAATTTCTTTTTGCTCTTTTTCGCAATTATCCTAACTCGGGCTATAGAATCATAACCATGTCACTCCCTGAAATATTTGCCAAATTTGGTCTTCCGGCGACCCATTCAGGACGATTTTTCGGTTTTTACGGGTGCTCGCTGCATTCTAAAAGATTCATCAATCGATAGAGAAAATTTCGGTGCATCTTTTAATACTAATCGCTTGATGCAGCGATCACCCGTAAAACTACTAATTCCGAAAAAACTGTTTTTAGTACGCAAGATACCTATGTTCCGGCCACTTTCTGGTTTCGCAATGTATTAGAAAAATGTTCCCCGACCCAAATTAGGGATTGTCACAAAGTTTCGGCAAATTCCGTTCCGTGGTTTTCGATATATTTTTTGGGTGTCGGCAACTTTGAGGCCCATTTTAACCTCAAAATTAAACTTTTAAAACTTTCAAAACCATCCCACTCTACTAATTCGACCATGCTCTTTCAGATGACGTCATAAAAAATGGGTCGAAAAAAAACTGTGCCAAGCCTTGTTCGGGTCTCTCGCAAACGGCCTTTTAAAGTTTTACTTGAAAACACGCCAATTTATAGCTTTTCAACGTTTTAAAACAAATTTTTCAGCAGAAAATCATTGCGGGTAATCGATTACGCGCGGTAATTCCAGGACAGCGGGACGCGCGCTTTATAGAAAACCAGCCCCACGAGGATTTTGGGCCCCAGATCGCTCCCAAATGATCAGATTTGGTCCCGGAAGTTTTTCTGGGTTTCCGGGGAGCAAGAACACGCCTTTGTAGTGTAAGAGCCGGGTATTTTCAGCCGTTTTTTTCGGCAGGGAACACCCGGCTGGGGCCAACGAGTGCAGGCGCGCCGTATCGACCCGGAACCCCCGGCTCTTTTCAGACCCGCGTTCTCTTTTTGCCATCCCCATCTTCTTGGCAGTCCAAAAATCAGACACTTTTTTAGTGCCACTTTTCTGTGTTTTTCTGCAGTAGGCGCCCACCAGGAAATGGGGCCACCTGTTCGTTAGATGGGCCCCTGGGGGCATGTTTTTGGTATCGGCCGATTGCGACGTAAAAACTATAGCTCGATGGAGATGAAACATTTATTAATAAAATATATTAAAATCGTAGAAATATTAATTAAAATATATTTAAATTAATGGGAGAACCCGTAATAACAAATCAGAGCAAAAACCAAACATAGCATCAAAATCAGGAAAAAGGTACTTTTGCAGTATCAGGGGGACCCAGTTTTTTCTTTTAAGTCCCTATTTCCTTAGTAAATAATAGCGAGTATGTTAATCATTTGTGTCTTTTTTTAATTTAGCTTGGTTTGGAGTAGAAAAACTAATTAGAAAGCTTAGAAAAACTAGATTTAGAATTTTGTCAAAATTGGCAAATAATTTTTTGGCCAAAAATTCTATTTTGGTACCTGTTGCATAAAAATTCTTAAAGTTTTACGTTTAGAGATGCCTTAAAAGGTATAGGCTGACAATGCCGATTCACAGAATGCCGGTTTACAGAATGCCGATATACAGAATGCCGATTTTACAGAATGCCGATTTACAGAATGCCGATTTTACAAAATGCCGATTCACAGAATGCCGATTTACAGAATGCCGATTTTACATAATTTGGGTTCCACATCCAAAAATACAAACCGGATCCCCAGAAAAAGCATTATCCGACTTGGACATGGCGAAACCGCCAGACCTGAGGCCTAGCTTTACTATTTTCTTTTTTCAGAGAAACCTCAGTTCCACGTTACCAAGGGGCTTGGCTTACTAAATTAAACTCTTCTATCAAACAGTTTTCCCTTCCTCTCGACGTGAGGCCGGGCATTCTCAACCAAGAAATAATAATGAGTCGTTGCGTTTTGTCGCTGCGGCTGAGCACGTTGGAAGTGTCGGCGACCAGCGAAAAGGGGCACGCGTTGAAACTTGTCGCGATGCTTGCGATTTCCTTGTAATCCCCGATCTCTACGTGAAAAAAAGAATTCGTAAAAATTTGCCATAGCCAAGCCGGATAATGTTTTTATGGGGGATCCGGTCTGATGTAAAACCCAAATTATGTAAAATCGGCATTCTGTAAATCGGCATTCTGTAAATCGGCATTCTGTGAATCGGCATTATGTAGGTAAATCGCCTTAAAAATTGTAGAAATCCTTCCTCTATTTCTACTACAAAAATTTAAAATAGAAAATCAGTCAAATCTGGGAGAAAAATACATATTTCTTTACAAAGATTTTTCAGGTTTTATGCTTAGAAATAGTAAAATAGCGTAATAACATCTTCGCTTTATATTAGAAAAACTCTATTTCCTACCCTCGATGTTGCAAAAGTACCAGCAAAAAAAAATCGAAATTACAGCGTTTTTCCATTCTTCGTTACGCCCAGGATCTAAAATTCAGCAGATAATTACTTGAACCGTGTGTTAAAAATATATTTTTGCTATTAATGCTAAAAAATCGATACCTCGACATCCCCCTCGATTCTCATCTTGTCCAGCTTCAAGTTGGGCCCCCGGTGGTCAAAGTCGGCAAAGCGCTGCCCGTTGAAGTAGATGAGCAAGTCGGAGTAGGTGTACAAGACCGAGAGATCAAAGCTAAAAATTGAAAATGATTTAAAAATACGAAAATGGCTTTAAACGTTATAAACCGACATTCTCCAGTCGTCAATTGGCATATCGTTGGCTTTGAGAAGTCGATCTGGGTTCCAGCGGCCTTGAATTTCGGATTTAGCCGGTTTCTCCCACGCACTCATCCACAGGGAATCTTTGGAGAATTGGAGAGAAATCTGGAAATGGCTTACGGTTCTTTGGAATTATCGGGGGAGGACTAATTTTAACATGGAACTCCAGAAATACCTTCTTACGTAATAGCAGGTATTTTAGCAGTGTTTTTAGTAAAGTTAAATTTATTGAAAGTGGGATAGGAGAAAGTTATTACGCTTAGGAATAGTAGAAAAAGAACTTTCCCCCCCAATAATGCGCAAGTACCGGTTTAAAATCTTATTTTTTAAGTTTAAAGTTTACCAGGTAACTTTTAGGCTTTTTTAGGTTTTTAACCACTCACCATAAATATCGGCATTCCATCTCCATCAGTGAACGTAATGTTGACGTTTTTCGCTTAAAAAGTACGATATTGAGCACATTACAAAAAAAATCCTACGTTTTGGAACGTCCACCGTTTTCTCGTGGAACTCGTCGCCACAGCAGCTAGTGGACGGCATGAAATAGGTACGTCCACCGTAGCGATAACTGAAAATTTCCAGCTTATAATTTTTCCACTTTTTTTAATCCGTACCTGAAAGTCGCTGGTCCGGAATATGGTTTCAGCAACGAAGTGGTGCGATTCGAAGTAGGTTTCTCGGCGTAGAAGCCTAAAACGCCGGGTGTTTCAGATTTATTAAAACAGAACTTTCTAATATAAAAACTTTTTATAACCTTAGAAACGAGTCCAATTTCTATTAAAATACAAAAATATAGATTTTTGATCAAAATTTCCGATTTTTAAATCTTTCCCACCTTTTAAATTGTTTTTACAACTGATATAGCTAGGTTCTGTTAAACTTACATTCTTTGTATAAAATTGTTTAAAAAATTTATAAGTAGCACTCACTTTTGCCAGGGCCCATCCGACGTGGCGTCAAGCGATACCGCGCGTAGATGTGGCTGAAATATTGGGGGCGAGGCGGCGGGGTGGGGGCGGGTGGATTTGGGCTGAAAAGGAGAACAAAAATATTCGAAAAACATTTAGAGACCGTAAAACAATGTAGTTCTTAATACTAATAATCACATAATTAAAACTATATCTAATCCTTAAAATGCAAAAAAACAACAAGAAAATTCTATTTCCCTACCTGGGCGTAGATCCAGCCTTATTTGGGTAAGGGATGATCGGGTTCGGGCTGGGTGTGGTCGAGTTTCGAGCCCTAGAAAATCATTTTAAGCCTAAAAACTAAAAACGCAACACCTAGCGGCGGATCCTCCCCGAGAATGGCTGCTGCTCCCTTTCTGAAGCGGAATGCTCGAGCTCGGAATTTGAATTGTCGAGTTTCGGCCACGGGCCCTAAACAAAAATTATTTTAAGCCTAAAAACTAAAGATTCTATACCTAGCGGCGGATCCTCCCCGAGAATGGCTGCTGCTCCCTTTCTGGAGCGAAATGCCCGTGCTCGGGATTTGAATTCTAGATTGATAATTGAAAATACGAATTAGAAAAAGTTTTTACGTTTTGGATACTTCATTAGGAATGTTTTCGGCACTGATTGATGGGGCGCTCGGTGTTTTCTGGGCGAGCGCATCCGTTCTGAAAGTTGACGTGAAATTACTACTTTTGAAACCTTAAAATGCTATTTGGAAATGGTTTCCAAAAATAGTTAAGTGCTCGTACAAATTAAAAACTAAAAAATAAAGTTAGTTATCGAAAAAACTCCAAAAAATCCCCACCGATTACCGGATTCACCGCGTTTCGAAGTAGTACTGCTCTTACGCTTTTTACGGAGCAGAGCAGCTCCTAAAGCTCAATTTCAAAAAACGTTTTGGTATTTTTACCCGGTTGGTTTTGCTGGCCGAAAATCGCGCGTATCTGCGCCTCGTCGCGTACTAAATTTGCTTAACTTAAAAATCTATCCAAAAACTCACCTTCTATCATAGGCTGTAGCGCGAGATCTAGCCGATCGCCCCGCTCAATTTGCAGCGCGTTCTCGAAGGGCGTTGCATACGAGTGACCCTCAACTCTAAGAAGAGACAAATAAATAAATAGACATAGACGTAAAATTTAAAAAGTATAAAAAAGTATAATAAAAAACTTAAAAAGCCCAGATGAAAACTTTTTCATACCTGAATAGTCGTACGCCATCTAGATCCCCGCTTAAGGTCCCGGTAAGGTCCTATGAAAATGGAATAGAATTTTTCATTTTAATACTTACCCCTTCAAGCCCAGCCGGTCGATTGTAGATGCCAAGTTCGCCTTGATTTCCAAAAACCTAGAAAAAGAGATATCCTCTTTCTCTCTCTCTCTCTCTCTCTCTCTCTCTCTCTCTCTTCTGCCTGTCTCTCTGTCCCCTCTCTCTCGCTCTCTCGCTCTCTCACCTTCTCTCGCTAGCTCTCTCACCCTCTCACCTTCTCTCGCTAGCTCTCTCTCCCTATCTTTCTGTCTCTCTTTCTATCCCTCTCTCTCTATCCCTCTCTCTCACTCTCACCTGCACATATTTTTCCGTAAACCTGATGCGCAAATCCACGGTGCTGTTGCGCTAAAATCCAAAACCATTTTCCAAACACGTTTTTCGTACCTCAAATGGATTCACAATTTGCTCTTTTACATATTTCCCATCTTTCCGTAAAATTTCGATATATGAATGAGCCCCACGATCTAAAAATAACTTTTTCGGTTTTGAGGACAAAACCCACCAGTTTCATTGGTAAAATCAGCGCAGAATTTGAACTTCGATGCCTCATGCCCCTTCAGATCGAGGCAAAACCTAGAAATTGATAGCGTAATCGGTTAAGCGTAATCCACCGATTTGCCAGCTCCGTGGCATTGCAGTAGACGTGGATGAATTGGCCGGACTGGGAGATCGTCAGTTTTTCTGTCAAGCTACCATCTTCGGCTAGTACCTAGAGCTCCAAATTACGTAGAGGTTTTTTGGCATTAACGGGGGGGGGGAATAATTTTTGCTGATTTTTTTGAATAATTCCCGGAATACTTAATGTCTAGTCAGTGTTTTAATAGTGCTTTGCGTAAAATTTAACCATATTTGTAGGCGAAACTATGCAAACAACGTGGAAAATTATCTGGTCGAAAAAGCTATCATTTTTGTACTCTGAAAGAAGTCCTGTAAAGATTCTCCCCCCCTCCCCTGCCGCCGATAATATAAAAGAACCAAGATAATTATACCATTAAAAGTAATAGACACAAAATTGGCTTACATAATCGTGCTCCCCAACAAATTGCAATCGAGGGATCGGCTCTGCGTTGGGGGCTGCTAAAAGTTTTCTTTTAATTTTATTTTTGTTTCAAACGATCGAAACCTTAAAAAATCATAAAAAAAGAGAAATTCTACTGAAAAAAACGCCAAAACGTACCATGAAATATCAGCGCTATTACTCCAAAGGAAAATAGCAGGAATAGTGCAATCGCAACAACATTCCCTCGACCGCATTCTGAGGCGGTTCTAAATACAAATAAAACGTAAGTATTGAGCGATAAAACCCCTACCCTTTTTGCTGTGTCTGCTGCTGTGCTTGTTGCTGTTGCTGCGGGGCGGGTTGCTGAACTTCAAACGTTTCCTGCGGAAATGGATATGGCGGATAGGCGGAAAGTGGGGAATCTTCGTTGGTGAGCGGTTGGTAGGGCATGGGCGCTAAAAAAGGATGAGAATAATAGTTTTGGAAACAAACAGGGGGAATAAAATGATTAACGACAAGGTTTATCACATATCATTTAACAAAATTCGCTAATTTCACCAAATAAAAGGGGCTTAAAAGTCTAAAAAATCAATGAAAATTGCTGAAAAGTAGCTTGTTTGCTCGGCCAATGCTATATTTTTTACCATAATTGGCTGGCTCTAATCAATAAACGCATTTATAAACACTAAAAAAAATTCGCCGGTGCCGCCGATTCTGATCTTAGAATTCGCGAAAATGGCGTAATTTATAGCCTTTTCGCCGCCATTTTCATTACAAATCCCGGGGTAATAGATTGTGCAAGGCTAATTACATAGTGCGCGCGGAGCGGCGGCTTATCATCCGCGAGTTCCTAAAACGTTCGTTCTCCTATAAACTCCCGGGATGGGGGCGGCCCTGTTTAAGTTTTTTTTTGTATCCTCTCTCTCTCTCTCTCTCTCTCTCTCTCTCTCTCTTTCTATCTTGATTGACGACTTGGTAATGAGAACATTTCCCGAAAACACCCGGAAAAATTCCGGGGACCAGTTCCGACAATTCGGTTTTCAACAAGGTCAGTATTTTTCGTAGAGATCATGTGAGCAAACAATTTTATCCTTGGGCAAAGTCAAAATTGAGAATACACAATAGCACCCGATAACAAAGAGTGTTGGAGGAACCGCCAGAAACAAGTGAACCCATTACGCGACCCTTTTTCCGCGACACTCCTATGCCCCCTGTTCCCCTGTGCTTTCCCTTCCCCCTTGCCGGCTGGCCCTCTTCGATTTCTTTTTTCAGTCTTCGTCCTGTCCCCGCAACTCCGTGTTGTCCGTAACTCGTTGAGTTACACATTATTTTATCTGCCAATAAACTCTCCTTGTTCTCTCCATTTGGTTCAGGCACTCAAGGTATCGAACGGTCCGATCGCAAAGCATCCCTTTGGATCGCGACCAGCACTTTGACAAGAACTCACGCACAACCAGCTCCACAACAACTGGCGATCAAGGATTCGACTCTGTGCTGCTGAACAATGGCGATGATGGACGACCCCGACTTCAAGGCGATGCTGAAGGAGATGACCGCCATGATGAAGGCCGGTCAAGAGCGCGAGGCCAAGATGATGGCCGAGCTCGAGAAGATCCGCGCGGAGGCCCCAACGCACATGGGCTCCGTTAGCGAAGATTCAAGCCAAGCACCCAGGCCTCTGAATGCTGTCGAGATCGGCGCCCTAGCCACTCGCATCAGCCGGTTCGAGTATGACCCGTCCCAGGGGATTACTTTCGACAAGTGGCACGAGCGATTCAATAATCTCGTGGCCACCGAACCGCGCATTTCCGAAGCGAACAAAAAGCACCTTGTTCTCGGAATGCTGGACGCTAAGGCATACGGATTGCTGGCGGATCACGCTCGTCCCAAGGAGCTATCCGAGGTCGACTACAAGGACATTGTCAAGTTTTTGACAGAAATGTTCGGTGAAAAGCTGTCGCTTTTCAGCCGCCGATACCAAGCCTTTCGCGTTGCGAAAGAGGCCGACGAGGATATGCGCTCGTACGCAGCTCGCGTGAACAAGCTCTATGAACAGGGCCGCGTCAAAGAGATGAAAGAGGATGAAGAAAAGTGCTTACTTTTCGTCGCTGGATTGTCCGATCAAGCACATCGCGACATACGCAAAAAGCTTATCCGTATCCTGGAGTCAAAGGATGACGTGAAGCTGGACGATTTGCTGCGCGAGTGTGACTTACAAACCACTCTGAACATGGATGTTGTTGTCGAGCAACATGCCAATATCAATCGGATCCAAGCATCGGGATCGCGAAAGACGTGGAAGGAACAGCGCGGCTGCACCTCTAGCAATGGTCGGCCCCAGCCTACCTCCAATGATCGCCCCCGAGTTGACAAGCGGAATGACATCTGTCATAATTGTGGGAGGCGCGGACACTGGCGTACCGAGTGTCGCGCTGGAAGTTCTGAAAAGAACCAAGGAAATAATTTCTCGAGGCCGAGAGATTCAAAAGCAAATAAACAGTGGAAGCCGAAGGTGAACGCGATAATTCACATCAATGCTGTCGATTCAACGCGCAAAGACGTTGAACTTTCGATCGATGGCATCGCTTTTACTTTGCAGTTGGACACGGGCGCTGCCGTAACGCTGATTGATGAAGTTTTGTGGACTAAATTGAATTGTCCGCCACTTCAACCTTCGGATATACAACTACGTGCCGCCAATGGTGGGCCAATTGAAGTGAAAGGTTGCTTCGATACCACTTTCAAAGTGAAAGGCATTGAAGGTCAAGGCAAATGCTTTGTTACCAAGAATATTCGCTTGATGGGGCTTGATTGGATTGATCAGCTGCCACAATTCGCTTCTTGTTTTGATGAGTTGTGTGTTAACAAGGTCACACTCAAGCAATCTGCACTCGAAGAAGAGTTGCTCAAGAAGTTTCCGAACGTCTTCAAGGACGGCTTAGGCTTGTGCACAAAGGCCAAAGCTGAGCTTCAGCTAAAGCCTGACGCACAGCCAATATTTTTGCCATTTCGACGTGTTGCATTCTCAATGGAAGCTGCCATTGAACAAGAGATCCAGCGACTTGTTGATTTGACGGTGCTGAAACCGGTCACGTACAGTCAATGGGCTGCACCCGTCGTACCTGTCAAAAAGAAGGACGGTTCTATGAGACTTTGTGGAGATTTTTCTACCGGCTTGAACGCAGCTTTGGAGGATTATCACCATCCACTCCCCACTGCTGAAGATATTTTCACCAAGCTGAACGGTGGAAAATTTTTCTCTCAGATTGACTTGAAGGATGCATATTTACAGATTGAGGTTGAGGCTGACAGCCAAGAATACCTAACTATCCACACTCATAAAGGCTTGTACCAATATCAACGTTTGATATTCGGTGTGAAGACTGCTCCTGGTATCTTTCAGAAGATAGTGGACAATTTGATCGCAGGCCTGGACGGGACCGCTGCCTACCTGGATGATATTCTCATCACCGGCCGTACCCAGGAGGAGCACGACGACAGGGTCCGTCGTTTATTTGAGCGAATCCACGAGTTTGGATTGCGCGTCAAAATGGAGAAGTGCGCTTTTGGCAAGGCTTCGGTGAAGTATCTTGGTTTCATATTGGATTCACAAGGCCGAAGACCGGATGCCCAGCGTACGGCTGCGATAGCAAACATGCCGCAACCGACATGCCTCAAGGAAGTTGAAAGCTTCTTGGGCATGGTCTCGTTCTATCAGTCGTTCATTCCTCGTATGCGGCAAATGCGCGCTCCGCTTGACGAGTTGAAAAGGAAAGACACAAAGTTTGTCTGGCATGAGGGCTGCGAAAAAGCTTTCCAGTCGCTCAAGGATATTGTAATATCTGATCTCTTGCTTTGCCACTATGACGCCAAGTTGCCAATCGTCGTCGCCGCTGATGCAAGCGAGCAGGGACTTGGGGCGGTCATTACGCACAAGTTTGCGGATGGTTCGGAGAAGGCCATTTCACATGCCAGCAGAGCATTGACCGTGGCAGAGAAGAATTACAGCCAGATCGAAAAAGAAGGTTTAGCCCTCATTTTCGCGATTCGGCGCTTCCACCGCTACATCTATGGAAGGCGTTTCGTGCTATTGACGGATCACAAACCTCTTTTACCCATCTACGGGTCGAAAAAAGGCATTCCGCAGCACACCGCAAATCGACTGCAACGGTGGTGCTTGTTTTTGAACAACTACGACTTTACGATTGAATATCGTAATACAACCAAGTTCGGTCAAGCGGATGCACTTTCCCGTCTGATTCCGCCGAGAACTGAGCCCGATGAAGACATCGTTATTTCGCAGATAGAAATCGATGTTGCGGCGGTTTTCGAGGAAAAATTGAGCCAAGTCCCAATTTCGCAAAAAGAAATAGCAATTCAAACGGAGCAGGACCACACACTTGGTGCTGTGATTGAATATATCAAAGTTGGAACTTTTCCAGACTGTTTGCCAGGCTCCGCTCTGTACGCATTCAAAAGTCTAGTTCCCAACCTGTCGATACATCAAGGTTGTTTATTCTTGAAAGAACGAATTGTTGTCCCGAAAAGACTTCAATTGCGTGTCCTGAAAATGCTCCATGAAGGACATCCTGGTCAGACTAGAATGAAATTGCTCGCGAAACAGTATGTTTACTGGATTGGCATGGACACAGACATCGACCGCATCGTGAAAGAATGCGATGGCTGCCAGAAAGCCCAGAAGATGCCTGTGAAAAGTGAATTGACCCCGTGGCCTATACCCAATCGTCCAATGGAGCGTGTGCACATTGACTACGCCGGCCCCATTGATGGTCGAATGTACCTGGTATTTGTTGACGCCTACTCTCGTTGGCCAGAAATCCACGATTGTAAGGTCGCAACCAGCCGTACGACGATTGCCCATTTGAGAGATATTTTCTCTAGGTTTGGAGATCCGCAAACCCTTGTTTCGGATAACGGTACTCAATTTACTTCAAAGGAGTTTGAAGAATTTTGCACTGATCGTGGAATCAAACATCTACGTACGCCCCCATTTCATCCTCAATCGAATGGTTTGGCTGAACGTTTCGTTGACACATTCAAGCGAGCTTTGAGCAAAGCTCCCGGATCGCTCAACGCTGAAACACTGCAAATATTTTTGCGCAGTTACAGGTCCACCCCGTGCCCTTCTTCGCCGAAACAGCTATCTCCGGCTGAAATGTTTATCGGGAGAAAGCTTGTTACTCCTCTTGTTCGGTTGGCTCTGTCCAAGAGCAACGACAAGACCTGTCTGAAAGTCGCTCTTCAAAAAGAGGGGAAGACGACGATGGTTGAGCAATTTAACCGGAGACATGGTGCCCGAAAACGATCATTTGAAATCGATGCCAATGTCTGGGTGCGCGATTATCGCAAGCCAAACAAACCAGCTTGGATCGAAGGTCGTATTTCAAAAGTACTTGGTCGTTCCATGTATGAGGTTTCTAACACCTCTGGAGACATTTGGCGAAGGCATGCCAATCAACTGAGAAATCGCTATGTTCGCGATTTGCTCGAGGATATTCTAGATGAGTTCGATCTGCCTAGAATCCCGGAAGTCAATGTGCAGGGTCCCAACCCACCTCTTGACCAAGCGTTTGTGCCACCCGGAGACGACAAGGATGCCGCCAATAATGCTACTCCCAATTCCGTACCCAAGTCGCCCATTCCCAATGTTCACCATCATCCCGCTCAATCGCGTAACACGACTCCCGCGAAGTCGTCGCCAAGGCCAACAAGATCGGCAACCCCTCGAAACGGACAACCGCGTGACCAAGGCCGTGAGCAAGCAGAGGCGTCGCCTGAACGACCCGCTCCACGACCAGATGGAGATATGCCCGCTGACGAACAGCAAGCCGCTCAAGCTCGTCCCATCAAGCAGAAGAAGCTCGACGAGCTCGGCCCCATCATCCAAGGAAAACGTCACCGCCGTCCACCCACTCGTTACGAAGACTGATGTGCCGTCAAGTTGAAGTGCCCCGTTCCGCGTCTACACGACCACCACCGTCAAGCACTTCATCAGAAGGGAGATGTTGGAGGAACCGCCAGAAACAAGTGAACCCATTACGCGACCCTTTTTCCGCGACACTCCTATGCCCCCTGTTCCCCTGTGCTTTCCCTTCCCCCTTGCCGGCTGGCCCTCTTCGATTTCTTTTTTCAGTCTTCGTCCTGTCCCCGCAACTCCGTGTTGTCCGTAACTCGTTGAGTTACACATTATTTTATCTGCCAATAAACTCTCCTTGTTCTCTCCATTTGGTTCAGGCACTCAAGGTATCGAACGGTCCGATCGCAAAGCATCCCTTTGGATCGCGACCAGCACTTTGACAAGAACTCACGCACAACCAGCTCCACAACAAAGAGCAAAACAGTAATTTTGGAGGTAAAAAAAAATCATACGGGTTGCCCGTCCTTGGCGACGCGGAGGATCTAAAAAAGCAATTTATCTTTTAACGTAGGGTTATGCAATCACCTCGCAATCGCCTTGGATGAGCACTTTTTCGAGGACTTTGCTCCGATCGCGATGCTCGAAATCCATGAAGCGCTGCCCGTCAAAGTAGATGATCAGCTGGGAGCCGTCGTGGACGATGGAAAGGTCAAACCTGGAAACAAGCTACCTATATTTAAGTCTGTATTTAAGTTAGTATTACAATTAAAAATTTAAAAAACCTAGAACTAAACATACAGCCTCCAATCCTCGACGGGGATCGGGTGAACGCGGATCTCATCGTCGGCCCATTTATTCGGGAACACCCAGACCTTTTGGTAGGTGTTGACGACGACCGCATTTTCCTCCCAGCGTAGAGATAGCTATAAATATTCAAATTTTTCCTTGATCTTTACGCTTAATGTTATAAAATTCCGGATCTTTTGCATTATCGGGTGGGATGCTAAAAAACCGGATTTGCCCTGTGGCATAAAAGCAATTGTTTTACCAATTTTTTTTGCAAAAACTTAGCTATATTTCAAATGGAAAAATACTTAGAAAATCTCCGAAATATAGCAAAATCTTTAATAATATATGAAATTTTGGTCGAAAAATCGCTATTTTTTGTACTTTTAACAAAAATGCTCCAAGTTTTTGCGTTTGAACATATCGTTCCTCCCCCGCCCCCCGATAATGCAAAAGCTCCTCCATTCCCTACCGTAAAAGTCGGAATGCCCTCGCTGTCCTTGAACAGCACATCGATTCTTTTCACTAAAAGAAGCATAAAAATGTGTACATTACTTTTCGATACCTTTCGGCATCGGTATCTTTGGCCTAGTCTCACAGCCATTCGGGCAATTTGGAGTTGATGTATAATAAGTCATGCCATTCGCGCGATAGCTGGAAAACCAGGCTTAATCAGCTCATTTGGAAGCTTCGCAAAAATTACAAACCTCAACGTAAAATTTTCACGCTAAAAAGATATAGCCTACAAGATACAAAGTATGAAAAAAGTTACCTATAACTGGCCGGGCCGGAATACGGATGGATCGGCACCGGGCCGCCGACTCTCCGGTCCTTGTAGATGTAGTAGTCTAAAAACGTTATATTGTACATTTTTGAGCATGAACTGACTCTGGCGATAGTATTTTTTGTAGTGGTAGCCGCTGGTGCTGCGACCTGAAAAATACGAAATAACTTTAAAAACAGAAAGTTCCCACTTGTTCCCCAGCTGCTGCTCGAGCTCGAGTATGAGGTCGATGATCTGCCGCTGGATGAGGAGCCTGAAGACCTAAAATTATGTATATGTTTTTGAAGTATTGGCGAATTCACGCGAAATTCATATTTCGTGTTCTTGTGTATTATCCGGGGGGAAACCTTTTTCCGTCAGTTTTTTCTAATCGAAAGCTAGAAACTGTCTAACACTGTATTTTTAGATTTCCTAAAAGTCAAAACGTAATCACTTTTCCAGAAAAAAATACAAAAAAATATTATTTTACGTCTAGAAGTGGCCAATTTTTCGAGAAAAATTTCAAAATATCAAGAAATTTTCATAGTCCCCTCCAAAAAATAGCTCAATTTATGGAGAACAAAATTAAGGTATTTGCTGCATACTACTAGACATTTCTCGGCTTATAGGAAAAATTTACTCGCCCCCCCCCCCCCCCCCCGCGATATTGCAAAAGCACCGATATACACACTGTTGATTAGGAAATTCGTTTTGGCGACTATTTACCTCGATGACGAGCCGCCACGCCCGCTGGTAGAGCTGCTCTTTCTCTTTACTCGGGTTAGGTTGGCGTCTAAAAATAGGATAAATAAATTTAATGCTAAAAAATTGATTCTAGCCTTTTCAAACCTACTGGAAGCAATCTGCTCCTGATCGGCCAGGGCACCGTCACCGTAGATTCCCGAGATTTGCGAGATGTCGGTCACTAAATACAAAAACATTAAAAATATATTGAGATTTACAGGTCATAAGTGGTTGGAGGGTGATGTCCAGCCTGTTGTGCTCTTGGAAGACCAGGTCGCGCTCGTAGGGATTGTCGTATTGATCGCCGACGACTCTAAAAATGAAATGTTACGAGAGAGAGAGAGAGAGAGAGAGAGAGAGAGAGAAAGAGCGAGAGAGAACTAGAGAAAGGCATAATTAAAAAATTCACCTGAACAAGCGCACTTGCCGGATGTCGCCCTTCAGCGTGGCGGTGAGGGTCTAAAAATTGCATTACGCTATCGAATTCAAATCCTTAGAAGATTTATAATAAAGATAAAAGAAGAAATAATTAAGGAACAACATAGTTTACATGCGTTAAATTCTTCTTTAAATTAAACACACCCCATCAAAACCCGACGGCTTATCGAAAACGCCGAATTCGCCGAGGTTGCCGAAAACCTAAAAAACATTTAACGATGTAAAACCATTTTCCTAATTAAAAGAAAACTTCAAAAAAGCTCTCTCACCTGGACGTGTTTTCCAAGGACTCTCAAGCGCAGGTCAACAGTGCCGTTCCTCTAAAAGAACTAATAGAAGTTTTTTCGTACTTTTAGGTCGCTATTTAAAGTTACATAAACAGAAAGTATAAAAGCTTTTCTTGCTCGTTTGAAATGGCATATTAAAAACCAAAATCAAAAATCAAAGATTATAAACTACAAATATACATTAAAAGCATCAAAACCCACATCAAACGGATTCAACGAGTAGCTCTTGATCGTTTGCCCTTCTTTTCCCTTGTATTCGATCAGCGTATGGGCGCCTCGTTCTAAAAACAAACAAAAAAATAGGTAGAACCATTCAAAAATTCGAGAAATTTTCATCCAAAAAATCCGAAAAATATGGTATAGAAATCCCACTCACCAGTCGCATTCGTGAAATCCGCGCACACCTTCATCAGCGAGTCTTCCTGTTTCTTGACGTCAAGGCAGAAACTAAAAAAAATACCATTAAAAAGCACAGACAGTAGGACCTTACTTATCCGCCGTTTCCGTCGTATTACAGTAGACATGTATGAATTGGCCTATGCTGTTGATTTCGAAGTCTTCCGTCAGCGAGTGGTCGAGTTCCAGGGGCTAAAGAAGGGTAAAATTTTGGTTCTTTCGCATAGAAGCTTTTTCCTGACGATCTAATTTTTTAATAGAAATCCTGATAGGTATTTACTATTTATAAACCAAGTTATTTAGAAAAGTTGATTCACGATCCAAAAATAACGATTTTTCAACAAAAATTTCAAGTCTTAAATCGTTTTAGAAGTTTTTATTAATTAACTATTTTTAGGTTTTTAGGTTTAGGCTATTTAAATCCGAATTTTAGCTAAATTTTACAAAAAAAAATTGCTGAAAAGCTCGTCATAAATTACTAGGCATAATTGGCCTTATGGAAGTCCCCCCCGATAATGCAAAAGAACCAAAACTACTTACATAGTCTCGCTCTCCAAAGAACGGAAGCGGAGGCGGGTTTTCTGGACGCGATAAGGGTTTATCTAAAACGAAAATGTTTTCCTTTGAGTTTAAAAACTTACAAAATAACCACCATATCCCAAAGAGAGAAATGCCCATAACAAAAATGGCCAAAGCCCATGCGGGCCCCTCCTTCTTAACCCGCGCCATCAGCTTCTGGGTCTTCGAGTCGGAAGTAGGCTCGTCCTCCTCGGCTGGCGCCAAAAACGGGGGTGGCACGTAGCCGGGCTCATTATTCGGGTGGTCGGCCTGGTGGACGGCTTTGTACGGCTCGCCCGCCATCGAACGCCTGGAAAAAGCGACAATTAAGAATAATACTTTTGTATAACCTTCTCATTGGAGGGGAACGGCGAAAGAAAGAGTGAAAACACCTAAAGCATGCTTTTTAGAGAAAGTTCGGAGATTAGATTCGTTAATTTTGTTAGTAAACCGTTGAAAAAAGCATAGAAAACTTTTTTCTAAGCACAAAATTGTGGTTTTTGCGGGGCATAAAATTGTTTTATCGTTTTCATAAAGATTCCTATTTGAAAAATTAGTATCGGCAAGCGGAAAACTAAAATTCGCCCTTGAAAGTACACAAAATTCACTTTATAATCTTAAATTTTAAGTTTTAAAGCTTTTAGAAACCGTATTTTTTGCAAAATTATCAAATTTTCACGGCACAATCAAAGAATCTACTTCTCAAAGAAGATCGGTGCCTTGAAATCATGAAAATTAGAATTTTTTAAAGGAAAAAAGAATATATATTTTCAAAAAGGGAGAAGCCAACCGGTTACGCCATTTAACTCCGAAATACATTACGCCATTGATCTTTGGCAGGGAAAGCGCGCGATTTAGTGTAAATAGAGAAGTGTCGTCTTTTTACTTTTGCTTTTCGTTTTTCACTAAAAGTTACAACGTAATTTTTGAAGTGTTCGGTAGCCAGGAAGATAGTTTCTATTTTGTTATAGAAAGTGAGATTTCACCAGTGAGATTACTAATAAAAAATAAAGGCTTTTCACTTTAACTTTCCACTAAATTTATTAGGAAATTTTTAACGTTAAGTTACAAGTTTTAAAGCGTTCGGTGGCCGAAAAGAGGATAGTTTGATCGTTTGGAACGGGGGTTGGGGTGGCTTGGGCGGGTGGTATCGACCCGGAACTGAAATGTGCCTTTTTTGCGCTCTGCCGTCCCTTTTTCGTTCTTTTTCCGTTCGAGTTGTCCCCCGGTGGCCGATCTCTCCATTTCCGCGGCCATTTGTGCCAAGGTCATATCACAGTTTTTTTTCAGGCTTATGGTGGAAAAATATTTGTCTGGTAGCGGTTTTTCGGACAAGAAAATAGTGTCTTTTTCGTAGAAAAGTTAGTTTTTCTAGAAAATTTAATTTTTTTTGAGAAAAAATGGGATATTTATACGTTTAAAACGAGTTTTACAAGGGAATTTTCGGAGTTTTGAGGCTTTAAAAGACCATGCCTTTCGTAAACCTCCAGTTTTTCTATCAAGTCTTTAACCCAAATGGAAACGCGAATTTTTAGAATGTATTTAAGTAGGTTTTCGGTCTGGAAACCGGTTTTTAAAGTGTTTACATTTCAGAAACTGCTCGTTTTTCAGCAAAATTTCGCGTAATTTGTAGTATTTAGTACCTTCAAAACCATAACTCGTGAAACTAAAGGTATAAAAGGTATATTAAAAGCTTTATCGTATCATTGTCATGCCCGTTATGGCGCTTTTTGGCGGTGAAACTGTCGACCCGGCGGCATCTCGATTTTTTGACCGCAGAAAGATGATCTGATTCAGCCTGAAAATTAGTTTTTTTTAAGGGTTTAAGCTTTATGTCAAGGGTTTATTGTTTAAAGTACGCACCCAAACACCGCGTACACGCCAAAGTTGATGAACGTGACGAAGAGGAACAGATGGAAGGCGTCGAAACGGACAAAATTGCCGAGCAAGCCAGCCGAGACTCCGATGGCATTTGCGCCATGGTTTATTGCTGTCTGAACATGAGTAACTTACGGTATGTTTTTGCTTTTTCAGTTTACCGTAGCGGCTAGCTTCAGCTCGGTGTGCGCGTGTTGTTGAGAGGAGCGGAATTTCTGAAGGAAAATCACATTTATGGGAGCTTTCGCGTTATCGGGGGGGGGGAGGGATTTTGTCGTAGCACTCGATTTTTTAACATAAATTGAGCAATTGTTTTTAAGCTGTTTTTTACTATTTCGAAACGCAAAAACTGTACAAATTTTCATAAAAAAATACAAAAAATATAGATTTTTCTTTAACCAAGGCTTCGAATTTCTTAAATTTGAAATTTTTAGATGGTTTTTCCACTTGAAATATAGTTAAATTTTGCTTAAAAACACGCTCAAAATACTTGGGATTATGTTATTAGGCATTTCTGCTTTTACACCACTTTTACCCCCCCATTAAAGCACAAGCACCGGAAATTTGCATAGTTTGTAGTTTAAGCAATTTCAAAGCTAGTTTTTTTAGACGTGATGTACCATTTGCCTGACGACCTTCAACAGCACCAGACCGTCAAAGAAGAAGCCGATAATCCAGATGATAATGAGAGCGATGAATGATATCGTCACCAGATACCAATATAAAAATAGGTACCAGAACATGCCCGCTTCTTTCGGGTTCAAGTAGAGGCCAAAGGTGAAGGAGAAAAAGTAGGGCTCAAAGTAGCCGACGGATAGTGGGGCTAAATGACGGCTTGAAAGGATAAGTTAAACTACGCGTGGCTCCTAAGTACGCGCTTGGTCAATTTTCGTCACAGAACGGGAAATGCTATTTCTGAGGGGCTTTACGTCGATTTTACGCAACTTTTTTGGATATCTATATCCACTTAAAAAGTCCATTTATTCCTTTTTATCGGCGTGAAGCTTGACGTCCCAGTCACTTTAAAAGCCCCCTGAAACCCACGAATAACGGTTGGAATGTACAAAATCATCGGCAACACGATCAGCACGCTCAATTTCACGCGATTCCCCAGGTTCTGCCGATCGTAGTACACGCCATCAAAGTAGACGGCAAAAAATCTAAAATGTAAATGGTTGTAGTTTGTAGTTTTTGGCATGTCTCACCTATTGATAGACATCGCCAGTTGGGCTAGGCAAACACAAGTAAATGATACATTAAATGTATAGGCTATTAACAGATCCAGGATGAAGAGTTGGCCGGGGACCAGGCTGGAATGTTGTTTATAGTTTAAGGTTGTTGTAGCCTAGTCTTTAATATTAGTTTGTAGCCTGCACCTCATTGTCTAATATAGTTTGTAGCCGAATATTTCCTGCTGTAAATCGCCTGTATTTTGTAGGCTACCAGCTTGGACGTTAATGTGGCTTGCAGTTTCCAGTGTATGTTCTAGTTTGTAGTATGTAGTTTTAGCCTAGTTTGTAGTCGGTCTTGCTTATTGTAGTTTGTAGCCTATTTTTTTGATATTTTGATGTAGTTATTTGATAAATATTTTGCTAAAAAAACTTACAAAAGTCCCGAGGGGATTCCCCAAAAAGCGTGCGCTAGCAGGATAAGTATTCTGCAGGCATTCTCGAGGTACAGGAACGGCTTGACGTCCTTGGAGATCTTCTTGTTGGCGTAGATGACGTAGATGGCCAGGCAGAGGATTGGGACGCTGATTAGACAAACCTGAATGGCAAAATTTATAGTGGTTCTTGGAATTGATAATTACAAGGGTTTTAATTGATCAATTTTGCAGTTTTAAGTCATGGTTAGCTTTAAATGCATTAAATTATCAAAATTATTCGAAAAATATGAAAATGACATTATTTCGAAGAGCGCAGTAAGGGTGTACAAAGGAGCCACCCGTACTCCGCGCTACTAAAGGCTCCTTTCGACGGTTTGAACGTGCGCGCTCCTAGCATTTTTAGTTCTCGCCGAATCCGAAAAGCCAAAAACGGTCTAGCAGAAGTTTTAAAGGGGCGTGTAAGGAAAGGCTATGGAATCCGCACGACTTTTACCGCGCCGCAGTCACGCAACGCAGGCGCGACGCGTTTTAACGAAAAAAACATCCATTTTTCGTTACGTACCGCTCCCAACATTGACGACGCCAGCACCGGATCCACGTTTTGATCGTACAACTCAGTGGGAGATTCTGTAGAATTTGCAAATTCCGTTGATCCAAGATAATCCAGGTCTTGAGGATCGGACGAATCTATTAATGTGTGTTCAGTTGTCGTCGTCTCATTTTGCCAGGGGATGCCGTCCGAGATAATGGCGGCCATCGCTGAAACTAAGCTTAAAAATTGGTTATCAAATAACGTTTCTAAAACTAGGAAAACGATCGATATTTGCTGCAAATACGAAATTTCGTGTTTAAAAGTATTATTATGGCTTAGATAAAATTTATGACCATAAAAATCGAGAATACGATCCAAAATGAAGCCATTTTTGGGAATTTTCTCGGGAAACGCTTCAAAATTCCTTTTCAAAATTGAGGTTTCTGAAATTCCAAACAAAATAATGGTATGGGTATAGCTATAATTGGTGTAGGATTTGTATAGGGTTATAAAATTTAAAACTTTAGAAACCAAAATGCCAGTCGAAACAAAGCGATTTTCGCGAATCTAACGCGAAAAACGCAAAATTCGACCAGAATTCCAAAAATCCTGATTCTGCAAAAACACGGTAACGCTCCAAACTACACCTAAAATATTTTTCAAAACAAGACACGAAAATCCGGCGTCTGAATGTTGCTTGAATCAAAAATCGGTGCAACTGGCGTTCCCCCAGGGGCCAATTGGTCGAGAATTGAATTTTTTGCTTACGGCTGACACTGTATGACCCGAAATGTCATTAGACGGGAAACGTGCCTGCTCTCTCCCTCTCTCTCTCTCTCTCTCTCTCTCTCTCTCTCTCTCTCTCTCTCTCTCGCTCTCTCCCTCGCTCTCTCTCTCTCCCTCTCACTCTCTCCCTCATTTTTTGCGTCGGGTCCACCAAAAAAATGAGTGGGCGTGGCGCCGCTGCCAATAAGCTAGACAAATGAGCCGATCAACTTTTTGACCTTTTTAAATGGCCAGCCCAGTTTTTGAATGGATTCCCGGATTTTCCAAGTGATGATCTGCAAATTTTAGCAGCGATTTTTGAGCTCGAGCTCAAGGTCAGGGTACGATAGGTGGCCTCTGGTAGAAAAGTGACTTTTCAATATCCCTAAAACTAAAAACTCGGAACTGCACTAAAACAATCTCGGAATCGGTGCTGGATCAGTAAAACATTTATTTACAGCCTTCATGATCCCTTTCAAACTTGCTTTTTTCGCAAATGGTCTCCCCCAGAGATATAGCTGGCCTAAAATGGTTGAATTTTAAAGGAACCGGGAAGCGGGAACAGTCGCCAAGTCTCTAAGCGCCCGGAGGCACGAATGCCTTCAAAACCCCTTTAAAATCGGCTCTAGCTTTTCCTCTATTGGTGCTGTGCGGTTTCAAATGGTCTCCGCTGGCTTGCCTTGAAAACGAAGCTAGATTATTGTTTTAAAGGAGCCCGGAAGCCAAACAAACTATTTTTTTGGATAACTTTATTTATGTGTGGTAGTTTTGGATATTAATTCTCAGTCCCTTTAAAAGTCTCTTTTTGCTGCTCTCCATTGATGTGCATATTCCCAAATGCTGCTCTCTGCTAGCTTACCGGGCCAGGGAAGACCAAGATTCTGTTTTTAAAGGAACCGGAAGGCTAAACAAAACCGAGAATCTCGATTTTTTTTTTGGGTTACATGAAATCAGGAAATTCCTGCCTTGCCATTGTCTTTAAAACCTCCTTTTCGTCACCTTCCAGTAGTGCACAGTTTCCCAAATATTCCCTGCTAGCTTGCCCGCTTCAAAGCTCCTTTAAAGTCTTTAAAATCAACTTTTCGACTATCCACACAACTTTCCGGGCCACCAGTCGTTGCAGCCAGGCGCGCGTAATCGCGCGCACAGCTTGTCAGCGCGCTGCGCGCCGATGCGAGGTGAAGGGAGGGAGAGAGAGAGAGAGAGAGAGAGAGAGAGAGAGAGTGAGGGAGAGATGCGCGAAAGCAACCCTGCTTGAGGAAGGGCGTTTGTCCTGATTTGGGTGCTGTTCGTCCCTCCCCTTCTCTTCCCTTCTCTTCCCTTCCTACCGGTCCTTGATCGCGCATCCTCTCAAAGAAGCCATTCGGACTCGAGTACTCCCCCGACTTGGCGTGTAGAGCCGTTCGTCTCCACCAGCTGTGCCCTAATTTTCCTCCGGGGTTTCTGGCGTTTTGGGGGTAGCTTAAAGGGATTAGCAAGTTGGGAGTCTGCTTGATCCGTTATTCGGCAAGCTGAACATCTAAGAATCTGCCAGTTTGCCTTGTAACTCTGAAATTCCCCTTCTTTCAGTCCTCGCCCTTTTCTTCCAATTTTTCCGTTGCAGTCCAAAACGGCTTTAGTTTTGTTCTGAACCCGCTCAAAAAACTAGCAATCTCTGCTGGTTTGCTTCTAACAGACAAAAATTTAAGAATTTCTGCAAATCTGCTCTCCTTGCACTTCAGGAAGCCAAGGATCTCGGCTAGTTTGCCGTGAGTGGCACTGATAAAGGAACTCTCTCTTTCTCTCTTTCTCTCTCTCTCTCTCTCTCTCTCTCTCTCTCTCTCTCTCTCTCTCTCTATCCAACTAGCTTCATGCCGCGAATGATCTCGGCTAGATTCCGTCTCTTTCGTTCGTATTTTTCTATTTTCCATCCGATCCAAAGCCCTATTTCGGGCCTCTCCTTTGTCTCCTCGTCCCGGGGTTCTCGCTAGTCGCTGTGTGTTTATTTGTGTGTCTGTTTGTCTGTCTGTTTGGATGCATGTCCACACAGCTTCCCCACCACATGAAATTCGAGCCGCAGCACGCGATGCGGGGGATTCCGGCTCAGTACGGGGCGTACGTTTCGGAATGTCGCGGAGGCTATTCCTTATTCGGGTAGATCGGGTTGGCTATGGACGCATTAATGGTTGAATTAGCTAGAATCATTCCTGGCACGCTCCGATTAAATTCGACCATTTTCTTATTCACCTTTCTTATTCATTTTCGTCTGCAGGTCCTTTTAAACGACTGTCTCCATAGCCAAATTGCTGTCGCGCTCCCTTTAGAATCCAAAAAATGCCACGCTCCCTTTAAGGCCTAAGAATACGATATATTTATACAAAATTTAATTTTTTTAGACTAGCTTTTCAACTTTTGCGTAAATTCCGTACTTTCCTCCTTGCGGATCGTTTTACAACCCGTCCGGGCGGGCCATAAAGGGACGCGGAAGCGTGTTTGTCCGCTCCTATCTCTCTATCTCTCTCTCTCTCTCTCTCTCTCTCTCTCAAAGGTGCTATCTCTGTCTTGTCGGCCTCCTTGGGATCGATCGAGACCCTCCCCCCAGTCCCCCCAATAGGTGAGGGTGTACATAGGAGTGTGGTGTAGCGGTGGAGGGTGCAGAGAAATTCCTTTTGTCCGTCTCTCTCTCTCTCTCTCTCCACCTAGAGAGATGAGCCATAGCCCCAGGACACCCATTCCGCTTTCTTGTCCTTGTCCCTTCCCCCCTCAATTCCGTGTCTTTCCTCTTTCCGCTTTTCCGCTTTTGCATGTCTTGTGGGTGGTGCAACTATTTATGCGAGTCTCAAGGGCCACCCACCCATCCACTCAACCCCACCAATACTACAACCCACCCACCCGCGTGCTATTAGCCGCTCCCGACGATGCCAACAAGTTTTCGGCCGTTTTTTTTGGGCTTTTTCGAGGCTTTTGCTTAGGCACAAGCTCGTGCTTTCGCTTTTCTCTTGCTCAATTGTCCTAAAGAATCTCTGCTAGCCTGAGGCTTTAATCTGCATCAATTCCTCAAGGATCTCTGCTAGTTTTCTATGGATTTTTGTCGTCATTTTTCGGCCGGTTTCTTGCTTTTTCTCAGGCTTGGGGAAGCTCGTGCTCTCACTTTTCTCATGCTCAATTTTCCCGAATTATTGCTGCTAGTTTGTCCGCTCAGAATTTTACTGATTCGCTAAGGATCTCTGCTAGTTTGCCAGGGCTTTTCCCCCCGTAAAATGATGCTAGGCTAATGAGTTTTTGGCCGGTTTCTAGCTCTTTTTGGCTCATGCTCATGTTCTGGTTTTCTCATGCTAATTTGTCCTCAAAGATCTTTGCTAGCTTGTCCAATCTGACTTTTACTGATTCGCTAAGGATCTCTGCTAGTTTGCCACGCCTTTTGTTGGCAATAATGGTTGATACTGCGCTAACGAGTTTTCGGCCAGTTTATGCTTAGTCTCATGCTTAAGCTCATGCTCTGTCCTTTCTTATGCTCCATCTTCCTCAAAGATCTTGCCTTGAACGATTCTTGTGATCTTTCCCAACGGTCTTTTTAACTTGTCCTTTTCGATGTGTTTTGCTCGATTTTTGGGTGGTTTTTAGCGATTATCTTTAGCTAGCTGTTCTAAAATTTCCCCCATTTCCTCAATGGTCTTTGCTAGCTTGCCCTTACACGGTTTATCCATTAAAATCCACTTTCGCGTTTCCTCGTTCGCCAGAAATTCCATGAGTCACTCGGCGCCAGGCCGGATTGATAAGCCGTCTATTCGAACGTTCGACCAATCCAGCCCCCGCGAAATTTTGTACATTCCATTATATGCAAATTTCTGGCCATATACCATTTTCAAAAACGAAATTAAATTCCTTAAACCGCAATTGGGCCTCTTACCAATTTTTCCTATCGCCAATTCCGATTGCTTTTCACTGCGTAAACGATTACTGCTTGATTTTCATGACGTAATCGGTTCCAAAAACTTTTTTCTTGGCTCTATTCCGATTTTCAGTGCCAACTACCTTTCTAGTGATGATTTTGACATGGCGTTATTGATTCCCAATATTTTTTATAAGCATACTCGATTCCAGATTTTTTGATGTGGTAATCGATTCTAGATGCTATTTTCTCGTTCTATTTTCCTTTCCAGTTCCAACTCTCTCTTGCTAATCCCTAATCCAGCCGCTTTTTCAGCGATGGTCGCCACCCAGACCACCACAATAGAGACGGTTTCCGTCGTCCGGCCCCTCAAGGTTTGTGCAGAGTTTCTAGGAGAGAAAAGCGCTAAATAATACCGTGAAACTACTCTAAAAATAGGCAAATACCTCTTTTATAAGGTTACATTTTTAATTTCTAATTTTCCGACGGACTGATTAGCTTCAAAAAAAGCATTTATTGTTACTTACAAACTTAAAACCGCTGAAATTTTTTAGAGGTATTTACAGTGCTTAGAAAGTATAATTTGTAAAATTAGCCCTATAGAAACCTTGAAAACCCTAAACAGCAAGTTTTAGATAATTTCCCTAATATGCCTGCTGATCGCCATCGTGCTCTCCATCATTTCCATTGCTACAACGTCGTGGTTGAGGAGCGGAAGCTTTAGGACAGGTATTAATTAAGATATTTCTGAAAAAAATGTATCATATTATACGCTAAAATTAAGCATATAATTTTATTTTTAGGTCTTTTCCAAGAATGTACAGCTTCCAATGAGCCGTCACAAGCCGCACCGCTTCAGGGCGCCCCGCTTCCCGGCCATTGCCATTCGCCGAATCGTGATTCTGGTCGGTAAATAGCTATTAAAACAGCGCAATGCCTAATTGTATTTATTTACAACTAAATAACTTATTCCATGTTCTTTTTAACTAAAAAGAACGTTAAAAATCTAGAAAAAACTATTTTCAACCATATTATAAAATTCTGAAGGTAAATTAAGTTTTAAAAAAACCAGGAATTCTGATTATACTTTTCGAATTAAAAAGTATTGAAAGTTGTTATTAATTAAAATAAAAAGCGCAAAGCTATGACAATTGCCCCAAGACGATGCGCTTTTATTCCTTTTTTTCCATTTTCATGTCGTAACCAATTGCCAAATGACCGCTTATTGTAAATTATAATCAATTTTAAAGGTTTTCTTGACGAAACGGGTTTTTAAAATATTATTAATTTACCAAACTCTAAATGTTTAACGCTATTCCTGATTTTTCAGCCTTCATCAAGGCCGTCGCCGGGCTCATGATCGGCGCGTTGCTGCTCACAGCCATCGCTGTTGTAAGTTCACTAAAATACACTAAATTCACGCTAAATCGAAATATGCAATAAATAATGTATTTCAAATTTTAGATCCTAAACGTGTGCGGCCTCGTGAAGTCCGACATCCGCAGCAAGTACCGCTACTACAAGATCGCCACCTATCTCGCCATTTTGACAGGTAGAAAGCCAAATCCCAGAAATTTTTATTTGCCCTGTAGTTCTAATCGAGCTGGCGGCGCTGATCGTCTTCCCGGCGTGCTTCTACGTCAAGATGAAGGAGTACGGCAGTCGACGCGATTGGGAGGTTTGTGACTTTTTAAAGGGCTGGTGAAGGCTGGCGACGCCATCGAATGTTGCCTTATTCCGAATTTTGCAGGTCGACTGGTCGTACGGCCTGGCGTGGGGCGCGACGCTGTTCACATTCGGCGCGTCGTTGATGCTCATCTGCGACAAGGAGCACGAGGAGGTGTACTACAAGGAGAAGACCATCTACAACCCACCCCCGGAGCTGCAGTAGACGCATTAATGACGGTTTAAAGGGGCTGTGAAGGCAGGAGATTGGATTATGGTCGCGTTGCGAGTCGCGCCAAAATTTAGACGATATCCATTGCCGAAAAAAAATCCATAACCCTGCCTTGCCAACCCCTTTAAAAAATATACCGTTTTCCTCCCTCACAATGTGCCTGAGAAAATCATTTTTCCCCCATATCTCACCCTTAAACTTTTCTACCGTAGTCCCGGCAAGACTCTACTCTGACCAGTTTTGTATATTTTGATTTTTTACGCTTTTTATCTACCCTTTACTGTACCCCTATCCCGCACCGAATTTGTGCATTTATTCAAATCTCAACTTTTCGAATGTGCACTAGCCGTTTTTCGGGGTTTTTGGCGGATTTTTGGGTTTAAAAATGTTTAAGAATGTTCAAATATGCAAATTTTTGCGAGTTTTACGCTACTTTTAAAGTTTTCAAAGCTGCTGAAGCTTTCCAAACCTTGGAAAAGCCGGATTTTTTTACGTAAAAATTTAAGTAAAATGTAAGTAAACCTAAGTAAGTGAAGTTACTTAAATTTTTAAGTTAAAATAGAAATATGCAATTTTAACTACATTATAAAAGTTGTCTATTTTTATTCGATTTTAAAGCTACTGCAGCTTCCCAAGCCCAGAAAAACCTAAAACTCCACAAAAACCCTCGTAACAGTCGCCAAATCCCCCCCGACCATCAGAAAATGCCTTTTTTGCCTGACAGGTAGCTTTCTAAATACTGTAAAATCTCGCTAAATTACTGTAATTTTCTCAATCGCAATTTTGTTACATATTTTATTTACAAAAACTATCAAATCCCAATTTTAAAACCATATTTTTGGCGCTGTACATAGCAATCCCACCCGTCCGTACCCTGTGCCCCGATCTGTGTTACCAATTTTGTGTGTTTTTGTGAATTTTTTATGTGAAATGTCATGAAATGTGCCCTTTTCTTGGATGCGATCGCTTTAATAAAGGTGTTGAACTTATAGAGAAATGAAAATTACGTAGGAAAGTACAGAAAAAGTGAAAATAAAACCTAATTAAACAAGAATAAGGTCGGATCAAGCCATAAGACAAATCTAAACGCAACGTAAATCACTATAAAATTGTTGTATAATTGTTAATAAGATTCTAAACGTATAGAGAATTAATAATTACTTAGCAAAGTAAAGGAAAAAAACACGAAAAAAAAACAGATTACGACGCCTAATTAACACGAAAAATAGGACCAAGACTGATGATAAACCTCTCATTAGTGCGCCTAAAGGTCAATAACCATTTATTAACCACCAATACATTGTTAATTAGATATTATTTAGCAATTTTCTACGGTTTAAACGTTTTCACCAAAATCAGAAGACAAAATTCCCCGCCGGATAATTGCCGGATCACTCACTCCCTTCTCTTCCCCCATCCGGCAATTATCGCATCCGGTAGCTGCACGGATTCTCATCGAGATTCATGCCCAAGCCGGCCATTTCCGGACCACCTATCCGGTTGTTAGTTTTGCAGATATCGATGGGATTCTACGAAAATTTACGGTTTTTAAAGGGTTGCCGGTACAGCCGGTACAGCCGTTGCAAGGAAAGGGGGAGAGCGAGGCAGAGAAAAAAATGTTTGCGCTTTCTCCCTGTGCCCACTCTTTCTATCCGGCTGCACCGGCTGCACCGGCCGTACCGGCTGTACCGGCTGTACCGGATGTACTTTGCGAATTTCCGAATTTTTGCTCGACACTTCGATTCAATTTCGACCATTTTCTGAACGCTGGACAATGAATTGCGGCTTTAGATTCGAATTTTCGAACTTTGCCATAACTTTTCTAGAACTTGTTACTCGCAATGTTACTTGGTTTTCAATTTTATCAAGAAACCCTGATTCTGAAACGCTAATTCTTGCCTTTTCCGCCAATTCCAGTCGTGCAAAAGCCACCGCCGCCGCTCAGCGTTGATTTTCCGGGGCTAATGCCAGGGATTCCGGTGATGTTTGCCGGCTGCCCGCCATCCCTGATGGTGATTTTCGCTTTCAAAGCTGGATGGGCTAGCCGTGTGGAGCCAGCCTGCTGCCATCGCCGGTTTTTTGCGCCCCCCGGATCTGCCATTGCTCGCCATCGAAAGCCGCCCCCACCCCTCGCGGCGTCTTCCCATCACTGACCAGAGCTCGCCCGTGTTTTTCTTCTTTTTTATTACTGTGTTTTTCTGGGCAATGATCTAGGCTATTTTATCTATAGCTTTAAAAAGCTAATAAGCTCTTTCAAATATATCTAATTTTGATTTTTTAGTTATTTTAGAATTGCTTTGAAAAACACTTTTTGATCGTTTTATAGCCAGTTAAAACTTCCGATTACAGTTTTATAGCTTGTCAAGTATGTATTTTCACTCGCCGAAGTAATTCCTGCGCTATATTTACTTTAAATCTCGAGTGAACTAAAAATTAGATAACTAATTTATGTGTCTTGTAATTTTTTTATAGTCAGCCTTCGAATTACTATTTTAAGCTTTTCCCGGCTTATTTCACTTGTTTTGACAAGTTTAATGCTATAGACACCTTGCTAGATGCAGTAGTTTAAGGCTGGTTCCTATTAAAAGCTTATCGCGATCCTGCGTCTTTTTTGCAATTTCCGTATAACTAATCATTGAACTTCAAACTCAAACTTGGTATACTTATAGAGCTCGCTGAGCTGCTTCCAATGATATTTTTTACCTTTTTAGATACATTAAGAAGGACAAAATATAAAGAGTTCAAGTTTTGTCTCATTCCTCCACCGCGCTCTCCTGGCCAATTGGTATGGTACCGGGTCTCTCGCGCAGGCGTCGATGTTTCGGATCCGGGCCGATGTTCTTTTTTTGCTTTTTGTACCATACACTCTTTTCCAGGTTTCTTAGTTGTAGAATAGGTTTTGAACCCCTGGCGCTTTCTCGGAAGCCTCCAGACAACATTTTTATATTTTTCATGGGCTTTTTCTGTCTAAAAACTGTGTAAATTCCATAAAAATGGCTTATATTTCGTCAGGTCGTACGGGATTACTGTAGAAAAATTGTGGTTCCCCGCTAGGCCCCCGCTAAGAGTCCAGTACCGTTTCCGGAAGCTACCCGCAGTATAAACCGGGTGGGTTGTGTGCAGTAGTATGGCCGTGACGGCGTGTCATCACGGACAGGAAAGCATGGGGGATCGATTCCGGTTTCCGGAACGGCCCCTTCACCCCTTTGCGCGCACACACACACAGACAGACAGACAGACAGATGCACACCATTCCGAAAGCCGGGGTGGGCGCTGTCCGCCGGTTCCGCGCGCCCACCCCCCCCGCCCCCGGGCCCGTCCACGGGTGCCTGCCGGAACGGTTTTCGCGCGGCGTTCGGGTCGGCAGGAAGCGCTTGGTGGTGTACTTCTGGGCTTTGATCTGATTTTTTGGTTTTTTTTGGGTGTACTTATTGTCTTTTGTCAATATTATTTGCTTTATTTCGCCCGAGATTTCAGGTTTTAAAGAAGCGGATCAGGCTATGGATCCATAATACCCCACGACTCGCCCGTCCCTTTAACTTTTTTTGAGGCTTCAACAGTCTGAAAGTGTAGAAATATTGTTTTAGCCCCGCTTTTGCCTTCAGCGCCCCCTTTAAAACCTACGTTCTCCAGGCCAAAACCAAGCCCCGGTGGCGGGTGGCGACCGCGTTTCCGGCCGGGCCTCCCCCCCCCTGCCCCGTCGTTATTTCCGGGGCAGTCCGCCGAGCATTTTATTTGGAGAAGAAGCCGGCGGGGCGCGGACCCCGGCCCGATTCCGGCACTTTCCGATTGACAGCCCCGGCGCATTTCATGCTCCATTTTACCGTGGCTTACGTGAAAATTTTGGCGGTTAAAAAATCCTATGTAGCCCTAGTATGCCGGACAAATTTCGTATCTGGGACTTCCGGAAGAGGAAACACGGACGGCGCGTGATTTAAATTTTCGGAAAACACTTGAAATAGTTCGTTGCCGGGGATTTATGTATTTTCTTCGTTACCCCCTAGGTTTTGCCGCGCCGCGACACGCAACGCGGCGCAATCCATTACGCCATGGAAGGGAAGACGCGTTGCCTATCGCGGGCGGCTAATTCATAACGAATCCATAGCGCTGCCTTTCTCGTCCCTTTAATCCCCGTTATACCCTCACCAAACCGGTAATATTCTCCCCGCTGACCATGCTGCCCGCCCGGAGCCCGTTGGTCGAGATGGCTCCGCTCCGCGCGCTACTCGGTCCGGCCGGTCCTTCCTGATGCGCGATGGGGGTGAACACAGAGCCCTAGGATGTCCGGTGGATGGCAGCGCGTAGCGCGGTTGTAACTGGTTCGCGCCTCCACGCCCTGTTGTGCTCGGGCCGGTGGATCAACAGCTCCCCCTCCCCGGTGGGACAATCCAACCCCTAGCCACTTAGCAACAATCTGCCCCCACCATCGCTTCCTTGGCGGTGAACAAGTTTGGGGCGCCGGATAGGGGGAGCTGTAACTCCTCCTCCCAGAGCCTTACAGTCTTACATTCCGTTAGGCTGCTGAAGGCCGGGCGGCTCATCAAGCTCGGTTTTTCAGCGTTTCAGCAACTTGGGTTCGCGCTCGGCTTGACTGGCCTTCAGGCTTCGTCTTTGATTAAGCTACGTCGTTAGGTTAGGTTTAGGTTTGGGCTTGGCTTAAGGTCAAATCCAAACTTGGGTTAGGTTACAGCTCAATCCTGGCTTGGCTTAAGTTCCAGCCTGGTTTGGCTTATCATAGAGTTAGTCCTAGGCTCGAGCTTAAGCTTGAGACTTGGTTTAGAAATACGTGGACTCAGACTTACTCAGTTTAAAGTTAGGCTTATGGGTGGGTGGCTTTGGGCTTAAGCTTATGTTAGGCTTAGTTTAGGCTTAGGCTTTGGTTTATCTAGCTCTAAGCCTGGACTCAGACTTAGGCTTAAGCTTAAGCGTATGCTTAGCCTTGGGGCTTAAGAGCACATCTTGATAAGATCAAAACAAATTGTTAAATTCCGCTTTTCCCGGCTCTATGCCCTCCAAACCGCAAAATGCAAAATTCCACCCCCGCCAGGTATCTGTACCCTTTCCCCCCTGCGACCACCAACCCGCCAGTGGGATAATCGCGCGCTCCGGGGCGCACAGATCCGGATTAATGGCCTCTGCTTGGTCGAACGGAATCGGCTGGCCGGAACCCGGCCGGAAAGCCCGAATCGATGGCTGGGATTGGGGAGCATGAGGAAAGGGGGTCGTGCCGGAATAGCCACCACAACCACCACCACCGGAACGGCCCCTCGCCGCTTCCGGCCTGCTGCTATGTGCGCCCTTGAAAAGCCGACAAGCGCTGGGTTGTGAGTATTCTTGTCCTCAATTTTTGCATTTTCCCGGGAAAAATTGTTAGTTTTGATCGATTTTAGTGTCCAAAATGGTATCAATTTTCAGTTTTTTCAAGGCGATGTAGAAATATCCTTTTAAAGCGTTTGGTGCATTATTTTGATAAATGCTTTGAGTAGATAAAGATAGTAAGGCTTCACAGTGTCTACATAGTATTCTATCAAATGCTGTATACATTTAGAACCGGAAAATTATTAATTTTATAAGTTTTTGCGACTTAAAAAGCCTAGATACTTTCTTATTTTTGTAGGTTTCGTCGTCTTTGCTTTAGCATTTTTTTTAGTGTTTCGTTCTATTTTTATTATTTGTAAAGTCTAAAACGCCGAAGATTTGTTTATTTGCTTCAAGCCGGCCGGGCCCCGTTTTCAAAAGCTTCAAAAAGTGTTTTTATAGAAATTTTAAAGATATTTAATGACAGCGGAATGAAAATTATTGATTTTAAATTTAATCGTAAATATCGTATTTTTTGTTAGTTACAAATCCGATTTTTCTATTAATGTTGCTATCCGGTTTGCCGGTCACCTCCCCCTCTTTCAAACGTTCCCGCCCGTTCTGGCCTCGGCCGGATCGAGCATCCGGTTCCTGTTTTTGCGCACGAATGGCAAACGGAAGTTTGGGCGACCGGCACGCATCTGCAGTTTTTAGATAGATACGGTTTCACTTCTGTGAACCGTTTTCTTCGATTATAGCTTTTACATTTTGGATTTCATTAGTTTTTCCAGCTCTTAATCATTCCTCTTTCTTTCTAAATTGCTATATCTCTTAGGTTGCGGTACCATGCAGAAGACTGATTCTATTATATTTAAGAGCCTTGTAAATTTGCTGCCACTTTTAGAATTCGAAGCTGTTCTAACGTTTTCATCAAGGATTATGACGTTTCTGCATCCTATTACTTGTCTTTTTACCCCTAAATCGTCTAGAATTTTTCTCGTATCTATCTCTTTCTCTATCTCTCTATCTATCTCTTTAAATGTCAATCCTCTTTTTTGCAGAAATGATGAATAGTATATTGGATCAATCTCCCGTGATGGCCTACGTGACCGGGCACCAGCCGACGTTTAACGAGAAGCTGATATCAGAGGTAAACTTTTCAAATATTCGTTTTTTATGTTTCGTAAGTTGTGGTTTTATTTTTTTATTTGTTTATATAATATGGTATTTCCCCTTTTTCAGGTCCGCAAAAACCCGTCCCTCTACAACCAGACCAAGCGCAGCTTCACCGACACGATGGAGCGGATGAAGATCTGGGATCACATAGCCGCCGCCATCGACCCGAAGGTCTCCGGGGAATTCGCGAAGAAGCGATGGTTACAGCTGAGGGATCGGTACCGGAAAGAGCTGAAGGTAAACAGCTAAATTCTACGATTCCAACATTATTAACATTCTTTTTTTTGCCTTTTTCGACGCTTCATTTATAAAAATAGCCAAAAATCAGCAAAAACGCAAAAAAAATCGAAAATTCGTTTTATTTTAGACAGCCATCCGCCACAACTTCAGCGTTCCACATCGATGGTGCTATTTTTCCCACCTCTCCTGGCTCGACCCGTATCTCAAGGACAATTTGTGAGTTTTAAGGCTTTTAAACAACCCGAGGCTTCAAATTGTCGAAAAACGTTTTTAAAAAGCTTCAAAAATTAGTTCTCCCATTTCTAGAGCACTCGCCACAACCCAAACTCGCCGGGACCGCGCCGACAAAAGCGGACTTGAGGGCTTCTTCGGCGACTTCGACGACGGTTCGCTTTTGCGCGACATCCTAACCAGTAGTTTTCGTTTCGGAGAGATATCTGGGTTTTTGCAGGTTTCGACGAGCCACCGTTTGATGAAGAAGCGTCCCGCGGGAGTCGCACACCGATGAGCCTCGAGCAGATTCTGGCGGCCACGTCACAACATGGAGACTACGACGACGCGAATCCATCTCATTCTGGGGATTCGTCACCACAGGTTAATAATGAACTTTGTTTCTAATAAGGGGTCGGTTGGAGGTGTTAATGGGTTTTAGCGATCTGATACGGCTCATTCTATAACGCTTGAAATTCTGAAGCATTCTGAATACCTTGAAAAACGGAGAAGGGGCAAATAAGCTCTTTCAGAGCAATTTTCTCTCAATCATTTATCGTTTGGCAGTTTTTGAAAGATGATACCTGTTCAGAATTTGAAAATCTATTGAATCCGCTATATCAACGTTGCAAAAAAGCCATTATCCAGCCAATCGGAGCAAAATTCCAGCTATCCTAACATTTTTTTCAGCCGGAGCCCGATGTAAAGCCATCAACGGTGAAAAAAGAAAATGAAAGTGAAACGAAACAGTCTGTCGACAATCTGCCAAGCTTTCGACCGACACCCGAAGAAAATGCGGCCCTTCCCACAATTACATGGCAATTGACACAGGTTTGCGTTTTAAAAAAAATATAGAAAAATTCTGATCCCAGAACCACCCCTCTGTGCGAGATTGGATAGACGACGAGGACATGCTATTCGCCAGGATTGTCGGGCTGAAGCTGCGGAAAATGTCGGAAAAACAGAAAAAGCGGGTACGTTCTTAACAGTCTTTTATTTGGAAAATAGAGGCCAATAATATGAAAAATATTCGATCCTTCAATTTCAGACAAAAGCCGACATTCTAACGCTCTTGGAAGATTCAGACGTCGAAGATTTGGAAATCTGTGCAAAGCGACCAAAACGGGATTTCGAATAAATTTTATATGGCATGCCGAAATTATCCACATTCTATATATATTCTATACAGACAGGGCGGGGTTGCGGCACTTCTGGTTAGGCATTTGGAGCGAAGACTTGTTTGCAGCTGTGGTCGATTTGGGCCTTTTCTAGCGCGTTGGCATGCTAAAACAAATTTTAGAATTTCAAGCCGGTGACTGACTTCAGAAAGCCGCTTAATTTCGATTTTCGGGTGTCGCAACTTGCCCGCCTTCATCCAGTCTCCAAGCTCTTTGTACATGGCGTGGCGTTCCTGAAATGGTGGGGCTCGAGGCATGGATGATTTACCTCGAGATTCTCGGCCTGCTCATACCAACGACTCATCCAGAAACCGGCAAATCGAGTGTCTTTGAAGATCAAGGAAGACGTCGGAATCTAAGCTCGACATAATTTGTTGTATAAAGAACACTTACAGAAAGTGGCTGCTTGCTCATTCCTCCATAAGTAACCATCACTCCGCCATGGGACATCGTCATCGCCAGAAGGAGCGAGGAACGACCTCCGACGCAGTTCAGCGCCAAGCGCACATTGTCGTTGTGGTTACGGTAGTCCTGGATCAGTCTTTAAGAAAAATAAAAAATGAGATACCCTCGAGATTCTGTCTTCTGTCAGTACAACGTCAGCTCCAAGTCCCCTGAGTTCATCTTCTAGCCTTTTCTGCGCTGCTTCATCCGGTCGTTTACGGATCACGTTAACCGACTTTAGGTCTCGAGCTCGGCAAATCTGTAAAAAAATCAAATTGCCAGTTCGCTATAGTTTCCAAACCTGAATAACCGCCTGGCCGACAGCAGAATTTGCTCCATTCTGGATGACAGTGTCCCCGGGCTTCAGATCAACGAAATCCTTCAGCATACGATAGGCTGTCGGTGGGTTGACCTGATTAAATAGCATACATTAATTATACCAAAGGTGTACCTGCAGCGTAGCTTTGTATTCCGGGGCGAGGGACGCGTCGATTTTAAAGACGTGAGTTTCTCTGAACGACAAAAAAATTCGGGGAAAAAACCCGGAAAGCAAACCCCAAAATAGCGTCCGAGCGCCAGGTGCCGAGGCCGGACTTGGCGGGGATGACGTGGTCGCCGACTTTGACTGTTTTGACAGCGGAGCCGATCTAAAGAGAAAACTGACAAATTGATAATTTTGAAATTTAGAAAAATCTCAGTAGAATAATGCACAAGATGTAAAAAATTTACCGCTTCAACAATGCCGAAGCCCTCAGATCCAGCGACGGCGGGCATAGGTGGTTTCACTGGATAGACGCCCTAAAGCCAAAATAAACTCTTCAAAAAGAGTTACGGTTACATAAGCTATTAGTTACATTAGCAATAAAAGCTATCAAATTCCCCGAAAATCAAGGGTTTTCCTCATTTTTACCTGAATCTGATTTATATCCGCCGGATTTATCGGTGCCGCCTGCCATTTGATATGCACTTCTTGATCTTCCAAGCTGCTTTTCAATGGCTCCTCACGATAAGTAACAACCTATCAAAACCGTTACAACATTCCCGATACAAAACCTTTGCCGGGTCTCCGTATTCGCTGTAGATCAACTGACGCGCTTGTGCAGCGCTTCCGAGAAAGCGTCTCGAACCAAGCCGACCGATCATCTACATAAGTACGTTCAATTATTTCCAAAGCATCAACTTCACACCACCAAATAACACCCATCTCACATCGGCGCTTTGGTAAGGAACTGTTGGTGAAACGTAGGAATGCCTGGGAAGCTGCAAGCGCTCAAAATTTATTGTACCCCCATAAGACATAATTCGACGGAAAAATAATGGAAAACATAACGGAACAATCAATCAGAAGTAGAATCATCCCGTTTTCGTTGATTCGAGATTTTGGTCGGAACGTCACCGCTGGCTGCCGAATCCTTATCGTCGCTGAAGAAATATGAATTTTATAAAATTCTTTACAAAGTACCTTTTCCGGCTGGAAGCTTTTTCTAACAAACGATCACGCAGCCTGGCTTCTTCATCTTTCAGCTCTTCTTTCTGTAAAAAGAGTATATTTCTAGAAAGATAAATATACCACTTTGTCCTTCTTGTCTTTCTTCTTCTCTGGGGTTCTCTCGCGCTCACGTTTCGTGTCCTTCTAGGGCAGAAAGGGATTGAAAACTAGCGAAAAATTATACCTTCTTCGGGGTTCTGCTCCTGCTGCGCCGCTTATGGTCCTTGCGGTCCTTGTCTCGCTTACGATCCTGAAAAAAACGTTTATTGACATGAAATACTCATATAAGGGGGGCATCGTCGATCAAAGAAAATTCTAACAAACCTTTGAACGACTACGGCTCTTCTTCCTGTCACGCTCACGGTCACGGTCGCGGCTACGAGAACGTCTGGAGCGCCTGTCACGGTCCCTAAAACGAAACTAAAGATTTTCTAGCGATTCTCTCACCTCGAGCGAGATCGCCTTCTGTCTCGGCTCGGGGAGCGTCGAGTTTCACGTTTGCGGCTCCTGCTTCTGCGGCGATCACGATCTCTGGGAGGACCACGGTCACGAGATCGGCTGCGACGACTAAAATTCAGAATTATATTGCGGCGAAAAACGTTTAAAAGATTTATACAAGACACTATCTAGAAAATCGAGTCACCCACCGAACGGATCTGGAGCGACTCCGTCTCCTATCACGGTCAGGTCCACGTTCATCACGGGCCCGAGCTGGAGTCCTTGAGCGTGAGCGGGGAGCTAAAGCAATTTATAGAACAAGAGAAAACAACACAATACCCATGTATGCGAGGCCGGTCTCCTTCTTGCGAATGGCCTCCTCGATTTCCTCAACGGCCTGGTCAGCCGTCTTGCGCTGTGGCTTGATGATGGCGACACGGGAATGCTGGATTCTAAAACAATCTTGAAGAAAAACATAAATTTTCCTACTTCAACAAGTTTCCTTGAAAGTCGAGCATCATGCTGTTCTGCAGGGCCATTGGGACGGAGCCCTGCGCGGAGAACTCGACGTAGGCGTAGGCGCATGGCAGAGTTTCGGGTCCGGTGGTCATGCGCACGAACATTACCTAAATTTGCATGTAAATTGGGCTTCCGGGATCCAAAGAAACCAAAAAGCCTCATTTTTAAAGTTTACTCGCGTTGAATGACCACCCCTTTGACATCTCCAAAAATCCACTCGAACTACAGTCCGCAGCGACTGACAAGTCAAGGTTCGTTTTTTGCGCCTATTAAAATAGGTTTTGGGCTGTTAGCGGGAAGCCAAGATGAAACACCTAAAGCAATTTCGTTTCCATCTCGAAATAGTTTCAGTCGGCTCGGAAACTTGGACGGGGCCAGTCTGCCGGATCTGTCTGCGAAGTGCAGCCTCGAGCGAGCTGATCGAGCCGTGTGGCTGCGCCGGATCGGTCGCCTTCGTCCACCGCGAATGCCTTGGCCGTTGGGTGGACACGACGCAGAAAACGGTAATTTATCAATCTTTCGTGCGAAACAAGTCCCCGTTCAGCTCTGCGGCATCTGCCATCAGCACTACGAATACGAGAAGCACGGGCTGAGGCCGTTCCGTGAATGCACTTGGCCGCACGCGCTTGGCTCTTACTGGGAGGACGAGGTTCGAAAGGAGAAAAAATCGTCAGCGCATTATTGCAGCTTGATTTCCGCTGTACAATCGCCTGGGTGTTCTTCATGTTCAAGTTCTTCTACCTGGCCTTCAGGCATAGACGATTGACTTTCTATTAATACATGGCTTAGGTACGGGCTTTCTGATATCCCAGAAGTCATCGGGGCGGCGGTTGGCGGAAGTGCGGCGTGGTACAAAATTTGGTAACGAGACTCGCGCGCTAAACGCCCAATGCTACCCGCTTAGGTGGTTCATCTTTGCCCTCAATTTTGTCTACTACGGCACCGTCCTCGTGCTCGTCACCGAACAATGGATCGTCGAAAACACCGTCTACACGTTCAAAAACAAGGCCAAAAAGCATCGGTAATACTGCCCTTAGTCCGCTAACAAAATAACTAAATTTCAGGTTCAACGAAAAGATCGAAGAGCTGAACACCATTCTCAACAACTAGCCCGCCGGCTCTTACCTCGCCAATGTTAGAATTGAAGAAATCGGCCACCTCTTGCCCGTTCGCACCCTTCGGCAGATTGCCGACATAGACCGTTCGCCTGATTTCTTCTACCTGCCAAAATAACAGTACCGAATAAATGATATCGATTATACCTTTGCGGGTTCTGTATGTTCTGGAAGGGCTGGGTAGGGCGGGAGCCCGAGCTGCTCAAGGGTAGGATCGTGGGTGACCAACTGAAAAAAGGTACATAGAGACGCGCTTATAGCTTACCATTCTGCCGCCCTCAGAGTCTTGCTCAATTTTGTTCGTCAAATTTGGTGGCAAATTGCGTTGGCCTGGCAGTACCGGACCACCCATGCTGAGCGCGGTCGCCTCATCGGGTATAACATCTAAAAACAAAAAATTAACTGATTTTCAACTCCACCCACTTTCTATCGAAGGCGTGCACAGGATAGCACGGTCGATCAGAACACAGTTGGTAAGGTGTTGCCCGAGCTCCACGGCCTTCTCATCTTCGAACTTTATGTAAGCGAATTTTTGAGAAGTCGACGCCGTCACATTCAGATCCGTCGGATATAACTAAAAAAACTTTAGTTAGATAAATTTATTTTAAAACCTTAAATTCCTGGATGCGGCCCAGGTAGCTGAACAGCTGTTGTACTTGGTCCTTCGTGGCCTGGGTCGATATGTTGCTGACCTGCAAGACCCGAAACGGATCTCTTTCAACCGTCGCCGTCATTGCATTCCTGAAAACTAGAGTTGTAGTTTGCTATAATCGGGAATACACAGAAAGAGAAAAAATAAGAGGATGAGCAAAAGCCTGGCTTTTAGGAACAATTATAAACCACCAATAGAACCCTTTCCAAATTCCGGGGAGATAGACGATGTAAAAATCAAAGGCGGCCAGTTCCTAAATTCGGAAAAAAGCTTGGGAATTAAAGAAGAACCTATTAGTTCCCCGACCCAAGGACGTTAGCAAAGGAATCGCCGTTCGAAATCCCACAACATGACAGAGCAGCCGGTTCAAACGCAATGAGGAGCGTCGTGGGCTCTCCCACCACCATTGCATGCATGATTAATCATCCGAATCGATTTGCATCCGAAATACTTCCGGAAAACGTTCATATAAAGAGCAAAACCGTGATCTTAGATTTGAGTAATAGGCAGTTTAAAATTTTCTATACGGCGCTGTCAAACGAGTTCGTTATGCAGCGCCGTGGAATCGTCTTCGCGTCACACGTCTGAAAAGTTTTGACTAAATAGCAAAATGAAAAAATTGCGAGCAGACTTGAACCCCTGTTACTAACGACCTGAAAGTACCGACTGGCGCTTAGAACTATTTCAAATGGTGATTCCTATGATAAGATCGCCAGATAAACCCCTGGTGGTGCTAATTTTTGACCCGTGAACCGTCCCTTTCGGAGGTGCTGTATCTCTGACCGCAGGCCGAGTAAAGTGATTCTGACAAACCCGTTGGAATCGCCGTCGTCGCTAAGCTAGCTTGACTTTTGAAATTCCACGCTACCAACTTGTCTTTCCTTGTAAACTCGGCTTTAACTAAAGGCTGTTACCTGGGCTGAGGCTGAAGCGTAACATGCCGTTGTTTAGCTTTTAGTTATGCCCAAAGTTGAAATTTGAGTAAAAATACCCCGATTTCGTAAAAAATCGCCTTTGACCGGTATGGCCTGGGCTGCTTGCCAAAGTTTCACCCGCATGTGCCGATCCCCGCTCTAACCCCAATGATCGGGGAAGGGCTGATGATGCGAGCCAGCGAGCAGCCGCGAGGCACACGCCTGGATTTCGATGTGTCAGCGGAAACGACTCCAGGCGAAGGACTGTAAATGCGGTCGCCCTTCTCCTCCTCCTCCTCGGACCATTCCCTCTCAATGCCCCCCAGGAATGGCATCGCCCTCCCCTCCAGCGAGCCTCCAGCCGGCGAGGGCGCGAAAGAAAAACGAGCAACCGGGGGAGAATGACACCGGAGGGCTCGAGTGGTGTGCTCCCTTGGCTTCTTCGTCTGGACACACAGCAGTGCGTACGCCACCCCGGGGCCGCCCACCCCAAGTGAAGCCTCGCTCGCCACCTGTGCCACCGCCAGCCGCCCGTGGCATTTCTAAAACGAACCCGGGGGCATGCCGGTATTCCGCTCGGCCCTCCTCCTGCTCGCAGGTAATTTTTGGGGGCGGGTTAGGGGCGAAAGTGGGTCTTACTGGCGCATTCACGGATTTATTCATGGAAATACTGGCGCCTCGTCAACGCTCATGTATTTGAGCTGTCATCTTACTTCCGGAGCGGCATGAAGCATCCTTGGCTCTGCTGTCACCAAAATGCGATATTTTTATTCAGGCACCCACCCCTATCGCGCAGGCCTTTTCCACCCAATTGGCGATTTGTAAACATGAAAAAGATCAAACATGCGAAAAAATAGCTCAACCAATCTGAAAGCCGTCTTTTTGAGCGTCTTGATCAAGACTTTCTAATCCACTGAGCTTTCGCCTTCCTTCAGGATCTTTAGTGGCTCTCACTCTGGCTCCTTGTCGCACATTTGTGAGTGATAACCTTTCATTCCTTACAAAACGTTACACTTTAAAAATGCCCATTCCAACTGAAGTTCGTTACTTATGATCGTCTACCTCTTGCCCCGGAAATACACAGACCGATTGTTTAATCAAGGTTTCCCTTTCATCCCCTAGGCACAAAAAGTGAATCTGCAAAACTAGAAGCGCGAGGGGAGTTCCCGGGCGACAACTCTGCTGCACCCCAACCCGCTGATCGGGTCCGGAGCAGCCAGCCGGTGTTTTGAAGGTGAAAGGAGCCAGGGCGGACGGGGGGAAAGAGGTGAAGATGGTCTGGTTGATTATATCGTGCCCCCGGGTTGAGTGGGGGTGGTGGTGGCGGTGGCAGGGGCCGTGCCCGGGGAGGGTAGGCGAAAGCAAGCCGCCACCAACGCGCATCCAACCGGATTCCCGGCACTGCCGACAGCCGATCGGCTGGTGCAAAGATTTGATACTTACCTGTGTCTCTTCCGCCCGCGCCCGGGAGTCGATCGGTGTGGGGATATTAGCTATGGAAAGAGTGATGCGTAAAGGTGGCATGGGATGGCATAATTTTTACAAGTAGAGATATACCTAGTAATGTCAATGTATTTATTGAAATAATTATAGTTGATAAGACATGTAGTAGAATTTAACTATTTCAAGCAGAAAATAGCTTAGAAAACCTAGAAAAATGCCAGAAATTTTCGAATTTTCATCGAAAATCGGCCATCGATCGAAATCTTTTTCAAGGTTTTTAACAAAAATTTGGAGCTTTTACCTTGATTCTAAAAAAATGATCCCAATGAAAAAAGTAGGTCCTCCCCCTGGAAATATCAAGGGTTAAAAAACAAAAAATAATTGCACGTTAAGCTAAATAATAATTTGGTTCTTTAGGATTTCCGGGGGGAAGTATTTCCGGGGGGAACCAAATTTTTTCGGCCCAAGCCTAAATTTTTTTCAAATAGCGCATGCGTTTCTAAATGGTTTTTAACTATTCCTGAGCATAAAAACTACCCACATTTTAATTAAAAAATTTCATTTTAGGTCGAAAAATCCTATAGAACCTTTAGGATTAGCGGGGGGGAAGGCCCAAAATGACTAAATTTTCGACTTTTTCAAACATTTGTCTAACTTTTTTGAAAGGTTTTTCTCTTTAAATATAGTTAAAATTTACTAAAAACAATGGGAAAACACCTTATATTTGATTACTAGGTCAACCGGGAAAACCAGGAAAAATTTGGTTCCCCCCCGGAAATACTCCCCCGGAAATCCTAAAGAAACAAACAAACAAAGAAAAAAAAAATAATTGCACGTTAAGCTAAATAATAATTTTAACTTCCAGGGCCCCTGCTCGTCTACGGGCAACAATACTACTACCCCCAGTATTACCCACAATATCAGGTTTGTAAAATGACTAAAAATGAAATCAGGCAAAGCCAAAATTAACCTTTCCTTTAGCCACAATATCTACCTCAGCAATATCAACAATTCCCACAACAGCAATGGGTCTACCAACAACAGCAGCCGGTCAACCATCAAGTAAGCCAAACTTCATCTGGAGAAAACCCCCCAAAATTTCAGCCGACCGCCCAGCAATTCGCACAACCGCCCCAATCCCAGCAAATGCCGTATCCACTCTAATTCCGCTAACAAAAAATTAAAATTTAGACAACAGCCCCGGCCACCCCCAGCGCCCGAGAATTTCCAGTATTTATCAGAGGTATGGGCTAAACAACGAAATTAAACAACTAATTAATTAATTAAACAAGATTCCAATTTAAGGATGACCCCAGCAAGAAAGCGCGTCGTTTTATCGCTTCTTATTGGGACCCGCAACGGCAGCAGACCGTTTATTATGTAGGTTGAACTTTCAAATTATTAAAATTAAAATCTAGTTATTTATAAGAGGCTCAGAATTTATCAGGGGACTTTTTAGGAGCGAAACGACCCTGTGCCAAACTTCCAGGCTCGTCCACAATTTCCCCAACAATTCCAACAGGCACCCGAGCCGGCGCAGGTAGGCAAAATGTCCATTCCATAGTTGGGGGTCTATTCAACGAATCTAGTAACGTAAAAATCGCGCCAATCAAAGCTTCTAGGCTTACAATAAACCTTCTTACCCTTTTGGCATTATCCAAACCTTGTACAGTACTTGTTCTCCCGCCTCTGACCATCGTCCACCCTTACAGACGCCTCGATTGCCATTCTTGAGCCAGCAGCCGCCCCCTCAGCGAATTCTTGACCCTCGCCTCGGACAGGCACCACCGCCACCACCACCTCAGGTCTGTTCACGTTCCACTGTCTGCCACACGCACTCGGAAACCTGCAAAATACTCGACACCCTCAAGTAGTGCCGGGTTTTGGTCAAGTGCTTTCCCATTTGGGGGCTACCCGGTTGGCAAAAAAGGGATGAATGACCCCCTAGCTTGAAGCTAAAGGAAAAAATTCCACTCCTATTTTGAACCGATTGTTTAGGCCTTCCAACCCCAACAACCAGCCACCCACACCCAAGCATTCAGGTAAGAGACTATAGGATGTCGTAACAAAATTTCAGAGAGCAACAAGCCCCGGCCGCGCCACGAAGAACCATCCTTGGTCAGGGGGTCAGTTACAAAACAGAGTCTAAAATCAACCTAAACCAACTACAAAACTGAATCGCATCAAGTTGACCCCCACCTAAAGCCAGCCTTCATGCCGTTTAGTTCTAGACCCCGCGTGCGCCGCCACCGCCCGGCAAATTTTCCCCATATCCGCAGGATCTGTTCAACCCCCTAGACGCAAAGGTGGGCGTTGCTTTAGGAAGTGAACTCTGCGCCGAAAGATATTCACGGACCCCCATAAATAAAACTATTAGGTTGCTCGACCGACGCCACCAGAAATTCTAGTCGTCGGCGGTTCCCAGAAGGTCGAGCATTCGCTCATCGAAGAAGTGCCAGCTCAGGTCAGGAAAACAAAAAGCATACTTTTTCAAATAGAACCTCGTGGCCAAGCTACAGCTTTTAGACGTTAAACAACCAGCGGAAGCCGCAGCCTCCGACTCATTTTGAACAGCCGAAGCCGATCAGACCAGAGACTCCGGTCCGAGCTCCCGCACCCAAGAACCGAAGGCCCGTGCAGCAACCGGCGAGGAGCCATTTGGTCCCGGCGCCGCGCGTCGAGCTATCAGAGGAAATTGGAGAGGTAAGCGGCACCAGGCATTTAGAAGAAAATTTATTTTCTGCAGGACGCCAACGCGATATTTTTGACGTGCTGTAAGAAGCGAAATGTCGCGAAGAAATGCGAGTCCAGATGCGATTTTGATGTGATGAATAAGAAAATGGTACGTTCAAATAACCGTATCATGCAAGGAAAAGAGAAAACAAGCTCTACTGTTAGAAAGAACCGTTACTTTTTTCAGCTTACAGCAATGTTCCTCGGAACTGACCCTTGCCCTCAAGCATACGGTCGCGATCTGCTAACGTGCGCCGCCCAAGATCTCGACCATTCGCAGTGTTGCATTGAGAAGGGTGTCCATGAGACGTCCGCAGGCAATAAATGCCTCGGCTTTTGCAATATGACGCCGGGAACAACATTCCAAGTGAGTCCAAGCCTATAGAAATGAACAAGCACCGAAATTTCAGGCCGACGTTTCCATGCTTCCATGCTGGGCAGTTCTCAACGATATCAAGAGCTGCTTCCGCAGTCACATTGAAGATAATATGTTGTCACGGGTCGTTTAATTGTATTTGTAGTCAGTGTATAGACGGTATAAAATGGAATTTTATTCGAGGGAAAAAATCGTTCAACAAACGACTAAAACGAATGAAAGGCGGAGATGCAAGCTGAACAACGCAGTTAAGATCATCAATCAACAGTAACCTAACACTCAACTACTCATCGAAAAATAATGTGAACAAAAGAGAAGGCCAGCCAGCGTTTAGCGTTTTTTACCAGTGTTCATGTCAAAGAAGTCCTCCTCGGCAATGTTGAGCATAAGACTGCCAGAGGGAATGTAGATCTATAATGAGTTTGACATTTTATGAAGATCAAGCGAGCATTACCTTGTTGTTGGAGCCTTCAGCCATCGTCTTGGAGATGGTCTGTGCGGCAGCGATCTTCCGGAGCTTCAGGTAACCCGGATCACCACGAAGGGCTTGTCCCAGCTAGAAGAAGTTCAACAGATGGTCGAAAAATTGTTACCAATTTAGCGGATTCGGCCTCTCCTTCGGCCTGGACAATCTTCTCCTGCTTTTGTTGCAGAGCGCGCTCCACAAGGAAAGAGGCACGCTGAGCTTCTTGAGCGGCAACCTAGTAAATCGATAAAGCACCCAAATAACGTTTGATACCTGCTTGGCCTCGACGGCCGCGGAATATTGAGGAGAGAAAGCCAGCTCCGTCAACGAAACGTCATCTAAAAAGCAACTCGGAGCTTACAATAAAAACGTACCGAGAATAATGTTGAAGTCAAGGGCGCGCTCGATAAGCCTTTTTCGGATGAGAAGAGAGACCTGTTGACGTTGAGTGATCAATTGCGAAGCGTTGAACTTGGCAACGACCGATTTTAGGACCTAAAAATCAATACAAAAATCGGTAGAATATCAAACCTCATTGCAAATTGAAGGCAACACGCGCTCCTCCCAATTTTGCCCAAGGGTACGGTAGATCTTCTGGAGATGATTTGGGTCTGGGCGCGAAAGGACACGAAGGCCAATGTTTACCATCTGGAGATCCTTCGATCCAGTCGGGGAGCGGACCTGTAAATCAAATTATGCAAAAGAGCGGCTTTAACAATCCATACCTGATTCGGCCTAGCGCGAATATCGTACACGATCGGGTACTGGAACCATGGTACACGGAAGTGGAGCCCTTCTTTGTAAATATCGGTGCCGACGCCGCCGATACGGTTGAACATGATAGCACGGTGACCAGCGTCAACTATAGGAAATTATTTAAGAGTGAAAGCGCAGATAACGAATAGCTGCCGGGTCAAAAAGAAACCTGTGAAAAGTGCCTGCGAAACTCCATAGACTGCCGCGCCGGCAGCCGCAATGAGCCCGACTCCGACACCCGCTCCTCGCGAATTTTGGAGGATCTTTTTCATCGCCTCCTGTCCCTTGTTGGCCGCCATGCTAAAAGGAGAATCAACTATAATAATTTTGTTGTGGTCTCCGTCTGTGTGAAGCCGAATTCAACTCGAAGGGGAAAGGAGCTAGAGCTTAGCTCTCTTCGGATTCGGATAGAGCGTGGTCAGAAACCCCCAAACTGATAAAAAAATTATGAAAAAGTTTTAGTTTAAATTATTAAAATTAACTTTGAAAGTTTTTTCCTTAGTAAAAGGGGTGGGGGACGGAGGTTGGGGTGATTTTGGACGTAGTGAGCCAGGTCGCGCGCGTTTCGTGGATGAAAATTTTCACGGGGGATTTCATTTCTTTTTTCTCTCATTCCATCCGGTCGGTCGTTATTTTCGTTTTTTAAAAGGATTTCGGCTAGGGGAGGTATCTAAAGCCATCAGGGAGGTATTTAGGTAGTTTTTGACGGGGATTTCAGCCATGGGGGGGGTATCTGAAGCCATCAGGAAGGTATTTAGGTAGTTTTTGACGGGGATTTCAGCCATGGGGGGTATCTGAAGCCATCAGGAAGGTATCTAGGTAGTTTTTGAAGGGGATTTCAGCCATGGGGGATATCTGAAGCCATCAGGAAGGTATCTAGGTAGTTTTTGAAGGGGATTTCAGCCATGGGGGGTATCTGAAGCCATCAGGAAGGTATCTAGGTAGTTTTTGAAGGGGATTTCAGCCATGGGGGGTATCTGAAGCCATCAGGAAGGTATCTAGGTAGTTTTTGAAGGGGATTTCAGCCATGGGGGGTATCTGAAGCCATCAGGAAGGTATCTAGGTAGTTTTTGAAGGGGATTTCAGCCATGGGGGGTATCTGAAGCCATCAGGAAGGTATCTAGGTAGTTTTTGAAGGGGATTTCAGCCATGGGGGGTATCTGAAGCCATCAGGAAGGTATTTAGGTAGTTTTTGACGGGGATTTCAGCCATGGGGGTATCTGAAGCCATCAGGAAGGTATTTAGGTAGTTTTTGACGGGGATTTCAGCCATGGGGGGGTATCTGAAGCCATCAGGAAGGTATTTAGGTAGTTTTTGACGGGGATTTCAGCCATGGGGGGTATCTGAAGCCATCAGGAAGGTATTTAGGTAGTTTTTGACGGGGATTTCAGCCATGGGGGGGTATCTGAAGCCATCAGGAAGGTATTTAGGTAGTTTTTGACGGGGATTTCAGCCATGGGGGGGGGTATCTGAAGCCATCAGGAAGGTATTTAGGTAGTTTTTGACGGGGATTTCGGCTAGGAGAGGCATCTAAAGCCATCAGGAAAGCATCGAAGTAGTTTTTGAAGGGGATTTCGGCTATGGGGGGTATTGATGGAGGTGGGAAAGGATGTGGTGGAGTGGGACATGTAGGGTAGCGCGAAGGCCAGATGGTTGCAGTCGCGAAGCGACTGTAACCATCTGGTATTATACAAACCTTTCTCAATTAGCCAAAAACTGTATGATGTAAAGCCTCCCCGTCCGGCAACCGGCAACCCCCCGAAAAATGCCGTTGATAGGAGCAGTACGTTCACGATGACGCAAGGAAATTCGGTGGGCACAAACCAGAAAAAAACGCAAAGTTCGCCTGGATAAAAGTAATTTATTCTAAAACCGGTAAAATTCAACAACAATCGAAATCGTATTCAGTAACATTCCTTACTGATAACAGCAAAGTCACATTGTCACAAACGGGCTACGCGGGGGGAAGACTAGCAGGGCCTGGGGTGGGTGCCAAGTGAAATGAGAGGCCAATGAGGGGGCGAGCGAGAAAGCATTTTATCCGTCGGATTTACTGGGTGAAGTTGAAGGCAGTAGGGACATCAGTTTGAGCAAAATCGTAACCGCCGGCTTGTTCGAGTTTCTTGGACTCCTCGTGTTGGGCGTGCTGGGCACAAGTCTGAAAAATGGAAAATTAGCTGACCCAGCCAAGCGTACCATGATAAGTTTTCGCAGGCAGTTTTGAGCGGCTACATCCAGAGGGCCGATCATCTGGTTGAAGAGGGCCGGCTCCTTTTGCTCGAATTCTGCAGTGATGTTAATGGAGATCAAAATAATGTTTATACCTTCCATCGTTTTCTTGAACATAACGAAGGGATCCTGCGAGCTGTCATCGGTGTCAACGGGCGTCAGGTAGGCCTAAATCAAAGAACTCATATTTTAGAATGTATGTACCCCCAAAAATCTTCTCACCCCTTTTCTAAAAAAAAGGCATACCTCCGTTTCCGTCTCGTCAACCTCGTATTCATCGCCGCTGTCTTCATCAGCAGATGAATCGTCGGCCTCGCTGCCGCTGGCGACGCTCTTGTGCTGCTTGGCCAACGTTTGCAAATATTGCAAAGTGCCCTGGAACACACAATGACTCTGCTAAGATCAGGCGCCGAACCTCATCAATCTCATCCTCCGAATCGGCCAAATCCTGGTCCATGTCACGATGCTTGTTGCCGCCACCTTTCTTAGCACTTCGCTTTGGCAGGTCTTCGTCGTCATCTAAAAGAAAAGTTCTACGCCGATTTGTGTGAACACACCGCTCTCTTCGTCACTATCCTCCTCTTCGAACTTTGCGTTTTCGGCTTGCAGTTTCATCGCCTTTTCGAGACCCTCGAAGACGGCGATACAAACCTCGATGATCTAAGCAAAATTCTAGAATTTCTGTGACAAAAACCTTTGTCGGCTCATAGTTGATGAGTGTGGGCCGGGCCGAAGCTGGCAGTCGAAGCAGGGTGCACCAGGCAAAGATGACCATTTTGCGGCTGTGGATTCCCTCTAGCGAGAGAGTGATGTTGATCTGAAAACCGGTCATATACGAGGTTCGGGACTAATTTTCACCATCTCTTCAGTCAAAAAGTCGAGGGGGTTCGAGTGCTGGGGAGCAATCTCCTTGAAGGTGTTGATCGAGACCTCGACGTTTGTGTAGACGGCGGCGATGAGCACCTAAATGAAGACAAAATAAAGATCAGAAGGTTTCGGCATACCACAATCAGCATTGGCTTGAGCTCGGTAAGCCCTTCGAACGGCTGGCTGAGGCGCTGCAGAACGAGGACGATAATTGCGGGGATGGCACTGTTCACGGCACCTGAGATCAGGTTTTCAAAGAGAAAGGAAAATGTTACCTTGGCATTGCAACAATAAACATTCAAGGAGCTTGGCGGCGTGCACTTGGTTCTCATCTCCTTGATCACTGTCCTGGAGCACAAGCTGGCACATCTCGAAGCATGCATTCAGCCGTTCTGGGCGAGCCAGGAAACCCTCAGTATCCGTCACCAAATATTGATGGAAAAGCGGCATCACATCTAAAAAGAAAACATGAACAGCTAATATACCCTGACCGCTGAAAAGAATGTAGACATTGTTCGTCTCCTTGAAGATGGTGACGACATCGCCAAACAAGGACCACATCATTTCCGACACGTAGCTGTTGATCAAGGACTGCATGAGCATGATGATGTCATCGTAATAATCTGAAAAAAAAACAAAATCCATGAGATAAACACTTGTGGTAAAAAAAGCGCGGTACAAAACTAACCAATCATTGTCATTTCGAAGACCGCTTTAATGACTCGTGTGACGTGCATTTCGACTTGCATCATGATGTCCTTGTGATCGTCTACCTAGAAGGCAAAGGTATCTAGAAGATGCATGGAGAAAACTAACCACGTCCAAAATGTTGGACAGTGTAGAAACCACGCTCATCAACGTCGGAGCACGATCGTCGGCAATCTCGTCCTGGGAGATGACTTCCACGAACATGTTGCTCTAAAAAGCACGAGTGACGGATACAAGGCACGGCACATACCAAAGTCTCGGAGAGCTTGGTGGCGATCGGGATCACTTCATCCATAAAATCTTCAATGAGCTGATCCATAACACCACAGATCTCCTCGATCTAAAAGCAAAACATGTTGAACTTATTCTACAACACACCTGTGTCTTTGCTACGAGCTCCAGCACTTTCGGAATTACATCCTTGACCAACGGGCGTAACATGGTTTGAACTAAAATTATGGAATCGTACACCAAAAGGTTCCATCCTTACCTGTTTCTCCCTGATCATTGAGGAGATACTGTAGAGCAAGAGCCGATTCAACCTTGCATGGCAACTCAGTGTCGTTGATGAGGCATTGTACGATGCTTTGGACGATCTAGAGATTTCGCTCAAACCAGTAAGGGCCCATACAAACCTTATTCAAATAACTCTTGTGCTGGAAGTTGGCGCCGGAGAAGGACTTGATGCACCAAGCGGCCCGAGCACGAACAAATCTAGACAAAAGTTTGGAAACGGTGCTGAGAGTCTACCGCTGTTCGGCGAGGATCCTGGGCGTGATATGTGCCTCGATGAGTTTCTCGACGTCTTTCTTGTACTTTTTGGACTTGCAGAGCTGGGTTGAAAGCTCGCCAACCATATGTAGGGCTCCCTCGATCTCCCGCGGGTTTTGCGAAGAAGAAAGAATCTAAAAACAATATACCATTAAATTTTTGCAAACGGTCAACCTGGATGATAAATCCGAGTAGAGGCTGCATCGTATCCTTTCTCTTGCTAATACCCGTCAACAAGGCGCCCGCTGCATAGGCCGGATTGTGCAGATCTTCGAAAATATCTGCACCTACAGGTGATTATTTTCGTACACAAGCTTACCAAATTTAAATCGAATGTATTCTTGGACATCTTCGTCCCAGAGCTCCTCGTCCTCGTCGCTGTGGCAGAGCAATGGGAAGAGGACAAGTTTGACAACATCCTAAATGGCGGTAATTTATGAAAAAAAAATGTTCCCAACCAGCATATGTGGCTTGATGATCTTCCAGGTGGTAGCGTGGGAGACAGCCGTATTCAGGAAATTGATGGCAAGGTGCAGGACGCGATCGGATACGATTTGGTTCTGAGAAAAATATAGGCAAACATAAAGGAGCCTAAACCTGTCGTTTTGCTTCCAAAACCCTCAAGAAAGCCTCCACGCAAGGGATGGCGAACTTGCCGATGAAATGGTTGGCGAATTCAGCATATCCTTTCTCGACCTGGCCTGGGGCTCCATATCTAAATTTGTTACAGTAAAAAAAGTAAACAACACGACAATGCGGAACATCAAGTATCCAAAAACATTGATTTACCTATCAAAAATCCTCTCCAAAATCTTGGCGGCCCATTTCTTGGCTTTCCACCAGACGGTATGCGCGGCTTCGTCCTTGTCCTCGATTGAGGCTACTTCTGGGGGCACTGGCCGCTCGATAACTTGTTGTACGGTAGTAAGCCATGGATCCAGCACTTCAATCGGCAGCATGTCCAAATTCAACGAAAACTAAAAACATATTGCAAAGTCTCAGGGATCTCACCTGGATCAAAGCGAAGAAAATTTTCAGGATGATCTTTTGGAGCAGCACGGATTCCTCGGAGGGATTCGGCAAAAGGCCTTGGAAGGATGTATAGATCAGGGGCAGCATGTGCTTCATCGAATCAACCAGATGAATTCTTTCTTTAGCCCGACGATACCTACAAGTACACAACTACATTTTTAGTTCCAAAGCTTACTCGTAAACTTTGGCGATCTTGTAGATGACCAGAAGAGAGGCGTGCATCTTGGCCGCGTCATGGCTTCCGAGCAGCTCGACGAGCTTTTGCGTGAGGTTCGGCCAGCGGTCCGGGAAGTCGACACGAAGAATAGTCTGCACCATGTTCGCGAGGTGAACCCTAGAGCCAATTTTTAAAATTCAAGGGAATGCGTACTTGGCAACATTTGGAGCGAAACAGATGGCTTCGACAATATTCTCACGCACGAACGTCTTGTCTTGGTCCAAGATGGTGTATTCTTGCTGATTCTCCTTATCCTCGCCAACGTCGTTGGGCTAAAAAACGGTTAAAAACAACATAAGTTCACGCACCCCCCAGTATTTGATGATCGTATTCTTCAGGAAGATCACAGCGGCCTGTCGGAGGGCTGAGGGGCGCAGGTCGTCCGGCAGGTCTTGGGAGACGACGATTTTGAGCAGCTCCGGCGTGAATCCGGGCAATTTTGTGCACTGAAGAAATGGTAAATTCTAAGATGTTTACACAAAGCGCACGCTTTCCAAGTAGTCGCCGGCCTGCTTGGCGTCCGCTTCATTTGTGGTCGCATGGAGAGCGCGGAGAAGCTGCTCCCGCTCCATCTAGGAATAAAAAATTGTAGTGGGCTTTGATGAGAGAGTGATGCAACTGTGGAAACTGAGACAACGACTCGTAAGCTTTTTATTTCTTTCCTAAAAAATATCTTCAATCGACCATTTCGGAAAATGGATTACAGTTTCTATAAAAAACTATAGTATGCTTTCGATGATCTTTATAAGATTCGCAAGAAAGCTATGGCCCGTAAACCAAAACTCCTGCCCAGGGGACGTGGCCTTTTCGTCCCTTTTCAAATCCCACTCATTATGTGCCAAAAAAAGATCGCGGCAAAAACCCTGTTGGCAAGATATCTACAGTTTCTACAAAAAGTTACTTTGATCGCGTTGATCTTTACGGGATTCGCGCTGACGCTATTGCTCCAAAACTGTCTGCCCTGCTAAAAGAAGCCATAGCTTTTCCACTCCCCTAAAACGCAATAAAAAATTTTGAGCAGAAGCTGGGGAGAATCATCTTTTTCCAGAACGGTCGGTTGAGAAATTGTATGTTAGGCCTTTTTACTCACGAGTCGCCTTGGAGAGCGGTGAGCGGGGCAGGGTTTAGCGTCCGGTCGCCCGGGCCACCTCACCACAATTCGCGGCCGTCGATCGAACTTCCGGAATGTTGATGTTTATTTTCCAGTCACCAAGCCAAAACTGTTACATTTTCGCTTTCAAGTTTCGTTAATTTCAGAATGGCGACACTTTTCTTCGCTACTGACGAGAATGAGGCCGTTTTTTTTTGTTCCGAATTTCGGAAATTATCGAAAAATGCCTAAAAAGCCTTTGTATAAAAACTGCTGGGATCGCGCTTAAAAATACCCTGGCATTTCAATGGCAATGGCATATTTTATACAAAAACCGAGCGTATCCCCTTTTTTCGATGTGGGTACGTCGACGACGCGTCGTTAGAAGCAAAAAGAAAGAGTAAACAGAGGCTAACGAACTTTATACATAATAATTTTTTTATTTTCCTTTTTACTTTATAAAAAAACATCCCAGTTTCTCAGAAGTATTGGAATTACCTTTTCATATGTCGATGGTAACAATTTATAATGTAAAAACGACGACTTTCTATTTTGAGATGCCATGTGCTTCACTTCACTGTTATTGAAATAGAATGAATGATATTTCTTTCATTCTATTTCTTTATTAAACTTTTGATGGCGCACTGCGGAATAAGCCGCAATAGGATCAAATTCGCCCCAGGGCTGATCAATGCCCGGTTTAGATTGATAGCCCCATTCCGCGGCAATAAAGGACACACTGATAACCCAAAGTGCCGCGGCTGTCTGAATTTGCGGCGTGAGTCTTTACCCTTCGGTGAATCATATTTTGGCAGAGATTTGGCTCTAGATTAGGTGGTCATTTCCGGTGGCTGAAACTTTGAAAAACAACAATGATTTCGGGGTTGTTTCGGGCCTGGACCGCTCAAATTCCAGTGCTTGGGATATAAGCTGAAATAGGCTAAAGTTGTGAATTCTAATTTACGGTTAAAACCCCCTACTCTTTTCTGAATTTGGAAGGTGTTGCTCCGGATGAGGTACGGTGACCTTGCCGACCCAAAGCCGATCCGCTACCTGTTTCCGGTCCACTTGCCCTTCGTATTATATCGAGTCAGGCACTTCGAGGGTCTGCTTTGTGCGTGCGTATACCTCTAAAATAATTGTCGGGGCGCGGGTGCATCCGCACGCTGGGTTCGGAAGCCCCTTTCCTCAATATACCGATTTCCCCGATACGTAAACCTGTGCAAAGTGTTGGGGATTTTACAGAGATTGGGAAGCGTCATAATCGACGTACTTCGATAGCTAGGTGTGGAAAGCGCGATTTTGATAATCACTAGCGAGTTACAATGGGCAAAACCCGATGTGATTTTGGGCGGGTTTTGGCGTGGTGCGTCGCTGTTGATGGCCAAGCGTTGCGTTAACTTCAGAATACATAAAAACTCTACGGCGAAAAATCTACAATATTATCGTGCCCATTCCTTTAAAGCGCACATTCGGAGCGCGATAACTATGAACATCCGTAAGTCAGTTTTTGCCTCACGTTCTGTCTCCGCGTGTATACGGTGTTGTCAGAACGTGCGCTTTAAAGGACCCAGCCAGACAAGGCTTAAGGTTCTCTGGCTAAAGATTTTTAGTTGCTCCATTTTGTTGGTGCAACATACGTCTTTTCTATTCTCCGTTTCTGCGTCCCGTTTTAATTCTTATATGCCGTTTTTCCATGGTTATCGCATCGAATTTTGCCTCTGCGGATCTTCATAGGGTTCATCCTGCTTCCCAACGCCTTTAAAAAGCATAACCGAACGCTCATCCCCCATCTCTGCCTCTCCAATCCCTCACTGTCGATGCGGATATGGTTTTTGACAGAGCCTCCCCCCTCCAGATAATTGCCGGTCTTCGCGGCGAGGACGGTTCCCCTCCCGTTCTGTGCCTAGTGTTGGTGGTCGGACCGAGTGGGTGGTGGTGGAAGGTGAAGGGGGGAAGGGCAACACACTCGTGTGCCCCCTCTATCCTCCCCTTCCCTTCCTCTCGACTGTTCCATCAGCTGCTCCCCTTAGTCACCCTAAAAATCGGGCCCGACTATCGATTGAGACCCCCGCGAGCCGGCGGCAGATCAATCCTCGGCGCCCGCTCGCCCACTGTTTCTCCCGCGGCCCCGGTCCGCTCGGCCAGTTCAGCCAGCCCCCCTGCAGCTTCTCCTGGCTTTTCCATGGCGCCCTCTGTTTCTTGTGATTGATCAGGGTCGGATGCGGGCCCTCCCCGATCGGCTCTCTGGCTATTGTTGTATACAGCAGGCTGTGATTTGCCATTTCCCCCCATTTTTATTGGCTGTTTTTATTGGTTGATTTACTAGGATTTATGATTGTATTACCTCGTCAATTTGAAAACTTCTTAGCTTGACGACGAGCTATATTATATTGTGAGGTTTTCAAAAAATTGCGGGCTTTTTCTGAAGGTACCTTCTAATTTTTTCCGTACAACTTTTTCGCGTCGAGCCACAACTCTTGTGGCAAAAAAGTTTAAAAAGGTTTTTCAAACCGGCTTTCCATTTCGAGAAAAAAAGAGCTAAGTTCTTGTGGCAAAAAAAGGGCGAAATTCTTCTCAACAGCTTCTTCAATTCTTACAATTTTCTTCTCAATTCTACAAAACCCGCGGAAGAACATAACGTTTTGGCCTTTTAGGCTAATTTTTCTGCTTTTTAGACGTTATTACGAACTCTCCCAAAGCCTCAATTTTCTTTGTTAATTTTATTGTCTCAAAACGCACCCATTTAATTAGTTATATGCAAACCCGAGGTGATAAATCCATTATTGACCATTTAAAAGTGGCTATAACGCTAAAATCCACGAGAAATCATACCTTGATCGTTTCTATTAATGCGCCGAACTACGGTATAGCTAGCTACCTTCCACTTCCAAATCCCTTTAAAACCCCACGCGTACCTCCCGGAAAACGTAATTTCAGAGCAGCCGGGGGTGAGTCGGGCGAGATTTCCTCCCGCCGCATCCGAAAGGCGGCTATCCACAAATCATTGCCCGTAGGCGGGCTAGAAGGCTCGTATACGGGTCGTCGGGTGATTGCGGGGGGATGCACGCACCGGTGGGTGGATGGAGAAGATCTTAATCTCTATCAATTCGGGCCGGTCTCGTCCGACCCCTCCGGTCGCACGTAGAATACCCGCGCGCGTACCCTGGGCGCGCTATAGATTTTCGTCCCGCTCGCCTTTTTTGTTATGCTAATGGGGCGCGTCGCGGCGGTGGGCTCTTTGGCTCGCTGCTCCGAGCGCCGCTACGATTTTAATCGTACTTTTTGCGTGGATTTTTGACGCTGATCCAACTTTCAGACCTATATATATGTTATGCATCCATATATGGCGAAGGTGAGGGTTTTTGTGATGCCCGCGACGTGCAACGCTATTTTTTTCAAAAAAAAACCTTACTAGATCAAGACGATTCTAAAGATTCAAAATTCAATACGAATTAATTAAAAAACGTGCTTTTATAATCTGGAAAAAGATTTGAAAAAGAAAGGAATTTTCGTTCTAAGGCTGTTTTTTAAGGGTTTTGCCCTTTTCAGGTGTTTAGAAAAAAATTCGAGCTCGTTTTTAGAGCACGAGGATCGGCGGAGATTTTTTGAGCGCTGCCCAAATTCTCAAAAATGCCGCTATAATGGTTTTCGATGGTTTTTGGCCGTTTGCCAGAAGGTTATAATGCCTTGTCAGCCGCTTTAAAAAGCTCTAAAACCCCGCTAGGTTTACCAGTAAACTACTTGTAGCCCCCACCCGACCGATTCCACTCGATTGCCCTCGAGGATCAAGCGCCGGGGGGATGTGGATCAATAGAACAGACTGACTGGTGCCCCTCCCGGCGCTGTGCCTGACTGGTTCTTCTCGAATTTCCGCCGCCGCGCACCTCGCCGCCATTTACAACAAGGAGAATCCGAGTGCGCGAAGAGACTCTCCTCCCCAACGGCCCAACAGTACGCGTGCCCCCCGTCGCGCCACCGCGCCGCGCCGCTTGCTTGTACATACGGCCCGGCCGGCCGACCAACGTCATCCACCCTAATCCTACACAACCGGAGGAGCAAGGGGGTTGTCTCGCTTGTTTGCCCCGGCTGAAATGGCCCCCCCTGGGAAAGTGGAGGGCTATTAGGGGCGTTTTCCGAGATTTCAATTGTTTTTTGAAAAGTTGAAAAATCGCATCTGGTGGGCGGTTTGGACTGTTTTTTTGATCTCGCTTGAAAAGTAGGAGATCATCTACTAACCTTTTTTCTGTTGAACCATTCTTCTCGTACTCCTTTCCACCGAATTTCTTGGGAGAACTACCTTTGAACTAAATCTGCTGATTTTGTGGATTCTATTTTTTCGCATTCTTTGTCTCCTAAAAAGGATTTTTTTCGTCCTACAAGTGCAGATATACCTCCTAGTGTAATTTTTAGTAAAATTAATCCGAATTCCAGGCGGAAAAACCACTTAGAAACTTAGAAATAGGTTTGGAATTGGTGAATTTTGGGCGAAAACCGGCCATTTTGATCAAAAATGCTTGATTTTGTATTTTTTTTGTAAATCTAATTCGTGCATTTTCACTTTTTACGCATTGTTTCTATTTCTGGCAAGAAAATTTCCGGAAAGCGAGCAGCGGCGGCGGCCAGCCGTAAGATTTTTGACATATTACGCCAACACTCTGCCTCGCCTCGCTCAAGTTGCCAGATTTTATGCGTTACGGAACCACATGTTTCCGCGCCGGCGTATCCCGATCCTTTGATCGATCCTCCATCATTTCTTTATGTCCTGAATGCTTAAAATTTCCATTTTTCGGGTTAAGCACGAGCTTTTCATGATTTCTTCGTTTAGTTGGCGACGCGGTGACGACGATGGTACTGGACGATGATCCGGACATCGACGACGCATGGCGGCACACGGCCAACATGCTCCAGGCCCGCCAACAAATCACTAACAACGCCATCACCAAGCGGCGGGTAAGTAGCGGGCTTCTTTTCCATGAAAAATCGGTACTGGGCTGTTATCGGGGGCAAGAAATGAAATTTTGATTTTGGGCCAAAAATGTGGTACAATTTCAAATTGCCAGAATTTTAACATTTTGCTAGGTTTAGGCCGCTAACAGTCCAGTACCGAAAGGCCTTGTCAGCCTTCAAACTCCCATTAGGGGGATTCCTCCAAAATTCTTTTTTTCAACAATAAGCAGACGTTTCGAGGAGATTCCACCTCAAAAAAATAAAATATCTTCTTCCCTCCACCTCCCCTCGTCCTCCCCATGTTTTTGCTTGCGGGGGTGACGGGCCGAATTTTATTGATTGACTGGCGGTGTGGAGACATTTCATTCTGGAGACACTTTCACCTCCTTTTTTTTGCAGGAACAACTCACCCGCTGGGGCACCTCCGAAATGAATGGGGCCAGCACGAGCCGGCGGTCGGCGCGCGTTCAATTCCATGTGAGTTTTTGGGCTGTATTAATTTTGCGGCGTTTCCCTGCCTCTGGCACCTCTGCCAAATACTCAAGTGATTTTTCTAATCCTTCCTTTCATCAACATCGTTCAAAAAACTTTAAGGACGAAGATGTTTTCCTTTCCGCGTGCATGTCTGGCGACGAGGATGAGGTCGACGAGCTTCTCGGCAAGGGCGCCAATATCAACACGGCTACTATTGACGGGTTGACCGCGTTGCATCAGGTTTGTTTTGTTTCTAGTTTATGTTTCAAAGAACTAGCAAGTTTTCTAAATTTCCTACATTTCAAAAAATATTGTAGAGCGTCATCGACAGCAAGCCGGAGATGGTCCGCTTTTTATGCGACAAGGGTGCCGATGTGAATGCTCAGGTAACGAAAAAAGAATAATTTTTGTATAATGCCTTTTTTAGGATAATGAAGGCTGGACCCCACTCCACGCAGCCGCCTGTTGCGGCAAAGTAGAAATTGTCGAGTATCTATGCAAACGGGGAGCCGATTTGACGATTATTAACAGGTAGATTTTCATTTTTTTTTTCTGAAATTCGTGTTTTTAGCGACAAAGAGCTGGCGCTCGACCTCGCCGAGGATGAGGCGTGTCGGGAATTTCTAGACAATGAGTATCGATTAAAGGTAGGTAAAATATTCCTTTACTTTCGGTTTTTCGTGATTATTTTTTTGTCTTCCTTCATTTTAAAATGCTTCCTTCAGGGTGTTGATCCGGGAAAATGCCGTGAGCGCGAGCTGACGACAATGATGTCTGATGTGGAGGGGTGGCTGAGAAGTGGCCACATCGACGAGAAGCCCCATCCGAGGACGGGCGCAACCGCGCTTCACGTTGCCGCGGCCAAGGGCTACACCCAAGTCATTCATCTGCTGCTTCAAGCCGGCGCCAACATCCACGCCCTGGATAAGGTATGTTTCTACGTTTTGGCTGTTTTGATATGAAGTCGAATTTATCGCGGCGAATTTAAGCTATGTTTTGTGCGTAAAATGTCATTTTTGTCCTAAAAGTTGTTTGAACTTTTGTCGAATTTCCTCGTTTCAGGACGGTTGGACCCCACTTCACGCTGCTGCTCATTGGGGCGAACGCGAGTCGTGTAAGGTCTTGATCGAAAACGGCGCCTCGCTCACCGAGCCACCATCAACCCCGCAAGCCCCTTCTGTACTTGCCGTAGCTGACAAGGAGCTCGTGGAATACCTTGAAGAACTGGACAAGGTAAAATTCCGCTAAAGATCTGAAATATTCCTGTCTTTCAGACGGTCATCAAGAAGAAGCCGAGCGTCGCCCCGGCTCGGCCGCTCCGCGAGAAGAACAGCGAGGCATCCCCGGTCGACACTACGCAACACACCCATCCACGCCATTTCCACTCCGCCGATCAGAAGCACGCCCTGGTCATCAAGTGAGTGTTTTTAGTTTTGGCAATAATATTGTTTTCTCAGGGACGAGCGTGAAGAAAACGCGACGCTGCACTCGGAGCCCAAGCAACCCAGGCTTACTGGCAAAGATGCTTCTGATGAGGGATCCGCGGAATCGGATAGATCGACGGCAACGGTTTCTTCTGTCGAGGAAAAGCCGTTGCGAAATGGTACCACGCCACCCGTTCGGTCGTTCCGGGATTCTGGTAGGCATTTTACCAGTTTTAGTCCGTGTTTCGCCGTGAAAACCTGCGAATTTAAAAATTTTTGGATACGATTTGCTCGGAAATGCTTGATTTTTCACAAATATCCAACTCAATTTACGGACGCTGTCGCGAAGTTACTGTGGCTTTTTTGGCCAATAAGCTCGAGTCCTCGAATTCCTCAACTAAAATTAATTCCGTCCCTTTTGCAGGCTCCTCCGCCCGCGAGATCAGCGCCGAGTTCAAAGCAACGGCCTCCGTATTTTCTGAGGAGAAGGAACCTGCTGCCCCCTCGATCTCGGCCACCGTCCCCCTTCGCCCCGCCGCCACCTCTTGGATCAACCGAAACTTGCCGCTGTCGAGCTCACGGTCAGTACGCTACCGCCAATAGTTTCGTTGTGTGGTCGCGCTTGATTGATTCCGCTTTTGATGACATGGGGTCTCGCTGGGAGCTTTGGTAACTACTAAACCTTGCTGACGTAGAATTTGATTTTTAGTTTTCGTTACCCTTCCTTTCCATTAATTTTTTTGGGTTGTTTGAGTCATAATGGATTGGAATTTGGTTCTTTTTTTGAAACACCATCCTAGAAACGTAAAACAGATAACGCCTCATTTTTTCTAGAAAATTGTTTTATGCTTTTGATCTTATTGAAACGCTACTTGACAGATGTTTGCAGATAGTCAAAAATAATTTTTACTAATTGCACTTTTTACATTTTTCGCCACCATCTTACCCAAATTTTTGCCTAGAGCACATGCTCAAAATCGGCAGCAATACACACATTTTTGTCATTAGCATCGTGGCGTACTCGCTGGGCCCTTCGCTAATCAACCCCCACCCACCACCCAATCCATCCCGTTGCCATTACAGTACCCCATCTTCATCCCCGTCCGTCTCATCCGAATGCTCCGGCGAGGCGACGACCTCCGCCTCCACTGCCACCACCACTACCTCATCTACCGCATCCCTTTCCGCTTCCGGATCCGCTTCCGCCTCCTACACCTCATCCTCCGATGCCTCGGGCTCGCAGGCTTCTCCCGCTTCTGAAGCTTCCGAAGCCTCCGAAGCATCGGCCACCACCACCACGAGGTCGACGAGCACCCAGTCAGCTTCTGGCTCTGGCTCTGCCTCCGGCTCCTCCGCCTCGCACACTGCACCCTCCACCTCCGCCTCGACTTCGGAGCCTAACGCGTGAGTTTTGTACCGTAGTCCTTCTCCTCTTTCTACTCCTACCCCTCAGCTGAACCACTAGCCTATCCCCTTTGCAGCACATTACATTCTACAGTTACGCTAATTGTTACAGGAATTGTTTAAAAATTTTTGGTTACAAAGTAGGGAACTTTCGCATGATCGGGGGGGGGTTCTTGGAATGCGCATCAACGTACTATCAAGTATTTGAACGGGATTTTCAGAAAATTTTACCTGCATTTTAGGTGGAAAAATCCCTATAGAACTAAGATAAAAAGATTTGTATTTTTTTAGTTGAAAAGTTTGAAAAAAAAATCGATATTTTTGGTGGTTTAGGTGTTCTACTGGCTCAGGGATAGTAAAAAAACAGCAGAAATAGTTTCTCTATTTTGGAAAAAAGTTGATTTCACCCCCTCCCCCCCGATAATGCGAAAGCACCGTCATTTGACTTCCACCGTCCCATTTAAAACATTGGGCCCTAAAACACGAAAATTGACAAACTTCTCCCCGGGATGCTTTTTATTTTGGGGCAACGCGGCAGTAAACATTGAAGTTGGACAGCGCGAAGCAGTCCTCGATTTGCTCATCGATATTTTGCCTTCCCGGTGCCGTTAGAATCAAGCATTTTCAGTCCGCTGCCCGGCCAAACAGAAATCATGCGAAGCGCCTCGACGACGTCCGCGCTGCCGTGGGTGCGGTCTGGTGTGGGGATCGGTGGTCCGGGCCCCGCGCCGAACTCGCTCAACACCTCCGCCTCTACCAGTGCCTTTTCAACGTTTTTGCAAAAGGATCGTGTATCCGCCTTCCGGCCGCTCACAAAATTGCCGCAAGATCAGGAATCGGCAAATAGGTGAGCATGAGTTTGGGGGGTGATAGAGCATGGTTCTCGAACTATGATTTTTTTTGAGCATCAGTTCTTCTAAAAGTCTAACTGGGGCTAAAAAGCGTACCACCAAACCAGCTGCGCAATCCAGCAGAGAACTTTTGAGAAATTCGCAAAAACGTGTGTTTTTAGCGCACCGAACCTGCTCCCCGCGCAATCCTCGCCTCGGTTCCCCCCGGTTCGGAACCATTCCCTGGCCGCCCCCGCGCTGAGGTATTTCTTAAAAATTCATAAAAACGTATTGTAACGTCACTTGGGTTCGTCAAAATTTGAAATATTTTGATTTTTCCAGACCCTGGCAAGCGCCCGCCCCCACTCAAGAAAGTGAAGCCGAACGCCGGAAAGAGGCGAGAATGCAGCGTCAGTACAGGAGGTGAGCTTTTTTCTATTATTCCCTCGTTTGAATTGGCTTTTTAATTTTTTATGTCTTTTAAAATAATAAGAATAAGAATAATAATCAGAATTAAATCTTCGTCGAGAGAGATAACTTTGGATCGTTTAATTCCGCAAAGTCAAAATTTTAACTTACTTGAAAACATACCCCTCTTTCCAGATCCACCCAAGGTGTCACGAAAGAGCAGCTCGAGGAAGCCTCCAAAGTGGCCCAAGAAGAACAGGAGAAACGACGACGCGAAGAAGAGCTCGCCCAGACGACGTCGGCCACCCCGCCTACATCGGCCGTGTCTGCCCGACGCCGTAGCGGTCAATTCCCCGGCCAACATACTGCCAACCGAGCGGTCCGACGCGGCACGGGCCCTGTCGTTTCTGAAGACGTACATGCGGCGGTGTCGTTGAGATGTGTAGCTCCGGCCCAAGCACAACCTGGCGGTGCCACCCAACTACCAACCGCCGCTTATACACCGATGTCTGGCGTGTCGTTCCAGTCTGGGGCGTCCTCTGGGTTCCCGTTGATAAGGACGCAGCTGTCGCAGACCAACTCCAAGGAGAAGAGCCACTCCCAGCCGCCTGTCTCGTCGGTGCCCGAGGCGACGGTGATGACCACGACGAGCACGCCGTCGGCGACCACCACGTCCGCGTCTGTAGGGTTCAAGGGGACGGCGAATGGAACGGTGAGTGGGTAGAGGAAATACCGATACTGAGGGTCAAAAATCAAAAAAAAAAAGAAATCTCGGCAGCAAAAATACCGAAATGTCAAAATTCCCTCGGCCAAAAATACCGTCATGTCAAAATCCCGACAGCGAAAATTCGGAACTTCCGATTTTCTTGCGTCCTCTCGGGATTTTTTGGCTGTCGGTATTTTCGTCGGCCGGGATTTTGGCGCGTCGCGATTATGGATTATGCCCTGAATTCTTCTGGAGGCTACCAGATGTTTTCTGAATTCGGAAGAACCTGCCACTACTTAACCAATCCAAAATAACAATCCCTTTAGAACCCGCCGGCCACGTTCACCACCTCCAACTATCGGCAGCTGTACGAGCAGCAAAAGATGGAGAACGACCGGTTGCGGAAGGAGCTCGAGGAGTACAGGAGATCAGTGCTGGTGAGATCTTATTTACCTTTCGAAAATTACAAAAAATTTAATCCTAGCCCTTTTCAAAGAATTTTAACTAAGTTTTCTACAAGCGAAACTGGAAAACGTTGTAATTTTCCAGAATGGCGCCTCAAATCGACGGCCCACGACGACGCCCACCTCGCAGGGCTCAACGGCTCGGTCCAGCTCGGGGCTGGACACCGACGAGCGGCGGAATATGGAAAAACGGATAAACGACCTGGAGTACGAGCTGAAGGTGGGTTACTGTAGCTATGGCAATCAATAGGGATTTTCATCTATTGAGGTTGAAATAAACGATTCGATGTTTTTCAGAATTTCGGCCAGCTTCGGGTGGAGAACCAGCGGCTCAAGGAGGAGAACGGGGCTCTGGTCCGCGTTATCTCCAAGATGACAATTTAGTGTGATATCGTGTATGCCAATATCAAAAATAAAGAATATATATATATTGATTGGGTGTTGGGGGCTTGAAAGTACACACGGATGGTACGGAGACAAACAGCGTTTTCTACGGGTTCAGGGGCCAGAAGGCTGTTTTTATGGATTACATCTAGCTTAAGTGCGAGAGGAAGAGAGAGAGAGAGTGAGAGAGAGAGAGAGAGAGCGGGAAAGAGATATATACAGCGCGTTATTTTGACACGTTCAAAAAACGGAATCCTACTATATATAAAAAAATAGTGTCTGTGTGTGTGTGTGTCTGTGTGTGCCACTTTGCATCCACTTCCGGATGTCTGTCCGGAGGATATCTCGCTAGGGAATGAATTTTAAGGTATGTATGATACGTCATTAGATGCGTAATGGCCTGGAGATGACTGCACGCATATCAGGTTTAACAAAATCACCTATTTTCGACATTAAATTTAAGTTTTTGTGAAAACCTCTTTGTTAGGAATAATTAGCGTAGACCGGAAGTGGGGATTCGACTATATAAAGGGGCGAAACAGGTACTTTTTCATTTTTTGTTATCTGAATTCATGAAAATTATGCAAAGTGAAGGATAAAACGGGGTCAGACGGGGCCAGGGTTGAAAAGTCGCGAAGCGGCTTTTCAACCCTGGTTTAGCTACTTAAATATTAGCAAAAATTACCATTTGGCATATTCTCTACCCCCAGGGCTGTAAAATACCTTAAATACCATTTTCTACTGAAGCCCGACCCTCAATCGGTAATTTTTAGTTTTTGAACCAGAAATTGGCATTTTTTCGAGGGTTCTACGGTAGAATGAGCGAAGTGACGCAAGAGGGCGGTCCCGCCGTCGAGTACGACGAGGACAGTGATGATGGTGAGCTTACTTTGAAGCTAGCTTGGTTGACTTGGCGCGGTTTTACCGAGCTGAACAGCTCGTTGAACGTCTACTTTCCAGCCTCGGACCGCTCGGACGAGCTCAGCGTTTTGGAGGACGAGCTGGATCGGCAGATGGAGGATGAGGTAGCGAGTTTCAAAAGCTTTATTGGCTTGGTTTCAGCTGGCGATGGGCGTGATGTCGCGGCTGATGCCGAGGCACACCTTTTGGGAGACGTTCACCGAGAGTCAGGTCGTCAAGATGGTTGGTTTCTCTCTCTCTCTCTCTCTCTCTCTCTCTCTCTCTCTCTCTCTCTCTCTCTCCCTAACTCTCGTTTCCAGACGTTCCTCTGCGGCCCCGACGCCCTCGGCTCGTTCGCCATGATCTTCATGACATACGGATGTTCGTCTACTTCCACTCTGATTTTAACATCCATATAGGGCCATCGGTGTACGCCCTCTACACGCTGCTGTTCTTCTTCGGCTTCCCCCTTGTCTGCTTGGAGCTGTTCCTCGGCCAGTACACCTCCCAGAACCCGTTGACGCTCTACGGCCAGATGGTGCCTGCATTTGAGGGTAATAACTGAGGATCACTTGAACACCTTGCGGTTGCGCGGCGGTTTGATGAAGATGCTACGCGCCCACAACACGGTCAATTGATCATCTGGTGTTTAGGGCTCGGCTACTCGGTGATGTTGCTGAACTTCTTCATCATTGGCGCCCAAGTGCAACAAGTGGCACTATTTGCAGGTAGAGCGAGATAAAGAGAGCGAGAGAGAGCGGGAGAGAGCGAAAAAAAGCTGTTTTTCGAATGTCATACTCTATCTTCAGGCCTCGCAATAGAATCGATCAGCCCCGGCGACGACGCCAAGCAGTACGACACGTGCTCGAACCTGTTCAACAACTACAGTCCGTCCCCTGTCACCACCCCTTTAAAATTCTATTCTAGTCTGCCAAGTCGACCACCCGTACTGCCCGCCCGAGCAGCCGCTGTGGCTCGAGAACATTTGCGTGTCGAACACCTCGTACAAGTGGAACGTCTATCTGGACCACAGGTTCGAGCTGGGCGGCTGGCGATGATCATCTACTGATTTCAGAAGAAGCTACCACGAGGAGGTCCCGTACAACTACCCGATGTTTCAATTTTTGTGAGTCGGATTCTCTCTCTCTCTCTCTCTCTCTCTCTTTCTATGGCTACGAGACATTCCACAGATTCCGCGGCATCCTCGGCGAAAGTGACCATATGTACGTGCGAAGTGACCTCTCGGCTGAAGGTGTCCTTACCTATTCGGCCATCTGGTGCTTCGTCTTCGTCGCCAACTCCAACGGCTGGACGTCCGTCATCAAGGATGTCGGTCCTTTGGCATTATCGCGGGGGGGCAACTTGTACAACCTCAACTTCAGACAGCCATCGTCACCAACACGGCAATGTTCGTGAACGAGCTCGTGTACGTGTGTGTGACGCGCTTCTGGGAACGGCCACTCATCTGGATGTATCCAGAAGTCACCGACCAGCCAGCTGTCGACCCGGCAGCCATGGGAATCTGGGCTGACCAGCCGGTGCGCATCTACATCAAGCCGCACAACTTCCATCCGAAATACGTGCCACCAGATCCGGCGATATCTCATCGATTCGTCTTCAACGAGACGTTTGAGGTATCTCTCTCTCTCTCTCTCTCTCTCTCTCTCTACCTTACTCTCTCTCTCACCTCATTCTAGCGCACCGGCGCCATCTTGGACATGGACCTCGAGCCAGATCTTCTTCGCCAGCCCGACATGCAAATGTGGATGATGCTGGCCGTTCATGTACTGAACTGCTTGAACTCGTCTGGCATCACCGAGCGTTTCTAGATCCTCTCCTTTCTTGGCCTCGGCGACGGCGGCCTCGTCACGATCGCGTCGCGTCAGAACTTCTCGGCCTGGATTTTGAAGTGCGCTTTTGGGCCCTTATCCTAAAAGATGCCGGCTAGCTTTCCTCCTTCAATTTCTTAAAGAACTCTGCTAGCTGGCCCCATTTATTCTTCCAGAGACGCCGTGATTCTGCTCCTCATCTGGTCCGTGCTCCCGATCTGGATGGCCATGGGGTTACAGGGCAATATCACGTAAACTAGGCCGACGCGTAGCGGTTGCGTTGCGCCGCGGGTAACCGCGACGCGACCGCTACGCACCGGCTCAAAAGCGGTGGCGCAAGCTCACATTTTTTAGCATGCTCGTCCTCCAGCGCCTTCGCGAGACACCCGACTACTACGAGATGAAGCGCCTCTTCGTCGAGACCTGTGCGTTGCGGCTGCGTCGCGGCGGTTGAGAGCGGATAATTTTTCAGATCACCACTTTGTCGAGCGGTCCAGCTACCACACGAACATGTTCTCGTGGGCGTTCAGCCTGTTGTTGTTCAAGGTAAAAGATTTTTATGGTTTTCGATGACCTTGTTTTCAGGAGTACCACAACGTCCTGTTGACGCTGCTGACCATCACCGGGGCGCTGTTCACGCTGACTAGTGTGGTGGGTGGGAGATTGAGAGAGGGAGAGCGAGAGAGAGGACGGGAGAGAGACGGCAACCCCCTTTTCAGTTGATCCGCTTCGAGATCCTGGCCGGCTCGATGACGGACCAGCTGATAGGTCAGCCGGATGTTGTCCAGAAGGTACGGTACTCGAGCACTTTTTAGGGCCTACCTCGCCCGCTAAATCCGAATCTTCTAGTGCCTTCTCCGCGCCACCGTCGCCGGCGGCTTCATGCTGATGCTATGCATGTCCCATCGGGTACATCCTGCCTTTACGCGTTGCGGTCGCGTCGCGGCAAGTCGTGAACCTGCCGTGACGTGACCGCAAAGCGTTAAACTGCGCGAAAAATATTGTAATCTTTTTCTTTAGCATGGTCTCCTCTACCTCGAGGCCTTCTACAAGTACGGGCTGGTGACGATCGTCGGCTGCATCATCCTCATCGAGGTTTGAAGTTCATCTCAAAGGAGACTGACCCTATCCAGCTTGTCCTCATCCTCATCTACCGTCCATTTCGCGTCTTTGCCAACCTGAACGCGATGCAGTTGAGCTGGCCGTCGGTGCGCCGCTCGCTCCGCCTCCGCACCGCCTTTGAGATGGCCAACCTCGTGCTAGTCTGTCGGTTTTTAGGGGTTTTCTAGACCTCAAATCGATTAATGCTAAGCGGATAGTATAACCTGGCTTAGAGTCAGGAAACAAAAACTTCTGCCGTGGCCGGGGGTCGAACCCGGGCCATTTGGGTGGGAGACCTGGAACACTACCATTAAGCCAAGAGTGCATTATGGGTCTTGGCGTCAAAAACCTCCTAAGAACGTGGTAACGCATTTTTACTATTGCTAAGCGTCAAAACATGCAGTTTTCTTTTTTCAAAGATAGAAAAATATAGATTTTTTTAAACCAAAAATGGCCAATTTTCGTCCAAAAATATGTACAAATGCCGTTTAATTAAGCTTATTTCTTTTTTATTTTGTATTTTTTTGGCCAATATACATCTTTTTGCAGACAGCTGGGTGCTTCTCCCAGTCTTCATCGGCACGACGGTCATCTACAACGTCCAGGAGCCGCTCACCTTCGGCGGGCACTTTCAGAAGGAGGCCAAATGGGTAGGAGGCGCCTTTCAAATTGCCAATAACTTGGTAAATTGATAGATACTTGATTTAAAGGCAAAAAAAACACGAAAAATCTCGCGCTTAGATCGGCCTTCTCGTGGCCCTGTTCGTCATGTCGCCGACGTTGATCATCTTCACCAAGCGGGTCAGTTGTGTCGTTTTTTGCCACGTTTTTTGGTTTGTAGATGTACTGGCGATACCAGAACCAGACGGCGTGGCGTATGGAGTGGGCACCGGTGCGTCGACTGTGGGGCCCGAGGATTGTCACTGACAGGTGGGGGGAATTTCTGGATTCTTGCCTTCCCAGTGCCTTTAAAATTTGATTTTGCAGTTTTTTTGAATTCACCCACCTTATTCATAAAATTTTGCAATTTTTTAGAACCCTGGCCACCCACGTCGAGCTGGAATTCGGGATCACCGAGTAGTCGGCCACGTCAGCTAGGCGATGCTCCTCTACACATCCCCGAAGATCTCTTCCTGCTATATGCTTCGACAAATGACCGGATGACAACCATATGTCTACAGTATCTATCACTTGTTTGTTGTCGTCCTGTCACGATAAATGCTATTCCGAAGAAAACTTTACGAATAGTTTCTGGAGCCGAATAAACGAGAAATAATTAGATCGGCCATTTTTGGTAAGGGTCTACAGGATGTCCGAAGAAAAACCGTCCCCCCTAACTCGACGTAGAAGTATCGGATCGGAATCGTAGTTACAGCAATCGAACACCCTTAAAGGGATGCCCAACCTTTTCGGGCTCAAAAAGCAAAAGCCGTGCCGCGGGCGGGGGTCGAACCCGAGACCCTCGTTTTGTAGGCCTGGATGATATCCATTAGGCCATAGTGGCAAGCCATTGGATGGGATGAGGACGCCACAAGAGGGAAAGGTGGCGGAATTCTGTGCGGCAAGTTCCCCATTGCTGCACAAAATCCGCGCGTCATCTGTACAGTCCGGAATACATAACTATATATTTGCCGCCAAAACCTTGGGTATCCCTTTAAAAGCGCGAGTTTGCAAAAATCTTCAAAATTCATAATTCTTCAAAATTATGTTTTTATGTGAACGCGTTCAACTTCTTGTTGTCAAGCCGGTCAGGCTCCTGAGATCGCCGGTAAGGTCGGTCGGCTAGATGCCTTGCTCGCTGGATGTCACTTTCTGTTCCAGTGAACCAGAACCATTCACCATTTCATCCTTTATTTTCTCACACACAATAGGTGTACACAGTAATACGGAAAGCGTTAATTTTTTAAGGGGTGAGGTCGGAGGCGGGGGTTCTGCAGCTGTTGGATGAGCTTGCCGTTGTAGGTGTCGGTGACGGTGTAGCCCGGGCTCGCTGACCGCTACTGGAATGGCTTGTTGAATAGGACGTTGTGGAACGTATCCAAGATGGTTTTCAATTGCTCAGTTCTGCCAGGCTAAGGCTATGCTTTAGCGTAAGCTATGTGGCCGGTCAAGTCAAGCCAAGCCGAAGCTACTGCTAAGCGTTTACCACATCCGAAGCCATACTCGAAGCCGAAGCCCAATCATAGCCCCTAACAATTAGCCTAAGCAGCCGCCAACAACGATCGAAGCTAAATCCCAAATGCAAAACTGAGAATCAACAAAACAGTTTCCTCGCAGAATGTGTCCGCGAATATTGGATGTACAGGGTGGACAAAAAAAAGATCCGAGTTTGGGTCAAAATATCTCGCGAACGGTAGAGAATCGAAGGTGCGTTACCATGCCAGAATGCTTAAATATGCTGGGTATGAAGATTTAACACAACTTGATTTTTTCGATTTTTGGCGACGTATCAATACAAATGACACCCGAAAACTGTGCGTTCGGGGAAACTTCATTTGTATTTTTCTCAGTTTCCTGTGGTGGCTGGCATCTAATTTTTATTAAGTAAGTTAATATAAGCAGCAGATATGTACCTACAAAATTTAAGAATTTTTGAGGGTCTGGTTGAAAAATTATAGAGGAATGAAATTTTGTATGGGGAAATTTCGTAAATTTCCAAAATGACAAAAACCTATGGCCAAAACATCAGAATAAGTTGTAGAATAACTACGGACCCTATACAACCGCATAAACACGCTTAAAAAATTTTCGAGATCGATGAATTTTCGAGTTTTTCAACGACCCCCGGGTCATGGATTTTTCGAGGTCTCGAAACCCAACTTTGGAAAAATATTTCTAAATTGCCAAAGGGGACTCAGCTGTTTTCTTTGCTTAGCTATGTACTACTGGGGTTGATCTATCATCTACAAATTTTCGATCTACCGTACCTCTTTGGAAGGGCGTCTTTTAGGGCCTCCAAAAAGGTTCGTTGGTGCTTTTTTTCTAAACATTGTCACCATTTTATAAAATTTAGTCGCGCCTTGAAATATATCGTTTTATTTTTTTTCTGATACCATTTAAATAGCGCATCCTAAAGCCCTGTTCATGAGTTTTTTTAACCAGCCGTTGGCGCCAAGAAAATTCATCAAAAACCGAAATAAACCGAATCTGAAGGGGCGTAAAAAAATTTTGGGAGGTAAAGACGCCGGGATATTTTTACCAATAAGTCAGTGCCATCAGTTGAATAAAACTATGCAAAGATTAAAGCAATTTCGCGTCGCAAAAATTTTAAGAAGAATTTTAAACTTCGATTTTGGAACAGGGTGATTCTTGTTTTTGAGCTAAAAGTCACCATAATTTTGAATCAGATCGCTCCCGAATTCGACAGGCGTAGATAATAACATCAAAGCTATAATCGTATCCAAAAGACTTAGGTGGTTTTTTTATTTTTAAAAATTCGAAAATTGACCCGGCTACTCGGACCAAAAATCGGCTCTCTGGCCTTGTTTTGCACTTGGCCTCGTAACTTTGTTATTTACCACCGAAAATTAGTAATTTTTTACAAGCTATCTTAAAATCACCTCTAGAAGGCCCTCGAATTGAAAAATCGTCAATTTATGGAATTTTGCGATGGCATGCTAAAACGCGCTCCAGGGGGGTTACTGTAGAAAACCTAAATTCGCGATTTTCGTGGTGTTTTTGCCATGGAATCGCTTCGATCGTTCGGTAAAAGCAATAGTAGCAGTTTTTGGACCAATTGACCAAAAAATTTACAAAATTCTGCCGCAGAATTAAAAAATCTGTTTTTAGTCTTTTTCATGAAAGTTTGTGGATAGTACGCTTTCGTATTTGGCAGTGAGGTGCCCCTACTTATTGCCTAACAACCCAGAAAATTTCAGCCGAATCGAAGCTAGGGGCCCCGAGAAAAGCGGGAAAAACGAAACTTACAGTACCCCGCTGGGGCACGTTTTAGTAAGCAATACAAAAATACCATAGATTGCGGTGGAATTTGGTGTGGAATCCGAGATTAATATTTGGATAGGTCATTGACAAAATATCAGCCATGGGCAGCGAGTTATAAGCGAGTTATAACTCAAAGAACAAAAATAACGCAAAATCGCGAAAATTGTTTTGCTTTTAGAAAATCGAATAGGCCTCGAAAAATTCTAAGATTTTGCCATTACATTTCTACAAATTTATACTATTTTTAGGCCAAAAATCAGAATTTTCCCACCTCCCGTTCAAGAACGCACAAATTTCGGTCGTAACCAGCGTCAATAGTACAGTTTCGTACTCAAAAATCGAAAAAATCAAGTTGTGTTAAATCTTCATGCCCAGCATATTTAAGCATTCTGGCATGGTAACGCACCTTCGATTCTCTACAGTTCGCGAGATATTTTGACCCAAACTCGGATCTTTTTTTTTGTCCACCCTATATTGTTAATGTTAATAAGACTCCCTTTCCCACCTTCAAAAATGGATGCTGACGCATCATGTGTTCGTAGGCGGAGGCGAATTCTTCCTGCCGGCTACGGTATCTGCCCAATTCCGGGAGGCTGTTGGAAGCAGTAGCACGAGGGGGCGCCGGCTTCTTCAGCTCCTGAAAGACGAAATAATATATATCTAAGAACAGTTCTGGACTGTTAGCGGGGGGTTTAGCAGGGGGAGCCCACATCCTGTTTTCCACTTATTGTTTTTGATGATATTTATGTATTTTCAGAATGTTTTTAACAATTGGTGATTGCTAGAAATTTATAAAATATATAAATTTGAGCAAAGCATTTTGTAAATTCGCAAAATTCTGTCCTTTTTGGGTCATTTTGGGTATATGTCGGCTACGCGGGGGGGGATTTTACGCGGGGGGGACGGACTATTCGGGCCGAGCTAACTATTTTTTTGCGTTTCTTTTTGCAACAAACAAAACTCTTAGTATATTTTTTTGGCGCTCTGTCGAATGGCATTAAAGAAATTTTGTAAAAATGTCGAAAATGTCGAAAACTTGATTTTCTTCTATGTTCTCCATGGAAACAACGTTTAATACTTGTTTTTGTGATAACTATTTTATATTACATTATTTTGAGCTAAAATTAAAACTCTTAGTATATTTTTGGATGCTCTATCGAATGGCATCTTTAAAATGTCGAAAAAAATAGCGCGAATATCGAAAAACAGCCGCTCAAACCGATTTTCAAAGCTTATTTTTGTATTTACCATAACTTTTTTATATTACACTATTTTTCGCTAAAACAAAAACTCTTAGTATATTTTTCGATGCTCTATCGCATGCCGTTGCGAAAATTCCGAGAAAATAACCAAAACATCCAAAAAGGCCTGCCTGTACCAAAAGCTACGCTAAAACGCTAAACGGCCCCGCGGCCCCGGGAAAACAAGATGCTCTTGTGTCAATAGGTATTTTATCTACCTATTTTGCTGCTCAGGTTTCGCACAACGTTGAACAAACGACCCGCGCTGTCATTGACGAGAAAGAACGGGCTCGTGTTGCCGTCATCGCCGCCCTACGTGAATCAGAAATGGCGACCCCATCGGCTCGGAATGCTGACGATCTCAACTTTGCGCGCGGACTCTCGGATTTTATGGGCTTGTCTTCTACTATTGTTGCCACCGAACGGCTCGGTAAAGCCTCGGCCGGTCGTCCTCGCTTGATGAAAGTGATCTTTCTTTCAAGCCGCGCTGCTTCGGATTTCATTAGGGCCTTTCCCCGGCATCGTTCCCAAAATTCTCTTTACAGACCTCTCTTCGTGCGCCCCTCCATGTCTCTCGCCGAGCGCAAGGATGCGGCCGAAAAGCGAGCGTGTGCCGCCCAACTGTCTCAAGCCAATGGGGTCCCTTATGTCGTCTACGCAAACGAAGTGATGCGGAAGGATGAGGTTGCCGCGTTCAAGGAGAAAACGATCGCTGGACGCAGGTTTACCGTTCCTCGCTCTTCTTCCTTCTCTCAATCCGACTCGGGCACACTAAAACGCCCGTCCACGCGCGGTTCGATGTCCCCACCAACTAAGGTCTCTAATAACCACCGTTCAGCCGCCTCTCTCTCCCACTAGGACCTCGCGCCATTGCACTCTTCCACCGGCCTGCTTTGCTTTTATATAAACTACCGTAGTATCTGCAACAAATTGATTGAATTGAGGGCGTTTTTAGCAAACTTTTCCCCCCATTTACTCGCCCTATCAGAAACTTGGCTCTCAACCAAACTTTCGGATCTAGATATACTTGCCGGACTGCCATACAAAATTATACGACGTGACCGAACATCCCGAGGAGGGGGCGTAGCAGTAATCTATAGCAATCAACTTTCCGTAATTTCCCACCATTCTTCTGCGAAAGCCGAAATCCTGACACTTGACATATTTTTACACGAACGCCTGCACAAATTTTTAGTTTTCTACCGCCCGCCTAACCTAAAAAGCGACGCCGATAATACTTTCTTTAACGAGATTTTGATCAGTCTCTCTGGACCTGAACCAATTGTCGCGGTCGGTGATATGAACATTTCATACAATTCTAGCTTTGACTCTTCAGCGTCAAATCCCTGCAAAGCCCACTCTTTAATTCACGCAGCGCGCCTCCTGCAACTAGTAAAAGACCCCACAAATAGGAATTTTAACAAAACTATCGACTGGCTCCTCACGAGTGACGCCTCCTTTTGCTCTGGTGCCAGCGTCATACCCTCCTTTCTCCCATCCGATCACCTAGGTATTTCCTTCAAGCTATCTGGATCCACCACGCCCCTTCCATTGCATCGTTCCGGTCTCCCAAACTTCGCCAAAACCGATTTCGCTGCTCTCAACTCTTTTTTCGATTCAGTAAATTGGGATTTTGAGCTCTCTTTTCACCCGGACATATCCTCTATGTACCAACATTTCCTTGCGATCCTTCAAGCGGGCATAGCCAAATTCACACCCGTCCACCGCGCATACACTAAGTGTCGGACTGAATTTAAGTATCCTAGCCATATAACACGTCTGCTCATTTTCAAGGATAGATCCTTCAGCAATATCCGCTCGCCCTCCGATCACAATAAATATGTAGAGCTTTGTAAATCTATTTCATACAAAATCAAACGTTGGGAAGAATACCGGCAGCGAAAGCTTTTCCGTAATAAATTCGGTCCGCATCTTTTTTCCTTTTTGAAATCTTTTCGTAAACCGAACCAACAGTTTACGGCAACTCTTCAGGTCCCTACTCGCGCTCTCCCACTTGTACGCGATGAAGATAAGGCCGAGGCGCTTGCATACACCTTTTCCCACGCGCATAGTTCCTTTGACACTAATCCAACGGGACCTTTTGAATCGGCTACAAATTTTCAAGGATGCCGGACCCACATGCCTTTCCAAAATCTGTTCTTTCTTCCGGGCGACGTATTAAACCAACTGAATAGGACTAAGTCTAGTTGCTCAATCCCCGCCGATGGAATTCCGCCTATAATTTACAAAAGTTGCGCTCGCTCCTTATGTCTCCCTTTAGCCCATATACTTAACTTTTCACTTCAGTTAGGACAACTACCTTCCCTGTGGAAACAAGCTCATATCACCCCAATACCTAAACCTGGCAAACCGCCCTCGGATCCCAGCTCCTATCGGCCAATCGCGATATTAGCTACCCCACTGAAGGTTATGGAAAGACTTATAAAATCGCATCTTTCGCAATACTTAGAGCGGCTTAATTTAATACCTCCCGAACAATACGGTTTTCGTTCTAATTCGTCAGTTACCGACCAACTAGTTACGTGTTATGAAGATTGGAGCGCAGCCCTCGAAGCTAAAAATTGTGTCGATATAGCATATTTTGACTTCACCAGAGCCTTCGATACTGTTGACTGCTCATTACTGCTATCAAGATGCGCGTCTTTTGGCATTTCCGGTCCTGTGCTAGCTTGGCTTCGCGATTATCTTCGTGATCGCACATTCAGCGTACGCATAAACGCCAAATTTAGTGCTCCACGGCCAGTGTTTAGCGGGGTACCGCAAGGCTCTGTGCTTGGACCCCTCCTTTTCTCAATTTTCACGGCCTCCCTACCCAGCTGCATATCTCGAATCCCCGAGGTTTCCATTAAGATGTTCACCGATGATGTCAAAATATATATCTCTTATTCCCGAAGTCAGACTCTTTCGAGCCAGCTTAGTTTCCAAACTGCAATAAATCTCGTCCATAAATGGGCACTCGATAGTAAACTAGATTTTTCGTATCATAAGTGCCAAATGCTCCACCTAGGCGTCTGGAACCCTAAATTTAGTTACACCCTTGGCGACTTTCCGTTACAACCCGCGCCCATAGTTCGTGATTTAGGAATCCTAGTCTCAAACCGGCTTCAAAACAAGTCTACTTTAGAACAACGTCACCTCAAAGCCACAAGGGCTATGTTTTCCCTACTCAGAAACCTCAAGATTCGAAACCCTAAGCTGCTAGTTAAGTGCTTCAAATCATACGTTTTGCCCATAGCAGAATTTGCCTCCTCTGTCTGGTCACCTCACACCAAAACCTGGATCGAAAAATTCGAGCGCATCCAAAAAACCTTTAGCAAAGTGGTCTTTCGTCGATGTCATATCTCCCCTCTACCATATCACAAACGCTGCGAGTTCCTTGGGCTTACCACTATGCATCATAGAAGGATTATTTCCGATCTATGTCTGGGTTTTAAAATCCTTCATGGTAAATGCAATATCGCCAGGCAAAAGTGCTTTACGTTCAGAATTGGTACAGGTCGAAACAAGAAACTCTTGCTCAATATCCCCCATGCTCGCACTGAAGCAAGGAAGACCTCATTCACTATTAGAATAGCCCGCTGGATGAATTTATTACCACAAAAACTACTTTACTCTCGTGATGTAAAGTCTTTTCGCAAGGATTTGTTAAAACTAGATCTTTCTAGGGTTCTCAAGCTCTAAATTTCCTATCCCGTCTTCCATTTTCTCTGCTGCCAACATTATTTTGCTATATCCGCTCCGGCGGCCCTTTCTTTTTGCAGTTTTGAGTCTTCCGAGCCGTCATCGCCCATCATCTCCACCTGCCTGCAGCCTTCCCTACTGCTCTATATTCAATAAGGACATTTTAACCAACCAGGTAATAAAGGCGCATCCGATGTTGCTGCGCTGGTACTGAGAAAATTCACTGCGCAAACGAAAGTGTTGATTTTCAAAGCTGGCCGACGAAAGTTCGGCGACGTTACCAAATCGACGCAGCTGCTGCCCCAGATGGGCAAATAGCAACTAAAACACCAATTGCTTAAAGCTTATCGTCACCTACGTGTTCTTTCATATTCATTCTTCCGAAAACCGTCTCGAACACTGTGCCCAATCCTTCGAGATCATCGGCAATCTCGGCCAGCTCGCTCTTAGGGATTTTCAGCTCTTTTAATCTAGATGGTTTTTGCAGTCAAAGCTAAATAGCCTACCGCCTCGCAGTGTAGATAAGCGCAAGCATGGCGAGTAGTTGTGCCGCCATTAATGGGCTGCATTTGAGGCCGGCCAGCGTTCCATGCCCGAGCAGTACACTCCCCATGATGTAAACGTGCTAAAATTAACGATTATCGCATGGGAAAAAAAGTACCAGAAAGATCTCTTTTCCGCACTTATTCCCTTGATCGAATGGGCGAATCGTCGTTGCATAATATGTGGGCAGAATGACGGCCGATTCCAAACCGGTGAGAAGCTGCCGTATTTTTGCCGGGAGCCCAAAAAGCAAATCCTCTTTGTGGCCGGCAAGCACTGAAAAAAAACTTTGGTTTCCGACTCCGCCTATACCTGAGTCGAGCCGTTTGAACACGCCCAAATCCAGCCAGTGAAGCGTGTCGAACATCACCAAGTTCATCGGCACCAACCTCGAAAAGGCGGTATTCCCTAAATAACAAGTTCTGCAAAATTCGATAACCTTACGGATGACTTCGACTGGCAAGCCCTGCTCCGCATTACTGCCACGCAGGATACCGGCCCTTAGCGAATACCTAGATTGGGTAAGCATCGGGCTTCACGTCAAAGTAATACCTGGTAACCCGAACATTGCTCCGGTCGGTGAGCGAGATGACTCGTCCATTTTCGATCACCAGCAAGCGACAAACCGGGCAGAAGCCATTTGCCGAGGCCCAGCTTTCCGTCTTATAGAGCTTGCGCACCGCCTAAAAACTGGATACATACAGGAAACGAAATGCTTACATCGCCATCGAGTATCGTCGCCGCCACGATGCATTTGACCAGAAATATCTCTCCATTCTTTTCGATTCTGATCGGGTCCCGTAGCAGCTCTCGTACCTTAGATTCTTTGACCAATCTTACAAAACAACAAACCCGCTCCATCATCTTCGCTGTCGCCGCCTCGATCACGTCACCAACGCCACGACTTGCCGTCGGGATCGAGGTTGCCCCGATGAGGATATGGCTGCTTTGCTCGCCCCGGCGCTCTGGCTCCAAATCCCATATGGCACCATAATACGGCCAACAGGATGCGCTAAAAACCTTGATGATTCGTGAAAACTATTCCTTACTTAGAATAAGGCTTCATGTCGAAACCATCGGTATTTAGCATTAGTTGCACGACAAGCTGGTTTTCTTCGAACTGCTGCATCGTCTCCATATTTTCGACGAATTCCTGGCTGCTCCGAGTGTCCTCCGGCGGGTCGTTGCTGTGAATCCTGGCATGAACGTCCCTAAAGCGAGGGTTGTAGGTTCTAGGTTGTAAACTCACCTTATTTCTTCCAGCATCGCCGAAATTATACCTGCAGCCTGAACGCGTACGTCCACAGTTAGCCCCGTGCTATATGCACCTCCATCAGATATTCGCAGCTTGGAGCGAATTATCCTAAAAACAACTTGCTGCCGAGGAAAATAGCATACCCGAGGGTTTGGCAGCGTAGGCACTCTCCGTTTTCACCGATTTCTTCCATTTCGTGTCCTCTCTCCGGACAGATTCGAAAACCTTGTAAGCTGCAACGATCCCTATATTGCATCAATATCCATAACTACCTATACTCGTCCATCAACTGGTTTTTGAGCTTTTGCACTAGCCGCGCCGTCGTTCTCACAGCTCCATCGGAATTTGCGCGAACTGAACCAAATATAATAACATTTTGCATAGGACGTATTCCGCTTGCCTAATATATCGATTGCCTCCAAGGACGCAAACGTCAGATTGTAGTCCATGGCCACCGTCAAATACAGCAACGTCGTATCTTCTGTCAGCACATTGCCCCCTACAAAAATCGTTTGAATTTCTCAAAATCACCTTACCGAATTGGTCAACTGGTTCATCGGTCGATTCGTCACAACCGCCCGGGTCCGGCTCGCCTTCCTCTGACAATTCCCCAATCTCTTCTGGCCAGTCACCTCCTGGCGCGTCGAATAATCGGTTTGCACCTAAAACAGCCACCTGTTACGAACAAGCGCAAATATTACCTTCGGATGCATCCTCGATGGCACGCGCCGCCTCCGTACCATCACCTTCTTCGGAACTGCTTTCCTGGCTTGACGTCGACAACACCGCTAGCCGCAATCGTTTTCGCCCGGGCATCACCTAGAAAACGTCGATATAACTCCAGGCGGTTGCATAAAACCGAGATACAACGAAAGAAATACAAAAGTACCCACGATCAGTTGCTTTGCCATACTTTAAATTATATTTCCCACCACAGCTTTTTTGCTACTTTTCCAACTTGACCAAAATTCCTTAAAACCCGAAAAGTGCTCGGCGAAAAGTTACAAATTTGCCCAAAAATAGTAAATTTCACGTCAAGATGCTGCATTTTATCATTATTGAACAAAAATTTGCGAAAGAAATGACGAAAAGAGAGGTTTCACTGACTTGTAAAAACTTTGTTTGTATTGTTTTGTGAAAAAGTGCCAAAGTCCCGGGTTCCGAACGCCGTAATACAATTAACGTAAATCCCGGACTCGTTCAGTACTGGGCCAGTCCGGCAGACGCCCCCAGGCTGTGCCCGCACTCGCCCGCCTTTGCCAGTACTGGCAATGCCGGGCGAGCCCGGCGAACCCCGGCAAAGCCTGGGCGAGCCCATGGGAGGCCGGGGTGAGTCCGGCCAACCTAGGCACATTCCTCCCGTGTACAGCTTCGGTTCGCCCACGTGACCCGCCAACCACCACCCTCCCTCTCCGTCGGCAGCACCACCACCCTGCGGCTCGTCAAAAAAAACAAAACAAACAAAATTCCAAACATAGTTCCCCATTTGATCGTACACAACATTGCCGATGTCGTTTGTCTTGCCGCTTGGTGATTGCCGCTTGCCGTCTGGTCTTGATTTGTAGCCTCAAGGGTTCTTGGTTTTGCCATGCTGTCTGTTTTACTCTGCCGTTGTCTTGACCGGTGTACACAGGGCTCTTAATCCATTTTTTGGTAGCGAAATCGACAGGCCAAGATTGACACCACTCCGAAACACTCCCACCGAGCACTTACGTAGCGTTCCGTATTCCGGGCGTACGTCCAAACCGCAGCCGGCTCCGCCCTCAGTATTGTGCACGGTTTGGTAGGGAGTTGGAGTGTCGGGTACAGACCCGTGTCTATATCTACCGTCCGATTCTCACACCACTTCACCGAGTACCCCTGCCCCAACACCATCTTTAGCCTCCAAAAATTTTACATTTTTTTCTCTCTTCCTCCTTTGCCCCTCCCACCTCCCGTCCACCCATCCATTTATCCCCAAAATCCTTCCTTCTTTTAAGCCCCACATTTTCTTTGACATCTTTCCGCTATACTGTGACTCATTGCATGTGCAATGGCGCCTCGTTGCGCAAATAAATCAAAACATTTGCTAGGTAGGCTAAGTACTGATTTTTTTAGAACTAGAAACGCTTACAATAATGCCTGGAGACAGCGGGTCGGGGGGCGGGAACTCATCCTCCCAGGTCGGCCCGTCACGTGGGTGGTGCTTGATAACTTCGATTGCCTCGTTGACGGCCGACTCGATGGTCACGGCCATGATGGCCAGATCGGCAGTGTCCGAGCGCATGCCTTCGATCTGGAAAAGGCATTCCGATTTGTCGTCGCTCTCGTATTAGATTGTTACCGAGGGTTCGAGCCGGAACCTCCCCCCGCTAACAGTACAGCACCCTTAGTTTTTGATTGCTAATACGGTATACAGCTTCGTTGCGGAAATTCCGAAATATCCACTCCCCGCCATGGGTCCAAGCCACAACTCCGAACAATTGGCGAAACCTCAACAGGATGTTCGTACCTGGCCGACAATTTTCTGGGCCGCGTCCAGGAACGTCTTGCGATCTTGGATCATGTTCTTCAGATCGGCCAGTGCGCCCTCCGGACATCGGTCCGCCGCATTCTGTAACAAGAACATTTTGTAGTTTTGATTGCTAGAAAGCCATGACAATATTTTTAAAATTTTTGAAAATTCGAGAATTTTTAGCCTTTGATATCATTTTTCATACATTTAAATCAAAAATTTTAGAAAATTTTTATTATTTTGGTTTCGTTTTTGTAGGCAAAACTATGTAAATGTTATTAAAATGATATGTTTCCCCCCCCCCCGCTAACAGTCAAGAACGGTTTGTATTGGGACGCCCTGGAAATGATTGTGAACAGTAGAGAACAGTGGTGAGCAACTACAGAAACACCGAGTCTGCCCAACCGAATAAAAATACCTCCAGGCCATCCTGCGCGCATCCGCCGCCGGCGAGACGATCGGCCCCGTCGAGCACGCGCTGAAGCCGGACGGGCATCTTGAACTCGCACTCCTCGAAGACGGTGCCCAAGTGGTAACCCAGAGAGCGAGCCTGAAACATGGTGCTGTCGGTTCGGCGGAATTTTTTATCTACAGAGTTTTTGATCAAATATATAAGCCCTATAACAAAATCTAAACAATTTTTATAGCATTTAAACTAGTTTCTGCATATAAAAAAACAATATAAAGCAATAATTAAAATTTTTGAAAATTTTTGGCTTTTTGGTCAAAAATGTATGAAAAATGATCAGAAAAGGTCGCAATTTTGCAAATTTGCAAAATGTTGAAAGATATTTTATGACTCTCTAGCAATGAAAAACTACGAAAACATCATTAAAATATATAATATAGAATCAGTGGAAAAGCAGACGCGGTTTTCGGTCTGCTAAAAATCCCCCCCCCCCGCTAACGGTCCAGAACCCAAAAATTAAATATTATTTTACTAGACTTGATTGGGGTGAACTCCATACATTCGACACGCGGCAGTCGACGTCCAGGTTCTGGTTGCAGTTGCGCACGATCTCATCGAGCAGCTTCTTCAGCAGCGTCGCGTCGGTGCTCGAGTGCTTCTTCGCGGTGCTCGAGTAGATGTTCAGCAACGATCGGACGGGAGCTCGAGCCTCTAACTGAAAAATTTGCATATTTGAAGTAATTTCAGAAACCAATCACTCTTTAGGAATCTTGAGATGACGGAGAAAAGAGAGAAATTGACAAACAAACCGGTATTTTGAACATGGCCATCACGAGGAGTCGACTTGTCGGTAGAATCGTGAAACTACCAGAAAATATAGTCGGAGCAGCTTGGTTGAAGTCTGGCGGTTCTAGATAAAATTTAAATCTTGCCATGTAAATCGGGGCTCTGATGCAATCTCTGCTAGCTAGCCATCCCTCTTCCTCAACAATCTCTGCCAGCCTGCCCTCTCCTCTTCCTCGACAATCTCTGCCAGCCTGCCCTCTCCTCTTCCTCAACAATCACTGCTAGCCTGCCCTCCCCTCCTCCTCAACAATCTCTGCTAGCCTGCCCTCTCCTCTTCCTCAACAATCTCTACTAGCCTGCCCTCCCCTCTTCCTCAACAATCTCTGCTAGCCTGCCCTCTCCTCTTCCTCAACAATCTCTACTAGCCTGCCCTCTCCTCTTCCTCAACAATCTCTGCTAGCCTGCCCTCTCCTCTTCCTCAACAATCTCTGCTAGCCTGCCCTCCCCTCCTCCTCAACAATCTCTGCTAGCCTGCCCTCTCCTCTTCCTCAACAATCTCTGCTAGCCTGCCCTCTCCTCTTCCTCAACAATCTCTACTAGCCTGCCCTCTCCTCTTCCTCAACAATCTCTGCTAGCCTGCCCTCCCCTCCTCCTCAACAATCTCTGCTAGCCTGCCCTCTCCTCTTCCTCAACAATCTCTACTAGCCTGCCCTCCCCTCTTCCTCAACAATCTCTGCTAGCCTGCCCTCTCCTCTTCCTCAACGCTTTCTGCTAGAGAGAGAGGGAGACAGTGAGAGAGAGAGAGAGAGAGAGAGAGAGAGAGAGAGAGAGAGAAAGAGAGAGAGGGAGACAGAGAGAGAGAGCTGTAACTGTGGCAGAGCATGGAAATTTGCATAAAATTCTGTTGAAGTTGATAATTTACATAAAAAGTGAAGGCCCCTCTCGTTGCAGAAATGATTCATTTTGTATTTCTACTCACCCGTTTGATAATGTCAAAGTTGGTTTAATTTTTGTGTGTAAAAGTGTCTTTAGAAACGACTCGGAACTTGAAATAAACGTGCGGAATCTAATCGAGGCGGGCGGGACGCGGATCGGCCGATATATTGGTCGGTATCTCACTCACTCTCTCCCTATCTCCCTCTCTCTCTCTCTCTCTCTCTCTCTCTCTCTCCTTCTCTCACTCTCTCTCTGTCTCGCTCGCAAAAACTCTCTGAACTCCTCCAGGTCGTGGCTCCTACTCGAAGGTGTACAGCGGCCGGCGAGGCGACGGCCAGGAGGTGGCGCTGAAGGTCATCTCCGAGAAGGTGAAGAGCGAATACGTGCTGCGCTTCCTGCCCCGCGAGATCGTCATCGTCAAGCAGCTCAACCACCCCAACGTCGCCCGTGTTTATCGGGTATGGCTTAGGCTTGGATCAGGCTTAAGCTTAGGTTTGGTTTAGACGTAGGCTTAGGCTTGGCTTAGGCTTAGGCTTGGCGTAGGCTTAGGTCTAGGCTTAGGCTTAGGCTTAAGCTTGGCTTGGGCAAAATCTTCTCTTTTCAGGTGTACCAACTGGAGCGCGAGCAGTCGACCGTGCTCGAGACGGAGTTCTGCGCCAACGGCGACCTGCTCGACAAGATCAAGAAGGTATCGGATAAATTCGTGTAGATAGAAGTGTCGTGGAATTTCAGAATCACCACCTGTCGGAGAATGAGGCGAGGCCCGTGTTTCGGCAGCTGATCGAGGCGTTAAAGGTATAAACAAGATTTTCCAGTGTTTTTTTCTTTTGTCACCATCCCTTTAAACCCAGTATATATTCTACAGTACCTGGAGAGCCAAGAGATCGTACACCGGGATCTGAAATGCGAGAACATCTTCCTCGATGCCAACGACAACGTGAAGCTCGGCGATTTTGGGTTTTCGCGCGTGCTGAAGAAGGGCGAGGTACGGGTGTTACGGTCCCTTTAAAACAATTGTTTTGAGAAATCGGACACGTTCTGCGGCTCGAAAGTGTACGTGGCGCCCGAAATTTTGCGAGCCCGACGCTACGAGGGGAATGCGGTGCGTTTGTCGCTTTTGTGCACTTCCCAGTCCCTTTAAAGGTACCGTACCACGCACGATCCCATTTTGCAGGTGGACATCTGGAGCTCAGGTATCGTGCTGTACATCATGGTGACCGGGGTGATGCCGTACGATGAGCGGAACATGAAGAAGATGGTCGAACGTCAGTTGACGCACAAGATACGGTACGCAGCCTGGAGACTCGCGTTTTGAAGTTCATTGATGATATCTTGAAAAGCTCGTTCCAGATTCCCGACCTCGCCGGAAGTGAGCAACACGGTGCGCCAGCTGCTCTACGCCATCCTCCATCCCGAACCGAAGAGCCGCATCAGCTACAACGACATGATCGAGCACGACTGGCTCAAGGATACGCCGTATCGCATGAATAAGGTAGAGAGCGAGAGAGGGGAGAGAGAGAGAGAGAGAGAGAGAGAACGAGCGAGAGATAGAGACAGGACGAGAGTGAGAGAGGGTGAGAAGGAGAGAGGAAGAGAGAACGAGAGAGTGGGCTAGAGAGACACATAGAGAGACGGACAGCGAGAGAGACAGAGAGAGAGAGAGAGAGCGAGCGTGAGAGTCAGAGAGAGACACATAGAGAGAGACAGCGAGAGAGACAGAGAGAGAAAGAGAGAGAGACAGAGAGAGAGCATGAGAGAGCATGAGAGCATGAGAGAGAGCATGAGAGAGATAGCGGGAAGAAAACTGCGATATTTTAATTTTCCCAGGACGACGACTTCAAAGCCCTGCTCCCCACTCCTGACGCCGAAAAAATGTGATTTTTTTTTGTTGGAGCCAATTTTCAAAGTTCAATTTTCCAGGCAGGTACCGAACAGTATCGAGGACGCGCCACTCATCTGAACAAGCAAAAATGACCCCATTTTAAGCCTTTGACTATGTGTTTTGTGTGATTATGGTAACACGAAATCCGAATAAATTTTTCACATGTTTTCCCATTTTTTATGGCTTTAGAAAGTCTCTTCGATTGTTTGGGGAGAAAATGCTCGAGAGGGCTGAGTTTGCACTGGACTGTTAACGGGGGGATTTTAGCAGGTGGTAAATGGTAGAATTTCTAAAATACGTTTTGTCACTGTCTAGCAATTAAAAACTAGTAAAAATAATAAAATACACCATTAATTATTATCAAAAATAGGCAGAAAAATATGCAGAAAAAAGAATTAGCTGTTTTCTAAACAATATCCCGATTTACAAAAATCGGCGAAATCTTGGTTTCTTACGTCATTCTCACCATCTTCTCGTAACCAAATTTTATGACCTAAAAACTCAGCAGTTCTTTGAAAAGCCAGGACCCTTAATTGCATTCGTGTGTTGCTGAGGCTTCCAAGGCCCCAAAAAAAAAATGCTGATAAAGCCGCCGGCTAATTAGGGGGCCTTATCTCGATCCGGGGGGAAACCGGGTGGTAATTCGGGAAGACCGGGGGGCACTTCGGTCCCAAGCAGCCGGCGAAATGAGGGTCCTGCTCGCGCTTTTGCTTCCGGTTTTGGGTGGGTTTTTGTAGGGGTTAGAGGTTAGAGGAACGTGAAAGTTAGGGATTTCGGTAGATTTAGGTAATTTCTACTTTTTTGTTTTTCCTATCTTTAACGCGCCTTTTAAAAATTTTTGGAGCTATTGATGTTGCGGGGGGGGGGGGCATCTTTTTTGGGGCTTAGGCTTAGGCTTAGCTTTAACTTTGCGTACGTACGACTCAGCTTAAGCCTAGGCTTAGCTTGGACTTAGCTTAGGCCTAGACTTAATTTTGACTTAGCTTCGGCTTGGTCTAGGCTTAGCTTAGGCTTGACCTAGCCCTAGCCTAGACTTAACCTAGACCTAGCTTAGGATTAGCTTAGGCTTGGGCTTGGCTTGGCTAGCTTAGGCTTGAAGACAACACGAGGCGACAGGAGCCGCTTACCAAGTGTGGATGTCGTAATGCATTACGCAATCAAATAGCTTGCGTATTTGTGACGCGGAAAATCCATATGGAAATCCCAGCCTATGAAATCCATAGACGTGCCTTGCTTAGCCCTTTAAAGGACCGTATAAGGCATTACCAACCACGTTTCCGCCCTCGACACGCAGCGCGCACGCACCGCTTGACAGCAATGTCGTAAATCATTACGCAACGAAAGGGAAAATTTTTATCGAAAAAAGAATTTCTAGCGTATCGATAGATTCCTTGCCTTGCCTGCCCCTTTAAAAGCCGCGAATTCAGGCCTGGCCCAGCAATGCACCATTGGCCAGGGTTCAAATGGGACGTGCGCCAACCACATTGCCGTCATCATCGACAGCTCCTCGTATTTGGGCACCTCGGATCGGGCTGATCAGGTTTGCTTTATCGTTTTTCTGCATTTAAATCGATAAATGAGAGCTGGTCTTACCATATTTAAAAACGAAAAACTTTACAAATTTTTATCGAAAAATAATGAAACTTTGATTTCCGACAGAAAGGTCGTTTCCGCTCAAAATTTGGATTTACTTCATGTTTTCGCTAGTTTTTCCTTTTCTTGACTTATTTAAATAGCAAGTCAAAAAACAGCTCCCCCGATAATGCAAAAGAACCGATGCATTTCCCGAAAGGTAACTAGCTGTTTTTTGGAGAATTTTCCTGACTGTCCCACCCCTTTAAAATCCCGGTTTCAGCTAGCCCAATTCATCAACACGTATCTCTCGCAGTACGACCTCACCGCCGGCCAAACGCTAATTACCATGGGATTCTACGGTCAGTTCACAATTTTTTTGATTTTTTTATCGGTTTTCCCGGACCCTGATTTTTTTGCAACAAGGGTAGTAGCCACGGCAAAAAGCGAGGTTCCGCTATCAGCCGATTCCCATTTTGGTAACGACCACTCGAGAGAGTGGAGGCCCTGAAAAGATTAGATAAACACGACAACGTGGACTTTTTTCACGCCGGGGATATTACTAGAAAGAGCGGGGCGGAGTGATGCGGAAAACAATCAAATGATGCCGACAAATTGGGGGAGGGCCGACATAAATATTGGTAGTAGGTACGAAACTACAAAGTATAGACTACAAAACTAGGAGTAGTCACTGTCGTTTGTAGCCTGGTGATCGAAAACAGAAACTATAAGCTGCAAACTACAGTAATTTAACTAGATATTTTAGAGCTTGTAGCTTGTAACTCGTGCTCCTATCTACAATACTCGTAAAGTTTGTAGCCTGTCGTTCTTAGCACTAATTCACACGTCTTGTAGCCTGTAGCTTGTAGCCTGCCAAAAATAATAAACTGTAGAATTTGTAAATCACGGATGGCTACAAGCTACAAAATACAACACCAGGGCACAGGTGTATTTTATAGTTTGTAGTTTATAGTATCACGTTTCCCTTTGGCGCGTGGCTTCCTCAAAAACCTCTGCTAGCCTGCCTGGTGTAATAAAAAAAAAGAAAAAAGCGGCAAGGGTTCTAACAGGAAAGGACTTTCGATTCCTACAAAATCTCGGTCGTCGTCTGCTAAAAATTGTTTAGCGGTTTCCTCAAAAATCCCTGCTAGCATGCCCCTTTTCCAGGAATGGGTGACCCGTCGGTGTCATGGTCCCCAATCTTCCTCTTCTTCGGCCAGAGCGACATCAGCATGATCTGCAACGATTGGCAGACGCTGTTCGCCGCCGAGCAGAGCAACAATATGGGAATGTGCACCATTGCCACGTGGGTTTTTCTAAAAAACGAACGTTTTACCGTATCCCTTTCCAGTGCCCTCGCCTCCCTCTATAACACGACCCGCGACGAGGACTGGAACTACGATCAGATTGTCTGGCTGACGGCTTCAAAGTGAGAGCTTTAAAACTAAAAAAAAACTAGCGTATTTTGATCTACTAACAATAATTTACCTTAGATTAGCTTAGTATCATAATAATTACAATATTTCAGCGATACCACCGACATCCAGACGGCCTCCGCCATGTTGCCCGCCTTCCCGAACACCAACTTCACGGTTGTGTCGATTGGAGGCGGAGATTTTTCGTCGTGGACCGGGGCGCGGTAGGCTTTTACAAATCGTTATTTTTTTTTAAAGGCAGGGGATTAAAGCAAAATCCACAAAAGCCGTCTAAAATCTGCTGCGCGCACATAGGATAGTGTCGATTGGAGCCTGCCGTCGTCGTCCCTTTAATTAATAAGAAATAAGACGAACAAAAGTAAAAAATACACAAAGTTACTAAAAATATACATTTAATATGATGATTATTCCCTGAATTTCCAGGGTGCTCTGCCAGAACTTGCCGTTCCCCATGGGCTTCGAGTCGAAGATTGCCGCCCAGGCGTGCAGGAGTGCTTCAGGTAAACATTTTTCAAGTTCGGAGCTTTTTATTAACGTTATTAACGATTTTAAACTCGCCTGCGTATACTTCTCGTGTCGGTTTTGCTTCAAAAAAAAATTCACTTTTCAAGCTTGAATACTTGCAGGGCTTAATCTATCGCGATTTTCGAGAGAAATTTTGCTTTTTCTTTTGCTGGGGTCATTCGTTGTTAATTTTCCAGTTATTTTCAACAAATTCATACTTTTTAAGGCAACAACCAATGCAATCACGCCGGCACGACCGCGATGCCAACCACGCCGCGCCCCACCGGAACGGCGCCGACACCCACTTCGCAGTGCCCGTGTGATATCACAAAGGTATCGGTTTACAGGTTTTTACTTCTTCTGTTTCCAAATTTAGAGCTGGAACGACGTGATGGTGGTGTATGACGGCTCGAACGTGTTGACCGATGTGAAATTCCAGACGGTACGCAATTGTGGAGTTAAATACGTTATTTAATACGTTCACATTTAATTTAACTAAACTAAAAAAATACTTGATTTCATTTAATCATAGGCCTATCAGATCATAGACTTTTTAGACTGCTAGCGTTACACAACAAACCATTTATATGGCTTTTTGCGCTGTTTTTGAGTGAAGAAAGTTGATAGAACTATTCAGTTGTCTGAGAATTTTTATTTTGGTAAAGATGTTTACAAACTACTAAGGACGCTTTTAAAACACCAGGAATCTGAATCTAGAAAAAAATTTTTAGATGGTCGTTCTCCTCCAATCGATCATCAGCCGGCTGCCCATCTCCCAGGCGATCGGCCAGAACAGCCGCGTCGGAGTGATCAGCTACGGTATTTCGTTAGAACTCCCTAATTGCTATATTTTTCCAGCCAAGAATGTAAGACTCATCGCCAACCTGACCAAGTATAACAGCCCCGTCGACGCGATCATGGACGACTGGACCCGGGACAACGTCGAGCAGACGAATATCAAGGCGTGAGGAGCTTTTTAGCTTTAAACTAGTCATAGCACTCTTTAATTATGCATCTCTTTTTCAGCGCTATCGACCTGGCCCGCGACACGTTCAACAACCCCAAGCAGCACAGACAGAACGCGCGGAAGGTGATCATCCTCGCCGCCAGCACGTACAGGTATGTGCGATATTTTTTAAAGGAGCTGATAGAGTAACGAAAGAAGGATAATGCGATGCCCGCACTAATTAAGCCCGTTCAGAGGAGTCGGTCGTAGTTGAGGTTTTTAAAAACGTGGCGCTACTTTGCTGAGTTTAGCGCTATGCTTTTCGCAAATTGAGTCGAATCGGGCCAAATTTTATACTGTAAAAAGGTTTACAACTTTAACCTACATTTGAAAAAAATTTTTGAAAGTGGCAGTTTTTAAAAGTTTGGTTTTCAGGCTTTATCTTTCTAAAACCGTCAGTTCAGTATTGAAGATGCATTAAAGTGCTTAAAACCTAACAACAAGGCTACATTTTAGGCCTCAGGCTACAAATGGATTTGCCCTTTTTCAGGGAGGGCACCGACATGCCCCTCAGCTCTGCCAGCACGTTCAAGGACAACGGAGGAGTGATCATTGTCATCGGTACGTTGTGGCTATATTTTTCAGGCTACAAACGGCATAAAAATCCGGGGTTTTTTCAGGCTACGGTGACCTGAAGGGCGAGGCCTCGCAGGTGCTGCGCCAAATCGCCTCCACCGGCTACTTCATCGACGCCACCAGCAAGCAGCCCGATTTTAACCAGATGAACAGTCTGTTCTGCAAGGGTACGTGGCTTAAAAACTGAACGGCGTTTAAAAATCAAGAAAACAGCAAAAACTAATTTTTTTCAGCAAACTGCTTCTGCCCAACGCCGTACTCGCCCGTCTCGTCGGCCGCCACCGGCGAGCCGACCGAGGGATGCCAATATGTGAGTAAAATCAGAAAGCTAAAACTCGATCCAATCACCAAAGTATTTATTCGATTTAACGGAAATGTATTTCTCGATCGACGTCGTTAAATTCAGCAGGAAATTTGAGTAGAATTGGCGAGTGGGGCTGACGGGGAGGCGCTTATTTTCCGACCTTCTTCAAGTCCTTTCCCTCGTTGTCGCTGGCGATGACCACCTAAAAGATTTGGAATCAGAAGCTTGAAAACTCGCTAGCTGAAGATTTAAAAAGTTACAACCAGCCTTACCTCCTTGTGATTCGACTGGAAATTAACGCGAGCTCGCGGGGTGTTGTTGTTGCGGAGAAGGCCACCCTAAAAAGTGCGAAATCCTGATTCGAAATCGCAATCTCGCACCGATTTCGGGCGATGGCCAGACTCGACGCGCTTCTGCTGCTTGGCCACAATCTCGCGAATATCCGAGCCCATCGCCACGGAGGGCGGCTGCATCTGGGAGGCGTTCAGGGCCTAAAAGCCTCCTCAATACAAGGTTGCCAAACCCACTTTTTGCATCGTTTCATTGGCCTCCTTCGTCGACGGTCGCTCGATCACCATGTCGGCCTTGCGGTTTTTCTAGAAATTTTCAAATTTGGTTCGAGAAATCGGCATTTTTTTGTATTTTCGAACCAAATTTAGGTCGAAAGATATATCCGTTTTTATATTGTTAAAATAAGGTTCGTACAGTTTTTAAGTTCAATAAAAGTAAAAACAAATATTTTCACCTGAAGTGACTTGACGAGCAGATCGCGGCACACATCCTTGTCCGACACGGCCTGTCCGTTGATATCCCAGATTCGGTCGAGCACCTTCAGATGCAAGGCCGAGAGGGAACCATCGTCAACCTAGGCCATAACAGTTTGAAATAGGCTGAATTCCCTTACCTTTGAGACAATCACCTTGTTCTGGTAGTGCTTGATGCCGAGGCCGAATTTCAGACCTTTCCTGAAGTGGCAAAGTTTCCGGCGTTGGTTTAGTAGCGGGGGGGGGGGGGCAATTTTAGCACCCTGTAGGGATCCAATAGGTTTTTTTGTATTCTTTTTGCCCAATTTCGACACCTTTTTGCACCCGTCTAAGTCGTAAAAACTCGGAAACCTACATTAAAATTTTCAAAAACCTGAATTTTCATAAAAATTGCAAATTTTTAAAATTTGCTAAGTATTTTGATGATTTTCAGCAATCAAAGTCGACTAAAAATATTCTAAAACTCCAGGTAACCAGAACTAATTTTCCGACAGATTCCAAAAAAATCACGGTAAGACTCCAGATACCCCCCAGCCACTTTTGTATCTCGGCTCCCTGTTCATCTACAGGTGTGTAAAGTATACCAAAATGTTCGTCTTGCTCTGGCGAGTATTTTGGTATACTTTACACACATGTAGATGAACAAGGAGCCGAGATACGGTAGGTGGGGGTCGGCTGGGGGGGGGGGGGGGGGGTTATCTGGAGTTTAGCCAAGACACCCCTAAAACCGACTTGAAAATGATCTCGACAAAGTGATAGGTAAAGCCCTCCTTCCGGCCGCCCTGGATCAGCTTCTCGCGTTCGGGCGGGATCGCGTCCACCTCGGCGGACTCCTCCTAAAATGCCCATCTACACCGCCAAGTTCAAGCCCTCCTACCGGTCCATAGACAATCTTCAGGTCTCCCGGCTGCAGCAGGTCGTCAATGTTCTCGGGGGTGGCCTAAAATTGGGATTTTCGAGGTGAAAAGCCCTTCTCACATCCTTGTCGTTGATCTTCTTGATGACGCTGTTGATGGGGATCTTGTCCTTGAACGGGCTGTTGTCGGTGATCTAAAAATTGGCACTTTTGTATTATCGAGGGGGGTGCGGGGTTGAAGAATTCAAAACGCGAAATATCTTACCTCTCGCACAACGGTGCCCTCGAGGCCGAGCCCGAACTCCTCGCCAACCTTGACGACGACCTCGCGGTTCCGCTAAAAAGAAAAATATCGTAAAAAACGCGAAACGAAGATGACCAACCCCTCCAGGCGACGCTGCAGCCTTCGGGGACGACATACGCTGGGCACACAGCATTCTTTGGACATCTAGGCCCCTGCTTTTCAATCGGCAACCATTGCTAATTAGGGGAAGACATAGTGGAATGGAAATAAAGTTTCGGATTCAAATTGATCTTTTATAGCTCTCCGACCTGCAAGGCCTCCAAATCCTGGCCGATCGCTTCTGCGCAAAGGAGGGAAATGGAACGCTGGCGATCACCAAGGATTCTTACCAGAAGCTTTTCGCCGTCTCGAGTAAGTTTAGAAGGAAAACCACTGTAAAATTGAAAAATATAAGATAAGGATTTAAATGATAAAGCCCGATAAAGTGGACCGGAGATAAATTTTGTTCAGAGGTCCAAAGCCAAGTGCCCGTCTGGATCGGCTTGACGCTCAACCTCCAATCCCAGACGTGGGTCTGGGCAGATGGAACTCCTTTCGTAAGTCTAAAAATATATAATAAAACCCCATCTAGACCGAGACGTTGATAAGCGGAACCGGCGGATGCGCGACGATCCAAAAAACCACCGGCTTCATGACCGCCTACACACAGCGGGGTAAGTTCTTCTAAAGATATCGAAAATCGCGCTTCAGAATGTGCCGGCACCGCCTACGACTGGTCGTGCCAACACACCCCGTGCTCCACCCTCAACTATTGTGCCTAGGCCCTAGTTGTAAGAATATTCTACGCCGCCACAATAAATGTACTCATAAAGCCGGCTGCTAACAAATAATATTTTATTTTCTCTAAGAATGGACAATTGCACACGTGTAGCAAAGTATAAAAATCCATCAAAGCAATGTGTGGGGGAGCACGAGAGAGAATAAGGGAATGGCCGGAAGGGGCATCACAATAAGTGAAATGGAATTAAGGCACATCTTGCAAGGCGGGGGCATATACTTCGTTTCTATTGTTGTTCTATTCAGCATCTCTCCTATCGATTTCCTCGAGTTGGTCAATGTCGGCTGGGTCGAGCTTGATTATGGATTTGCCTGAAAATCAAAATATTTTTAAAACAATATGAAATACAAGTACCAAAATGCTCTTCAATTTTCCGGATGATGCGCAGGGATTCTTGGCTGTCGACAAAGTTGATGGCGATTCCAGATTGGCCAAAGCGACCCGTTCGTCCAATCCTTGAAAAAAAGCTAGTTATACAAAATTAGAGACAAACCTGTGCAAATAGGTATCATAATCCGGGAGTGCGTCCGTTGTGCCATCGTTGTATAGGATCGGAGGGTCGTAGTTGATCACGATCGACACTTGAGAAACGTCGATACCTAAAGAGAAGTAAATAACCACGAAAATATGAAAACTCACCTCTTGCGCAGACATTTGTCGTGATCAGCACCTGATACTTGCCCTCGCGGAACTGGTGTATAGCCGATGCACGTTCTTGGACGGTGAGCTGACCGTGGAGTAGAGCTACCTAAAATTGAGAATAAGGAATTTTTAGGAAAAAAAATGCAGAAATCTCCATTTTTGACTGAAACTGGCCGATTTTCGCCCGCAACTGAACTTTTAAAGTCTTCTAAGTTTTCTTTCTCCAAAACAGGATTAAAGAGTCCCGCCACTAAGCATGATGGACCCATAGGAAAAAATTCCCCCACGCCTTGAGATGACGAAAACACCGAAAAATCAATATTTTTATAAAACGAACATCTTGTCCTCGTCCCACGAGCTTCGCCGCCAGCCACTTCGCGCTAGAGATCGTGTGGCAGAATATGATGGCAGTTCCGATCGTCAGGCCCGAGTACAGGTTCTCGATCGCCTCGTATTTGGCCTCGCGGTTCGCACATTCCACGTAGAACTGCTTGATGTTCGGTAGCGTCTGTTCCTCTTTTCTCAGCCTGTAAAAAATCATTAAAAAACCTGAAATTCACTTACGTGACCGTGACGGCATTCTTGATAATCTTTTCGGCAAATTCGAACACTTCTTCGTCGTAGGTGGCCGAGAAGAGCAGTGCTTGGACGGTCGGGTTGGCCTCCTCGATGGCTCTGAAGTGAGGGATAATGGTGAAAAACAAGTACAAACCCGTAGATCTTCATTGATAGCTCCTTGTGGCCCTGCTGCGAAATCATGACATCGGCCTCATCCAGGACGACGCACTTGATTTTCGATAAATCAAATGCCTGAAAAATTGTGTTAGGAAATTAGAGGGAGTTTATACCTTTTGCACGCTGATGTAGTCCCATAGTTTGCCTGGGGTACCAATGATGATCTGTTCCTTCAGGCTCGTTGCTGCTAAAAAATCAAACTGTGAAAAGGGTCGAAAAAAATTAGATTTTTCTGTTGCTTTTGAAAATGCGTAAGTTTCGAATTAATAATTCCCATTAGAAAAATTGAAAAAAATAGAAATATCCCAGAAAAATATCCGGATGGCTCGGCTTATAACCTTCAAGTAATAAAAACCTACGCTCCGATCCTTTGACCGCGTAGAAGACGTTGCAGCCGGTCATAAAATGTGCCATGCTCTTCACAACCTTGCCCGTCTGCTCGGCCAACTCGAAGGTGGGCGCGAGGCAGATGCACTGCGGGAATTGATCTTCGACGACGACACGGCTCAGCATCGTCAACACGAAAGCCGCCGTCTTGCCGGTGCCCGACTGCGACTGCGCGATCATGTTCGTCGGTCTAAAAATGGAGTACGCTTTCGAAATATAAATCTTACGGCTCCATCAGTAGCAAGGGTAGCGCAAATTCTTGAATTTTGGAAGGCTGCAAGAAGTGTTGCATGTCGAGCGCCTCGATGAGCTCTTTTTTCCTAAAAACGGTTTTGAAAAAAAATAGTTGATCAGCTTACAGCCGTAGACTGCGGAAATCGGTCAACGAGTGCAGTGGTGAAGTTGGATCTTGTTGCTGATTCCTAAAAAGCAAAAATAAAGTCAAATGTTTGAACGTTTACTTGATATCTATCGTTCCCTCCCGCATGTCACGCACGGTCCGTTTGATAAACTTATTCAGCAGCGCGATCTCTTCCACGTTCATGGCTAGAAAAGTCCTTTTAAAGAACACACAAAAAGCATACGATTTTCAGGCGGCGTCGTTTCATGGCTGACAGCTTTCTCCGTTGCTGACATATGACCGCCCAGGGGTCTTACAGGAGTATCAAACTAAATTCAACCATAAAAACAGATTTACGAAGTTTTACTCTTTGCGAAATGTTGCCAAACTGCCCGCCGCGTCCACGATTTGGTTGGAAATGGCCTAAAAAGGAAAGTGGGATAAATTCATAATAGAAACACACCTCCACGGCCCCTCGGTGAACCTCGCTGACCGAAATCGCCTCCACCACGTGGCGGTCCGCCATACTGATCGGGATATGCATTATAACTAAAGAAAAATTGATAAAAACAATGTGAAATCCATACCCGCCACGATTTCCTTGGTAGCCACCACGCGGCTGGAACCCTTGTTGCATCTGCTGTGGACCGCCTCGATTGTAGTTACCTAAAGACAAATAGGGAAGGCAAACAGCGCACACCTTGAGGCCCGTACCCGCCACCAAATGAGGGTCGGTCGAAGCCGCCGCGACTTCCGCCCCGCCCTCTCAAGTTTGGGGGTTGGAAGGCGCCACCGCGGGACGGTGAGCTGAAGCCTCCACGAACATCGCAGAATCCGCCATTAGGCATTGTACCCGACTGGAAAAAGTAATAACTATTAGACAAACTGGTTCTGTTCTATTTCGCGTGGGGGGAAAAACTGTGCGGGGGGGATTTTCTACGTTTTTTTTATAACTCTTTTATATGATGCTATTTTGAATTGAATTGTAATTGTTAGTATATTTTTTCACGCTCTATCGAATGGCATTAAAGAAATTTTTGAAAGTTATCGAAAATGTCGAAAACTAGCTTTCGACTCCACAATCCCATGTGGAAACACCGAATAAACCTTGTTTTTGCTATAACTATTTTATAAAACAATATTTTGAGATGAAATTAAAACTCTGAGTATATTTTTTGATGCTCTATCGAATGACGGGTTCAAAATATCGAAAAACTGGCGAAAATGCCGAAAACTAACATTCCGGAGCCAGTTTCAATAGTTTTTTTGTTTTTGCTATAACTTTTTTATATTACAATATTTTTAGCTAAAACAAAAACTCTTAGTATATTTTTCGATGCTCTATCAAATGGCGTTGCAAAAATCCCGAGAAAATAGCGAAAAGATGGAAGGCTGCGCGAAGCATATTTCCCCCCGCACAGTTTTTTCCCCCCACGCGAAATAGAACAGAACCGACAAACTGAATGAGCAAGTACAACTAGAAAAAAAGCATTCAGGGATTGGAACTTTCACTTTTGGGCATTATAACTAATCATAAAAAGTCACGCTTATAATGGGGTCGAAAATGCAACTAAGAATAAAAAATATAATCTTATTTATATTGAACTTTGATCTAACTTTTGCGTATTGTACCGAATGGCAAAAGGTAACGATTAGAATCAAGTAACCGTCAATCAAAAATTAGAAGTAAAAAAAACACTGGTGACACGGGAGGAATGTGCCTAGGTTGGCCGGACTCACCCCGGCCTCCCATGGGCTCGCCCAGGCTTTGCCGGGGTTCGCCGGACTCGCCCGGCATTGCCAGTACTGGCAAAGCCGGGCGAGTGCGGGCACAGCCTGGGGGCGTCTGCCGGACTGGCCCAGTACTGAACGAGTCCGGGATTTACGTTAATTGTATTATGGCGTTCGGAATCCGGCACTTTTTCACAAATCGATACAAACAAAGTTTTTACAAGTCAGTGAAACCTCTCTTTTCGTGATTTCTTTCACAAATTTTTGTTCAATAATGATAAAATACAGCATCTTGACGTGAAATTTACTATCTTTGGGGGAATTTGAAACTTTTCGCCGAGCACTTTTCGCGATTTTCGGTCAAAAACCTTGCTTCACGATTTTTCTGAACTTTCCGCTTTCTTTTCCACTGTTATCATCTCCGATACCATTTTAAAGTTGTTTTTACAGGCCGACATGACAACAACGACGCCATCGCCGACAAGGAGGACCGATGGATAAAGGTTAATACTCATTTTGTATTCAACTATGTTTTGTTTAGTGGCAAGAGGGAAGGACGACCGCTACGAGGAAGGCGCAAAGCCCACGGAGCGCATTGTTGAGGTTTTCCCATATCGTTTTCTAATTCATTATTCTTTAGTCGACACGCGATGAACGAGCGAGACGCCGCGGAGCCAGCGAAAAAGGTATTTAATTGAAAATTCAGTTTAGGTACAGCTCCTGACGGACAAGAGGAAGCAAAAAGACGCGCGGCGCATGAAACGGTTGGAAGAACAGCTAAGAGACGTCCAAAAAGTCAAGATTAAAAAGGTTTGATGTTTTTAAATGTCTGAATTGCCCTCTCAGGAAATAGACGAGGAACTGCAGGTCACCGTCGTACCCACTGGGCAACCCGTCAAAGAGGTTGGCTATAATTATATTTTTTAAGCTTTTTTTAGGAGCCTGCCCAGGACGAAAATACCGACTACTTGGCGCGATATGCTCCGGAAAGGGATTCACGGCCAGCTGACCCCAGCGACCGAAAATTCGAAATGTTTGATGAAGACGATGAATACGAGCAAGACAGGGAAACTCGCGAAAAATTCCCAGCGACATTTAGTAAGCGTTTATCAGTATTTCGTTAGTTATTGTCTAGGTGGAATCCCTGACTCAAAGGCGGTCTACAGGCTCGGAAAAGGAGGGAAATACTGAGGCTGCGAGGCTACGACGGCTATATTCCACTCGATGGCGATCAAAAGATTCGGTAGTGAAAAACTGATAGACAATAGAATTGAATCGTGTTCTGGCAAAAAGGAATGCGAAATCGGCTGATTCGTAAGGGTGAAAACGATGATTCTGATAAGGATACGGAAAAGTAAGTTGTTAAACGAAAATATAAATCTGATTGCTTAGGTTCTACTCATCCCGAGCAGATGCCCTCGACGAGAATGCAAAGCGCCGCGAGCAACAAACGTGTTTCCTCGAGCAAGAGGTATAGTATCTGGCGATTAGATTAACCCCGACATTAAGGAAGCCGAGTGGAAAGATAGCGATGAAGCGATCGAGAGATGGGAACAACAACAAATTCAGAAAGCCGTTGGCGCCGCAACGGTAGTATAAGTTTTCAACTAATATGTTGGTTTTTGTTATAGATCGGTCAAGTGAAGCACGAGTGCTTCGAAGGGTTCGTGAAGAAGATGCGGAACGCTCCGGCCCAATTGAAATCGACGTTGATAGGGGCCTCGATGATGTGCGCCCCACGCAAAGCATCGAGCCGACGCCTTCAGCCTCCCAAATGCTGGATATCATGGAAATGCTCTCGCTACAGGTAGGGCAACGTTATCTCTCTTTACCAAATTTTAGCCTGCGCGATCGTGAAGAGCACCTCAACAGCTTGGGCAATAAGGTCGATAAAATTCAGTCAACTACCGCGGATAAGGAAAACATTAGGTAAGGGTTAGAAAATAAGCCAACAATTTTTTAGGAAGTTGGAATTCGGTGATGGGGCCAAGTCGGGCGGTGCAAAGGAGCCGAGCGAGAAGTCCAAAATGTATCAAAATATGAAGTCGCTCGGTAATTTGCTGTTTAGGATTTTTTACTGGGTTTTAGACGACGAAAAGACCTCGGTGACTCGTACGAAGAATGCTCGGCTACAGCGGCCGGCAAGAATATAGCAACTGAGCACGGTGAGAATATCTGATAAAATGGCTTATTTGCAAAAATGTCGAAATTTTTGGCATAGTAGTTGAATGATTTTCCGAGAGGTTGGTTCTTGGAAACAAATAGAAAAGAAATTTGGAGATTGGCATTCCGATATTCTTTCAATACTGATGGAGCATCGATCAAAATATTCATGTTCTTTATTCTAGATAGCCGCAGAACAAGTTCCCGAAGTACATCGACGCGATATGAAGCGGCTGGCAAGCGAGAATCAGGAGGTACTCTTATTTTTGAGTTCTATAATCCTTGTATTCCTTTTTCAGGCCGAAGCTCAACATGGCAAACTGTGCAGGGACAGCCGCGAAAAGCTGCAGAGAGCAAGACAAGGATCGACTACTATTGGATTAGGTTAGTGGGTACTTTGAATACTTCTCCGGCCGATTTAGTTACGAGCACCAGCCGAAGAAGAGCCGCGGGCCGCCCACCGACAGCACCGCGCAGCAACAACTCAAGGGAAAGAAGACAAAGAAAGTAAAAGCCTGTATTTGTTTTATTAACATTTTTTGTGTTGTATTTTTTATTGTAGCCTTTGTATTACGCCTCTATTGCTTGTGATATACTTTGATATGCGTATTGTATGTATGATAAAGATATTCTAACCTATTTGTGCCTATTTTGGATCCAAAATGCACCGGAATAGCAAGGAAAAGCGGGGGTAAAGCGAGGAAAGCCCGGTATGGTTCAGCACTGCCGCAGTACTGCCCAGTCCGGTGCCCAGGTTCGTTCAGTACTGGCCAGTGCGGTGCCCGGGCTCGCCCAGGTCATTTCAGTACTGGCCAGTCCGGTGCCCGGGTTCGCCCAGGTTTTGCCAGTACTGCGACGGGGTAATGCCCGGTCCGGGCCGGTGCATCCCAGACTGGTAAAGACCTGGGCGCCGGTCCGGCTAGACCTGGGCACATTCCTCCCGTGGAGCCGTAAATTTCTGAAAATAAAACGGAAAATCACGAGCAAGCACGACGCAACATTCCAAATGCCGCTACCGTCATTTGGAAGGCCGCGTAGTGTTATTTCTCCTAAAACGTGCCCTATTAGAAATCGCGATTCTTGTAAAAGTCTTGTAAAATTGTATCTCTCAAAAAATTAAAAACTAACAATTATTAATTTTTATCTTTGCAATTACAATACCTGCGCGCCTTGATCTTCGACGCTCATCTGCTGCATGGCGTCGGTGGGTGGCTCGTGGCCCTGGCCGAGCAGCTGCGCCCGGAACGCGTCCGCCATGTTGCTCATCCTCACCCTAGATTGATGAAAATCTATATTTAGACGTCAAAATGGTACACGTAACATTTGAGTACATAAAATTCAGGTATCGACGGGTAGAACCGCTGTCATTTCAGAGTTTTGTAGGTAATAAATAATTTATTGCACTCAAAATTCCTTCAATCGCTTGCCGGGAGTTGCTTTCGAAGGTTTTCAATCTCGTCGCAAGCCTGAAATGATGTTAATCGATTGAGCCTACTTTCGATGTACTTACAGTCTTCAAATCATCCATCGCTTTCGCGAAAGCCCGATCCTTATCGCGCTGGAAGCCAATTTCCATTTCCAGGACCTCTTTTTTCGCGTCAAGGTCTTTCTCTTGAGTTTCTAGCTGAAAATATTGAATTGATATCGTCTTAGCATTTAAAATATTAAACTTACTTTTTCTAGGTTTGATTCAACACCCCTCAAGATAGTAGCCAGCTGGGTTTGGAAGGAATCTTTGTTCTCCTCGCGTTTGGCCCTAAAAACACACGAAAATAATAGGAAAACGGTTTGTTTCTCAAGAATTTTGTAAGGCTCACATAGGCAAGGCTTCTTCAATGCTGTTCAACAGCCCGATCTCCTTTTTCATGTAGTTTCGCAGGTCGACCAGGTAGTTGTGGGAGGAGACGTATTGGCGGGTTTGTCGGTGTTTAGAGCCCACTAAATTTATTTAGAACCAGCGGGGGAGGAGCCGCTTCGCGACTCTCCCCCGCTGGACCCCGTCTAGGCCTTATGAATCGAGCACCCTTCCACAGACAGTTATCCTGAAGAAAGAAAAACCCATCTCCCATGCAAAGCTCTTTGTATTGGCATGCGGCGCAAGATTGAACTGTTAGTCTCGTTATTAGGCCTGCGGCGCATGTTTGATCGGCTAGGTCGCTACCTCATCCTGCGGCCCAAGCTTGAGGGATTAGCCTCCTTTTTTGGCCTGCGGCGCTAGCTTGAGCGGCTGGCTTCGTTCTAAAGCCTGCGGCGCTAGCTTGAGCGGCTGGCTTCGTTCTGAAAGCCTGCGGCGCTAGCTTGAGCGGCTGGCTTCGTTCTAAAGCCTGCGGCGCTAGCTTGAGCGGCTGGCTTCGTTCTAAAGCCTGCGGCGCTAGCTTGAGCGGCTGGCTTCGTTCTAAAGCCTGCGGCGCTAGCTTGAGCGGCTGGCTTCGTTCTAAAGCCTGCGGCGCTAGCTTGAGCGGCTGGCTTCGTTCTAAAGCCTGCGGCGCTAGCTTGAGCGGCTGGCTTCGTTCTAAAGCCCGCGGCGCTAGCTTGAGCGGCTGGCTTCGTTCTGAAGCCTGCGGCGCTAGCTTGAGCGGCTGGCTTCGTTCTGAAGCCTGCGGCGCTAGCTTGAGCGGCTGGCTTCGTTCTAAAGCCTGCGGCGCTAGCTTGAGCGGCTGGCTTCGTTCTAAAGCCTGCGGCGCTAGCTTGAGCGGCTGGCTTCGTTCTAAAGCCTGCGGCGCTAGCTTGAGCGGCTGGCTTCGTTCTAAAGCCCGCGGCGCTAGCTTGAGCGGCTGGCTTCGTTCTGAAAGCCTGCGGCGCTAGCTTGAGCGGCTGGCTTCGTTCTGAAAGCCTGCGGCGCTAGCTTGAGCGGCTGGCTTCGTTCTGAAGCCTGCGGCGCTAGCTTGAGCGGCTGGCTTCGTTCTAAAGCCTGCGGCGCTAGCTTGAGCGGCTGGCTTCGTTCTAAAGCCCGCGGCGCTAGCTTGAGCGGCTGGCTTCGTTCTGAAGCCTGCGGCGCTAGCTTGAGCGGCTGGCTTCGTTCTGAAGCCTGCGGCGCTAGCTTGAGCGGCTGGCTTCGTTCTGAAGCCTGCGGCGCTAGCTTGAGCGGCTGGCTTCGTTCTGAAAGCCTGCGGCGCTAGCTTGAGCGGCTGGCTTCGTTCTGAAGCCTGCGGCGCTAGCTTGAGCGGCTGGCTTCGTTCTGAAGCCTGCGGCGCTAGCTTGAGCGGCTGGCTTCATTCTATAGGCTGCGGCTTTCCACATCCACTCCGAAACGCGCTTTCCGAGCAAAAAGCAAAACAACTAAAATGTCCGAGGATCGAACCTCCGATGGTTAGATTAGCACGGCGAAACGCTAACCACTACACCATGCAATGCTTGGTAGCACGCGCCAAACACCCGTTTTATGCCTCAAGAGGACTGCCCGGGGCAGGGGAAGGAAAGGCATCGAGAGGCAGATCCAAAGAGACGACCAAACTCGCGAGTGCAACTGGCAAGAATGAGGAAATTTGTATTTTTTTCACATTATGCAAATTAGCCCTCCCGGACCCCCAAAAATCAATAAAACCGGCTTTAATTTTGTAAACTTGTATTTTATCGGGATTCTGAAAGCGCCATCGGAAAGAGGAGGGTCGATTCCCCCGGGTGACGGAGAATTAAGGCATTTTATGCACGGGAAGGCCCTCAAATCGGGCCTCGAAAGTGACGGCCGGACACACACACAGACAAAGATACGCGACCAAATTATATAAGGTAGGATTTGTAGGTAAATACAACGTGTCTTTCTTTTTGTTTAGTAATACTTACTCTGGTTGTACAGTTCAATTAGTCGTCGATGATATTGGGTCAGCTCAATTCGGCTCGGTACCGAATCGATGGCCCTTTGAAGGCTGGCCGTTTCTCGCGTCACTCGAGCGCTTTTAGCCCTAGCTTCAGCAAGTTCTTCTTCCGCAACCCGCAGTTGATCCCGATAGGTGCGCAGGTCTGTTTCCTAAATTTATATCCTTCTTCCAGGTGGGTCCTCAATGGTCTCTGCTAGCCTGCCTGCCCCACCTGACTATCACTCTGCTCCATCCGTTCAATTTGCGCTTCAAGCCGCTCCAGCTCGTCAATGCAATTCTTTTTGAAAGCCGCTTCCTGCTCGGCGATCGCCAGGTAGGCTGCGTATTTTTGGCGAAGCTCGTCGAGGGCGCTAAATAGAACAGTTTAGGTTTTTAATCGTATTTTGAAGTCTAATCTTTTTTTCGTAATATTAAATTTCGTTGGTTTTTAACGTTCTGCACTTACCTTGGCTCCAAATTCGCCTCGAGCTCTGCGCAGTGTCGTAACCGCGATTTTAGTTCGCGGTATTGGTCCTAAATTTACGAATTTTCTTGGTTTAGAAATTTTTTCTGTACCTGGGCCTCCTGTCTAGCATGCTCTTCGCTTTCTTTTTCGGCCATTAGTTGTGCTTTTTCTTCTAAGAGCTGAAACAGGATATAAATTTCGAAATGAACGCGAATTTTACCTTTTCGATTTCTCGGTCCAGATCCTCTTCCGTCGGCTCTTGCACGCCGGAAGTTGATGGGAGAGTTCCAGATTCTGGCAACGGTACTAGCGACTTCTTTAGCGCTTCGCTGATGAGGTTGTGCTCGTACTGAATAAAAATGTTTCAAGTAAGTTTAATTTTTTAGCTGCAGTGTAGCTTTCACTTACCTCTAGTGATTCTTCCAGACTCGGCGCTTGATCATGGTTCAATCTTCTTACAGCTGCGATCAGTTCTTTGCTAGAACCGGCCTAAAATATAGTTTTAGGTACACTGTTTCCAATTCCCCGATCCGTTTTTAGGCGCAAAACGTACTTTTACGTGCTGCTGCTTGGCTGGTGCGTTGAAATGTAGATTTCTGGGCGTCTTTCGCTCTTTTTCCGGCGCCTTCGATTTTCCGCGGGCCAAAAAGTCGACAAATTCCTTGTTGCGATCCCCGTGGAGCTCGCGGGCCTCGATCGTTTTTTGGACTAGCCACTAAAAACGCGATTTTCTATTGTTTTTATTAAGTTACCTGTATTACAGGAAATATATTAAAAATGTCCAATCCCTGAATCTGGTGCGGTTCGATGAAGTATGTGCACCGAAGTTTCGGCAGCATTTCGCATATCTTTTCGGTTAGGGCGCTGAAAAATTTCTTTGAAAAGGATCTAACTTTTTTTTAAGCAGCATTACATCAAAATATGTTTTTGATGTAATGCTGCTTAAAACGATTATTTAGGCCCAAAAATATAACTAACATTTTTTGGCCGATCGTTGAGTTCTCCGAGTAGAGCAAATCCACATCAACGGTGTAGTTACAAGCCGAGATACACCACACTAACCCGCCGACCACCTGCAAAATGTTTTTATCAATTGACTAGTTCGAATACTTTACAATGATGGTACATTAATGGAATACCCTATCAAAAGCAGATAGCCCCTTCACGCGGGCTCGAAAATAGCCGGCGGCGACGAGGAGGTCCACGCAGTCTTGCAGTTTTGCCCTTTCCTCTTCATCTTTTAGCTCGTCCTGGAAAGTTTTTGGGTCGCCTAGAGTTTTAAGGAATCACTTTTTTACTATGTTTTTGTAGATTAGGACTTAAAACGCGCTTTTGTGGAATAGGAATAAGAACGATAGGGACTAAATGAAAATTCCATTTCTTAGCATTTGTTTATCAGAATTCATACTAGAACCAGATGGTTACAGTCGCTTCGCGACTGCAACCATCTGGCCTTCGGGCTACCCTGCATGTCCCACTCCACCACATCCTTTCCCACCTCCATCAATACCCCCGATAGCCGAAATCCGGTTCAAAAACTACCTAAATACTTTCCCGATGGCTGCAGATACCCCCCATGGCTGAAATCCCCTTCAAAATCTACCTAAATACCTTCCTGATGGCTTCAGATACCCCCCATGGCTGAAATCCCCTTCAAAAACTACCTAAATACCTTCCCGATGGCTTAAGATACCCCCTATGGCTGAAATCCTCTTCAAAAACTACCTAAATACCTTCCTGATGGCTTAAGATACCTCCCCTAGCCGAAATCCTTTTAAAAAACGAAAATAACGACCGATCGGATAGAATCAGAGAAAAAAAAGAAATGAAATCCCCCGTGAAAATTTTCATCCACGAAACGCGCGCCACCTGGCTCACTATGTCCAAGATCAGCCCAACCTCCGTCCCCCACCCCTTTTACTAAGGAAAAAACTTTCAAAGTTAATTTTAATAATTTAAACAAAAAATTTTTGATAATTTTTTTATCAGTTCGGGGGTTTCTGACCACGCTCTATCCGAATCCGAAGAGACCTAAGCTCTAGCTCCTTTCCCCTTCGAGTTGAATTCGGCTTCAGACAGACAGACAGACAGACACCACAACTTTTTTATTATAGTTGATTTTAATAGAATCTATGATTTAAAAGAATGCTTTCCTTATGTTTATTACGATCGGATACTTTTCGAAACCTTTTTTCAGACCTAAAGAAGCAGGGTAAAAGGCCAAAATACTAAAATTTGATTTTCTGAACTATTTTCTTATTTAATTTTCATAACTTATTACCTTTATCGATTCCATATCGGCCGGGCAGAGAACGTCGAACTTTTCGGCCGTTCGTTGACCCCCACAATACCTTACGCGTTCTTATCCCTCCAAAACACTACACGAGACACCTAGACGCAATTCTAAAAAGTGCCCACCTCACATTAGCTGAAGTGCAACAAACTCCACAGCGGCCCGAACCAAAGAGTAAACATGTGCTTTCACAAAACCTGATGCTGCTTTCGACATAAATTTAATTTTTTATAACGCGGGGCTTAATCCAATTATCTAAATTCATGAAATTCCAGATGGCCGCCACCGAAGAGCGGCGGAAAAGCGATTTGATTAAAGAGATAGAGATCGTTTTGAAGGCGGCCGTGGCTTCGTTGCATTCTTCTAAGGATCCGGTTTCGAGGTACGTTATGAAAAAATAGATTGTTCAAAAGCTCAGTTTTTAGTGATATAACGCAGAATTTGTGCAATACCGTGGAGGCAGTGTTTATTCACGGGCTGCGCGATCCGTTCTTTTTGAAGGGCAGTCGATACGCAAAGTACCCGGAACCGGTGCGTAGTTTATAAGCTTATTTCTGGAAAATCTATATTTCTACTTGAAAGTGTAAGACAAAAACCCGCTTTTCAGAATTTCTGGCCCTTCGTCTCCAAGCTCTCCCATCCGGGGATTTTAAACCAGATAAAAGCGCTGAAGCTCGTCCAGACGGAGATTGGAAAAGGAAGGGTAAGTTAAAAAGCTGTTGGTTGGCTTTTAAATCCGTATTTAATGCCGTAATTGATTGCAGGCATGGATCCGGTGCGTACTGAACGAGGCCGCGCTCGAGCACTATATTATGCTCATCAAAAGTGATTGTGCGGACATTGAGTAAGTAACGATAGAAAAAGATTGAATTTTCAGACGATTCTATAATGAAGATGCATTCCTTCGCGATGCCGAGAAAATGGACTGTATGCGGGATTTTTTGAAAGTAGGCCTTAAAAAAACGTGTGAAAAATTTGTAAAAATCAAGTGAAGACGCCTTTCTTCAAAAAGGTGTATCGTATGTATAAATGGGTTAATAATAACCTTATGAGTTGATGTATCTATTTTTAGGGAATGATGTCGAGATGCACGATCGTTTCCCCAACAAATAGCGCAGTTTTGAACACGTGGACGCCGACGCCGTTGATTCTGGCGGGGCTGAGCAGCGGGCGGCCGATCAGGGGTCGGTTTATCGTTTTCAGGGGAAGCTAGCAGAGGTTCTTTAGGCTGGGTTATTGATTTTTTTTTAGTTGGGCACCTGACAAGGACAAAACTGCCCTCAACGAGTGAGCACGATGAAGTGGGGCAGTTGGCGACGGACTTACTGCCCGGGGTTGCGCAACCGCAGCGGATTCGACGAGCGAATATGTTTCAGGAAAATGGTTAGTTTTTAGGCGAGGTTTTTATACTCAAATTTGGACTTTAATCTTTATAATAGACATTTTTCTAGAATCCGACGACGGCTCGGTTTATTCGCATCCATCAAGGATGGGCGGCAACTTGCCCTTTTCTTCAACGCCAATAACTGGATCACCGGTAATTTAAGAGGATTTGCCTATTTAATTTTAGTTATGTAGTTTATCCTTTCATTTTGAAGCTTTGCAACTATCTGTTTTTTAGTTGTTTAGGTCTTTTAACGTTTTTTTTCAGATCTACGAGCCCGAGCAGCCGGCAAAAATTCTGGTGGTTGAGCGCCGAAAAAAGAAGCAGCGGAAGCTTGGAAGGTGGCGGCTTCTTTTTAAATTAAACCTGTTTTTAGCCGAAGCAATTCAAATTCCGAGTCGAACCAATCTGCGTCAAACTCGGACCTTCCACAAATGGCTTCATCGGTTCCGGTTTCGGTAGGTTTTCGAATAAAAATCTGGAGCTTAGAAGCTACGAGAAGCGCTAAACGTAGAGCCATCTCTGAGCCTCCCGGACTTGTTTTAAAACGCGTAGATGATCAAACTGAATGAAAAATCGTTGTAAATTCACATTTAGGCCTCGTGGAACGAGAATCTAGCTAAAATCGATGACACCGAGATTTCGCCCGTGAAAAAGGGCGACCATTCGCATCAATCGGAAACGGTGGATTCGGGCATCTACGAATTTGGGCGGTATTTTTTGCTTCAAAATCTTTATATCAACTTTAGTCGACCCAGTGAGAGTCCAAAAAGCAAGGCGATCAACGCGGGCATGGAGGAGGCTGGGCAAAGGTTGGTACAATTTTTAGCACGTTTGACACGCTCTTGAACGCGTCGCAGCCGCGGTGCGATTTTGATTAGGGGGTCTCATAGGTTAATAAAGACCGACTTTTGTGTAAACGCTGAACATTCGAGCCATTCTTCCAGAATTGGTGCTGATGACGTCTTCAACGATTCCAGCGGTGCCAGAAGCGATATCCTGAACGCGTGTTCACCCATTGAAAATGTATGGTGTATGATGTTTTTTTGCCTTATTTTTATTAAGTCCCTTAAATCATTTATTTTGTTCACTTTATTCGGATTGCAACAACTGAATTTAGTATTTTGCTTTTTAGACATTTGGAACGTCGCTGCAGGACGAGCTTTTCCTGGCCAACGTCGACAGCCCGTCAGGAAATAGCCTTCTTGGTCGGGCTTGGAGTATCACAAAGGCGAGTTTTTCCTAACGCTATGCTTAGCCTATCGTTTATTAAACAGTGGGAGACGAAAGTGCTAGTTCAAAATCCATGGGGAATGGAGCCTTACGCGTATTTTTAATTTTTTTCAAAGAGTACTAATCTGTCCGCACTAATTTTTTAAGTATAAAGCCCGATTTAGACGGACTCGTGCAGCGATTTCGGCGGCGGATCCCTGGGGTCAGGCTCGGATTCGATGGGGCCGATTCAGCCGTTTGGGGCAGCGTTGCGGAATGCTGTGCAGGTATTTTTCTAGATTTGGTGTCTTCGTTATCAATGCTTGTTTGTTGACTTGGCGCGTGAGAAGCTTAATTTTTGACGTGAAATCCGCATAAGCAGTCGTGATTCGTCACCAATTACGATAGGAAATTGCCCCAGTTTTCGCAAAAATGTACATTGAATGCTTAGAGTGAATTACTGCTCGACGCCGAGGTGCCGGCGGCAGATGAGGGTGTTGCCGAGGTGGCCGAGGAGTTGGACGAGGGGTTGACGGTTCGTATCTGAGCAAAACACCTGGAAGAAAGTTATTTTTAGTTTGCACCCTCTCGAAAAAGTACGGCGCCTTCAATGGATATGGCTGTCGAGGTGGTTTCGGTATGTTTTTCGCGATTTAGAACACTGAGCATGGAGAGAATTTTAAAAAAAGCGGTAGAAAATCTGTTTTTTTTTGTTTTTTTTTAGCGCTGAGATGGTCGTACAGTAAATTTTTTTTTTGATTCACAGACGCTTTATTAGAGAGAAAACTTGTTCAGGAAGCCCTTCCGGAAGTTGTCGAGCTCGAAAAACCGGACGATGAGCTGCGCAGACGATTTCTGCAAATCCCCAACGAGGTCGGACTGGATGCTCAAGATTGGCGCTGTCCACAGTGCAAGAGGACGATCGGCTGTGGATACGGTAGATGGAAGTACGCAATACACCAATTTACACCCGCTTTTGTGTTGTTTTTCAAATAATCCGAACTCCTTCAGAACCTGCGGCCTGGACGCGCTCTACTACTGCGCCGACTGTTTTTCCGCCGAGCTGCGGCCGATTCCGTCCCGGGTTTTACTGAATTGGGACCATCGTCCGCGAGCTGTTTCGACGAGGGGGAAGGTCTATATTGACCAGGTTCGAAACAGTAATCCTTCGAAACCGCGTTTTAGCATGCCGATGAGCCCTTTTTCCGGGTGGACGAGATGAATCCGGAGTTGTACGAGAATGTCGACGAGATGAGAAATATTCGGGTAGGTTATTTCGCGCTTTACTCTCTCTCTCTCTCTCTCTCTCTCTCTCCTCTCTCGCGTTGAAAAATAGGCCCTAGGCATGCTAGCAAAGGCCATTTAGGAACCAAGCATATAAAAAATTCTAGGCGACACGTGAACGCCTCCAAGCCGTCGCCATGTATCTCTTTTCGTGCCGGGACCAGGTCGCCGATGACCTGAGAAGACGTGCCGGCACCGGTTCTCATCATCTCGTTGAGCAGCTACATGTCTATAGCTATCAGGTGGGCGGGCTAGCAGAGATTATTTGCGAAAGGAAAGAGAAAGGAAAGAAAATTCCAATATCACGCAACCAGCAACTTTCAGGACCTTCTCCACGTCTATTCGGGTGTTCTGGAGATGCATCTTCAGAATTTATTGAAGGTAAGCCGAAAAGTGAGCATTTTAAAGGTGCCGGCAAGTCTAACTCTACCTCGGGTTTTCCAGTTTGCGATCAACCACGTGGCACACTGCCAACTCTGCCGGCAGAAGGGCTTCCTGTGTGAGATGTGCTCGAAGGGGGACGTCATCTACCCATTTCAGGAGGATACGCATCGGGTGGGTTCTAGGCCATCTCCCTCTTTCTTTCTCTGTCCCTCTCTCTCTATCTCTCTCTCTCTCGCTCTCTCTCTTTGTCTCTTCCGTTTCAAAAAGATTTTTTCAGTGCCAAAAGTGCTACGGTGTCTTCCACGCAACATGCTGGCAGGAAGCCGCCTCATCCGGCTGTAGACGATGTGAGCGACGGGATCAGCGAGTTCACCGCCAGCCCTCCCAGCAGACCCCGTTCCTCGATTAGCAATTTTTTAGGTTTCCAATTTTTCTAGACCGGTTGATAGTTCACAACTTTTCAAAAATACTTTAGACAACTTTAAGGAATTTTTACGGCTCACCGATGAATTTCTGAGTGTCACACTCCCTTTAAAAGTACCTTGCCCATACCTTTAAAAGTCTTTAGAATTTGCATATAAGAAAAAATACGACGATTTACACTGACTGAAACCGTGCCTTATCCAGCCCTACCACCGGTACCTCTAAAAATAGACCTGTGATTTTTGTGTGTACATAGTTTTGTATTGTTTTTGTTTTTCTACGCCGGGATACTGTATTTATTTTCGACGATGCAATAAAGCTGATTTCTTCATTGTATATAGACTATTTCTAGTAATTTCCGATTTTGATTCAATATTTTTCGAAAATTGGCACTTTAACTTATACGGCTTTAACGATATTAAGGTTTCGAAGATGATGCCGTTGCTCGATCGGAGGATAGAGGCGAAAGAATTAGAGGTGAGCGAGCGAGAGAGAGATAGAGAGAGAGAGAGCGAGAGGGAGAGCGAGAGAGAGCGAGTAAGAGAGTGAAAATTTTCCAGGTGCTCGCCGCCCAATACCAACGTCAAGTAGCCCGAGGGCATCCGAGTACTCCAACGATTTTTGCGTATGCAAAGGTAGGCCTTTTTATACACGCATCACGGCCGTCTCGCCCTCGCTCCCCCCCTCTCTCTCTCTCTCTCTCTCTCTCTCTTAATATCTTATTCTTATTTTAGGGCATGTGCCGCTCGAAGTTGGCCGACGTCCAGATTGGAGTCCGATTGCTGGATGGTTAGTTTAAAAATAAGGAAACTTGATTACCGTAATCGAAAAACCGCTAAAATCGATATTTTCTATTTTAAGAACTCCTCCAACAAGAGCACAACTCTCAGCTGGCGCCGAAAATCGTCTTCTGGCAGGCATATGGGAACGCACGACTCCGAGTGGGTTATAGCTCGTGTATGTCGAGACCTAGTGGAAATCTGGGGTCGATTCTCAGGCTTCCCAGCCCCTTTAAACTCCTTTTTTTGTAGAACTACGATAGAGCATTGGCGCTTATCGATTCGCTTCTCCTGCAAGATGATTCGGAAGAGCGGAGCCAGGATTTGAAAGCGGAAATTGAGGGGAGAATGAAAAAGGGTAGGTGTTGCTAGCCTAAGCTCGACTAGCTGCCTGTCCCTCTGTTTCTCGTTCTCTCTCTATCTATCCATCTCTCTCTCTACCTCTCGCTTTAAACTGATATTTCAGATGCCCTCCTCGGCGCTGCAGTCATCGGCACGGGTGCGGCTGTCCTTGCCGGAATCGTCGGGGGGCTGTATCTACTCAGGAAATAGCTTTTTTATCGAGATTTTTGTTAGCACGGGTCGCGCACCAAAGTCATGTTCGTATTTATGTTAATAAAGGGTTTAATTACGAGCGTTTAAAGGAGTTTTACGTAAAGACGGGAGAGCAGGAGAGAGAGCGATGGAGAGAGAGAGCGAGCGAGAAAGACGCAAGAGAGAGAGAGAGAGAGAGAGAGAGAGAGAGAGAGAGAGAGAGAGGGAGCGAGCGTTTGAGAATGTATCACCTTCCACACTCAATTCCACTCCACTACCCTGTCATTCCGGAGTGTTGCGTACTGCCTTTCAGCCACTCTCTTTCTCTCTCTCTCTCTCTCTCTCTCTCTCTCTCTCGCTCTCTCTCTCCTTTCTCTCTCTCTCTCTCTCCCTCACTCTCTCTCCTACTTATCACCCCCGTCTCTTGACAGGCAGTTTTCATACGCCCAAAAAAACTGGCTGCCCTGACTGGCGGGCAAAGATAAAGGGCAGCTTCTCCCCCCTTTCGGCCATGGTTTTTGCATAGCATTTGCCTTGAGGGCCTGTCAATTCCCGGGGCATCTTGCCCCCTAGTTGTCCCCCCCGTCCTGTCAAACCGTTATCTCCTGGGGCCATTTATGGGCCCTCAGTCTCACACAAACGGCCCGCCGTTCCCCCCGTTCACTCACTACCCCCGGGAATTCTTGATTTCTAAAATTCGCCCCAATTCGCGGAGGAATTACGGTAGGATTTTTAGATTTGGGTATTTTCATTTTTAAAGGGATCGGCAAGACAGGGCTACGAAACTTTTGCCATGTACGCAACACACCTAAACGCGCTTTACCTGCATGAGTCAATCGATTACGCCATGAAAATAGAATCTCTACGGGACCCGGATAGCGTTAGAAAACCGGAGTAGGGGTTTTTTGAAATTTAGAGCATATTTTTGCGTATTCTCGCGCACTTAAGTGTCCGTATTGTACCGTAATACGAAGAATTTTAGCGTAATCAGGCTTACTGTTGTGTAGGCCGTAGTGAGTTGTAATATGGCATACTGTAATATCGTAATGCTGCGTAGGGCAGCGTACTACTGCGTACTGTATCGTAATGCTGCGTACGGAAGCGTATTAATGCGTACTGTATCGTAAGCTGGCGCATTCCGCACTGTATAGGCCTGTCGGGCGCGGCATCGAAACGTATTACCGTATTTTTGGTCGCTACGATACCGCATTTTTGGTACGAAACCGTATTGTGGCGTACTCTGTGCAAGACGAAGCCAGAATTACGTCTGTATAATGCCTTTAAACCCGTGGAGTCTCCCTGTCACCTTCCCTTTAAAACCCCCAGAAAAACCGCGTCGTTGTGCCTCGAGCGAAGTCCCTCGGTGTGTGCCACTTCATCAGGCCTCAACGGCGCGGCGATTTTTGGGGGATGACTACGGTAGCTGACCGATTCCTTGGCGTATTTTTCTTGTAGGTTAATACGATATAATGAAAGCAATATTTATAGATTGAGATCCAAAATACAAAAATACAAATAGAGAAAAGGGGAAGCTCTTGATCACCGTTTGCCCATACCAAAAAAGGGTAGGCCGTTGGCGAGGCACCGGCCAAGTTGGCAGATCATCCCCGATGGACAGGAGATGCCGTTATGGCAGGCTGAAAGAGGTGAAAATTTCGCTAAGAAAATCTTAGACGCGTTGCGTTTGCGTTGCGTGTGGCTAGAAAACTCGGGCGAAAATCGCCAGAAAGAGAGAGAGAGAGAGAGAGAGAGAGAGAGAGAGAGAGAGAGAGAGCGAAAGAGCGAACAAAAAACCCACCAAACGTCGTGCTCATCGGGTTTTTCATGCACATCCCGCCCATACAGTACTCCCCGACAGGACAAACCGCACCAGCCATGCAGGCTGAAAATGCACATTTTCCCTAGCATCTGCGTTGCGGCCGCGTTGCGTGGCGGAAAAACTCGACGCAACGCGCCCGAGGTTCCAGCTTTCTGCGCGTCGCGGCTGCGTCACATAGCTGAGGGAGTCTCATGCGACGCGCCCGCAACGCGGAGGCTCTTTAAAAGCGCCCAAAAGCTTGTAAAACCGACTAGTCTGCTGTGGAGCCACTTGACTTCCGGCGAAGGCGACGTTGCTCTAAAACCAAAAAAGTTGGCTGAACGCTAAAAGCTAACCTTTTCACAGTAGCCGTTCACGCAGATCTGGCCATTTAGGCATTGCTGCATCAGGTTGCAGGGTTGGATTCCTGGAAAAACGATCACACCGCCTTTGAAATACCGTACCTGACACGCCTCCAATTCCACCCATTCCGCCGAGCGCACCCATCCCAGACATTCCACCGTAACCTCCGTATCCTCCATATCCAGCCATTCCACCGTATCCCGGCCCGCCGAAACCGCCCATCATACCGGAAATTAAATTTATTTGTTTTTTTTTGCGCTTTTAGGCGGTGTTAGGATTATTTCGGAACTGAGGCTGGCCATGGCTCAAGGCCAATTATTAGGGAAAAAGAGGGAAAATGGTCCTGCAACGAAAACACTTACCTCCCGGGTCGACGAAATCTAAAAAATGGGATCCTTTCAGTTGCCCTTTCTCTAAGTCTAAGCCAAGCCTAAGCCAAGCTTAAGCCAAGCCTAAGCCAAGCCTAAGTCGAGCCTAAGCCAAGCCTACGCCAAGCCTAAGCTGTTTTCTGTTTGCTAAAACCCCCAAAAACCATTGCGAGACCCGGGACCCGGGTTGCCCTCACGGCCGCGGTACAATTACCGATTGCCCGGCCCGGGGGAGAACCGGATTGTAGCGGAAAGCCAGAGGCGTGAGAGAGAGAGAGAGAGAGAGAGCGAGAGAGAGGAATAGAGAGAAAGTTACAGACTACGCGTGACTGCCCCTGGCCGAATGGGTCGACCCCTGGCATCAGAATGGACCGGATTCGGATGGGGGCGATGGGTAGACAGACTGAATGGCACGACTTACCTGGACGGCCAGAATAAAGGGCAGCAGCGTTCGAGAGTGCTGACAGACCGCCGAGACCTCTGCAATGGTGGGTTCAAGCTTGGGAAATGCGCGAAGCGGTTGATACGTGACGCGACAGCTACGCGTACAGGTTCTCTTGCGATTGAGCCAGGGCAAGAGCCGAAACAAATCTTTCTTTCAAGACCCGGGTCTGTGGCTAATCGCTAAATCGCAAGAAAAAAAAGTTCAAGAAGTTTTCCAAGAAGTTCAAGAGTTTCAAGAATTTCATGAGAACAGGTTTTTCCTCTCCAAAAACGAGTCTGATTGGGTACGACAGTTCAGGCAACCTTTTCAGAGAGTTCAGCCAACCGTAGAGAGAGAGGGAGAGATAGAGAGAGAAAGAGAGAGAGAGACAGTTAGAGAGAGAGCGAGAGAGAGAGAACGATAGATATGAACCCACCCTCCTCCAAGCCCAGCTCCATTCGATATGCAGTTCCCGTTGAAGCAGTACTGCCCGAACGGGCAGGCGATATATCTAGAAAAATACGACTAAAAACTTGACATTGAAGCTTACCGGCACATATCATTCATCCCACCGTACCCCGACAGCGCGGAATACAAGGAAGAACCGAGGAATTGGGCCGAGACATGGCTGAAACGGAGAAAATTCATACAAAAAATGGCATAAAATTATTAGTTATTTTTTAAGGCAATTTAGAAGCTTCTTTGGTGCCCCAATATTTTCTCAACGGGTCTTTGCTAGCTTGCCTTATTTTTTGCTGCGTTATGGGGCCTTTAGGCCAGCCTTAAAGGGCCCATTAAGCTTCTCTCGTCTCTCCCAAATTCCGGAATAGTATCTGCTAGCTTTCCTCCAGTTATTGGTTTTTAAAGGAACCTGTAAGCTTCGTTGGACACTGCGTTCTGCCAAAATTTCCTCAAACAATCTCTGCTAGCTTGCCTCCAACTTTTCGGACCCTTAAAGACACCAAGCAGATTCCCAGGGTTTTTCAAATTTTCTCCAAATGTCTCGGCTAGCTTGCCCTATTTTTCCAAGCTTCAAAGATACGCATCAGCTTTCCTTGATTTTTTTAAATTTCCGCAAAGGATTTCTGCTAGCATGCCGTTTTTCAAGCTAAATCAAAAGAATTTGTAAGTTTTTAGCATCCCAATGAGCCGATAAATGATCGCTGCTAGCTTACCCTCAAATTCCTCAGCTTTTAAAGGGATCAACAAGTCTCCAATTCGTCAAAATCAACCAAAACTTGGCTTCCCAATCCCTCTAAAACCCGTTAAAAACTCCCTTGAACCCACCAAATATTCGCGCTAAACGCGACAAAAAGTAGGGCGGTGCGCATAGCCTTGAAAAGAGACGAGTAGTTGTTGTAGTAGCTTTTGTGGAGTGCCCTGTCCGTCCAGAGTATTGGGCCGGAAAACGGGAGGGGGGATCGACGGGGGGAAATCCCGAATATAGGGGCGGGTCGATCATTGCCCCTCACCCCCCTCAACCCACACCATCCATACAATAATATTTGCATGACGTGGATGAGTCAGGGGGTTGCTGGACCGGTTTTAAAGGGATTGTGTGGAACTAGCTTGTATGTGCCCTTAAAAAGGCCAAACCGGTTCCGGATACCTTAAACCTTTAAAGGGATGCCCAACCTTTTCGGGGCTGAAAAAGCAAAAACCATGCCGCGGGCGGAGGTCGAACCCGGGACCCCCGTTTTGTAGGCCAGGATGCTATCCATTAGGCCATAGTGGCCGGCCAGTGGGTGGGATGGGCACGCCACAAGAGGGAAAGGTGCCCGAATTCTGTGCGTCACTGGCGCCTCATTGCCACACAAAATTCCCGCGTCAATTGTACTGCCCGGAATACATAACTATATATTTGCCACCAAAACCTTGGGTATCCCTTTAAAGACGTTCTAAACAGGTTAATTTAGGATTTTCAAGAGATTGGAAAGTCTGGGTATTGTCTGGATTTGGCTTGTCAGTGCCTTTAAAAGGGCTAACCCGTTTCGCGGCTTCTTTAAAACGTCAAAATACGTTAATTTAACGTCTTGAAAGGTTTGGAAAGTCGGATATTGCTATGGATTTGACTTGCTGGCACCTTCAAACTGTCGATCCCCATCGAATTTTTCGGAATTTCGCTTCCGAGTACCTTTAAAAATTTTACATTTGCGGAAATTTGTTTTTAAAGGGCTTGACAAGCCTTGATTTGGTCTGATTTGGCTTCGCAGTCACCTCAAAATATCAAAATCAATCAAAATTCCCTTTAAAGGGATGGAGAAGTGCATATCGGGTCTGTATTGTACTTTGAAAAGCTTTGAAAAATCCAAACCCGCTAATTTGACCTGCGTTTCAACGATTTTGTGAGATTTGTTATTCCTATCATTTACTAGATTCTTTTCTCGTTATCTTGATTGTATAATTCACAATTTATTCCCCAAAGTTGATGTGTGCATTTTTCTCCACGTCGATTTTGCCGAAACCGTCTCCTTCTGTCTGATTAGCCCATCCTCAGTCGGTTGAGCCACAGGGGGCTGCACTGGTTACGGTAGCATTTGTTTCTAAAGATTTGGATTGATTTTGATGCCGCAACACATCCACTACGCCCTCAACTCTCACAACTCACCGATAATCCTGTCGTTGCAGGCACTCGTCGTCGCTTTCGCAGTAAAGTTGAGCCGAGCGAGCTGTCTGAAAAGGAAATTACTGTTATCTCTCGTTCTACCTCTCTCTCTCTCTCTTTCTCTCTCTCTCTTCTCTCCCACTCTTGCTCTCTCATGCTCTATCTGCCTATCTTTTTCCCGATTTTATGATCAAGTTTTTCATAAATGGGATGGCTTGCAGCAAGGGAGAGCGAGGGAGAGAGATCGAGGGAGAGAGAGCGAGAGAGAGAGAGAGTGAGAGTGAGAGAGACTCACCCTAACTCCATCCCGTTTTTGCATACGGTAGACACGCTGGCAGGCTCCCTCAAAGCATCCCATACCATCGGGGCACGTTTCGTCCGATGTACATTGGAGTGTACAGTAGGCGATGGTTAGCTGAAAAAAAATCAGGCATTAATGGCCGGCACTCCTAGCAGAGACTCTTCCAAAAATTATAATAATTTTAAAATGGCCCACCAATACGGCAACAATTAGCAATCGCAGCAAGCAACAACTGGAGCTCATTTCGGGAAGTGGCTTCTTCTTCGAAAAGCGGCGTGAAGGGGGACCTTTAAACGGAAAAATTCGATTAAATGCCCCCAGGGCATGGCGAGAGAGAGAGAGGGAGAGAGAGGGAGAGAGATGAAGGAAGTGGATTAAAGGGAATCGGCAGCGAGGGAAGAGCCCTCCCGGAAAAAAATAATCATCATCGCCAAGTGCTTTCCGAGGTGGAAGTTACGGTGCAATTTGGCGCGTAATGGAGCGTATTTGTGTACTATAGCGGAAAGGCTTATTTAGTGTTGTCTATAGCTTTAAAAAGCGGAAAGGGTTTTTAAAACTGATGATTTTCACGCATGAAATAATCTAAATTACCAATTAAATTCCAATTCTTTTCGGATTTATCGAAAGTAATGTAATTCCCCAAATCGGGGCCATTCTAAGACCCCTGCTCAGGGTATTTAAACCAGGGGCCCAGGTCCAATTTGGGCCCAGAAACGCTACGTACATCTTTTCACCTGTCCTCTCGGGGTCCGTAATTGGTAAAATTAGGAAACTTTGGTCCAGGACCCATTTAACCCCGCAGAACCGCCCGGTACCGGAAGCGTACATAACTTTACACCTGACGCCCGCTGCACCGTAAATAGTAAGTGATGCGGACTGAAGGGGAGTGGCCAAAATTCGGGCCCAAATTAGGGTCCAGCTAAATGGTGCAAGTTGCAAATTGCATAGGGCACAGCTTGACGGTAAGCTCATCTTAGCCTGGCCATGGCTTAGGCTTAGCTTAAGTTTAGCCTAGGCTTAGCTTAGGCCTAGCTTTGGCTCAATAGGCGTTGGCCCAACCTTTGGCCAGTGGCCAAAAATCTCCAAAAACTCAATAATAAACCCGAGGGCCAAGTGGCCAAAGTTAGGGTCGATTTCGGCGGCCAATTTGGAGCAAAGAATAGGGAGGCAAAATGGCTCTGTTTTTGCTCGTCAGGTCGTCAGCGCGTTCAGGGCATTGGCGGGTAATTTATGCGATTGCGGGGCCCGAAATGGGTGATTTGGTGCGAGAGGGAGAGAGCGTGAGAGACAGAGCGAGAGAGATAGAGAGAGAGAAAGAGAGAGAGAGAGAGAGAGAGAGAGAGAGAGAGAGAGAGAGAGAGAGAAAGTAAAAGAGCCAACCGCGCAGTACCAAAATTCTTTGTCAAGCATTTTTCTAAGCGTCAGGACTACGCGACGCTCAATAAACACGGTAGAACCCGAGAAAAGGTCAGAACGTGCAAATGCCAACATTTCCCGGCATGCCAAAAACATGGCTGCAATAGACATCTTATTATGCCTCGAAGCATAGCTGTAGATGTCTATTCCAGAATGCGTGGGTTGCGAGCTGGGCCTTTGGGCCCTCTCCCTCTCTCCCTCGACCCTGGGCCCCTGGCGCATAAATCAGGAGGGGCCCAAGGGGTGGGGGAACGCCTTATAATCATCGCGAGAACGGGGTGCTAAATCGGCGCGCACTTTAATGGGATGTATTTTGCGGGGCTTAGGCGTAGTTTGTAGCGTTGCGTAGTTATTTCGGGTTTTTAGGCTCATTTGAAGTCTTAGACTCGTTTAAATTCGTGCCAGCTTGAATCCGGGCCAAAATCAGCATTTATACGGCTATTTTGGGTTTTTGAGCCTACCTGAACTATTTCCAAGATTTTTGGAATTTAACCTGTGGTCAATTGGTTAAGCTCTCGCTTCCCAGGCACACGACCCGGGTTCGATTCCCGAGGCGGTGAAATTTTTTGCTCTTTGACCAGAAATAAAAATTTAGCTAAATTTTAAAGGGATGGTGACAGCAAAGCCCAAAAGCTGAGGAAAAAACCAAAAAAACTGACTATTCCAGGCCTTTAGCCGATTCTTGAGCGCCAACCCGAAAAGGTTCCCACCAGCTCAAAAAATAGCTTTGTCTTCTCGAGCATATTCGAGCAGTTAGAGGCCTCCCAGAAATGACGAGGAGCTTCTGTAGAACCTTCAGTTTTCAGAGAACACGCAGTAAGCTTCTTTAGATTTTTTTTAGTTGAAAAAGTTTGATTTGTAAATTCACAACCTTAAATAATGTTATATTCATTTTATGACTTTGCTTAATGATTTAAAAACTATAAAATTCTATCGAAAATACACTCCGGCGCGGAATGTGACGGAGCTTTCCGTTTCCGGGCCCACTTTAATTTGACGTTTCGCACGAATTGCACCTCCTTACGACCGACCCATCAAGTCAATTGCAAGGCGCAAGAAAAACGAGGCTGAATGGTCTCAAAAACGCGATGAAAATGTAGCTATTACAAAACGTATTGCTATATTAAATACTTGTCACCTTATCTTTATTTTTTGAGCAGATTACTGTAGCTAGCGCACCCTTTAGATAATTAAAGGATAAACGCCTCAAAAACAACGTTTTTCTGGGAATAACTAGACGGGGAAGATGATCGGCTAGCGCGGGGCGCATCCCGCGTAAATTGAGCTCATTAACGGCCAAAACGCCTGGGTGACGGAAATGGAAATCACCCTTCTCACCCTGAATACGGCCCATTAAAAACGTAATTCTTGCCCCGGATACCGTACCCGTAGCTCGTGAACGTTGATCGGCAAATGATGAAGACAGACTAGCATCTTGGCAAGCTTCTTAATGCGTGACGTGCGCGTTACGGCTCGCCGATCTGGGAATTTCATACCGTGTACGGTTTTCCGGTTGCTATGGCCGAAACTTTATTATTTGCAGGGAATGTATATGGCAGCACAATACGTTGGGAATGAACACGATTTAAGAAACAGTCGTCGATGCGAGAGAACAAGGGAAAATAAAGAGCGAGAGAGAGAGAGAGAGAGCGAGAGAGTGAGAGACAGAGAGAACGAGAGACGAGGGAGGGAGGGAGAGAGAAAGAAAACAATCACAACCCTGTCTTACAACAGATAGAAAACGTCATAATACCGAAAAATCACGGGTTTCCAAGCGAAAAAGTAACAGAAAAATATAGAAAAACGACATATGCGTTGCATTAAACTTTTTAAACTCTAAGATCGACAATATCTCTTAAAATAAGGGTTTAATAGGCTTATATAGTCAAATTACGTTCCTATGAGTTCATCAAATGAGTGCCAAAAAAATTATACCACCTCAAAATTCCGTTTAAAACCTCCTCATCCGCCGCCTCATCTTGCGCAGCTTAAATCTGCGCCGCCGCTTCATGCCTTTGCCCCAGGCTCCTGTAAGTGTATGATAATACTAAAAACGATTTTTTAAGCCTAGAAAACAGAAAAACAAAAAAAACACCATGCAAATTTATAAAAATCAAATTAAAACTGAAAAACGCCGACAACAGCTCAGAAAAAGTACCCTTCAATGCCGGGTTGTGACTGCCTAAGGGAGATTTTAGTTTTTGGGTTTTTTGAGGCGAGGGTAGGATGACCGAGCGGCTAAGGTAATTGGCTACGAGGCGGAGGGCCAGGGTTCGACTCCCGGGCCCGCCAAATTTCTTGCTCTTTTCCGATCGACTCGAGTGACCTACCGATGACGAAGCTCTCGATCTCGCAGTGGTTGTGGCCGCGGAGGATGCGGAAAAGGCCTTCCTCACCCCAGTCTGGACCCCACGAATTGGCACACAGCCAATAGGGGATTGGACGACCGGTGGAGTCGTCGACGCCCCAGCTGAACCGAATTAGGATTTAAGCTGTCCCTTGATGTCACTATCCCTTTAAACGCCATAGCGATTCAACCTTCCCAGTCCCTTTAACACTCTTCTATATGACCGTACCCGAGTATCCGCACGGAATGATATCCCTGGCCGACGAACTGCTCGCCCTTGCCGCGCGCCAAGTCGGTGTGCTCGTAGACGCCGCTGCTAAAATTGATCGGGTTACGGTATGTGGGCACATTATAGGAAAGAGCTTCTTTTTCGACGCACCTATACATGAAGAAGTCCTCATGGACGAGGAAGGTGGCCTGGACGGGCCCGTTCGTCACGATCTCCGTCTGAATGTCCTGCTCGCGGCTTGATACCCTAAAACAAGACGTTTAGAGGTTTAATTTTTAGGGAATTTTTAACAAAAGCGCAAGTTAGCCAAAAAGGGCAAGTTAACAGAGATTCCTAGAGAATTTTCGCCTACCTGTACGGTGGTGTCATTTTGTAAACGGTGGAGTCGCCCTCCGGATCGCTGGGACAGGTCAGTCGCTCGCCGCTGCGGTAGGCCGACTAAAATGTTGGATTTTTTTCTAAAATCATCGGCAAGCGTCGGCTTTGTTTTGACTTCGACGCTGCGAAAAAAAACTTTAAAAAATCGTAGCTTACCTTCGGAATATGGCACGTCTCCGGCTCACCGGTGAATCCGGAAGCATACGGGTAACAGTCATCCGAGACGACACTAAAAATAACAGAAACGTTAAAAATGCTAAAAAATTACCCCAATTTTCTGATGTACCACCACGCCCTGTCCAAATAGCCGCCCTCACAGCCCTTTTGCCTGAAAATGCGGATTTGCAACTCTGAAAACTGGCAAAAATGAATTACCGATGCTGATTACACGACACGAGCTGCTGAGCAGAGACGCTTTTGTTGATGCGCCCTCCACTGATGATCGCCAACCTAAAACAACAACATTTTTATAGCCAGCTGAACTCGTCGGACCTGTCGGCGGCGATGGTCGTCGTGCTCACCGCCCAAGAGCTGCCGCAATCGCCCTGGTCCTAAAAAATGAAAGGGGGATAATGTTTTACGTAAAAGAACTTCAAAAATGCTTTATAAAGTTTTAAGGCCCTCAAAGCTTACCTTTACCCCGTGAATCAAATGAGGCCATTTCCGGCGCGCGTCGAACTCCTCGGGCAGCTCGCGGGGCTGAAAACAATCTTAGTTAAAGGGATAGGGGCGGCATAAGTCAATCGATTACGCGCGGGAAAGAAAATGTCTCTGCGCCTCTCCCCTGGGCGCCCTCTCTCGCCGCCGGTCGCGCTGGGACCTGTTGAACCCCCCTCCCCAAGGGGGGTTCAACAGATGCCGTCCTCCGCTCTTTAAGTTTTCTAGTCCCGACTTTTTTTCTGGATCCCTTAGCATTTCCTACAAGCTCTGTTTTAAACAATAAGCCTTTTCCAATTGTAAAAACACCCTAAAAACGCACAAACTGTGACATCTGGATCAAAAGTTGATAAAAATAATCGAAAATTACCTTGATGACAATCTCATTCATGTTGATCACCGATTGCTCAGGGAATAAAGTACCCAGACGGAACTGTAAAGTGGAAAATACGGATTTTAATTGTCGAAACAAACTTTAGTTCGTTGATAAAAGCCATAAAACCCAGTTTTTCACCCACCTTGATCCCGTGTTCCAGCGTTTTCCCCCAGAAATGCGAGTAGTTCGTGGGCTTCCATCTGAAAAGTTTTTGTTTTGTAAGTTTTTTTTCCATTTCCTTTCTCTTTCCGCTGCCCCTTCTCGACCATTATGATGCTTTATTGAGCAAGAGAAAATGGCTAAACAGGTGTCAGCGCAAAACCCGTTCCCCTCGCGCCCCCTATCTATTGAAACGGGGCGGGCAGCACAAACTCATCAATCAACCCCCCGAATCAGCATATTTGAAAAGGGCGGAGGATTCGAAAACTTTCCCATAAAAGCTCTTTCCGTTCTACCGGAAAATGGGTATTGTACTGAAGATTGTGAAGGCGCTAGAAAATGGTTATTCCCGGAAACGAAAGGTGTTGTTTTTCCTCCCAAAACTTCTAGCTAGTATTACCCTTTTCGCGCGCGCTATCTGGCAGCTAGTCTCCCAGAAAGCAAAAACACGACTTTTTGCGAGGGTGGGAATGCCCCTTCCCAATCACATTAGCCGCCTCATCATCATTCTCAAGGTGGCGGAAACAGATGGGGAAAGGTGGGACGGCTATCGATTAATTATCACATTCCTGGTGACACAGTATCGATTGTTTTTTGAAAATTGAGACGTGAAGAGCCTCAATATACTTACGAATATCGTCCATCTTTCACCTGCTCGTACACCTCTTCCTGGATCAGACAGGCGGCCCGTTGGCACGACCAGGTTGAGTCGACGCAACGACTAAAAATTTTATTATGTTCAAAAGAAAGCTGATTTGAAGAGAAAGGTTTGTTACAAAAGTAAAAGGCATCTAGAAAAAGAAGGAAAAGACCAAAACCGGATAAAACTAACCAAGTCTCGCAGTTCTTCGTCACCTCATCCCCAGAATCGTACCACCGGCCGTTGTATTGGCATTCTGAAAATGATAATTGGGTGGTTTAAAAGCAAAGATCTACCCTTTCCATTAATATCGTTCTGCGCGGGCCGATCGTCGGCCCGGCATACCGCTTCAAAATCGGGGCAACAGTCATTTCCGCCGTTGGGGCCACTAAATTCCACATTAGCCCAATTTTTGAACGCTAAACGTTTTTAATCACCACAGAAAATTACACTCACCGATCGCAGAACACATCGCAATAGCACAGATGGTCGCCCAAGATCGGCACTGTGCAGTCGTCATTTCTTAAAGGGAATTAGTGGAAAACATGATGGAAACTAACCTATTTTGGCAGCACGTTGGCGTTCTGGTGGCGCAGTATTGCCCGGGAATTCCTGAAAAAGACAAAAGCTAAGAAACCGAAGGGGAAACGCGTACCGAAAAATCCACGAGCACCGGCGACGGCCGCGAAGATGGGCAGCAGCAAAAAGGGCTGCATCGTTCGCCCCGCGGCGCGCTGCTTCTATCGAGGCGTCCTGAAAAAAACCGGATTTTTGAAAGGTATTGGACATATAGAAAAATGGAAAAAGAGAAAATGAGAAAGAATATAGAACAATATATAGAAAAATTGAAGTGGATACGAGGCTTTGACGAGGAACCTTGGCTTGGGAAGGGGCAGACTTCTAAAAAGCTAATTTGAATGTGGAAAATAGAATTTGGAGAACTTCCGGAAGAGAATAAGTCACGGATAGCAGAAAACCTTTTCACTTCATCCCCCATCCCCAACTGAGCCGGTTTCGTCCTCCAGCAAAAGTAAGTTATACCTTATTAACTTGCCGCGTTTCCGGAAATCTGCAATTTCATTCAAATTTCAGGGAAAAATGGCGAAGAGGGTCCTCTTCACGTGCTTCAATTGCAAGACGTGCGACTTGCCGTTCGATGCGCAGCACGGCGGCGCCCACACGCCGTACGTCGGCTCGTTCGACGGCAAGCTGCTGGTGGCCTGCCAGACGGCGTCTTTTGACGACGTGATGACGCCCGCCACCTGGTTGATCAACTTTCTCAGTCACCCCGCCTTCACCAAGACGGACGGCGGGTACAAGCTGTCCGGAATTCCTAAAATTCCAAGGTGTGCGGATTGCGACCATTCTGTCAACCTCGACCCTCACTTGACGCCATACCTTTTGCGATGCGGCCATCTTGTTTGTGAGGGCTGCTTGGACGAGTACGATGAAGAGACTTGCGGCGAGTGCGATGCCTCCTTCGCCGGAGAGCCGAGGCAGAAGTGCGATATCCTCCTCGACTTCTTCAAGTTGCTCCTCGAGGAGAAGGTGGATGCGCAGGAATGCACCGGGTGTGCGCACACGGCCCCGATGGAGACGCTGCTCTACTGCAGCGGGTGCGCGGCGGCGGTGTGTGGCGGCTGTTCGAACAAGCTGCACGCGGGCCATGCCCTCATCGGACTCGTCGACCATGAGCTGGGCCAGCTCAGGGAGCGCTCGACGCTACGGATGAATGACGTGTTCGCCGGATATGGCAAGCTCTACAAGGTATACTCTACAAGGTATACTATCTTAGCCATCAAAACTACTAAAAACACGTAAAAATTAGCACCCCCGCTAACAGCCCAGTACCAAAAATTGTCTTTGCAGCCTCTGCACTCTGAGATCCAGCGCGGGATCATGACGTTGATGGTCGCCGGGGGCGGAAAGCTGGCCGACGTGACCAAGCAGCAGTACTTCGCCGACGGGACGCGCATCACCGACGAGATGGAGCGTCTGCTCGAAGACTTCTCCAATGAGTGCGAGATCTACATGCCCGTCGCCCGCAAGTTCAACGACCGCATCATGGATTTCAAGGTGGTTAGAAAATCTGGTTCTAAAAATGTAGAATAGACTTGAAATCAAAAATTTCGAACAAATTTGGTAATTTTTGTAAATTTTTTTATGCCTAGAAAACTGCCTAGAAGGCTAACGTGTGAAATTACGGGGCAGCGATAAGCCATGGCTAGCCCCCACCCCCCCGCTAATATGCCAGTACCAAACCTCTCCAATTCCAGGAGCAGCTCGGTGTTCGTGGATCGCAGATTGACGTCAGGCCCTCGGTGGAGGCGGCTGCTGCCAAGGAGCACCCCCAGCCCAAGAAGGTCGTCGAGGCCGTGGCTGCTCAGGAGCCAGCCGCTGGGCAAGCTGCACCCGCTGCTGCCGCCGTCCCCTCCGCTGGACAGGTTGCCGCTCAGAAAGCCGCTGCTCCAACTCCGGCTCCTGTTGCTGGACAAGTTGCCGCTGCTCCTGCTCCTCCTCCTGCCCCTGCCCGCCCCGCTGGACAAGTTGCCGCTGCTCCAGCTCCTCCTCCAGCCCCTGCCCGCCCCGCTGGACAAGTTGCCGCTCAGAACGCCGCTGCTCCAGCTCCGGCCGTTGGAGTTGCCGCTGTGCCTGCCCCTGCTGAGGAAGCCCCGGCCGCTGCTGCTGCTCATTAAGCAAGCCGATAAAAATTACAAGCAATTCTTAAAAATCTTAGTGATGTGAAAAAAATGTGCATCCATGATAAAGATATGTACAACCCCCTGTACCATGTGACTAACTCGGCTGTGATGAATAAATGATTTGGAAAGCATTGCACCGGAAGGAACAAAGGTTGAGGAAAATGGACAGGAACTGTTTTCAAATTGTTTCGCGCTATAGCGGCTGAGAAAATTGGAAATCCAGGCAATGAAACACCGAAAAATGCGGTATCAAAAGGGCATAAGCAGGAAAAAAAATAGAGAGTCCCCCTTTTTCTGGGAGCCAATTTTTTTTAATAAAAGTGTAAAAGATTTCTAGACGGTTTTTACCAATTCGAAACGTAAAATTACAAAGTTTTTCCGGAAGATACAAAAACAAGGTTTTTCGACGAAAAAATTTAGACCCCTGCAAGGCTTTTCTAAATGTAAATGAATGCAGATTAAATTGGGATAGAAAGCAGAAAAAAAACCAAAATCAAAGACCGCAAAAGAGTTGATCAAACAGAGATCACATAATAAAACAAATAACACCCCGAAAAAGTGGGCGAGAAAACGTGGGAAAGCTTATCCCCCTCGCTAGATCCGTGAAAATCAGGTCAAGCCTCGAAGCGCGCTGATCCTTTGATGGATATATCGCTTCCAGAGGGCGTGTAGAAGAGGAGGAGGAGGATGAGGAGCACGAGAATCATGAAATGATCTGTATCATCCGGGGTGGCGCCGAGGAGGGGACATGGTGAAGATGCGCGCGCAAAATGGGCGGGGGATAGTGATATCGCGGGCACGCGCCCACACAACCCCCCAATCACTAGTCAATTCTTTCACTTTCTTTTGCTCCTCGAGCATGAGCATGGATGGACAGACAGAAGGACGGGTAGACGGACGAACAGACGGGGCAAACGCGTACCTAGAGAAGCGGGCAGGGGGAGCTCGAGTACGCGCGCAGCTGGAATCTGGCTGATAGCCTCGAATTTCCGTGCGGGCATCGCAGAAATCGGCTAGTTCTAAGAATTTTAAAAGAAGGAAAAGAAGAAGAAGTATCTGGCTTTTCAATCTCGAATTTGGTAGCAACACCCAAAAGAGAAAAAAAGGAATCCTAGAAAAAACACGCGGGCAGGAAAATTAGTACGCTGCGCGCCTGCGGACGCTCGACTGTCCTCCGACGGCGTAATTCGTCCTTTCCAGTCTTAAAATCCCTAATTTAGATAGAAATCATCGTTTTTCTCTAAAATTTCATACAAAAATCGAAAGAAGAAATTCATTAAAACGTTCTCCGAAGAACTGCGTATCCTTTGAGACACAGAGGCCGAAAATCTTTTCTGATAATTTTTTGCTGCAAGTTTGCCAATATTTAAACTTCAAAAACTATTCATAAAGCGTCGAAAAACGGGTAGACGAGCGACCGATTAGAGGGCGGATTACAGTTTTTGGAGAAACCGGGGAGACGGCCGGGAGGGGAAATTGGCCCACTACCCCGGTAATTATAGGGGGTCCCGAAGGTATCGAGCGCAAAAACTCGGGCTGAAATAACTTTGGGGAGTCGAGAGGGCTGGGATTTGTTTTTTGATGCTAACGGTTAATTGGAAGAATGTCGGATGAGTCCCAGGGGGTACTTTGGCAATATCGGGGGGAGGGGCGGGGTCATCAAGGGACAGAACTTTTTCTGTACGCCTTGAAATGTCTAGTAACGTAATTTTAAGCATTTTAATAGCATTTTCAGTAAAATTGACGATATTTCCAGCGGGAAAACGATCTGAAAACTCTCAAAACAAATGAAATTGGAAATTTGGTTGAAAATCGGTCGTTTTTGGTCACAAAAAAACTCGAATACCAAAAATTGTGACGGTTTTGCGTCTAGGAATACTAAAAAAAGTGTAAAAACGACTAAAACTCTATACACATACCTTTTATCTGTCAATAGGTATGGAGAGGCAAAAAATAAAAATGCATTCCCCCCGATAACGGAAAAGAACCGGACGCCCCTTGAAAAGAGCAATCTCTGGCGCTTCATCGTATCCCGCATAGTAAACCGATGAGTTTGCGGCATAAGTTGGGAATGTTGTTGGCCGGATCGGATTTGTCGTGCCCCAGGCGGGTGTCGGGGGCAATGGGATTTGAGGGAGAGTGTTGGAAGGAGACGATGATCATCCAGCCCCGCTTTCTCGCGCCTCTAAACGACCCCAAGCAAAAGGACACTGAAAATAGGGCCTTCGACGGGACCGGGCCCCGGCACTCCTAATTGGAACATCATCAGACACTGACTCCCAGGCTCGGCTCGGCCTCTAACGGCCCCCGGGATTTTTGGGGTTCTCGCGCGCTGGCTGAAGACGAAAATGGACGCCGAAAGGGGTAAAGGTTGCTTAACGGGGGGCGGAGAGCTTTTCCCGCCTAGCAATTTTTGTGTGGTTATTTATGGAATATTTTTTATAATGCTTTTTGTAGCTTTTGGTTAATAAAAAGTCACAGAACACCCATAGAATTGATGCTTTTGATGAACACCCAATCTGATGCAATTCTGACCAAAAATCATAATTTTTCGAATATTTTGATAGCTACGTGATGCTCGCTTTCTTTTGTGATAGCCGTTTAGCCGTCACCTGGCGAGCCACTTTTTTTAGCCCTTTATGGTGTATTTTATAAATGTTTTGAGCAGTTTTTGATAACTAAAAAGTCATAGAACCTTTTTAGGAAACATTTCGCGAGTTGACTATTTTTATGAACTTTCTGTACAAAAAAATGGGTATATTTCTACAAAAAAATGTAGGTATTTAGGTCGCCACTGGTCGCTAACATCACCCCCCCGGTAACAGCCTAATACCGCCAAAATGAGCCTCTCGAAAAACGTTTGAAACCGAATGGTTCAGGGCGAATCATGCGCATAGCTAGGTGGAAATTTTCGCGCCTATCGGAACTCGCTCAGAAATGCATGAGCAGCCATCTGGCCGAGCGCCCGAACCTAGCAATGCCATGATAATTGAAAGGGCGCGCCGCCATCAAAAGCTAAAATGTCAAAAATACAAAAAGAAGGCTATTTTAACGATTTTATTTATTAAAAATGTCCAAAATATATCAAAAATTAGTAAAAACGGAAATTTATTTTAACTGTTGCTCAAAATGCCGTCCAGCATTGCCGGGAGCCTATTTTCAGCGTCATTGTTGTTGTTCGTTTTCGTTATTCCCTTCAAAATTATCCTTTATTCAAGCTCGACCAACGGACTAAAACATATAACGGATTTATCGTACACGTAATCGAGGGAAGGGGATGTCGAATCGGCGGGCGCGTTAAAACTGGGTTTAGGGTGAGCATGGAAAAGTCGAAGTTTGCGCGCAAAACCCAGAAAAAGATAAACTGGTGAGAAAAAAAAGACAGAGAAAATCTACGTTATAAATTACAAAACAAAGCTACTCTAGCTATTTTAACATGTCAGGGACTTTGAAACGGAATGGTGCCACGGAATTTTAAGTTTAAACGGGTTTTAAAGGTTTAAAAGAGCGAAAAAGCAATCTATACATTTTTGCACATTTTAAAGTGAAAAAAGGGCTAAAGTAAAAGGAGGTGAGCACTGTACAAGGGGGTTCTGACTAAATTTTTGGGGACCCGTCTGAAAAGGGGCAGATTAGATGAAGGAAATAGATTTGGCGGAAATTTGAAAACAAAAAGTTAAAAGAAGAAAAACAACAAAATTGGATAATTATTCGCGGTCCTCGAGCTGCGGGGCCATCGATAAGTTATCATAGGACGCGGCTACCATATAGTCATCTTGCTCGCGGGCGGCTTGCAACTGAAAGGTTTCTATGCATTTTTTTTATTGGTTTCGCTTCGATCTAACCGATTACGCGATGTATAGGAGCAACGAGCCCATGTACTGAGTATCGTATAGTTGGTGAAATGAGTGAACGTACGTTTTCGTGATCAGCTACGTTGTTTGGCTAACAAACCTGTTGGATCTCTTCCGGAATTGAGTACAGCGTTGACGAGATGTAGGAATGCGAGATGGAGATCCGGCGTTGCCGTTCGGCCATCTGAATTCGTAGAATTAAATAAGTTGTTTTTAGAACCTTGCCTTCAAGAAATCTAATAATATTTTTATACAGTTTGTTCTCGATTGTTTTTGTAAGCTTGATCCCCAGAAAGCTGAAATTTCCATCGGTTTTTCTGCCGTACCTGCGGGGCCGAAGAAACACGCCGCACTCCCGTGGACGCGTTATGATCGCGACGCCCCCGTTGTGCAACCACTCGTCGTAGCTCTGGCACCGGAACGTAGGCCGAGTTGTCTTGGACGAGCGGCCGGTACCTTCGACGCCAATTCCGCACCACCGTCACTTCGGCGGCACTCGTCAGGGCGGGAATTAGAGACTGAAAAGATAACTTTATTATGGAGAAATTCGGCTCAAGCGGTACCTCTTCACTGCCCTGCTCCTCGAGGCCGTCCTTCTTCTGTGGTCGGAAGAAGTAGAGGAGCGCCCACACGGGCATCAAGAACGAGACGACGTCGTAGGGGAGTTTCAGGAGGGTGTAGCGCAGTTGGTCGTGCTCCTGGAAATTTGAAGATTCAGAATTGGTTCCTTGGTTTTGCTTGTTAAACATGTTGATTTTTTAGCCTGGTCACGCGTGAATTCGAAATTCTGATGTTCTCAAGGTATTTCAATCACTTAGTGTTTTCATAAAAAAGGCCCGGAGAGATATCGCCGAGATAATTAAATTACGACATGTAATGGTTGCACGTGCAAAAAAACAACGCTTTTTACTTACAAATATGCCCGAGCAGCCCTTCTCGTCGTCGGCCAGCATAAACAGCGAGATGTGGTAGCTGAGATCGGCCAGACAGGAAGTTTCGAACACCCAGAAAAGCCTGAAAAATACAATGTTACTGGACCGGAAATTCAAGTATCTGCCACTACGACCAATCCTACTTACGTCAATAGCTGCCGTCGTTGCCTTCTGTGAATATTGGGCGACGCGGATATCCGGTTCATCCGGTTGACGATCAGCAAAAATGAAAAGACCATCAGCTGCACGGTCACGAACTCGCCACATGAGAACCAGATCCAATACGGCGCTAAAAATGAAGTTTTTCAAAGCAAGAAAAATTCAATTGGATCCTTGACGAACTGCGAAAATTCTAAATTACGTCCCGCCACCGTACCCACCATGGCAATCCGTCCACGGCTCGATCGACAGCAAGAAGCCCATCACGAGGAAGAGCGTGAAGTAGGTGAACAACAAAATCAACGACGAGAAGCAGAGCCTGAAAAATGGCCGTTTTCAACCCTAAAAAAACCGTCCGTACCTCTTCCCGGCCACCGAACTCCAGTGCATCATCTTGGAGACGAGGTCGAGGTAGAAGTAGCAGATCACGAGCAGCTCGATCGCCTGAAGGAGAAATTGAATTGTAAAAAAGAGCTTTATCAACCTTGGCATATGTGATGAACAGCGCCATTTGCGTCGTCCAGCCGAGTAGCCATTCGAAAGAGCTGAAAATTTGGTCTTACAAATGATTTTTGCGCATCTTTACTTCGTCTAGTATATTTACGTAAATAGGCGCCCACGTAACACCCGCGCCGTTATTTCACTAGTCCTTTAGAACACCACTTTTTCAATATTTTCCACGCGAACGTCTCAAAGATCTGCCTCGTGTTTTCCAGCTGGGCCCCGCGAGGTTACCGCCTGTTCCCCGCCCGAAAGTACCTGTTATTACCCTGCCATCAACCCCAGATTTCCGCGAAGCTACGCCTGCACCCATGCTAACGGCTTTTCGAACAAGGCGCCCAGGGGCGCCTGTTCGCCTCCCCACGCGAAATTGCAAAAAATGTCGGCTCCACCGGAAGATGATCATTAATTTCACGCGGTGTGCAAGTGGCTCAAGGGGGGTTTGGCCGGAAAGTGGTCAAAAACCAGGGGGAAACGCTTGCAAGGGCTTGCCGAAAATAGGGCGTTATTCAGATGGTGCCTTGGCATTATCGGTGGGAGAGAGAGACAAGTTTATCAAGAGGAACGATTTTTTCTATAAGTCCAGCTTTGCCAGTATTTTCATCGTTTCTTCGATACGATGTCAAGCGAAAAACTATGTAGAAAACTTGAAAAGTGTGTAAAATTACAATTTTTGTCGAAAAAATTTTCCTGTTTGCTCGAAAATGGATATTTTCGGTAGCTTTTAACAAAATTGTAAAAATTTTACGTTTAGCGATAGTAAAAACAGTTAAAAAAAACCTCTGTTTATATTAGTAAAATTGGATCCTAAGGAAAAAGTTGCTCCCCCCCCCCCCCCCCCCCGATAATGCGAAAGTACTGCAAGAACTAGCTTAATTTTAAGCTTTTAAAAACGTTAGCATAATCATATGACATAGGCTATACCGAAGAATTTACACCCTCAAAAGGCGGCCGCAAGCATCATGGATAGTACCAAAAAAGCTCAGTTTCCTATAACGCGAACAACCTACAGTAGCGCCGGAATTCCACGCATAAAGAACAGCGCAGCGCACAGGTTCCGCTCGATGCGCCCGATCGGCAGCGGAATATAGCGCGGGCAAAATTGGCAGACGAGTAACTCCTTGCCGGGGCCGATTTCCGGTTCCATCCGTATTCCGACGGATTGCGGCTTTTCATTGAGGGTTAGGTAGCTGAAGAGGCGCTCCAGGGAATTGCGTCTTCGGCGGTGGAATTTTTTGGGGGCGGTTTGTGGCTTGAGGGGGAAGCCGGTGGGTCGCGGCGAATCGGCTCGTGATTTTCGTTTCAGGAGGTGCTTTTTCCAGAGCATTTTTAAAGTAAATAATTGCAGGTTAAAGGTTCGAATATTGGGTAGATCTACGATTTGGGATAGTAAAAAAAATCGTGATTTCGTAGCGCAATTGATTAGGTCGATAATAGTCGCAAAATGCAAAAAGAAAGGTCAAGAAACGGTTCGAGGTCGAATAAATAGAATTTTAATAAAAATATTTAGTCAATTTACAATTCGGTATAGCCAAAAAATCGATGTATCGTAGCGTAATCGATTAGATGAGTAAAATACCCGAAACTTCGAAGAAAAAATTCAGAAATAGTAGTCGAATAAGTACAATTTTTTTTAAATATCCGCTTGCCTAGTAGTGACGAAATTTGGGCCACCCACTGGCCAAAAGTAGTGAGGTCAGGCTCAAGTGATGTGAAAAGCCGACTCGCGTGTCCGATCACCTGGCCACGCCCGGGGAATAACAACGGTCTGCTGGGGATGGGGCCCACTGTGGGCCCCAAGAGAAGCCCCGTGAAATTTGACGGAGGCGCCTGTTAGGGGAAAAGGCTTCAACTCTGAACCCCCAGGGGTTGGCCGCCTCAGAAAAGGTACTACTCGACCTGTGGCGCCTCAAAAATCGGGTGGCCAAGCCCAGGAAGTGCCTGCTAATTTTAGACTGACCAGGGACACTTTTCCGACAAAAAAAAACAGCCGCGACATTTGACGGCGGCGGCTGTCTTGGCTTCAACCCTGACCCAGGCTTGGGTAGCTAAGGGGAGATGCCCTATTTTAAGTAAAGCCAGGGACACCTGGAACTTTACTATTTGCGGGGGGGAGGGGTCTTTCTTCTCAGCTATGTAACGTAACAGCAAGTATCTTAATAGCCCTTTTTCGAAGAATTCAGCTGTACTTCAGGTGGAAAAACTATTTAGAAAACTTACAAAAACATGTTTCAAAAAATCAAAATGTTGCCGAAAATCGGCTATTATCGGCAAAAAAGCATGACTTTTAGTATTTGTAGCACAAAATGTGTATATTTTTAATCTGGCTATGGTAAAAAACCAACTCGCTTTTAACCATAAAAATTATCTCGAATTTCCGCCTAACCGATTTCCGCATTTATTTTTAGCAGCTACGTCGTTCCAAACTTAAAAGCCTTACGTTGTATTATTGCTGGTATCCATGCAAAAGCCACAGAAAACCCAAAAACGCAATTCGGCAGCAAAATTTGGACGTGGTTGATCTTTCTCCACTTTTTACAGGCACGTCCGCTACGTGGCCGCTGCACAAACAACCCTCGCCCTGGAATTCCGCCCCCACTTTTTTGGTAAACTATCCATTCGCGGTTTCAGATAAACGACACTTATTAAAAAATGGAAAGCCCGGCAGAAAATAGAAAAGCGCAAGGATTCCGGAACTTAATTAGCAAAAAATCCAAGCTTACCCGGCCATGCACTGAATGAAGATGAGGAAGAAGATGAGCAGGCGGATTGGTGAGGGATTCCGGCGCTGCAGGTCGACGATCCGCTTCACCGCTACCAGCGCCGAGATCAACGCCAGCACGGAGACGAACGCTGATCTAAAAAACGGGGTTTTAGGTTGATTATTGTAACCCACCTGGCGCATGCTAACCGGTCGTACTTGCTGAAGCAGTTGGAGCACAAGACGTCGATAGTTCTGAAACGGAGGTAAGCATCGCGTAATCAATTAAGCGGCTTGGGATATTAGCTATTTTTTGACAAAACCAGGCCAAAACAAGACTCGCAAGCCTGGTATTTCACTGCGTAACAGTTTCATCGAATTTAGATACTTGACTGGGTGTTTTTTTCCACAACTAGGCCAAGAAATCACAGAAGTACGCTTCTACAACTTACGTATTTGCGTGATGGGTCCCATTATTCGGCTCGAGCCATCCGCGCCACCAATCGAGCCCGTCGAACGGCGGGAAGGCCACCGACGGGATGCCCGGCGGCCCGGTCACGTCGGATGTGGCAGTGGAATCCGTTTTCTAAAATGCAACTAGTTTCCTAGATATTACAATATACACCAGACGAGAAAAAGCATAAAATCGGCAATTCAGAAGTACAAAACGACTGCATTTTAGAAATTTTCCATGGTTTGAAAAGTACACAAAAATAGCTTCAAATCGACGTTTCCAAAAATAGGGCCCACAAACAAAAGGGTAACGCAGGCAAACCATCGCTGAATAACAGGAAAACACGAAAAATTTTCGAGCAAGAAAATGATGAATCAGCGCGGGGCAGGCAACACAATCCGGCGTTCCCCGCCCAAATTGCAGGTATCGCCCGCGAGTTCGGCTAATCGGCTTAAAAAGACCAATTTTTGGATCAGGCGCAAAGTAGAATTGAATTTTGACTAAAAAAATTGATTTCTAGGTGTTGAAAAACACAATTTCGAAGTAGGCATCCAAGGGGTCAGCAAAAAAGGGTGCTTATCAGCGATTTCCTGGAGCCGAATTTTTAGGAGTTTCTGCCCGGAGGCAGCCTGTCACATCAAGGATTTTCGTAGAAAGTGGGGGCGGAAAATCGCCCGGGGTTATAAGATAAGGATCGGTGCATTAAAGGTGTTGAAAACCGTGGGCAGGTCGGGGAAATTCGAGAAAATGGGGTCCATTTTTTTGTTTAGACGATTACGTAGCGAGGACGCTTGCTGCATCGAATTCCAGGCAGTCACCGCATCTACGATGACAAAAATCGGTGAGTCAGCCAGAGATTTTAAACAGATAAATCTACAGCATTTTTGTCATAAATGGACATTTACGGCTGATTTGCACCAAAAATTCATTGATTACAGATATACCTAGTGTTTGATAACAGATATTTTAGCAGATTTTTTACCAAAATTTAGCTAGCTTTAAACTATAAACGCTCTCTAGAAAACAGCAGTTTGTTAGAAAAGAAATGTCGGTCGAAATCTAGTCTAGTAAATCTAGAGAAAAACCAAAGCAGAGCTTCAAATGCTTACAATTAGAGTCACAAGATGACTAGTGATTTTAGAAAAGAAAGACCAACGAAATTTCCAGCTGTCACCACTTACGCTTCACTTACCACCACTTACCACTACTTCCTGAACCCCTGGCCATCCCCAAAAACGTCACACTCCCCCGGCTGCGCCGTGCCAAAACGACTGTCGCTGCCGATAACGGGGCCAGCAGAAAGAAGGATCAAATGGCAACGGAGTCCCGCCTGATTCAGGGCCCGCAGTTGGGAGATAGATAGTCGGGCAAAAGGCGAAAAAATGCACCGTTCAGTTATAAACACCATATAAGACTGGAGACGCGGCGCCCGGCCCGAAAGAGTGCAAACGCGCGCTGCAGTCAACACATAGCGCTCGAGTGAGGAGGGCTGATGAAATTTGGAGGAGGGCGCCGGTCATTTTATGTGCAAGTAAAAGCGGAAAGGGGAAACTGGCTTAGCTTGTTTGCAGAATTGACAACGTTTTGGAAATGTTCGTGCTAAATTGATAAAAAAATAGAAATAAAACATTGATAAAATAATTCAAAACCAAGCCCTTTAGCTGGAAAGCTTTCTTCGATGATGATAAATGAGATATAATGCTAAATGTTAGAAAAACCGGCAAAGCTAATTATTACGATAAAACCGTGAAGCTGCCCCCAAAAGTCTTTATGCTATTGAAACAAAACCCGAATAAAGCCAAAATTGTGCCCTTTGTCAACCAAAAAATAGAATACGAATGACCTATGATTATAAATAGAAAAGAAAACTCCAAAATGTACTCAAATCAGGAATAAAAATCATCTATAAAAAATCTAGAAACGAAAGCCCAAGAATACTAAGATCAAAAACAAAAGTTGCAATAATTCAACCCTACGTGCCATTTCGAAGGCAACTCAGGGGTCCAAAATACGACCGAAATGTTTATTTATTATTTCTAAAATAGCACCTTTTTTCTTATGAGCTTTTCTAAAAACACAGGAACGCACGCGGGTGTGGGAGAATAGTTGAGTCATATGCTGTGGGGGCGATGATGTCTAGACGGGCAAGCTGGGTGCAGCTGACTGGTCCCGCGCCCGGAAATAACGGGTCGGGGCGAGAGGTTTTGAGAAAAAAGGGCTTGGGTACGGTGGGGGAGCCAACCACGTGCGGAGTTGCGCCCGAAAAGAATTGGCGCTCAAAACTGGGGCTCAAAAAACCACTAAAATATATTCAGTGCGCTTATAACCTTGAAAACGGTAGATTTTATTCAACCCGCTGTGGGATAAGTTCGGCCCCTTTTGCGTCGCGGCTCCATGATGCGGGCAAGGGCTGAAATTTTGGGTTTAAAGGGACTGGGAAGTCAACGATAAATTACGGTAGACTGTAGCTGAATAGACACAAAAAATCATTATAAAGCCCTTCCGTATGACTTCCCCTCAATTTGATGATCGTCCACAATCGCTTCCGGAATTCCGGCCGAAACGCCATAAATACAGGCAGGCAAAGACACGACTGTAGCCCGTAGAGAGAATAAGCGAAGCCTGAAATAACGAACCTTCCGATTTAAAAAAAAAACATCAATAAAATAAAGCGTTAAGAATCGCCGTTAATTCTTCGAATTCCGGCTCCTACCAATAACAAGCTCCGAAAATTTCGGCAATTGCCACGCGTCGAGCACCATCACGCAGCTGGGGATTGCCACGAAAATTACCGACGTCAGCGTGATTCCCAAAGTTGTACGTTGCATACGGCGCTCGTACTTGTTCATTTTCTAAAAGAAAGCGTTGGATCGTTCAACTTTAAAGGGACTTGGAAGTCAGCTTCCGTTATTAAATCGTCAAAATGACTGTTTATCTCAATTATTCAAAGATAAACCGTCAAAATCACCCACCCGAAACCGTCGAACCGCAAGCGATACGTAGATGACAACAGCGAAACTGCTAAAGTATATCAGGGAGCAAACCGTAAAGTGTATCGTCCCGTAAACGATACCAACGCTAGATGGATAGTTCCGAAAAATATTTCTTGCTTACCTATCCGTTAATGCGCACATTTTATCCGGGTTCGTCTCCGGAAAGGTCACACCCGTCCAGACTCCAATTCCAGAAAACACCTGAAACGGATTACCGGTGCTTGATTGACGCTCATTCACGTCGAAAAGGTATTTTTTTGTCGGAATCGGTTGCGAACTGTTCAAAATGAATTTTCAGGATTAAAAACGTGCCGGAAACCAGTTAAGAGCCACTTTTTCTTACCATTGAATAAATAAAAGCAGCTAGCAGCAGTATCTGTCTATGGTGCCTCCAAGATCTGTACGAGTGACAGCAATAAACCGCGAAAAATCGCTCGAGGCTGAGAATGGCGTTGGCCGAGGCGGGGAAAACTCCTGTAATTCGGGAATCCCGAAATTTATGACTTTCTACCTGCCAGTAACAACAGCAAGGGCCACGGTTTCGTGAAAAGACATTCGGACGTCGAGATTTCGTCAAAGAACTCGCCATCTCGAAGCAAGGCATTGCGTCCGAAGCCACAAGCAACGTAACTGAGTCCATTTAGCTAGAAACTATAATTTGGCACCGCTTTCTTCAGAAATTGCGGTTCCAAAGCTCTTTCCCGCCAGACTTACCATTTCCGAAAAGCATAAAAATATGTAAAGCTGAAACCTCTGGCGGAAGTCTTGTTTTGATAAAAACACCATCAACGCCAACGCATTGCAAATAATCACCAGAAAGCCGACATAGCCGTAAAGACGGAAACGGAGCTCCAGCTGAGCCGCCAGTTCCATCCCACTGGAATTATCGCAGAGGGTAAAAATCGAACGCGCACAAAGGCCCTGGCGCTAAAAATTCTGAGTAGGAAAGGGAAAAGAGGACTTTGGGGATACAGGGAAGCGATGCAAGGAAACAACAGTAAAATAGGTGGTATTCTACCTTACCCCAAGGCATACGTAATTACTGAAATATCGGTATTTCGTTGTTTTTCAAGAAAGTGGGAAGCAGCTCTACTTCAAAGCATTCACCCTCACGCCACCTGTTTCGTTGACCCCAGCCCAGTAATTTGCATAAGACCTAGTGAGCGCGGGTATGCTTCAAACATTTTTTTCCGGACTTCCGTTTACGAGTTTTCAAAGTTATCTAAAAAAAACAGTTGGGGGCCCCTGGCAATCCCGAGGAGCAATCGAACGATGTCCTTTGCTCCCGAGGGCACCGAGAAGGCAGGTGAAGCTTGCAAAACAAGGAAATGAAGTTTGGAGTTGTAATCGGGACGTTAGTTGATTGATTCCAGGAAGTTTTTCGGCTGAGTAACCCAATATTTACGACGCAAATGAGACCCCGTGAATTCCTAGACCCAAAACAAGCCATTGAAGGGAAAAATGGGCCGCGCCGCCCTCAACTGGGCAGAGAAGATCCAGGGGCAATAAGCCGAAAATTGCACACACCCAGGTTTCGCCCGCACGTAGGGCCCAGAACCCTGAATACGAAACCTAGCTATTTAAAAACCAGCTAAACGACTGGGAAAAGAAACCATAAAGATATCCCTCAATCTTTAAAAGGGTCCAATCCACATTAAAATTCATTGGAATTGCATTAAAATTTCCACATCATATTTACGATTGGTGGGCACAGGCAACAGCGTTAAAGACGTTTTTTAAGTTCCTGAAGCCCCGCGCAACCGGCAAAAAGCTGCTAAGCAAATTGAGCAAAGTAGCCAAAATTTGTTGCTCAAGTGAATTTTTGCAGCCGACACGAGGTTGTTGTGCAGAAATACCGTGGTAGAAAGGCCAGGCAGTCCGCTGCTCATTAGCCATCATATCAACAGGCCACCGCAAATGCAATTCCCTGCATGGCAGTGAGGCTTAAAAGCGAATTATCCCGTCGCGAGTAAAGGATCCAAGCCTCGGGTGTGCGGAATTTCCAATGAATCTCACAAAGGTGGGTAAACTCAAGCTTTATCACCTCCTTCAACACTGGAATCACAATCGGCGTCGAGCTTCTTTGGTAGCCATTCCATCACCCCGAAATCGCCGCCCAGCTCGTCGTCCGGATTCCAGCCCCAGAAATATGTTTCGCCGGATTCTGCAAAAAAAAACAAAGTAATCGTAGAAACACTTGAAAACACACCCGTAACAGCCATTGTATGAAAATCAGTGACTTCGATTTGCTCAATGACGGGTAATCCTTGAACTTGTTCAGCCGTAAGTTTTTCCGCATCCGTCGCCATGCAGCAAACACCCAAGCCTAGTTCGCCGTGGCTAAAAAAACGAGGATTTTTTAACTTTTCCACGCTTACGTGGCACTCCCAAAACTGTAGACTCGGCCTTCTTCGTCTACATAATGCATTCGGTCTCCCGCCGCGACCAACTAAATAGAGAGCCAACGTTTTAGATGATGGTTTTAGAACCTATTAAAAACCTGTTTCACACGAGCCTCGCCGCATATTCGAACAGATTTTGCCGTATCGTCAGAGCGTTGATCATAAACTCTAAATGGGACTTTTTTTAGAAATTAAAAAGACACACCTGTAAATTAGTCCATCGTATGCCACAAAAACGGCATAGCAGTTCAATGCTAACAGTGGGACGGCAAAAGGATCTCGGCTTCTCGAGCAAAGTTTCCACGTCATTTTGTGAAGAGGCTAAAAAACTGAATTTTATAGCGTGGACCGCACTAACCCCAACGCAGAGAAACCGTATCTCCACCACCACGTCCGTGTCGCCTACGTGCAAAGTGGCTTCCAGGACATCGTTGCGGCATTTTAGAAGGGTGTTATCTGAACCATAATTTTTCGGTATTTTGAAGGGTTATACCTGGTCCTGTATCCGGTGAGGAAGTCGCGGCACCGCTGTGTCCTGGGGCTTCCATAAATAGTGCCCCTTGTGTTTTCTGTTTAAAGAATTGGATAGAATTTAGCTTGAAAAGGGTTTAATTTTTATTTATGCTTTGTTTTTCTTCTTTTAGCACTGATTTTTGAAATCCCGGACGTGTCCAACGTCTTTTGGATGGTGATGTAGCCCTTAGCAGCCGGATTTCCCAGTTTTTCAAAAAAACCCCAAAGTTTTCCACTTTTTCCACATTTATGACAAAAGTTACTATTTGATGTTTTTTTTTGTCATTCTATAGACACCTATAGGTTTTCTAATGATCAATTTAGCCTTTTTAACCTTGCAACTTCCAGGTATGGATGCCTCCGAGGAGCTGACCTACACGAACTGCAACTTTTTCCGGATCCGAATATGTTATTCAATCCTCAGCGGGCGTCCGGTGTCGATCTCAAAAATTAGAGAAGATGATGACAGCCCCGGAATTCGCGGTATTTTTTCTCCAACGTTTTAAAATGCCATTTTTCAGACTATGAAGCCAAATTTATTTCGCTCATGGAGAAAATCACAAACGGCACAAAGGTGGTCATCAGCAGAACAGGTCAGGCAGCCACCGCCATCTTTTCAACGGCTCTTTTAGGTACTGATGTTACTTTTCGGCCAGGAATGATCACGGGTGGATGCGTGACGCTGAACTGCGGCACTGAACGTTGTCTGAGCTATTTCCTGGAGCCGCTGATTCTCATCTCGCCGTTTTGCAAGCAGCCAATGCGGATAAAGTTGATTGGGGTTTGTCATTAGAGGTAAATAATCATGATCATTAATTCCTGTAGGTGACCAACGCGCCAAACGAGCCTTCTGTCGACAATATGAAAACCGGATGGCTGAATGTGTACAACAAATTCGTGCTTAACGATGAAGCATTAGAACTCAAGGTTTGTGGTTGTTGGCAGCTTCTCACTGAATTCTTTTGTAGATCGAGCGTAGAGGTTTGAAGCCAGACGGAGGCGGCGTCATTGTCTTTTCAGCCCCAATTGTACGCGTGTTGAGGCCGATTATAGTAAGGGCATACTTCGTGAAAGTAACCTGATTCAGCGAGAAAAACCGGGAAAAGTATGCAAGATCCGTGGACTGGCCTATGTTACAAAGGTATATTTGCACCGATCTAGTGTTATTCTTCAGGTTTCCCCAACACTAGCTCATCGGACGATCGAGGCGGCAAAGAAAGCGCTACGAGATTATATTGCGGACGTCTACATTACAGTAGATCAGCGGAAGGGGGACGCTGGCGGAAAGTAAAAGTTGTTTTTTCGGAGATAACTATCGGTTTAGTTCCCCTGGTTATGGCATATTCCTATGGGCAGAGACGACAGAAGGAGTCTTCTATACAGCAGAAGCCATCTCAAAGCCAAAAGGTGAACCTGGCGACCCATTGCTACCTGAAGATATTGGCACCGAGGCTGGGAATGCGTTATTGGAAGAGATTTATCGGGTAGGTTTCGATTGCTTTTGGGAATTAACCCTAGTTTCTACTTCATGCCTGTACCTTTCTTTCAGGGTGGCTGCTGTGATTCAACGGCACAAACTTTAGCCACCACCTTCATGACACTTGGCGACAAAGACGTTAGCAAATTTCTTACCGGACCTCTTTCCACATACAGGTTCTTGATGTTTCTTTATTTATCTATTTTTTTAGCATTCACGTCTTGCGCCACCTGCAGCAATTCTTCCAAATCACCTTTAAAATTGATGACTACTCCGCGACGGATGCGGGTAGAAAACAGGCCGATGCTGGATTCCGACATGGTCACCCGAATAAGGCAAGGAATTGGACCTTACTTTTTATGTTTTTAGGCCTACTTGACCGGGGTCGGCGTCGGCTACAAAAATCTAAACAAAGTTGTTATCTAACTGCCCAAATTTACTTGTTGATTTTTTTGTTGCCATTGTTGAAAATTGATAAATCTTCTAAATGCTTGATTTTGTGGGTTTTTTATGCTGGTTGCGGGCCAAAATTATCCGATTTTTTTTATATTCTAACAATCTTTTACCTGTCTTTGTGTTGTAGGACTTGATATGTTTAATTTTGCAAAACAGTCTCCTTGGGACTATTTTCTTGAAACCGAAGACGGGGAGAAGGCCAGCGATGTCTTGGAAGCATCGTTTAGGTATTCGCTTGCAGTGTGCCCGTAACCTCTTTTTAGTGCCGAGCGCCGGATTAGGGACTCTGAATGGATGTGGCTGAAAGCTGTCCTACAGCTCAAGAGCTCGGCTGCAGTTCTCAATGGAGGCAAGCTCCACCCGCTCGGCAGCTATTTGCGTTTAGAAGTGTCCTTGGAAGATACTGAGGCAGATACCGTCACACTACGACTATACCTAACCAACGAATTCACCCTCAAGGTTTCTCCCACAAAAAACTTCCCGAAGGAAGAGCCCATTGTCGAGTGTAGCTACCAGTCGGGTTTTGCTTTTGTTTGGACGGAATCAGGTAATCTGGTCAACAATTAGCACGGCTTTCGTGTTTTAGACGACGCACTAGCCGCTTTGTTGACCAGCTACATAACATTTGCAAGGAAATTGGATTCCGCAATAACGATGTTGCAAGCGTGCGAAGGTTTCGAGTTCAAGCTTGGAAAGTAAGCGGTTTCGGCGAGCTCACTCAACTCTCTCCTAGAATCCGCATTGACGACGAACAAACCGACTGCATCGGGGCCCAAATTTTTCTTGAGGGATCCGAAGAGGTTATTCAGCCAAGGGTTGTTGTGATCCTTTAGGTCGTGGATCTTCTAATCGATTTGGTCGATCCGTCGGCCTTCCCTCGCTCAATCCGATCGTCGATACCAGAGCGATTTCGTGGTCTGGACTGTGAAGCCTGGGACCCCGACGCTGCTTTGTTGTTCAATTTGGAAAATCTTCTCATAAATACGAACTTTAGAAATTGTAAATATTTTTCGTGTCCTTCCTTCGCTTCCTTTGGGCTAACGTTCACTACAACTCATTTTTTAGTATGCAACGCTTCGAGCCAGCTGTCACAGTGACCGACGCTCCAGCCAAGCAGCAAGAAGCCAAAACAATCCATTCAATTCCGTGCAAATTTGAGTACACTGGTCCCGCTAATGTTCAAAGGTTTGTAGACTTTAGAGTTCTAATATTATTTTTTCAGTTATTTTCACATCGAGCAAAATGGTGATGATGGGTCTACCGTCAAGGCAAGTCTACGTGGTCGCGGTCTCGAAGGCGCGACGGTTTCGCTGCCCACAGGCTACGAGCTAGCCGTTTTGAAGCCACGTTCTGGTCAGGGTAGGTTTTTTGGAGCATGTTTTAATTGAGAATCATAACTTGGTAGATGCAACATCTAAGAAATGCATTTAGGTAACTCCCTCGATGTCGAAGCGACAACCCGTTCGGTGCAACTATGGGAATGGGACCGAGTTGTTGGCGAGCGTTCTGCCCTAAACCGCGCGTTTGCCTACTTGCCGATTGCGGAGGCTTTGGCTGCCGACGATTGATTCCACCATTGTTTGTTCACTTTCATATGTATTGATTTTGTTACCATTATCTGTGTACCACATTCCTGACGCTCCCCAGCTGATCTCTGTAAACTTTCCCCACTACGGTTGATAAACTACGCGTTTTCCTGATCACAATTGTCTGCTCAAACCATCGAATAAAGAAACAATTTTCGAAACGCCAGAAAGCAAGTTTTTAATACACGAACTTGGGTATTGGCCCGATTTTACTAAGAGAACTTCACCTGCCCAAAATCAACCGTGTAGACTTTTTGATTTCCCGGACTGGCACTCGTCATTTGGACTGGCATGTAGTGTCAAAAGTTCGTCGCAAGAACTCAAGGTTCTCCTGTTGGTTTTTACTAAACAAATTTAACTTTCCACTTTCAAAGATTGGTTGCTGGTTCTTACCGTTTTCTTTTCAGGCATGTTATTACGAACAATATTCTTATGCCTATGTTATACAATGGTGGTGCTTGCCGAGCCACTGAGCCTGCTCATCGGCGCTGCAAGTTTAGCAGGTGGGTTGCTGGGATAATAATCCGCTTCGATTTGCTTACTTGCTGCTTCTTGCGCAATGATCATGCATAGGCGCGTTGGCCAACCATCACCAGCTAGCTGAAAGGAAACCCCGCGGTGGTGTAATGGACTATGTGAGCGCAGGTCTCTGCTTCTTATGCTACCCTGTCCGTCCTTTTAAATGTCAAGCTTTATAATGGCGTCGTCTATTGTGCCGACGAATTTTATATTTTTTTCAGGAGTTGGATTATTCGTCGGCTTCAAGGATAAAATAAAGTGCAAGATCACCGAATGCTGTGATGCGCCATATGTCAGTCCAAATTTTTACGGTAAACTGAATTTTCTGGTTATGAATTTTAATTTTTTTTTAGTTCTGCGCGAGCAACTCAATCAGCGAGTATTCGGCCAACATATCGTGTTGGATAGTGTCGTTGATGCGATTGAGACGCATTGGAATGGACGACCGACGTGGGTCCTCCAACTTGTTTCATGACGAATTTTTAGAAAACCGCTGGTGATGTCATTCCATGGTTTCACCGGCTGTGGCAAGAACTATGTATCACAGATCATCGCAGAGAATATCTACAAGTAATTGAAGAACCTCTAGCTAAATTATTTTATAGGAACGGGATGCGTTCGCGCTTTGTACAGAATATTGTAGCAACGGCTGATTTTCCAGATGGGAGCAGAGTTGCGGAATACGAGGTACTTTCTCAGGAAATCCTAAATGAATAATTTTTAGGAGAAACTGCGCGACCGTTTAATGGACTCGATCTCTGCTTGTGGGCGTTCGCTGTTTATCATTGATGAGGTGGACAAGATGCCTGAACGCCTTCTTTCCTCCCTCAAACCTTTTATGGATCATCATAAGGAAGTCGGAGGCCGCGATTTTCGAAAAGCTGTTTTCTTGTTGTTGAGGTAATTTAACTAGGAATTTTCTGAAAATACCCCTTTAGTAATAAGGGCTCCGAAGATATCCTGAAAATCACACTAGCACACCATGAGGCTGGCCATGAACGTACTTCTCTGCGCCTGAAAGATTTCGAAGGCAAAGTGGCCCATGAAACATTCAATAGAGATGGTATGTTTATCTCCTCTTATTAAAACACCGGTTTAGGAGGGTTAAAAATGTCCGAGATTATTTCTAACCATCTGATTGACCACTACGTCCCATTCTTGCCTTTGGAACGCGTGCATTTGGTATGATTATCAAGTTGGTCCTAGAGGAAATGATTTTAGGAAAAGTGCATCTACACATATTTGGAGCGACAAGGCCGGCCGGATCTTGCCAAACAACAGAATACAGTGAAGCACGTGGCCGACCAATTACAGGTACCTGCTCCTTTTTGCATCATTTGACGGCTTTCGCTTGCAGTTCTTCCCAAAGGGCAACCCAATCTACTCGTCATCCGGATGTAAACGTGTGAACGCGAAGGCGGACCTAATATTGGCTGAGGAGAACCGAGCTGATGGGAAAAGCAAGAAAAGTGTAGATGAACACAAGACGGACGAAAGGGTTAGAGATGAAATATGAGCTTGTTTAATTGTGGATCGCCGCCTGCACAAACTTTGACGTTGTATCTCATATACGGGATTTTTTTTTGTACATCGCCTGCTATCCCGGTGCACTAGCTCCTTACATGTATCCACGATCACTCAGAGACGTTGTATTTTCGGCCCCTTTATTGCCTCACTGTTTTTATCGATGCGGGTTGCCATGTTGCCATTTTGATTCTGTATAAACGGTGAACTATCTGAGTGTTCTAGTTTTTCCACCGGTTCATATCGCCCTGGTACCTGACCGCTAGCATTTTCCTTGCAAATCTTATTCAGGAACAGAATGTCCGATGACGAGGGTGGTTCACGCATGGATGTCAAGGTAGCCTTGTTTAATTTAATCGGTGATCACCGTTCGAGTCTTCAGGACATCCCTGGTCCGTCGAAGGCTAGCAAAAAAGGCGGCGATATTGCGCTCAAGAAAGGCCGTCGTATCAGCCGTAGCAACCGGGCCGAAAATGCACGCAACATTAAAATGAAGAAAGCAGCGGTAGGTCCAGCGAGTGCACGTTTACTATTTTTGTTAGGAAAAACGAGGACGGCAAGAGGAGCGGAAGAAGCTGCGGGAAAAGTTGGGCGAAAAGGCAGTGCCGAAGGAAGTGCCTCGGACAATTGAAAGCACGCGGGAGCATGACGTGACGATGGTGGCCGCGGAGGACGAGGAGGTCGAACACGATGAGGAGCACGACGAGTTCGCCAGCTATTTCAACAGAGACACTACGCCGAAGGTCCTTATCACAATGTCGCCGTATGCTAAAGTGGTGAGGCAGAAGTTAATTTTCTGAATTTCGATTTAGAAAACGTGGAAGTTCTGTTATGAACTCCAAAAATGCATTCCTGGAGCCGATATCTTCTCCAGAAAGAACGTTGCCCTGAAAAAGGTTTATTTATGGATGTTGCTCAACCCTGCTTTTAGATTGTCAAGCAGGCCATCGAGAAAGAGTATACGGACTTATTGGTGGTTCATGAGGACATGAAAATGCCGAGTGGGTTTTTGTTTGCAGCTGACATTTAACTTTTAGATGCCATGATTTTTTGCCATCTGCCAGAGGGGCCAACGGCATATTTCAAGATCAACAACCTAACATTTACAAAGGATATTAAGGTACGTACGCTTCTTGTTCTTTTGAAGATATTTCTCTTAGAAATCCGGTGAAAGCACTGACCACTACCCGGAGGTGATTCTCAACAACTTCAATACTCGCTTGGGGTAGGCGTGGTTGGAACCCATCCAAATTTTTTTTATAGACACTCTGTCGCCAGGATGTTCGCCTGTTTATTTCCGCACAATCCAGAATTCAAAGGTCGTCGCGTCGTGACATTCCATAATCAGCGTGATTACATCTTCTTCAGGCATCATCGGTAATCTCTCGGCTTTTCGTTCGCCAATATCACATTTTTTTCAGTTACGAATTCAAGAAGGAAGGGAAGAAAGCTGCCCTCCTTGAATTGGGCCCTCGGTTCACCCTCAGACTGAAATGGCTCCAAAAGGGGACGTTCGACACGACTGGTGGAGAATTCGAATGGGTCCTCAAGGTAAATTGTACCGCTCTATATCTATTAATCTTCCACTTTAGCGCCACGAAATGGAAACGAGTCGCCGTCGATTCTTCCTCTAAACCCTTTTGCTTTCCTTTTCTTGTTGAATTGATTTTGTTGAGTTTGCTTTGCTCCGAAAAATGAATAAACGTTAATTGTGAGCTGTTGGCTGTCTGCTTCAACTTCGTTATGAGACGATCGATCTTTACAGAATTTTTCCTCCGAGTCATTGTTAGTAAAGTTCAGATTTTTAGGATGCTTGTGCCTCTGCGCACAGCCGCCCTCATGTCTCGGCTTGTCCGAGCACGCATGGGTGCCGCTCATCTTGGGCCGGTGAGCATCCCATTCAGCTTCTAACTTTTTTATTTAGATCCGAACCCGTATGGCTTTCGGTGAGGACGCGCGTGGCCCGGAAATTCCAGTCGGAGCGAAGCTTGGGCACCCAGAAGATCCGGAAACGCACACATATGACGGTGACTACAGAGGGAGCCCGAGCAAAGGAGATTCACTGCTTCCTGAGTAAGCGTTGACCGAATTTTTTTCTGTGTATCGCGATGTTTAGCTTTTGATCAACAAATCAACAAGTGTTTTTGTAGCTACTGGTACCGACGCCCGTCGATGGGACGAACATACATCGACCGCGTGATCACCACCCTCATCTCGGCAGCCATGTGGTTCTGGTTCACCTACCATATGTACTATCACTCCGGTCATCTTTTCGTAAGTTTTTATGCGCTCGATTTTTGATTAGAAGACACGAAATGCTCTTTTATAAACCCTTTTCAGGGTCATTGGTACATGCCCTACCTCCACGAATTCTCCGACGCCGAACTAGGAATCCCCGCGGATTCCGCAGCGGATCCGGAGTACTGGGGCAACCACGGCAAGCCAGCCGGCACCTACCGATAAATCACCTCCACCTATTTTAGTCTCGAATTTAACTGTTTTTTTTGCTATATATCCGCTCGGTTCCTGTAGTTCTGATTCTTTATTGTGACTAGAATTATGACGTGATGGCCACGTGCCACCCCCTATTATGTCAGATAAAGGTTTATGAAACGTTTGTTAGTGATTTTAAAAAGGCTATGACACCATCATTGTTATTTGATTACTAGCGTCGGGGTTGGTAGCTTTTTCGCTTTGCTGCATGGGACGTCTATGCGCTGCATTGATTACCGTAGGGGAAGAGAACGCGGGTCGGGGTCTGGCCAGACTTACACCCGGGAACTGGAAACCTGCAAAGGCAGCGGAAGAGAAGAGAAAGATGCCGTGGCTTCCGATACATCATTGTTTACGAAAATTAAAATCCGAGAATTATCTTCAATACTTTCATTTAACTTCTGGAGCACTAGATTTTAGGTTCCCTATAGTTTCATTTTGTGTGTAGCTTTCGGCCCTCTCTTATCACCCATTCTTCCGCAATTGTTCCATTACAAGGTCAACAATTTCAGCGTAGCCGTTCTGGCATGAGATAAAGGATAAAGAGATGGAAACATGGCAGCCAACTCAGCGGGAACTAGAAGAAGTACTCGAGCTCCTCCGCCACTCTCAGTCCTTGGACACAAACGTGCAGCGAAGCGTTCAACAGGTCTGTTTTTTTGTTATGAATCAGAAATTTTACTTCAGCGGCTCGAGCAACTGAACACCCATCAATACTTTTGCTGCTACCTCGTCTATATTCTGAGTGATTTGCGGCAAGAGGAGGTGAAGGCGTATTATCTATTGGAAAACCATTCCTTAGGTTCCATCGCGAGGCTTGGCCGGGTTGATTCTGAAGAACAATATACGTGCGCAATGGCGCTCACAGCCGGCCCAGATTCGTGACTTTGTGCGTATCAAGACGCTGAACTCAATTGGAGACCCGCATCCGCTGATTCGAGCAACGGTATCTTCTTGTAATTGGCTTTTAATTGAAAGCTTGGTTTTAAAAGAGGTTCTTTTGATGCAGCGATCATGGAATACGAAAATTAAAAAGCCATTTTTTTAGGTCGGTATCATTATAACGACGATCGTCGTGGAGGAAGGGATCCAGTCTTGGCCGACATTGCTTCAAACCCTCGGCGAGCTGCTCGTCTACAACGATGCATATGTGCAAGACGTATGTTCTTTGCCATTCATTGTCACACCCTTTTTTCTAGGGAGCCCTCAACGCCATCCAGAAAATCTTCGAAGACAGCGGTGACCGACTTGAGAAACACGAGCACATCGAGCCTCTCTTGCCAAAACTGCTTCCATTTTTCCGGCATGAAGTAGGGAAAATGAGGTAAGAGGGATAAAATATCGGGGTTTTTTATCGAACTCTTGTCTCGATAACTCGGCCATATTTCGTTTTAGGGGCCTCGCGATGAATGCGATCAACTCCATCCTAATGGTCCCTGACGAGCCGATCACCTGCGTCATTGATGACTTCATCGTCGAGCTATTCCAGCGTGCCCACGACCCCGAAGAAGTTGGCTGTGTCACCATTACCCCAATCTTAATTTCCCTAGGAAGTCCAAAAGCAACTCTGCCGTTCCCTTACCTTGCTTCTCGACGCACATATCGATAAAATGGAGACGAATTTGCCGAATGTCGTCACTTATATTATCGTGAAGACCCAGGTTTGCACCTCGTTCCGGTTATCAAGTTGTTCATTAGGACGCAAATGAAGCTGTGGCCCTGGAGGCGTGCGAGTTTTGGTTGGCGCTGGCGGAGAACACTGATGTTTGCCGGTTAGCAATGATTTGGCATCTTTGATAATGAAAAATAGGGAGGTGCTTGCTCCGTATCTGAAGGACATAATCCCGGTGCTCATCAAATGTATGCGCTATTCGGAGAACGATATTCATATACTGAAGGTTAGTTTTTGCAATTATTTTCGAATTACTTAAATTTAGGGTTACGATGACACGGAAGATGCGATGGTTCCGGATAGAGCAGAGGATATCAAGCCGCGCTTCCATCGAGCCAGAACACAAGGCCAGGAAGGGACGGTACGCTTTATTTTCTAGCTTTATATACTTGTGTATAGGCTGATGGCGAGGAAGAAGACGATGACGATGAGGGCAACACGGAATGGAATATCAGTCAGTGCTTTTTAGTTTTTGTTTACTGATTTTATAGGGAAATGCGCGGCTGCTTCTCTCGACGTGCTCTCCTCGATTTTTGGCGATGAAATGCTGCCGATCCTCATGCCAATCCTACAACAAGCATTGCAACACCCTGAGTGGCAGGTGAGCTGGGCTTTTGAAGCTTCTCGTTTTGTTTAATTATGAAAAACTCTGTTCTTTAGCTCTTAATTCTCTTTATTACAGGTCCGCGAGTCCGGCATCCTGGCTCTTGGCGCGATAGCGGAGGGCTGCACGCAAGGCATCGAACCGCTTCTCTCCGAGCTGATCCCATTTTTGGTCAGAACATTGGAGGTTTGGTTATGATTCTTCGGCGCTAATGGATTTTCAGGATCGCAAAGCCCTGATACGGTCGATCGCCTGTTGGACACTGTCGCGGTACTGCCACTTTGTCGTCTCACAGCCGCATGAGATGTACTTCCAGAACTTGCTCACCAAGGTGAAATTTGTCAAACTTCCAATTTACACGGTTCTTTAGCTCCTCGCCCGGATCCTTGACGGCAACAAGCGGGTTCAGGAGGCTGCTTGCTCAGGTATGGATAAATGGGTTTTGCAGGGGATAATAAAATTAACGAGAAGAAACTATAAAATTAAAAGTGAAGCTTTTTAATTTTTGTAAAATCTGTGTTGAGAATATAACCGTTGATAAAGCTCCGATTTTCAGCTTTTGCAACCCTCGAGGAAGAGGCATCCAGTGAATTGGTGCCCTATCTAGGCGAAGTTCTACAAACCCTCGTGAATGCATTCCGTATTTATCAGGTAAAAAATGTAAGGGCATTTTTTTTATAACTATTTAGGCCAAAAATCTGCTGATACTCTACGACGCCGTGGGCACGCTGGCCGACAGCGTTGGTGCCCATCTGGCTCAAGACAATTACGTTGAGCTTTTGATGGGCCCGTTGATGCACAAATGGGCAACCTTGTCCGATGATGATAAGGTAGAGCGACTCTGTTTATGTTAACTTTACCTGATCACAGATGTTTTTGGATTTACTCCATTTCTTAGGAACTCTTTCCCTTGCTCGAGTGCGTCTCCTCCGTAGCCTCAGCACTTGGCCCTCGCTTCCTGCCCTACAGCCAGCCAATCTTCAAAAGGTAGCTCAATATCTTTTTTGCATATTTAAACTATCTTTTTAGATGCATCGATCTGATTGTCAAATGCCTAACCCAGCAACAAGCGCACCAAAATAACCCAAACGGCGAGGATCCCCCGGAGAAGGTATCGATAAATCAAAATTTGCCTATAAAGACTTCTTAGGACTTCCTGATCGTGTCGCTCGACTTGCTGTCCGGACTCGCCGAGTCGCTACATCAACAGATCGACCCGCTGGTCGCCCAGAGTCAACCGCCACTTGTCGAACTGGTCCGCGTCTGCGCTTTGGTAGCTTTCTGGCTCAAAAAAATTTATAATATTGTTTAGGATCCGACCCCTGAGGTGCGACAGAGCTGCTTCGCTCTTATCGGCGACCTCGCCAAGGCCTGCTACCACCATTTGTCTCCCCAAGTTGGTGAGTAGTTTTGTTAGTTTTTTGGAGAGCATCACCTTGTTTTAGCCGATTTCATCACCATCCTCTCCGCCAACCTCGACTCTGAGCAAATCTCCGTCTGCAACAATGCGATTTGGGCTCTAGGAGAGGTCAGGAAATCACGGGCTCTTGTGAACTTTTAAATTTTTAGATTGCGCTGAAGATTGGTGACCAAATGAAGCCCTACGTCCCGCATTACCTGGCCAATCTCGTTTTGGTGATGAACAAGCCGAACGTGCAGAGGACGCTGCTGGAAAACACAGGTTTTGTGTTAGAATTTTGCGTTGATTGGCCTTGTAGCGATTACGCTCGGCCGGCTTGGCATACACTGCAGCGAGGAAGTAGCCCCGCACTTGGAGCTTTTCATGCGGACCTGCTGCTTTGCGCTCAGGAACATCCGGTGGGTTTCGAGATCTAAAACGTCTGCACTTCGACTCTGACCAAATGACTTAATTTTTCAGCGACAACAGCGAGAAGGAGAGCGCTTTCACCGGACTGTGCATGATGGTCAATGCTAACCCGGCAGGATGCATGCGGGTATAAAAGCATTAGTGGAAATAAAATTGGGGTTTTCTAGGATTTCATCTTCCTCTGCGATGCTATTGGATCATGGAACCAACCGCCGACACCTCTTCGCGAAATGTTCTATCGAGTGGGTTTTTGTACTAAAATTACTGTGCCGTTTGTTAAACCCATATGTTTTAGCTGAATAATACTGCGCTTTTCAGATCCTCCTTGGCTTCAAGCAGAACGTGGGCGACCAAAACTGGGGCCTCTTCACCGGCCAATTCCCGCCTCCTCTCCGCCAGAAGTTCGCCAGCCAATATCAGCTTTAAGTTTCGTGATTTCGTTAAGCTTCCCTCGGATATGATATGTCTTATGATTCTGGATTTTGGCCATCAGTCCCCACCCATCTTTCATGTCTTCGTGTAGCGTGTCCACGTCCTGTCCTCCTATTTCCGGCCAGGACGGCTGGGATTCTGGATGATCTCCGATCCGGATCTCGGCCGCGGTCTAATTTTGTCGTCCCACCTCTTCCTGTCCACCTAAGCCGTCCTGTCGTTTGACTGCTACCTTTAAACCCCCTCTCCTCCCTTCCCAGGTGTCGCGTTTCAAACGTTTATAGGCTTTTCCCATTTGTTTTCGGGTATTGTCTTTGTCCGTGTTACGTGAATGAATTGGTGTTCTATGTGCTTTCCTGCGAACGCAACCACTGTCCGATGCTTATCGGCTCGGCGCGCCCGAGCTTCTCATCTCAGCTGGGCATTGGTGGTTTGGTGGTTCGCTTCATCGTTGTGAGATCCCTTAGTGGTCGTGATAGCCTTATATGTCGTGTTTGTCGGCCTGGGAAGTCTCGGGTTAGATCAAATTCTGGATTTAGTACTGTTCAACCAGCGCCGAGGTTTCGTCAGGTTTGCATGTTTGTGCCTTGACGTCGTGCCCTATTTTGATCATGCTGCTACCTCAGGTCTAAAGATCAAGCTTTGAAGAGCCACCGTTGCCAACCTTTAGACCTGCTAGCAACCATAGCTTCTAATGCTTCCAATTTTAGGCCTGTACCCTATAGCTATCTCAGAAGTGTGATGTCCTAATCGTCGTGTGATGTCGGATCAGGGGTTTAGCTGCATTTTGAGGTCGGCTTGTAGAAAAATGTAAAGCCCTAGGGATCTTTAGTTTGACCGAATTCGTAGACCGAAACAATAAATTAGAGAAAAATGACTACATGATGCAGTTATTCCCTGGTCCTAACTCTGGTGTCCTGCATGCGTGTATCCCGTCCTGGTCCTCAGTTACATGTACTGCCCCTATTTATGTTTTGGCGGTTTTGGGAACGAATTTCTGCACGCGAAATACACGAAATTTTATCAGAGTTTACAAAATCGCCGACCGCGCCCCTCCTGTCCTCCCCACCCTTTCGCTTTTGAAATCCCCTTTGAAAAGCTTTCTCAATACATGCCCCTTTAGCGTATTTATAAATGCATGCTCGGTCAATAAAGATTTGGTTCTCAATCAACAGCAAAAATTCGGGACCGTGATATCTCGCATGATTATCCCGCAGCGAACCTCGTAAGCCGACATCAACGAAAATTTTGTACTTTGACAAACAGGAACTATGCCTTTTCGTTTTCTGCTTTTTCGCCCAGCTAAAGAATAAAAAACCAACTTTGCAGGCTCAGTCATGTGGAGACGACTTGCCGGCGCCTCAGTCCTCGCAACCGGGTCGTTCGCCGCCGGCAGCCTGCTTGGACCCGATCTAGCTACCGACTTGTTCACCCGAAAAGCGTATGCAGCTACAGCGACAATGCCGATGCCCGTCACATTGCCCGAAAGCGTCGCTCTGCCCACCATCGACGCTAAACCAATGGCCCCCTCCCGTTCCTCTCAGATCATGCAATTCGGCTATCCGGGCTTCGACAATGTGCGCACGTTCGAGGACTTTGTCCTCTCCTACGACCGCAAGACGCGAACAGCCCACTGGGTCTGCGAACACTTGAGCCCTGACCGTATGGTTTATGACCCGAAAGTCGACCGCTCGAAGAGCGAGTTCAAACCCGACACGTCTGTCCACGAATACTTCCAGTCGAAAAATGAAGACTACAAGGGCAGCGGCTACGACCGTGGCCATCTCGCTGCTGCCGGCAACCACAGAAGAAGCCAAAACAGCGTCGATCAAACATTTCTTTTGTCAAACATGAGCCCCCAGGTCGGGCGCGGCTTCAACCGCGACAAGTGGAACGATGTGGAGAAGCATGTGCGCACGCTGGCCAAGAAGAACCCGAACGTCTACGTCATGACGGGCCCATTGTACATGCCGAGGAAGGAGATTGACGGCAATTTATACGTGAAATACAAGGTGATCGGGAAGAACAACGTCGCCGTGCCGACCCATTTCTTCAAGGTGGCGCTGATTGAGACGGTCCCAGGCAGCTTTGAGCTCGAGGCATATGTGTTGCCAAATGAGCCGATACCCGACACAGTGCCGATTGCCAGCTTCTTGGTACCACTTGAGATGATTGAGCGGGCGGCTGGGTTTTTGATTTTCGAAAAGGTGCCGAAGGCCGCTATCAAGAAGGTCAATGGGAAGAAGGCAGGAGGATTTTGGTAGAAAAACGCCTTCTTCAGTTTTATTAATTTTCTGCGTAGATTGTAAGAATCCTGTCATCGTGGTGCTTCCTTTTGTCCAATTTAGTCTTTACTGAATACCCAATTTGTTTTAGATTTAGCTATATAGATTTTCAGAACTGTTGTGATATCTCTGCTGCTTTCACGTTTTAGTAAAATTTCTTTGTTTTCTTTGATTCATTTGCCGTAATTTATGTCGCACTAGGCTTTTCAATTCGTTGTTATGCGCCGGTGCGTAATGGAAGATTTTAAGACCAAAAATAAATTTCAGAAACTCGATATGGGACTCTACGATGATGATGAAGAACTCGCCGCTCCCACGGTTTGATGCTCCTCACATCGGAATAGATTTTTCTTTAGCCTACAACTTCCGACGAAGCAGCTCCGCCTTTGAAACGAACCAAGCTCGACGATGTGGACAATTTGCAAGAAGCTTCGAACGGAATTGCTTATTCCGCTGCGGCTGGCGATCCATCAAAGTTTGGTAATTACACCGCTTAGACATTACGGATTTGAGGGTTGTTTTCCTGGTTAATCAGCGAACTTTTTCAGCTGACAAGGCGAAGCCAGCTTCTGGCTCGGTGAGCCTCGTATGGTCGCTATGTGCGAAGAAGGGCGAGCGGGAGGATATGCAAGATGCACATTTGGTCGTGGAAAGAATGCTGGCCGGAAAAAATGATGTGTAGGTTTTTCTTGGTTACTGATATAAATTTTCTAGCGTTCGCTGCGCAATTTTCGGAATCTTTGATGGACACGCTGGGGCGCGGGCAGCTCTTCATTGCGAACATCACCTAGCTGGGCTGTTGGAAGAGAAGCTAAAGAAAGGTTAGCTGTTATTTTTGTTACGTTTCGATGTTTTACAGCCGAGAGCCTGGAGATCATGGAGAAGGCGCTGAAGCGTTACTTTACGGAAGTCTATCGCCAACTCGACGACCAATTTCTAGCCGAGGCAAAGAAGAAGTTTGTCTGACGTTTCTTTCTTGTTTATCGTATTCTCTAGCAAACCGGTCTGGAAGGACGGCACGACAGCTACGACCGCGCTTCTGCTGAACAACACGATTTATGTTGCGAATATAGGCGACAGTCGAGTGGGCGTTTTTTTTGTATTCTTAACCATCAGCTGCTATAGGCAATAGTGGCTCGACAAAAGGAAGATGGAAGTGGAGCCGTGGCTGTGCCCTTGACGGTCGACCACAATCCGACGATACACGAGGAGAGAATGCGAATTCAAAAGACTGGCGCATCGGTGATGTAAGCATTTTATGAGGACTTCTTGCTGGAACGCAGAATTTTATTTTCAAAGACGGCTCTATTTTTTTTTCTAGCGACGGCCGAGTAAACGGATCGCTAGAAGTCTCGAGATCGATCGGGGATGGCCATTTCAAAGCCAACGGCGTCATCAGCACCCCAGATATGCGAAAATTGGCGTTGACTGATCGTGACAGGTATTTTCGACCACATAATCTCTGAAAAAATTTTCCAGATTTCTGCTAGTGGCTTGCGATGGGCTGTGGAAGGTGTTCAGCAACGAAGCCGCAATCGAATACGTTACCGAAAAGTTGAACAAAGCCAAAAAGGTAAAAAATATTTTTTTTCGATGTTTGTTTCTAGGTTGAATCCGTGATTGCCGCCGATTCACCAGAAAATGCCGCATGGGATTATGTAGCCGAGGAAATGGCGGCTGAAGCTGTTCGGAGAAAGTTGGCGTTTTTCAAAGGGTTAGTAATGCTAAAATTTGAGGTGCGGCGACAATGTGAGTGTGATCATCGTACGGCTGACCCGAATTTAAACGAATACGACCAAGATAATTGTATCCAAAAACCATTTTGACGTCATTTTGGAAAATACAGACAAATATTTAAAAAAACTGTCGAAAATTTTTTTATTTCATTTCGCACGTGCTTTTACTTCTTTAAACCGATAGCCTTCATCGGGGCGGCCTTACTTTTCGCCGCGGTCAGCTGCCGGATCGCGGTGGGTGTCTGCTTGCCGCTGGTCGACGCTCGGATGGCTTCACGTCTCATTTCTGCAAATTATTGCATCGGTTGTTGTCGTTTTGAGCTTGGAATTTTCAACTTACTGTCGCGGTTACGGTCGCCGCGCGCGATCGCTTCTTGCACGTTGGCGGTTGTCGTCTCGATGCGCACGCACTTCTTGTCTGACGTCTGGTGGGCTTGGTTTGGGTAGAGGTGGCGGCGGATCGGATTGACGTGGAGCACCTCTGAAAATGTTTTAGTATTGTAAATTTTTGGAAACATCTTTGTGGTTTTAGTATAGTATAGAGAATTTGCAAGTTTTTAGATAGTTTTCCCATTGAATATAGCCAAATTTTATTCACAAATTTTTAATACGCATATCTGGCCTTATTGTAGAAAACAAATGAAAAATGATTTTTTTTTTGATTAGCATGAAACTAGGAATTGAGTTTCCCATTTAATTCGATGAGCTGGAAAATTCACCCTATTGCTATCCATTTCCAAATACGGGATGGTCCTGCATCTACTAGCCGGCCTTCTCCTTCAAGTTGTCCATCTAATCGCGGCTGCCCCACTTCTCTTCCACGCGGCACCCATCGCCCTCCTGCTGCTCGTCTGCACGAAAAGTCAGGAATAACCCCCGAATTACCTCATAACCCCACTTCAGAAAAAGTAGCCCCCGAGATGCAGTCGCAGTCAATGGAGGCCGTCTCGCCAGCGGGAATGTTCGTGCCAAAAGCCCAATCGAGAGCCTCGACCGACAACGACCCGTGCAACACGTACTTCGACGCGCCGGAAGACAGCTTCGGCAACTCGTGCAAGGTGACCGTCCCGTCGAAGGAGCCGATTGAAGAAGATGAACAAGAGGAGATTGTGCACGCACGCGATGACAAGGATCTGCGAGAGGTAGGGGAATGAGTTCGAGAGTTTAATTAAATTAAAAAAATCAAGATACAAAAACAGCGTAATGCCGATTCATACTCAATTGCGATATTTTCGCAAATTTTTTCTCAGTAAAAAGACAATTACGCTTTTGAAAGGTGCAAAATAAAACGTTTGCAAAGGGCAAACACTAAATTCGGGGGTTTTCGTATATCTCGAATTTTTTGTAAAAAGGGCTATAACCTATTCTACAATACTTAGAATGCATTACAAAAAACAGGTTAAGTTATTAAAGATACAAATTCATGCGTTCGGTTGACTTCCCCCACTTTAAGAATTGGAATTCCGTCGATCGACATTCTTAAAATCCCTGTTATTTACAAATCGGCATCCTATCAATCGATATTATGAAATCGGTATTAAAGAGCTTGTACGGTTTCGAGCCCCTCAACGCATTGTCGATTTTCAGATTGAAGTGAAGTCGGCCTACATGGGCGCAATCTTCCCGGGCGGTGGTGGTGCCGTCGGACCGCCCCCATCCGTCATTGCCGGCCCGCTTCCGGTACGGATTCATTTCGCCATCATTCCGCAACCATTCAGAACCGCTCGAAAAGCATCAAAAAGCAGAAGAACCAAGGAGGTCCTGGGGCCAAAGGCAGCGGATCGGCCGAGCAAATCAAGTCCTCCTACATCTTGTGAATCCTCGATGGAGGCGCCCCCTACTCGAACGTTAAAACAGCGACTACCGTTTTTTGTTAACATCTACAGCAAAATAATTGATCTTGCTCTGTGCGCTAATAAAGAATCGGGTGGTTGGCCACATTCTGATAGTCGCATTGATTTTCCTATGGAATATGAGGAAGCTGGAGGTTGGTTTTTGAGTTTTTCCCGTATTTTCGAAAAACGATAATTTTCGGGTTGCCTAACAAAAATTTGTAAGTTTTTGCATGTCCGTAAGGTATAATAAGCCCAACCCACCTCCATTAAAAAATTCATCTGGTCGCCGCTGCGAAATCAGCCCATCGAGAGCGTCGTCAAATTCCGAGAAACCGAATGCATTCCGGGGCCGTTGACCAGCTGCCTGCCGAGCCCTGAGAAATAAAATTATGTCAATTAAGGCCCATACTTACATCCCGGGCCTCGCGTTTGTCCCCATCCTCCCGGGGCCCACGCGCCCCGGGGCCAACCTCGGCCTCGACCGATCGGTCGCCGCCTTTTGCATCAAATTGTGCTTCTCCATGCGGATGAACGTGTCCTCATCCTTGTCGCTGAAGAGCCCCTGTAAAAAGATGTTACTTTCAGAGCTCGCCAAAAAAGTCCAAAAAACTGGCAAAAGACGCACCTTGTCTTTCTTCTGATCCTTGACCAAACGGGGCACAAATTCGGCGGCGATCATCTGAAAAAAGCGATAGTGTGCGTTAGAAAAACGCCCTACCTTGCGCCTCCCGGCGTCCGCTTCCCGTGTTCTGCGCTCGGAGTCGATTCGGTCCTTGACAGCCTTCGTCTCCCGCTCAACGGTGCCCTAGAAAGATCACGAAAAGGAGACGCTGGGTACCTGAACATAATTCTTGAGTCGCGCTCGCTCTGCGGTCACTGTATCCCTTGGCAGAAGTCGTCTCGTCTCGTGGTCAAAGTCGTCGAGAGCATGCCGGGCTACGCAACTGAAAAAGCGGATGTTTCAAGTTTTCATCACAAAAATCTGTATCTTTTGTTTTTCGCTCCGAATTTAAAGATGAAACTTTATAGGTGGACATTTCCAGCCTAAAAAAGACCAACAACCTCAATAGGGCTCTGGACGAAGCTTCTTCTATCGTGCCGACCCGGGAGACCTCCTTATCGAAGGTGCGCATCAAACGGAGCACCACCTTCGACAGCTTCTCCTCGTCTTTCGCCTCGGACTTTTGCGTCATCGCCTGCAAATTGAGAGTTAGCAAAATCAAATCCAAACTAACAATCAAACGAAGAAATGTTTTAATGTAAAATTAGCCAGCCAAAAACACGGATCCTATTGATTTGGTCAAGGCGACGACGGGCCAAGGCGGCCCGCGATGAAAAGCCACAAAATTCGCGGGGCGCGCTCTGTTTCACTCTATTTGCCATTGAGGGTGGCCGGGTCAACAAAAAAGCTCATGACTTGCGGGGAATCTAAGGCGTCTCCTGGGTTGGTAAGCCCTTGTTTTTGGTTGTGAAACAGCGGGGTTGATCCCAGGAAATTTTGTTAGGCTTTTTAGGATCCGGGGGGGCCATATCGCCTATTAATCGAATAAAACATTTTTATTGTGCTTTTTAATACAATTAAGATATCTTTTACAAAGGCAAACTTGGAAAAAGCGAGAAAAACTCGGGAAAAGGCCGAAATCTTGGTCATTTTGGCGCGAAAAAAATTACTTTTGATCTAAATTCTATTTTTGAAAGTTTTCATGCGCTGGAATAGCTAACTCAATCGAATATCACGAGTGTTCATATATATATATATTTTACCAAAATTTAACGGTGTTGTAAATAGACAGACGCAAAAAAATGCGAAAAAATGCGTTGAAAAGTCGAAATTGGACCATTTGGTCAATTTTTTGTCGAAAATTAACCTAAAATGATTAGAATCACAAAATAACATGCACGGGATACTATTAAAATCAAAGGTTACTCTAAAAATTTCCATTTATACCCGACCATCAATGGAAAATGGCCGCCGCTGCCCCGGAGGAACCACCACAGCCAGTCCAACGTATCATCGACCTGACCAAGGACATTGAAGGCGATAAGCTCGACCTCAGTAGCGTTCATGTAACCTAGAAGCCGGCAATCTTTGCAGAAAAGTTCATCTCCAACATTCTGCGCTATATCGACGAGTACACGTCGGACCCGCCCAGCTTTCCGACGTACAAAAATACGGCGGCGGTGGGGAATTCAAGTGTCGGGCAAAATTAGTCGACCGGCTTCAGGTCCTGCAAGTTATACACGCAGCCCGAGAAGTCATTGTCCGCGAGCCAGGGGTGGTTGCAGTCAAGGTAGGAGAGTTCTAAAGTGTCTTATAAAACTGATTTGCCGTTTTTCCATTGTACTGCCTTTCTAATTTCTAGAGCCCGGTTGCGGTTTGCGGTCCGTTGATGGGCCATGGCGACTCGTTGATCCAGTGCTTCGCCAACGTCGGCCGCCCCTGCAAGATGAAGTACATCTTCCTCGGCAACTATGCGGGTAAGTACAGGGAATCATGGTACTGAACCCTTATTGGGGGGGGGGGTTAGCGGCGAAAGCCATTGATAGATTAAGATAAATAATTGAGTAATTTTTATGGACTTTCTATAGTTACAAAATACGCAAAAACTATATAAAAGATGGGTATTTCATTACTGTGGAGAGGCCAAAGCTAACTTTCCACCTCGCCACAATCCCCCCGCTAACAGTCCAGTACCACAAATAATTTTGCCACTTTTTCAAGGAAGCGGCGCCCACCCCCACGAGGTCCTACTGTTGATGTTGGCCCTCAAAGCGCTGTACCCGGACCGTGTCATTGCCCTCAAAGGCCATATGGAAGATCCGCCGGTGCTCGAGGCAATCATGTTCATCGAGGGGATGAAGATGCGCGATCTGGTGCCGCTCGACAACTCGCCGCGCCCCGTCTGGCAGGCGATCAAGGTGCGAGCCTTGCTTGGTTCTAGCTCATCTATTCAGGAATGCGTCTGCATGCTGCCCCTCGCCGCCACGATCAACGACACGGTGCTGTGCGTGTCGGGCGGCATCGGGCCGCTTCTGTGCAAGGAAGGCCTGCAGCAGCTCGGCCCTCTTCAGCGCCCTCACAATCCGAGTGTGCCGACTGACCGGCTTCGCGTCATGGTTAGTGTTTATGGCTTCGCGCAGCAGTAACCCTCACCGCTTTCAGTAAAAATGGGGGCATAGAACAAGCGATTTTTTTAAGAACAAAGAGAGCGAAGCGAACCAATTTACATAGCTTCAAAAATAGTCTCAATCTCAATTGCCGGTCGTGAATCGGCCACTTTTGGCCGAGAATGGTAATTTTTTCGCATTTTACTGACCTTTAGGAATAGTGAAACATATCCTAGAAACAAGCGCTTTTATGCGAAAAAATGGGACCGCAAGGAAGAGTTTGGTCCCCTCTAGCCTGCGCGGACATCCTAAAGAACAAAAAGACCCAACCCTTCAGGAGGTCATCTGGGGCGTCATGCGCCTTCGACACCGCCCAACGCGCCCGAATTGGCCGCATTTCTCGCGTAGCTCCATTAACAATCTAAGAAATACCGCCATCTGTTTCAGCCAACGACGTCGAAGAGTTCTGCAATAAGCACGGCATCAAATTCATCGTGCGCGGCCGCCAGTTTGTAGGCTTTCGGAGGAGAGGTCTGAAAAAAAGACCAAAAAAATAAGGTGGCAAATGGTTTCCTGAACAATCCCCGCCAACTGGTCACGCTGTCGTCGGCTGAGAACTACTTGGCGCTGCTCGAGAACCAGTCGGCCGTGTTGATCTTTGGTAAAGATCCGTTGAAGGTTCGTGATGCTGGTTAGTTAGCCGGGGGGGGGCTAACGTTCCTTGATGTTTCTAAATTTTCTCAATTCAACAGGTGATCGCACGACGGTGGGCCCCGATCAACCGCGAGCCCGACAGCCTCGACGACAACAAGGCCCCGCAGGGCACCAACCAACTGCCCACCTCGCCCCCAGACTGGCCGAACGCGAAAAAGAAATAGATGCGTGTCTGTGTAAATAAACTGTCATCAATCGCCGTTTCACGATGCACACCCGTCTCAATAACTTCATTCCGTAGAAACATGGACAAGGGCAGCGAATGCGCGCTGCAAACAACGGGGGCCAGGAACAACCATGATAAATTAGTGGTAAAAATTTGGACGGAGATCAATGAGAAACCGCGACAAAATCTGGGATCAGTTCTTGAAGTATTCGGAGAGCTCGCCGAGATAGATGCGCTTGTCGGTTCCTCCGGAGAGCACTGAAAAGGGGGTAAGATTAAAAACGTAATCTCGCTAGTAAAAGAGTAAAATTGCAAAAAAAAAAAAAACACTCACAGATCGGTTCTTTCGGGTGGAAATCAGCAGCAATGACGGCTCCTTGATGTCCGGGCAGCTTGTACGCAATGCGTCCGGTTTCCACCTCCCACACGTAGACGTAACGATCAGCCGATCCGGCCGCAACCCATTGGCCATCCGGTGACCAGGCACATTTCAAAAGGTTCTAAGCGGGTTTTAGGGAATTCATTAAATCCTTACTCGTTCAAAATTGTGCTCGTGGCCACGGAACACAGAGATCAGCCGATCACCCTCAACGTACGACCGGATGTCGAAGATCGCGACTGAAAAGTCGAGAGCTTCAGAAAAGGCTAGATACTACGATACCGTTTTGGTCCATCGAATTGCTGAGCAGGTGAGAGCCATCTGGAGCGAGCGCCAATGACGTGACCGTATCGCCGTGGTACTCCAGGGTGTACTCCGCCTCGCCACGTCGCATATCGTAGCACTGAATTTCAAAAATAATCGTTAGGGCATACAATAAGGCCTAAACAAAATGCTCTACTCACCACGATATCATTCTCAATGTTGCCCGCATATATGTATTCTGCTGTATCGTTGAATGTGACGGCCGTCTGCGCAAAGCGATTCTCAAACTTTTTCACCGGATCGCGCAACCGCAAGTCATGAACCTAGAAAAAAATTATCGACAAAATGATATAGTAATTTACCAGCACAAAACCGTCGTCACTGGCCGATGCGACGAGCTGGGGGCCACGTCGGGCCGGGTGGCATGCGTTTACAATCTCCAGGTGACTCTTGAATCTAAAAGTAGTAGGTTTCTAACGCCTCTTCTAAAAAAACCAACTTTCTTTTGCACGCTCCTGTTTCCATGTCCCAAATGCGTACCGTCTTGTCTGTGCCGCACGTGAACAGAGCGCTGAAAACAGGATTAGAAATGTAACAATTCAAACACCTTGAATCGGTGTTAAAGTGAAGATCCATGACGGTACCAGTGTGACCCTTCAGTAAGGCGAAATTCTCGCAGTCACCATACACGTTCCATAAGTAAATCTAAACCAGGAGTTTAAAATGACAAAAGATAAACCAACCTTTTGGTCATAACCAGCAGAGGCGAAAATAGCTCCATCCGTGGAAAACCGTGCACACATGATTTCACCCTCATGGCCTGTGAAGAGCATGATCGGAGCCTCAAATAAAATAATTATAGACTCGAGAAACGAGGCATTACCGGAATTTTTGAAGTTCTGGGTATATCGCCTGGGCCGCCTGTTGCTAGCAACTAAATGATTTGATGATATTGTGGGGAAAAGCCAACCTGATGACCGCCATAGGCCATGAGCTGTGCATTACCCTCGTCGTAGCGCCCACGCTTCGCTAAAAAAAATCTGAGGAGATCCAGAATAAAGAACCTGGAATTCCCATGGGAGGGGGCATCATTGGCCGCTTGAAGCCACCGTCTTCCATGGCTATTCTGTAAACGGTTTGTATGAATTTAAAGTGAAAAAGAAAAAAAAAGGAAAAGTAAAGTAGAGGGCGACATTGACGAATAATTCATAGAGCCCAATTTTTTACAAATATATTTATTCGTCGCATCCAGAAAAAAGTAATAACCGCTTTGAGAAATGGAAAGTTCTCAAATACCCATAACATAATGAGACCAGACAAAAAATACCGAGTGGGCGGCCATTTTGGAAAACAAGTAAAACCCGACAAAGAAACGGCAGAAAAATCAAAGCAAATTATTCGTAGTCTTCGAGAACGTCTCCCATATGTTGATTGTGCACCTTCTTCTGGTCCAATTTGCGCTTGATCGCCTTTCGCTTCGGCGGGCCATTGTAAAGGCGCTTGGGTGCCAGGTCCTGAAAAGAACACTGAGGAAAAGCAAGCAGCAATAACCTTCATCACATCAATTCCCTTTTTCTGCAGATATTCCTCAATCTTCTTCTCATCCAAATGATCCACGGAGACATTCCGCCAGAGACTCTTGAAGTCATCGGCCAGTTCTATATCCAGCGATGTATCATTGTAGAACACAGCCTAAACAACTTTTTAATAGCTGAATAGACTTACTCACCTTATCTTTACGCTTGTTGATGACTGTTGGCACCACGATGATGCTGGGAACTGCAAAATCGGTGTGAAAAGCCGTAAAAAACCACTTACCCAACGCATCCAAACACTTGTCTGCATTCGCAAAGCACTCGTTCAACTCCGAAAGCAAAATCCCGCCGCGTCCGTTCTCGTGTTGCGCCTTCAGCACTTCGACCAAGGACTTTTCACCAGTGATCTTGTACTTTGGACGAAACCTAAAAATCTACGAGTTTAATTTAAGGGTCTACTCGCACCTAAATTTCCCATTCTCATCCGTAATTATTTTCTCATTCTTCGGTAGTGCTTCTTGCAGCCAAAGTTCCGACTTCTTGCTTAGGCCGTAGATCTAAATAGGTAGGTTAAATAGGACCGATTTGATCTGATTCGGCCGATTCCGATCCAAATCAAATCGGTTGTGTTTTTGTTTTAATTGAATAATTGAGCGAATTGATTAAGCACCCTCCTAATCTAAAACAAACAATTGTGTTCGGACAGCAAAGCGTACCTGTAACTCATCCATGACCTCGCTAAAACCCAGGGGCCAATTCTGGCGGGCGAGGTGACGCTTCTTGAGGTAGTCGACCACTTTTGCCATTGTAGAAAAGTTGATAGCGTTTGATTGAGACCCAGGCGCAGCGGCCTCCATTTCAGCTTTCTTTGTAGCATCGCTCTTGGTAGTCTTCTTCTTTTTCGTGTCCCTGAACTCGGCATATAACGACTTTTGGATCTGGGCGGGTGGTGGAGCTGCCGGCCTCTGCTGAACACTACTCGTCCGCGCGGCATGCTTCTGGAAAGCGGCGCGCTGCCGCAGCAGCTCTGGATCCATCCTAGGAACTAAAAGTTAAGTTTATATCGCAAAGTTCCAAGTCGAACAAGAAATCTGATGGACAGCAACCATCACGAAAAACAAATAAGGCAAATCGTCTGTAAGTCTTTATTCTATCAAACCTATAAATTAATCCAAAATGTTAAATTGAAACAATCGCTGTCGTTCGGGATTCCATTCTTGCCTTGCCCTGCCTATTCGACTTGCTGGGCCTTGATGACTTCCTTGAACTGGAGTCCCTTGTTGATCTGGAAAAAATAAGTTTAATACTAGCAAATGCAAAAATAATAAAGGACGAAAAATAAATAAAGAAGGAAAAGCTTACATTGTCCCAGATGGTGTTGGTGAGGTTGTCGTAGACGTAGTTGAGTGTGTAGGCGCCACCGGTGGCCGCCAAGATGATGGTGGACCACCTTTGGGTCACGCCGCGGTAGATGACAGCTCCAATTGACATGATTACCTGGAAGGATATAATGGGAGTTTGGACAATCCGTTTCGATACGTATATCGTGGATTTGGGGCATCGCGAAGGTCAAGACAGGGGTTATAGGTTTTGACATACGGGGTAAGGGGGTTATAAAGTTAGAAAATAAATTTTTTCAAGTTTTTAAAGTCATATAGTGTAGCTTCTAGAAGAGCTCTTGAAGCACATTTCTCTAGAGTTTTCGAGGAAGAGCCGCGGTCCACACAAGTCCCGGGAGTGGCAAGAGCGCGCACGGTGGGTTGTTGTCCGGATGCTATTGGACTGGCCACTCCCCCAGTCGGTTCAAAGGTTTTTGTAGATGATCTTTAGATGGGCTCCCTTTCTCGAAATCTGCGAAATCTTTTTCTATAAGAAAAGCTAATTAGTAAAAAAGCTTATAAGCTAATAAAGGGTATCACTAGCTACTCGAAGATATTCCTAACAAAATCATTGCCTTCAAAATCGGAACTTTTGAAATGCAGCCATGTATTCAGCTTAGCTTTAGCCTTCTGTACCAAAGCAGCCTTTTCTATCAGGTCTTCTAGAAATACTGCGGTAAAAGTGATTGTAAAAGATTTCTAAAAGCCAAATTAAAGCGAACTTCAGTTGCTAACTTTACTCCAAAAAACTCGTAGCTTTCGAGTTTGTCGCCGCGGTGGTACCCGCGCGTGAACATCTGCTCATATTGCTTTCCCCTACAATTATTGCTTTTTGCGCCCTACCTTTGCCCGGTTTACTCTCAAACTCGTCACCGCCCCTTCAACCACCCTTTTTAGCGCCTCGTGGGTTGCTAGCGCGACAATGCCGGATCCTGAGAAGCAGGAAGCGCAAGGTGAGCAGACGTTATGAGAAGCCAACTTGAATTTTTAGAAGCAACTGTCGAAGAGGCTGCAAGCACCTCAAGGAAGGATGTAAGTGATTATGGTTATTTTTGAAGAATCGTGTCTCTAGGAACCAACCAGCTCTCGGCCCACTCGGGTGACGCGCCGGAACAGCAAGCAGAGCGTTCCGGAATCGACGAGTGCAGCGAATAGACAAGGTAGCGCAGAGTTTTTTCAGTATTAATTTGTTTTTTCTAGTACTTGCTCCTCGTTCTACCCCATCAATCGACAATCAGAAGAACAACTCTACCGAGTCGAACCCGGCAAGGGCGTTAAAGTATTTTAGCACCTGTTTTTCTGAAATTACACTTCAGGAGGAAGCGCGCCGACTTGAACGAAACGAAAAACAATTCCCCGGCGCCAGTGGATGCCGAGGATACAAATAGCGGCGGTATTTTTTGGAGGTTGAGTGGAAATCGGGTATTTAGATGTCCCTGATGAGGAAGCGAGGGAGCGCCGCGGGCCACTCACTGAACATTGTAGGGAATCTCTGGCATTCAATCTTTATTTATTTAGTGTTGGAGAATTCGAAGGGAAAGATCCGAGTTGGTTCTGAGCATCAGGTAACTTATTACATTGAAAGCTTTCTATTGCTGATTTCCAGGCGCTACTTGGGATCGAGAGCAAAGTGGATCGTGAATTTTACACCGATAGGGATGAACGAGATGACGTTGGTTTTCATTATCACGCTCCGTCAGGGCTTTGTAGGCGGCTAATTATTTATCTGTCGCTATCTTATTAATTTTTTTTTCTAGAAGCTTTGGATTCCACCGACGGAAAAAGCCGCTGATTTCGACGACCAAATGACGCTTTACCTGGAAGAGGCATGGGCGCGAAACAAGATTCCGCCGGATAGGGTATGTTTGCGCAAAATCTTCGATCTTTGATTTAGGCTATGTATATCCTCTACAAGTGTGGCTACGATTACGAGAAAGCGATCAAGGAACTCGATTCCCGGATTTACGTGGTAATCACGAATTGCTTTTTTTATTGAGCCTTACCCTAGGAAGATCACTGGTCCGGAGATGATCGACTGATATTTTATCAACTCTTCGGGCGCTATGGAAAGCGTTTCGATCTGATCCAGCGATCGGTAACTTTTCAACACTGAACCCAATTTGTGACACTGTTTCTAGCTTCCACACCGCAGTATCCATTCGATTGTCGATCATTACTACGAGACGAAACGGATGAGCAATTATAAGGGGGCCTATCGTAGCCGAATCGAGCAAGAAGACGATGATGATGAGTACGTGATTTTTTGGCTCGGCTTGACGAATTTTTCGTTTTAGTGATGAAGCGGCGGACAACGAGTTTGGAAGCTGCGAGAATTGCGGGGAGCGCCAGACGAAGATCAGCTATGTGGCTGCAGGGCGCCTTTGTATGCCTTGTCGTATCTATCACAGGTATTGACGACGGTTTTATAGATTTTTATCTGATTATTTTTGGAGATAGTTTGTAGTAACATAAATGGTTTTGTGATTAAAAAACAAACTTTTTGCTACAATAGAAATTAAGTGTGGCGCATCAACATCGTCCAACAACCGGAAATCGACCCCGCTTCCAGCACCATGTCCCGAAATGCCCATCCGGTACTACCCTACATAGCGCTTCGAATCAACTGTACTTTCAGACATGCTCGGCGTCATCCAAGTTTTTGAAGAAATGGCCGGCCTATATGCCAGCGAGGCAAATCAACCACAGTCGCATGCTGCTGTCGTACAATCGCTCGAAAATATGATCCAGCAACGCTCCAGGTTTTTACATGATTTATACGATCATCCATTTTCTAGCGACATCAAAACCAAGATTTTCAAAGTGCGCGCGGAAGTCCAGACTGAACACCAAAAAATCGAGAAGTTAAAGGAGGTACTAGCTAAAAAATTGCCTGATCTTGACCCTTTTTTAGTGCTTGCAAGGCGGTGTCGACAAATACCGTCACTATGTCGTCAAAGAGCAAGAGGACGAAAATAAGACTAAACGGTGTGTGAAACAGTTTTAATTTTAAAAATAACGTTGTGCAGGGCGCGCTTCAGCAACCAATGGACACCAAAGGAACGAATGATCGCTATTCATTGTGGGGTTTTTTATCGGCTTGCGATGATGTTTCTTTTTAGGCCTGGCCCGATACGGCAATGATAACCCAGAAGCTGTGGCCCGTGTGATTGGCACCAAACGGAAGGAGCACGTTGAGGCTTTTTATAGCGAAAATCGCGATCAGTTGGAGGATGTGAGACAGCTTGATAGATTTTTATTGTATTTTAGTACTTGCAAAAGGTCGAGCGTCAAGAGGAGAAACGGGGGCGTAATCTAGATCACACAAAGGAGGTTCGACTGTTTTGATGATTGCAAAAGAACACTTTTAGATTTTCCCGAACGGCCTGAAGGTGGAAGACACGAAGCCATCGTAGAATGTCGGAGCCGCTTTCTCCCCAATTTCAAGCATTTCCATTTTTCAGATCTCCAGCGTGGCACTGTGCCTAATTTCTTGTCATTTTCGCTATTGCCTTTTACACAATAAATTATTCCTAATGTGGCTTTCTTACCAAAAAGCAGTTTACATAGCTGACAGCGTTACCTCGGGGGCTCGAACTCCGTCCAGCTGGCCGCGTTTACGACACGCTACGATTTACGCGAATACGCTGTGCTTTGCCCAGGACAGCTCCGTTTTGCTTTCCGATTTCCTTCATCATCTCAAATCACGGGTCTACTACCGGTTTTCGTCTAGATGACCGACCACGGGGCTTCTCCGGCCCTGCAGTTGGGCCCCGGACTTGCACAGCCTTCGGTTTCAAAGGAAGAGGAGGTAATTTGGTTACCCTGACTTTTGACACTTCTGGCAAGCGCTAATTACTTTCAGTTTTTATTTTGTTTTCAGGTGAGCCGCGATGAAATCATCCAACTCATCATTGACCTCCGCGACCCAAAGAAGCGCGAAGAAGTGCTGCTCAACCTCAGCAAGAAGCGTGACGCCATCCCTGAAATGGCTATTTGGCTCTGGCACTCCTTTGGCACGATCGCCTGTTTGCTGCAGGAGGTTCGTAACTTTATGTTTTTATCAAGCATTTCTTGAGGTGATCGCCATCTACCCGTGCGTCATCCCATCCACGCTGACTGCCGCACAGTCCAATCGGGTGTGCAATGCCTTGGCCCTGATGCAGTGCGTGGCCAGTCACAAAGACACGCGTGGACCTTTCCTTGCGGGTATGCCTACGGTTCATTGCAATGACCTTTTTTTTGTTTTAGCGCACATTCCGCTGTTTCTTTACCCATTTCTGCACACTACGAAGCCGTCCCGGCCCTTTGAATATTTGCGCCTGACATCGCTAGGTGTTATCGGCGCTCTTGTGAAGACTGATGAAAAAGAGGTATGCTTCTCAGCGTGGAAAAAGGATTAGATGTGTTCCAGGTGATCCAGTTTCTCCTCTCTACTGAAATCATCCCGCTTTGCCTGCGTATCATGGAGCAGGGCACGGAGCTAAGCAAGACAGTGGCTACCTTCATCCTGCAGGTGATCCTGATTTTTTGCAATATATTTGTTTTCAGAAAATACTCCTTGATGACACGGGTCTTTCCTACATCTGCCAAACCTATGAGCGCTTTTCGCATGTTGCTATGATTCTTGGCAAGATGGTGATCAAGCTGACAAAGGAGCCGTCATCACGACTTTTGAAGCACGTGGTTCGCTGCTACTCCCGGCTTTCGGAAAACCAGAGGTAGTTTTGTGTTTTGTGCCTTTATTCATTTTGTTTTAGAGCCCGCCAGGCCTTGCGTCAGTGTCTCCCCGATCAGCTGCGTGATGAGACGTTCAAGGTTTGGCAGAAGAAATTGGAATGACCCTTTGTTTAGAGCATTCTTGATGAAGATCGTTCTACACGTCACTGGCTCAACGTGCTCCTTCGTAACTTGAGTGAGTAATGGTCGCTTGCTTTGGATATATATTTTTCAGATTATCCGGCTTTGACTGACGACTAACGAGGTGCAGCTTGCGACCCCCAGACCTGCGCCACCCTTCTTCTCACATGTATACGACTATGCCCTTGTAGAGTCTCCAAAAACACGAGTATCATGTCTGGCTTGTCGGGGGATACCCGCTTTCATATATCTTAATTCATCACGTTGCAATTATCACCACTGTATGTTTCTGTTGACCTGCTATTCTTCCCCTCGATCATACTGGTATTGTATTTTAATAATTTGAACCAATTTGTTTCCAGTTCGAGGTTTTTGTGGTATAAAAATAAAAATTTTAACGCAGCTGCCATCAATGAGGGGTCTGATCTGCGGGAAATTCATAACATTGGTATTGTTGTACGCACGAAGTTGGCGTAGCCGGGGGCAGTTTGGTACAGTCCGTACAAATGGCTGATGTACACATTCGGTGGAATCAATTTGACATTTTTGAGGTGTTCTTGGCTCATTTTGCTGGTCAATCTCCAGGAATAGTAAGGTAGCTCTGGGTTCCCCAACATTATCCTTTCCAAACTTGCAGGTATCAAGCAGCAATTACCACGAGGTTGTATTTCTGTCTGCTATTCTTCCCCTGATGACCTTGTTTGTGTATTTTAACACTAACGATACACCAATGGTACACCGGGTCTGTGGCAGTGCTATCAAGGTTACGTGGGGGAATGGCTCATATCTCGTCGGCGGGAGTTTTCAGATTTCGAACCGCTGCACTTTCCTCTCCTGCACTCACATAGGACACCAAAAGCGCCTCCGGAATATAATTACAGGGTGATGGCGGTGGTCAAGGAGGATGGGCAGTACAAAATTGAAGTGGCTGGCACCCCGATCTCTTTTCTTTTCGAACCCTACCCGCAGCAGATCGACTATATGAAAAGTGTGCTGTCGGCGTTGAACATGGTAAAAGCCGAAAGTAAAGGTTAGCAATTTTGATTTTCAGAAACATGATGCTGTACTCGAATCTCCGACAGGGACCGGCAAAACGTTATCCTTGCTTTGCTCTACACTTGCATGGCTTCGTCAGAACCAGATGAAGCTCACTTTGAACGACGTTGTGGGAGAGGCTGGAGGTGAACAAAATAGACGATTGTATACGTTCATTTAGGGCCATCATTTGTGCCCAATGGCCAATCGTCGATTCGTCGAATTTTCTATTGTTCACGAACGCACAGTCAATTGGCCCAAGTAGTGGCCGAATTGAATCGGACGATCTATAAGGAGTAAGTAACCCTTTTGGAGCCTTTCAGCTAATTTTTCTAGGGTTAGATGTGCCGTACTCGGTGGCCGTGAGCAGCTGTGCACAAACGAAATGTAAGCAATACGATCATGCTCATATTTTTGTTTAGAGTGGCCCGAATGAAAGAAAAAGGTTCAATGGCTTCGGCGTGTTCGGCCATGCGGAAGAAACATTCCTGTTTCCCCTACAACAAGTGGGATAGTAAGAAAATTCGAGTAAAATTTTTATCTCTTTTTAGAGACGCCTATGGAGGCTCTAGACAGTATTTACTATCAGAAGGGCGCTCCGGATATCGAGGATATGGTGAGAATCGCCAAGGCTCATAAGTGAGTTGAATTTACGCATCAACCTACTTTTTTTTCTTTAGCCATTGTGCCTATTATCGCTCGCGTCAAATGGTGGAAGGCGCCTCGCTGATCCTACTGCCCTACAACTATCTCCTCGATCCGAGTCTGCGGCGAAGACACAAGCTCGATTTATCAAACAGCATCGTTATTTTTGACGAGGCTCATAACATCGTGGGTTTTTCTTGGATCAAGAAATTGACTGGGATTAATTTAGGTAAATGTTTGCGAAGAATCGGCGTCCACCACAATTACCACCACTCAAATCTCACTTGCTATCTCGGAATTACGGGTATTTGATTGGTCAAAAATAATTTGGGTTTGTAGAAAGCCATGGAATTGAAGAGCGAGGCTGACGAGGAAGTACGTACTGAAATGGTAAGTCGTACGTGGTTTTTTCATTTAACTTTTTAGGACGAAGCCACCATCGGCTTTGCGGTGCTGAAGAAGGAGGAAAAGAAGGCCGAAGAATTGAACCTGCAAAAAGCTGCGTTGCTCCTTCGTAGGTGCTGTACTTCCGTCCATTTTCTTAATTTAGAAAGCTTCTTCCAACTCGAGGAGCTGATCGAGCCGTATTACCGAAAAGGAAGCACCTTGGGCATCATTGACCCGGAAAGGACACCAGCCACCATTCGGGTATTCGCGTGTTTCAATTGAATGTACAGTTTCATAGGACGTTCGTCTTTTCGAAGGGAATAGATTGATAGACTTGCTGGCCGAGGCGGGGCTTGGCGCAAATTCGGTCGTCGTCGCCGAGCTGGACAAGATCGTGAAGGGCGCGTTAGACTTGTTAACCGGTAATGACTTGGGCTTTCACCGATTATTCTAAAATCGTTTTAGATAAGGAAACCCAAGTGGACAAGCAACTGGGACGGCAGTTGGACAATATAGCGACGTTTATTCAAGCTGTACATGCTGGGTCGGCGGACGCCATGGCGCAAGGTAAAATTAGGGTTTAGTGGTATACTGAGTTTCATCTTTCTCTCTCTCTCCCTCGCTCTTTTTTGTGCTCTCTCAAAATATGATTTTTTAGGAGGCGCGCGAATGGAGAACTTCAAGTTTTGGATCAACATCGAAAAGCGCAACTCCAGCGAGCAGCCCGAGGAGGTGCGACTCATTTCCCTAAAAATTACTTTTGCTCAGTACTCCCTGAACTGGGCCTGCTTCGACTCGGCGATCGCCATGCAGCGCCTGAAGAGAATGGGCGCCCGCACGATCATTTTGACCAGCGGCACGCTCGCCCCGCTCGAGACCTTCGCCCAGGAGATGGCACTGTAAGGCTGATTTTTTGCTTTTAAATTCTTAATTAATTTAAGTTAATTTTATGTCGTTGCTTCAGTAATGTTGGTGATGTCTTCTCTGCGACCCATGCCGCCAAGAAGGAACAAGTCAAATGTTTTGTCGTTCCGAAGTACTACGCTGACAAGACGGCAACTGCAAAGTTGGAGTCTCTGGCCGGCACCTTCACAAATCGGTATTACCTGCGTTTTCGATTTTTATTTCATTTAGAGAGAATCCGAGATATGTGAAGGCGGTTGGGGAGGCGATCGTCTCGGCGCTGAAGCGGGTCCCACAGGGCACCCTCGTCTTCTTCCCGAGCTTTATGGTAAATTCTCCGCCGAATTCTGTCCTTAATCCCGACAAATAAATTACCGACAGGAAAAATGCCATGGGGACAAGCTAATTTGATGTCGAGCATTCATTTATTGGCTCGTCTTGGCATTAGTGATGCTAGAGAGCACGCCGCTTGCTTTAAAAAGCTGTTTGGAATTTCTGAATTTTAGCTGTCAGTATTTTCATGAATTTCTTTCCCTCCACTATCAAATTCCAAACATTTTAGTACATGACGGCGTGCCTGAAGATGTGGCGCAATTGCGGGCTGCTCGCCGAAATGGAAAAGCACAAGAAAGTCGCCGTCGAGCCGAAGAATAAAATGGAGATGAAGGAGCAGATGATGCTTTTCCGGCAGTCTATCGATTCGGGCGGTGCCGCCGTGTTTTTTGCCGTTTGTAAAGGAAAGGTGTGAGGCTTAACCAATTCTTAGAATCATGTTTACAGCTTTCTGAGGGTATAAACTTTGCCGATCGACATGCGCGCGCCGTTATCGTTGTTGGGCTGCCATACCCGCCGATGTACGACGTGCGGGTGATGGTGAAAAAGTGAGAAGCTATTTTTGCTCATCTGGAAAATGTGTTTTAGGAAAATCCTCAACAATAAGTTGGCTCAATATCGCGAGGCGAAGGCAAAAAACCCACGGCTGGATGCGGGGCAGCCGATGGATGACAAAACTTGGTGGGTGCTTTTCGAGAGACCCGAAAAATGACAGTTGTCTGAAAGTTCACCCGGCTTTCAGGTACGCAGTCGAAGCCATGCGAGCCGTCAACCAGGCACTCGGCCGCGTTCTCAGACACAAGGACGATTTCGGGATCGTGATTTTGTTGGACGAACGGTATCGCTTTTTCGTAGTCCTCGATTTGTGCTTACAATATTTAGCTATCGCTCAATCGGCAAGTCCTATTTCCCTGGATGGTTGCAAACTGGCATGTCGAACGTGCAGGACATTGACGAATGGAAGCGCGATATGCTCACATTTTTTAAGGTATCGTTGGCAGAAGAATTGAGAGCGTTAAAAACCGATTTAGAAGCATGGAGCGTTGCAAAAAGCGGCGAATATCGTGCAAAATGTATCCGAAACGTCGGCGGCGGCGACGCGAATCCGAAAACGGCCGGCCGTCGCGATTCATTACGACCGAGAGAACAGGTATGAGAAAGAGGAATCATATTTTTGCCTGTTGATTATATTCGGTTAGATATTATATAAATCCATGTTTTATGTGTATCTTATTATGTATAAAGTAGTAATTCGGAAGACCACTGTTATTTTCTTCAAACGCTAAATGACGATTTTAGTGCGCCCGACCTCAACTTCTTTGCCGGAAAACCCGTCGATGTACCCGAACAAAGGAAACAACAACCCAACACGTTAACAGCTTGCTTGGTATCGTTATATCTATACTTCATAATCTACGATTCAGGAATCAGTGACGGAGCAGCCGACCCTCCCGAAGATGTCGCCGGCTACGAAGAAATTGATTGCCACACGTTACCAATTGCCCATCAACTCTAGCCAGCCCGGCGCCAGCCAGGGCAGAAAGATGAAGGTAGATTGGAGCCCTGAAGAATGGGCTGTCGAAAATTGTCGAAAATTAGAATATCACGAATTTTGTGGAAAATCATTGTGGAAATTTAGTTTTGTCGAATTTTCAATCTGTCTAGACTTCATTTTGTCGAAATTTCGCTTTTGCGGCATTTCATTTGGTTGAAATTTCAATTTTTTTTACATGTTTGAGATGAGCACATTTCGACAAAAGGAAATGCGATAACATGATTTTCGACAAAGTGAATTTGGATATACTGATTTTCTTGGATAGCAAGTATCAGGAATATATTTTCCCTTTCAGCTAACTGCCGACCGTCTCAATGCCGATTATTTCACCGATGCGCCCCCGAAAGCCTCGGTAGACCTTTTTACACATTGTTAACCGCCATTCAGACCTCGACGCAATCAATCAACACGCTGAAGAAGCGTGGAGATGCGGTAATTTTTGTTTAAATTTTTATTATTTTTTGTCTAGATGACGCTACCAACGACGAAATTAACTGACGCGGAAGCCTCGAAGCTTTGGCAAGAGTTTGCGGAGAAGGTTGGCTTTGCTTTCTTTAAAAATCTGGTCGTCAAAAAGCAGGTTTTTTGGAGTAATCCGGAAGACAGCTCGAGAGGTAGCTCATTCGGTAAAGAATTCGGTTCTGAACAATGCTCAGCAGTGATTTTCCTAAAAGGTTATCCGGATTTCTATAAAAAGGCGGTCTCTTGGTGCATGATTCGAGGCGCCGACACCACGCAGTTTTCATTCTTTTAATTCTATAAGGAGCTAGCCGTTTTTTCAAAAATCAGTGAACGGCATTGTCGAGAATTTAATTCTTCATCGAATTAGCTTTCCATCGTCGATCGAATCGTTTTCGGATGACTCAAAAAAGTTTAAATTGCGGATTCAAGTCTAATACAACCGTTATTAGGTGAGCAAGTGCGGGTTGCGCAAGGAGTACAAGGCCAAAATGATGGCGCTGGCGGCTGACAGTGCCGGAAAAGTTCGCGCCGCCTATGAGCTGTTCTACGAGAAGCACAGGGCTGTTTATGATGGTATGAGCAATACTGGGTGTCAGATAGGTGATTTTCAGAATGCAAAAAGACGTTCGACGCGACCGGCAACATCCGGTTGGCCAAATGGGAACGAATTGAGCAGACGCTGGGCATTCAATCTACGCGCTAATAACTCGCCCCGCGCCCCTGATTTGTATTTGATCTCATTCGTTTCTAATCACTTGCTCTAGTCGTTACGTTGTAGTAAATGCGGGTTCTGTGATTCAATCCTTTCACGTTGTTTTTTGCTTGGTTTGGGTCAGTTTTCGAAAATATGATTTTAGTATATGCTCGATATTTTCGGAGACTTTTAGGCACAGAAATAAATTGCGAACGTGATAGATCTGGTGCATACTTTAGAATGGTGATTTCGCATTAACGGGGGTGGGCATTCTTTATGATCCTATTTTGCTAATCTAAACCAGGGTTGAAAAGCCGCTACGCGGCTTTTCACCCCTGGCCTTTGCGCGGGGATCTTTAAAAGTTGGGCTTTGCATAATCCGGGCGAAGAGCTAGAGCGAACCCTAAAAAATAGCAAAAGCAACCGGCCGCGAGCGCGACAAAATCCAAAATGAGGCTCCTAGCGCCTCGTATGCAAATTAGTCTATTTCCATATGTTTTTAAAACGTTAAAATAAGGTATAAAACGAAATTTTATTAAAAATCTGATAAGCGTGCAGTAATCTACGCCCTCGACTACCCCTAACTACCTTATTTCTGGACCAAAAAATTCTTTCCCCTTCGAGTTATGGCTGGAACCCAGGTTTTTATGCAAAGTGTCTACACACACACAGACACTATTTTTGTATATATTTTGCTAATCTAAATAGAGGAAGTGCTACCCTTTTTGACTATTTCTAAGCAACAAATCGACAAATATATATCAATAAATACAAAAAATATAGATTTTTCGATCGAAATGTGAGGATTTTTTATTTTTAGCTGGTTTTTTCAATGAAATTTAAAGTTTTACCAAAAACTATATTAAACCACTACTAGGTATTTCTATGCTTGGTGGGAATTGGGTCCCCCGATAATGCGAAAGAATCCAAGGTTTCATCCCCGAATTGGGGTCGATGGTGCCAGACTGGAACCATTCATGGCACCTGGATGATTCATACTGGTACTACCGCGGCTCCGGCCATTGTCAGCGCCTGACCGCCCGATGAGTAAGAGTTTCGCGGTTTTACTAAACGATCGGCGAATTTAGCTGTATTTCCAGCCCAGGCTTTGGCGAATCTTTAGTGTTGTTGTCGTTGTTTAGCATTTTCCTTTGCCTTCATAAAAGTTTTTCCTGCATTAAAACCTTCTGATGCTCCTTTCTAACTTTTCAGGGCTCCATTTCGTCACCCGTTCTCGCTTGCCAAGACAAAAGCACGGCGCCGCAACACCCCTCCACCGCCATTACTGCCAACTCATCGGCGTGTTCGACACGGTTTCGAGTATCCCATTTCACTCGCCGGTCGCCGGTGCCATAGCCGGCGGCGAATCGGTTCTCTCCAATTTGTATGCGGTGGAACGGGCCGGCGGGCCGGCAGCGAGTGTGCACACTCTTCGGCCAGATCTCAATCGCTACCGGTTGCCCCCTCGGGCTCCCTTTTTGTGGGCACCGGGAAAAGTGAGCAGGAGGGATGGATGAAGAAGCGGGATGGGCGTCGCGAAGTTTCGGAAATTTGCGCCGTTTTGGAACGTTTTGCGGAGCTCGGGAGGGCAGACCGGCGAGTCGCCCGCAAAAGAAAACACAAAAAGGGTAGAAAGCTTACAAGGAAACATTTTTTAGTGATAATCGCGTTTCCGTACGGGACCAGGTCTACCTTGTGCGGAATTTTGCGCTGATTCCGAGCCTGGTACTGCGAACGATACTATTCAAAAAGTTATGAACCTTTTAGGCGTCAAAAAGGCCCAAAATGGCCCAATTTTTAGAAATTTTTGCTTCAGCCGTTCCCAGTCACCAACCACTCGGGTTTGTTGTGTGTTTTTTTCACCGGATATCAGCTTGAGTCAGCGCCGGGCAACATTTTTTTAATCCAACACTGAGTGGGCGGCCTGGGGCATGGAATGGGAAGCGCAAAAAAACGTTTTCAAACATGTTTGAAAACGCTTCTCGGCCGAAACTATGCAATTTCGCGGCCTTCAGGTTTTTGGTCGCATCTTGAAAATTGCGTTTTGCGCTGCGCGTCGAGGCGACTTTTTTACAACCGGTTTCTTGTCGTCGTTTCGGCGATTTTGAGGTTTCATTTCGCAAAAATGCCGATGCCAAAATCCCGACATATTTCTGATGATAGTTTGAACGCGTCAGCTTGTATTTTGCAGGTCAGGGATTTTGGGTGTCGAGATTTTGGCCTTTTCCGTTCTTTTATAGGCGTTTTCCGTAAGCACCTCTTCTGGCATGCTGTCTTGCTTGAATTTTAGGGACTTCCTAAAGGTTGTCTGCTTGCTGCCCATTTTCAGCGGGAGTTTAATAGCGCTTTTCCTCAAGGATTTCCGGCAGCTTGCCCCAATAGAATTTTTATAGTTTTCCTAATTCCTAATAGATTATACCATTTTTTTAAAAGTTTTTCTCAAGAATCTCCGTTACCTTAAACGCAAGTTCGCTAAGAATCGCTGCAAGCTTCAGCTTTCGGGTTTTTAGGTGTTTTTACAAATGGGTTCTTTGCTTGTTTTTCCAATTGTCATTTTTCCTATCGCCATTTCTGGGTTCCGGGATCTCTTGCCGGGGGGGGGACGGCAAAATTGAGAAAAAATGTCTACAATGACGCCCGGAAAATGACCTGGTGGGACAGGAGAACGAGCGGGAGGGGGAGGAGGAGTGGGGAAGTGCCGCCGGGGGCAATTTGTCGCTTGGCGCGCTTTTTTGGGATGGTCGAAACAATGGAATTGGAAGGAAATGAAGGAGACGGGGGAGGGGGCATCTCCATTTCGGGGGCATTTCATCTCACACCTATTGACGATTGGAATTGGGAGGGGGGAGCCAGAGGAGGTGGACAAACAAGCGTGAAGGGAGATTGGAGAAAAAGAAGCTGCCGGGCCGTCGTTGTACGGTAGTCATAAAATAAGTAATTTATAACGTTAGAAGTGTCCAGAGAAGCCGTGCGTAATGTAACACTCCAGTGTACAGGCTAAATTCCCATTTAACGATATATTGGAATCACTGGGGAAGATCGTTGCTCCCCGCTAAGCCCACCCCCACCCCCGCTAACAGCCCAGTTCCAGGACGATCTCGCGTCTTGTTTTGATCCTGATCTTGATAAATTAGGAAAATTAAAGAGAGAGAGAGAGAGAGAGAGAGAGAGAGTGAGACAGAGCGAGAGAGAGAGAGAGACGCAGAAAGCATCAGACATCCAGACAGCCCCCTACTTTGTCTTCTTGCTAAACGTACAAATGCCAGTCCCGCCCCCTTTAGGGCTCATGTCTTGCCTTGAAAAGTGTGACAGGCCAGTGCCCGCCCACTAATTGTTTGTCACTCACTCGATTCCATTCACTGCCATCTCGGGGCTTCGGTCATTCATTTGCCAATCTTGAAGGCGCCTTAGATACCGTAGTCAGAAGCGACGAATTGACCCCTGGGAAGTATCTGCTAGCCTGCCCGGAATTTTTTTTACTGATGGGGCGGCAACGAATCTCTGCTAGCCTGCCTCCGTCATTTTCAAAATATGTACAATTTCTGAATTTCCTCCAGAATCGCTGCTAGCTTACCTTGGAGGCTGGGTGATTTTCCTAAAAATATCGGCTAGCCGGCCCTGCCATAATGAAATGCATACAAATGCTTAATGAACTGCGATCCCAGTAGTTTTTTAGCGTAGTCCTCAAGAATCTCTGCTCGTTTACCCCTGGTTTGAGGCTTTCCTCAAAGTTCTTTGCTGGTTTGTCTGTCTCAATCAAGAGTGCAGGAGAATCTCTGCTAGTCACCCCAGATTTTCAGAATTTTCCATAGCAATTTTTCTGAAAGATCTCTGCTAGCCTGCCAGATCCAATCCCCGAAAAATTATCAGCTACTCGTAAATCCTATGCACGCACTTTTTTCGAACCACTGGTCCCGGGTTCGAGCCCCGTGATCAACCGGTTTAACTTGACTTTTTTTGCAGCGGCCCCAAAATAAACCCCAGCGAAACCGTCGGCAATTCGCGGGAACGGCCGCTGCGGTTTTCTTGATCTGTCTGTTTCTCTCTCTCTTTCTCTGTTGCGCTCTTTCTCTCCCTCTCTCTCTCTCTCTCTCGTTATTTTTCGCGGACACCTTGTCAGGTTGTCAAGCAAAAAACGGGGCTCGCGAGTACTACACAGACACTGTCACAATCACGGCCAGATCATCCCTATAAAAGTGTATTATCTCTCTCTCTCTCTCTCTCTCTCTCTCTCTCTCTCTCTCTATCTCTCTCTCTCTCTCTCCCTCTCTTGCTTGTTTTTTAGGTACTTAAATTCACGTTAAATTCTGTCTTACATAACCTAGAATTAAATGAAAACCCATGAACTCTGAAATTCCAGGCCCAACCATGCAGAAGCTGACGCTCGTACTCCTCTTTGTCGTCGCATTCCAGGTGTGTTTCGGCCTTAATACGTTGAATCAGGACTTTTCTAGTATTTTAAAGGGTTTCGTAAGTCAAAAATTAGACCGATATATCGTTAATAGCTCATATAACTTATATATATCAGCGCATTAATGGCACCAGAAAAATTCGAGGCAAATTTCCAATTTTTTGCCAACTTCTTGGCATGATAACTTTGTTATTTCACGCCCAATTGGCCTGTAATTTTTACCATATGTCCAGTTAATGATACTTTATAGCCAGGAAAATTTTCGAATCAGAATATTAAAAACTGATAAAGTTATGGGCAAAAAACGTAAATTTCGGTTGGTTGCCTGGTAGAGCCATTTATGCGTGGAGGTTAAAGGTAGAGTAAGCAACCATTTTTCATTTTTTCAGCTCGCCTCCAGCTTGCCGAAACGGGAACGCCGGCTGGTGCTCTCGCCCGGAAAGGTCATTATGGTGGGTCGTTTAAAGGGGTTGGGAAGAGGGGGGGGGAAGCTGCTGAGGAATTCGCATAAAATGGCCTCAGCTATTTGGAGCTGAGTCACTGATCATCTACCTAAGCTCTCAACACAAAAAAAATACTTGCTAAACCTGGATTTCAATCTTTTTAAGGGGTTGGTAGGATAAAATCATGTAATTCCAGTTTAAAATTAAGTCATTGAAAAAGCGTCATAGAAAAATTGCGAAAAACTAAAACTTGAAAAAGACCGTACGTGTTTTTTGAGTTTAAAGCTGTATTAATACATTTTTTTCCGCAGCTAAAAAATGACAATTTTCAGATTGAGCCTGGTGAGGGCTCGGGAGCCGTGGAGGGATCCGGAATCGAGGGTTCCGGTGCTGTTGAGGGATCTGGAGTTGAGGGAAGCGGAGTCGAGGGATCCGGAGCTGTCGAGGGCAGCGGAGATCACCATGTCGAGGGATCCGGACAAATCGAGGGATCTGGTAGGGTATAAAGCTGCTTGGGCAGGTGCTTTCGCGTTATCGGGGGGGGGGGGACAGAATTATATCTAATGTGGACAAACAATTGAAAAATTTTCAACTTTAAGTTTTGGTAGAAAAATCAATTTTTTTTGCATTTTTTTAGAAAAATTTGTGAAGTTTACGTTTAGAATTGTTAAAATGGTTCAGAGAGGCGTCCACACTTTATATTACCAAAATGGGATTTCAAAGAAAAGCTGCTCGGTCCCCCCCCCCCCGGTAATGCCATAGCACCGTTTTAAGGGTGCAAAAAAAATTCTAGCTTTTAAAAGCCTTTAAAATGCACTTAATTTTGACTGTTTTAGGAGTCGAAGAGCCGCTGACCGCCCCCGAGAAGGGTAAGAAAAGTTTTAACTCCCATAAAAATGCTCGTTTTTTAGAAAAGAAGCTCTCCGAGGTGAGCACCAGGTCCAGATGGCTACGCCACGCTCCAAACAACACAATTTTCCGATTTATATACCCATTTTTAGGATAAGCTCCTCCCGGCCGACTTTGCCAAGCGTGACGCCAACTAATTTAATAGGCCATGAAAAGCTGAAATAATCGATTACGCCATCAAAATCAACCGATTACGCCATCAAAAACCCTCCCAATTTTTGTGCGCCCCTGGTCGGGCGCACACATTTTATATCTGTGCATAGTTGCGTGTGTACTTTAATGATTTTTTGATGCCATTGACTTTAAACATATGATGGTTTCCAAGGTATTTTATCGCGTGTGGGTACCTGATAAAATATGTCCAATTTGCGGCTAATTACATGGCGTAATCTATTTATGTTGCCACCATTTCTTGATGCACGCCTCTGTCTCGTCGAACGTGTTGAAGATCTTGGAGTAGAAGCACTTCAGGCACTCTTCTTTTTCCGATGCTAAAGGGGGAGGGGTTTTAAAGGGGCAGGAAAGGCTCCGCTCAGACGATTTTTCATTGCGTCATCGATTCAGAACAATTTTAAGAGAGAAAAATATCGACAACCAAAATACCGACAGCCAAAATACCGACAGCCAAAATACCGGTATGCAAAATAGCCTTTTTCAAAGCCAGGGATAGTCAAACTTGCGTCAGGAATATCTCGACATTTTTCCGGTCCCGATTCTCGCTGTCGGCCCTTTGACCTGTCGGTATTTTGCCCTTTCGGGATTTTGGCTGTCGGCATTCTGGCTGGTGGAAAGGAAGGAATTCCATAGTCAGCAAAACCCATAAACTGCTTGCGTGCCCCTTTAAAGGAACAGGGTGTCGCGTTGGAGGAATTTTTTGAATTGAATAGCGTACGCAAAAAATTCCGACAAGCTTCAAATGACACCCACCGTCACACGTTCTAAACAGCATCTCTTCCATCTGCATGAACATTGGCATGAAGGCGATGGCGATGAGGGGCACGAACTTTTCGTACTGTTCGATTAACTAGAAAATTCATTATCTTATCGATTTTTTGAATGGGCGTTTTTTTGTGATTTTCGACAGGATACTGTAAGGTCCGGACAGGCTTCAGAGTTGAAACTCTACTAAAAATTCTGATGAAATAGGTGGAAAAAAGCTTTTACGAAATTTTAAGGGGCTGCCAGGGCAAAATCCGCATTTTTTAACGAATTTTTCAGCATACTGTACACGATTTTACTCCCGAACTACCGTACCTCACTCAAGCTGGCCCACGGCAGTTCACATGCAGGCGCCTCGTGTTTCAGCGTGTCGTAGAAGTGCTCGAGGTAGGAGTCCCGGCTGGAATCGGGTTACGGTAGGCGGTGTACGACTCACTGATCCTTATAATTCTCGGGTGTCACTGCGCTGGAGAGGATTCGAAGCAGATCCTCGAGCGGGGTGCCGAGGTGGACAACCTGGCATTGGGTTACGGTAGGAATATTTGCACTGATTCCACTACGCTCCAAATTCCGCCCTACCGTACCTGCCAGTCGATGAGATGTCTGACATGATAATCTCCCTTCGCGTCTTTGTCCCAAATAATATTCCCTGGCCACATATCGCCGTGGACGAGGATTTTTCGACCTGAAAAGTACGTTAAGTTACGGTAAGCTACAGGTAGCACTAGCGCGCCACTTCCAAGTCTCTTGAAAACGCACCAAATGCCGCGGTTTGCTTCAGGTATACTTCGGGGGTATCGTAGGCCCAGAGGACTGAGCGGAATACTTCAACCTGCTCCTTCCGGTCCGGATATTTCTCTGCCATGTTGTCCAACTCAGTCTCCAGTTTCTGCAAGTTGTTACGGTAGGCTTGAGTACCATACAGTACGCTATACTACGCTAGAGTGCGCTACTTACACTACGCTAACATACGTTACACTCCATTACAGTACGATACAGTAAGCAAAGCAACTACGGTACGTTACGCGCCTGAGGATGTTGCTCTGCGTTACTGTACGAAAGAGTACGCTACACTCTCTGATCGTCCGATACAGTACGTTCGGCTACGGTGCTCCATGCTAGAGTACGCTACACAACGCTACGATCCGTTACAGCATGCTACCGTAAAGCTACGCTATACTACGCTGGAGTAGAATCATATGCTCATACGTTGCGCTACGTTTCACTACGCTAGCAACCCTAAAATACTCTTTAGTACGCTACAGTACCATATACTACTCCATACGTTCCTGCCTTGACAATCCCTTTAACCCTTCCCTCCCGAACCCTATGACCAACCTGTCGATTCACAAACTGCCCCATCGCCTCGTCCATCCACCGAATATCCATTTTGTCGACGATTTCAGGGTGTTTTAGGGCTAGAAACTTGGTTTCCTAAAGTTTGCCCTTCCTACAGTATGCCGTCAGCTTGGCCAACACGCCAACAATCTCGCGGGCCGCCGAGTCCTGGACGGTGTGGTAGAAGTGGCGGTGGGCAAAGTTTTCGATCAGTTCGATGGCTAGGTAGCCTGGAAACGGTAAGTTGTCATTACAGTAAGTTACGGTTTGTACGGTACGGCACTTACATGATTACGGCGCCTCGCTATTACGGTAAAAGACCGATATGAAGCGTGGATACCTTAAATCACTTACCCGCTTCGATTCCTCCGTAGTCAAACCCTCGGCCACAGTAGTATTTCGAAAGTCGCATATTGCGGACGAATTCCTCGTTGTTGGCGGCCTGGTCGTAGAGGTTCCACTCGGAATCGTGCACCTAAAGGGGCAGTGAAGTCTTGACTGTTCGATTAAGTGACTAAAATACGATTAGAATGGCTACCCACTTTCCCGGCCATATGCTTCATGCCCTCAAAGTCGATTTTCATCACCTGTTCGCAGATGATGCGCATCTTGTCGCAGGTTGTGATCTTGAAAGGGTATTGGAAAGAGAAAGAGAGAGAGAGAGAGAGAGAGAGAGAGAGAGAGAGAGAGAAAGCGAATGCGTGCGAGAGGGAGCGAGCGATAGAGAGGTAGACAAAGAGATAGAGAGAGAGCGAGAGAGAGACAAGCAGAGAGAACGAGAGAGGGAGAGCGAGAGAGAGAGAGAGAGAGAATAGTGAAAGAAAGAGAGAGAGAGAGAGAGAGAGAGAGAGAGAGAGAGAGAGAGAGAGAGAGAGAGAGAGAGAACAAGAGAGGGCGCGAGAACGATGGAACAATTCGTAAAATTACCTTCAATACGGCCACTTTTGGTAGTTTCTCGGTATCGGTAGTCCAATCAAACTCAACTTGCGCCATTTTTGAGACAAATCCCTAAAAATGCCAAAATATCGCGTTTTGCGACCTCACCCGCCCATCACCAATCACTTTCGCCGTACGATTCGGGCCAATTGTGGCCGTGGTGTTGAAGGCTTTCTAAAAATAACGTTTCATGGAATCTTGCTAAGGGAACCTGAAAGCTCAGAATTCAAGCGGTTTTTGAATTTTCAAAGATCGAAAAACAGGTTTTTTTTGTTTTTTTTCGCTTCTGAGCTTTTTCTTCCGTCTATAGAGCACCAAGATATTCAGGCCTGTTTTCTATAAAGCACTACATCTACCGTACCTGAAAATCCTGTTCGACGATCTCCCATGTGATCGGCGTGTCGACAATTTTATTGGGGTCTGATGGCTCGGGCTCGGTAGCCACTGGTGCTTCTACGTGGTCCAAATCTGCCATCTGAAGGGAGAGAAATGGAAAAACACCGAAATCCCGTCAGGTAAAATCTCGACGATTAAACTACGAAAGCTAAAATACCGACAGGAGCAAATCCCGACAACCAAAATCCCGACAGGGAGAGCAACTGTTTAAAGGTAAGTGGTATTCAAACTAGCGTCAAGATCGTCGAGGTTTTAGCCTGAGGGGGGTTGGTTTGTCGGCATTCTGGCTTGAGCGTTTGGATGTCGGTATTATGGCTGTCGGAATTTTTCCTGTCGGTATTATGGCTGGTGTTCGAACTCCCAAAATCGAATTTTTGAACAAAAATAAAATTAGAAAATTATGTTTTCAGCGAATTCGACGAAAATGGGACCGGAATTAGAATCACAAAATTTATCCTTTCCGAAATTGGGCGCCTATTTATGCGGGGTTATCAATTGAGGGGATGTGGCAGAGGTTTTGATCTGTCTCCCATCTGATAACAGGTCATAATCATGACGAGTCAAGAATCAGAAATTAACACACGCACAAGGGCAGGGTGGGAATGAGCCTAGTCTCATAGGAAAACCTGGTGAAATTTGATGAAATTTGGAACTAAAAATCCGGAGGTAAGCACGAGAAATCGGTTCTTGTGCATTAGCGGGGGGACTAATGCCTATACCGTAATACTAAGCAGTTGAAGTTGCTTCCATAAAATTTTGCTAGTTTCAAAATGCAAACTTTCTAAAAACTTCAAAAATTCGGTAAAAATTTGGAGATTTTTTCGCTTACGAACACCAAAAAAACAGTTTCGTAGCCCTTCCTCTATTTATATTGGAAAAATTAAGGCAAGGGAAATTAAAGAAAAAAGTGTCCCGCCACAATGCCAGAGCGCCATAATCTCAGCTGAGACACTCCCTTTAGTCCAAAACCTAGGAGTATTTCCCGAGTCCACAGACGTGTACCGTATTATATTTGGAGGATGTTACCACAGATCTTACCTTTCAGCTCCCAAACTAATGCTCAATTTCCTATTTTCCATCTCGCTACGGTCAATGTCGATCCGTCAGGGTATTGAGGCGGAATCGTCAGGGTAATTTGGGGGTAATTTACCCTCGCCAGGTGCCTGATCGCACTTTTGATCCTCGGTTCGTTGTTGTGCTCCATATGACGGTGGGTTTCTTGTAGATCCACCCCCTCTCTCTCCCTCCCTCTCTCTCTCTCTCTCTCTCTCTCTCTCTCTCTCTCTTTATCTCTCTCCCTTCTTTCTGACAAATAGCCAATTTTCTTCGCATTTTTTCCGTTTCTGGACCCCGGAGCAAACCAATCCTTTTCCCGATCCTCAATTTCCTCCCTGAATCCCACTTGCATACTTTATATTTGACCGACATTCCATGATTACGGTATTCAGGGATTTCAATAAAGCGTTACGACGGGAAACTCGTAAAAAATCACGTTTTTTAGATTTTGTGCAATTTTCACATCGGATTCCGTTCCGCAACGCGTAAATCATGTCTACGCTTCTATTTTTGACTGGATTATGGCTTCTCGGCTCCTTTAATAGCTGGCCGGCTGGACCAGGTGGCCGGGATGTCCGCAATTTCCAGCTTACAAGGGAAGTGCACGACCGGCCCACGAGAAATCGACACGAGACATAGTGTATCTGATAGAATCGGACACGGGGATTCCGAATCTGTAATCAGAATTTGCTAAATAAAACGGAGAAAAAAGTTATGAAGCATCAAAGTTGGCCAAATCGCCAAAAACGGTACCTTTAAGGGCCTGTAAAAACCGGGGGAACGGAATTGAGGAGAAAAGAATTAGTGCATCTTGTTCAGCAGAAAAAGCGCTTTCGAATGAGCTGTAATACGTAGCATTTGCAAACAATTCACTGAAAAAAGGTTTTTGGATTCACGGGCAAGGGTATGGCCTGTCAAGTTCATAGAAGAGATTTTCGCGAAATCATCGTAAACTTGAAGTAAGATAGCTCATTCGAAAGCGCTTTTTCTGCTGAACAAGATGCACTAATGGGTTGTGGCAAATTTCCATTCCCTGGGCCTTTTCAGGCCCATAAAAGTCCGATTTTGGGTGATTTTACCAACTTTGAAGCTTCATAACTTTTTTCTCCGTTTTATTTAGCAAATTCTGATTACAGATTCGGAATCCCCGTGTCCGATTTTATCAGATCCACTATGTCTCGTGTCGCTTTCTCGTGGGCCGGTCGCGCACTTCCCTTGTTAGCCTGGGGGCCCCTTGCCAACCACACCGTTGCTACCTGGGGCTGCAGAGGGGTTTACAAAGCTTCAATAATTTTTTTAAATAGCTGGAATGTCTAAATGGTAAATACTTGCTATGCCGATTTTCGCTGTGCCGATTTACAGTATGCCGATTATTGGTATGCCGAATTTTCGCTATGCCGAATTTCACTATGCCGAATTTTCACTATGCCGAATTTTCACTATGCCGAATTTCGCTATGCCGAATTTTCACTATACCGAATTTTCGCTATACCGAATTTCGCTATGCCGAATTTTTTCTACTCTACCACTAATAGTCTCTACTAATGTTAATAACTAAGATCGACTGGGACTTAGCGGTGCAACCAAAAAATATGCTGCGCCTACGGGACCTACGATCTGCCCGAGTTTTTGGAAATTTCTAGGCTAACTCTAACTTTCTAGGCCCATGATATTTGGAAAAAAACAGTAAAAAAAATGGGGAACATACCGCTTATCAAAACTAGTATGGCGAAGATTCGGCATGGTGAAAATTCGGTATCGTGAAAATCGGCATGGTGAATATTCGGTATACCAAAAATTCGGCATAGCGAAATTCGGCATAGTGAAAATTCGGCATAGTGAAAATTCGGCATAGTGAAAATTCGGCATAGTGAAATTCGGCACAGCGTCAATCGGCATAGCAAAATTCGGCATAGCAAATAGAACTCGTCTAAATATTGCCAAAAACTAAAAAATTTACTTGTAAGAATTTCTGAACTTTGAAGGAAAATTGTCAGAGTTTTTTCGGGTTTTGGAGCTTTTTTTGGGTCAGAAATAAAGAATTTGGTGAATAAATACTCTCTTAAAATGAACAAATTCGAAATTCAGACGTTTCCAAACATTTTAATTCATCAAAATTTGCATTGTACAAAAACACCGTAATTTGTAGTGTATCGTCTTTAGCATTTTTGCGAGTTTTTGAGATTTTTTAGCAAAAAATTCCGTATTTCCGAATCTTACGCCTGCGGGCATAGATTCGTAATTTGTTGTGTATGGTTGTTGTGTCTACCTGGTGGGGCGGACTCTCGTATACTGCGCCGCAGGTAAATAAGGCCAACCACCACCGGCCAGCCGAGGCTCACAAAAGGCGATCGATCCCCTGCGAGCCGGTGTGAGAGTGGGTGGGTGGGTGCCTCTTCACCTCTCCAGGAACACCCCCAATAACCACCAACCACAACACATAAATGGCTCCAATCAAGTCATATCTTTCTCTCGCTCTGTCTCTCTCTCTCTCTCTCTCTCTCTCTCTCTCTCTCGCTCTTGCGGCCCCCAACCGGAAATGCCGAATTTTTGCGAATCTTAAATTATTAAAATTTTTCTAGGCCCTTCTCCCACTATCTTTTTACCTCAAATTAAACTACAGTAAGAATTACGATATTTGTTGTTGTTTTGGCTCCTCAAAATACGTTTAGATACCATAAAAGGCTTCCTTTTTGCTTTTTTTGTACTGTCATTTTTCAGTTCGCTAACTGAACCCTGGTTTCCAATTTTTGCTGTGATTTAAATTTTATATTTAGTGAGTAACGTTTGATTAGCTTAATTTGCAGGTGTTATTTGTCATTTTTACCCTTAAAAATCCTAAATATCCTTCTAAAATTGCCGTGTAAATGTAATTTTCTTTTGTTTTTCGTGTGGTGAGAAACGTACCGTATCATTTAAAAGGGTGACCTTAAACGCGACATTTCGGCTTTGTACTTCTCAATTTTTGGTTTTTTTTACGGCTCGTTTACTGTGCTTTCTAGGGTCATTTTTTGTAGTACGGTCACATCGTCATGTCTTCAAAAATTTATCCAAAGGATGAAATGCCGACATTTATTTTGTCGAAATTTCGCTTTGGCGGCATTTACTCATCTCAAATCGGCTGAAATTTAAATTTCAACGTATTGTATTGCGTCAAAATACTCGTCACACGGAATTTCGACCTTCTAATTTCGGACAATTTTCGCCAAAATCAAAATAACCCATTTTTTAGTAGTACTGTAACCTGGAGAATTTCTGATTTTTTTCGAACCGAAGAATGCCTTCCAAGTCCCCTTAAAATCCTTGATAACCGAAAATCCGTGGGGAAAAGTCAACAAGCAAACACATAGGCCGTTTCGCCACGGCAAGGTCGTCGTGCCATTTGGATCGATGCGTAGCGTAGTGGAATGGGGGGCGAGGTTGAAGGGCCATATATTCATAGTGTTGACAGAAGGGGTGAGGGCAATTCCATGGGCTGGTCACCCTCAGAAAAAATTCTTTTCATGACCCGGGTTGTGACTCGACACGCGGCTTCAAAGTTGATAAGAAACCACCGGAAATAGGTTTGCAAACTTTTTGGAATTCGGGTTTTTATTGTTCTTTATCTCTCTCCCTCTCTCTTACTCTCTCTTGCACTCTCTCTCTCTCTCTCTCTCTTTCCTAATCGACTCATAAACATGTTTTTGACTCCGAGCCCCTTTATTTGCTCAATCCGCCCCACTAATCGATCCAATGGTTGCAGCCCAATGCCCGGCAAATTCCGGTGATGTTGCCGCTCCGAAGAACTTGAAATTTACTCTACATTCCGGGCCACGATGGAAAGTATCGCTGCGTACTCGGGGCTTTTGGCCGCGGGTGCACCGTATGCCATGCAGATGGCTGCATCGAGGTGGGAGGGAAAGAGAGAGAGAGAGAGAGAGAGAGAGAGAGAGAGAGAGTGTGAGAGAGAGAGGGAGAGAGACAGAGAAAGAGAGAAAGAGAGAGAATGAGCATGGGAGTAAGAGTGAGATGGAGGAAGAGTGAGAGTGAGAGAGAGCGCGCGCGAGCGAGCGAGAGAGAGCGAGAGAATGAGAGAGAGTGAGAGAGACAAAGAGCGCAACAGAGCGAAAGAAAATGAGAAATCTTGCGAGTGAGATAAAGCAAAAAATTCTTGTGAAAGAGCTAAAGAGATAATGTGAGAGAGCGAGCGAGAGAGTTAGAGAATGAGCCTGAGAGAGCCAAAGAGCGCAAGAGTAAGAAAGAGAGTGTTAGAGAATGAGCTATACAGATCAAACAAATTAGAACAACAGGATTCAGATGGTGGCCCCTTCTCCTCCCCATTTTTGCCCTCCCAGCACTGTCACTTTGCCTGACCGTAGGGACACTCTCGCGGAAGGGCCCAGTACGAACGTATGCCGGACTGACGCCATTAGTTGCAGGTCGGTATTAGAGATTTTAGCTTTAAAAACTAAAAAAAAATAGAAGCAATTATTTCCAGGCATTGGCTGGGCCCTCACCATCCATATCATCGAGCGGATGTTGGTCCAGACGCTGCGCGGGGCCCAAACGTTGCTATATCTGATTTTCTCGTTGCGGTGGAAGTTGGACTGGGCCATTGGTGGGTGTGTCTCTTTCTCTCGCTCTCACTCGCTCTCGCTCACTCGCTCTTTCACTCTCTCGCTCTCCCTCTCTCTATCCCTAGTTATCTCTCGCTCTCCAGATTGCGAGCATTCCTACAACACGCGTCTTTGCAACCCGTTCAACGACAAAAACGCGACGCACGCCGAATACCACCACTATCCCGACAATTTCTGGCCCGCCCAGGAGTTTAATAGGCGAGTTTTTACCCCAAAAACTATGTTGGAAAAAGCGGCTCGTTGATAGGCCCAAAAAACCGCGTCGGGGATCGAACCCACGACCTTCGTCTGGCAGTCGAACCCACTAGCCACTGCGCCATCCTTTAGTCGTTAATTTAAATTTTAAGGTATCTAATCCGTGGAAATCCGATCGACAACAACAACCTGTCAAACGTTTGGGAGCCGAATGAGTGGTACTTTGGTGGGTGGTTTTTCGATTTTTTGGGAAATAGGGAGAGACAGAGAGAGAGATAGAGAGAGAGTGAGAGAGAGAGAAAGAGAGGTAGCGAGAGAGAGAGACCGAAATAATGTCACTTTAGGCAGAAGCTATGAAAAATTCTTCCTCACTCTCCCCTCCCTACCACTAATGCTTGCCAATGGAGTCATATGGGTGTTGATCTACGCCCTAGTCGTTCGGTACCTTTTTAAAGGACCATTGAAGTCATACAAATCCCAAAAAAAAATAGTTTTTTAGATTCCCTCAAGACCTCAACAAATTCTTGACCCGATTTTGCATCGTGCTGCCGGTGATACTGTATTTTGTCGTGCTATCAGGTGAGTGGAAGACCTTGCGTACAGAGTCATCTTTCGTACATCACCGTTCAGTGGCGTACACTGCCGTAGACGTCCGTATCGTTGCGTACGAGCAAGTACAGAAACGTACTGCCTTCTACTTTTCCGGGGTGAAAATGACAAAATCCCGACTGCCAGAATCCCGAATGGCCAAAATACTGACTGCCAAAAGCTCAACCAACCTACCGTAATCCAACATCCAAAACCCGCATTTTCCAGGCACTGCGCTCGGCGGAATCTCGTACCAAAGCACCGAGGAGGCGGTCCCCCGAGAGGAGGTGGAGAAGGTGCCGCTCGATTTTTGGACTGATTTAAAGGTAGAGAAAATTGAAGCGTTAGTTACAGACCGCGGATTCAGGGATTCTACCGTAGCACCATCGCGGCCGTTGATTATTCGACGGCTTTTACCGGGATCGGGCTGTTGGTGGTCAGTCGACTGGACCCGGGGTCGCCGCCAGTGTTGGCATGGATTCTTGTGCCTTTAATGATGGTAAGTAATGCTTTAATGGAACTGGGAATCGAGATACGGTAGTGTAAGCGTAAAATAATGCATCACGACTTGGAAGCATCGTTAAAAACACGGAAAAAGGTTAAAAATTCAGATCGTCCCCACGATGCTCTCGTTGTTGGTGGCCGGTTGTGAGGGACATATCTCAAAGTTGCAGCCGGCTTATAAGACTTATGGATCGATTGGTGAGGATTCGAAAAGGGAGAGAGAGTGAGAGAGAGAGAAAAGGAGAGAGAGAGAGAGAGAGAGAGTGAGAGAGAGAGAGAAAGCGATCGAGAGAGGGATTTCGTGCGCGAGATAGAGAGGGATGTTTTGCAAACTCCTTAAAACGTACTGTTTCGCTCGCTCGCCCTCTCTCTCACTGTTACTCTCTCTCCCTCTCTCGCTCTCTCTTCCACTCTCTCTCTCCGGCTCCCCAACCTCCTTTTTCCAGACGAGACCTACTCGTTCGACGTGATCCCTGTCTGCCTGGCCACCAGCACATTCGGATCCGGGCTAGCCGTCCTCTTCTACCTCGCCCACCTCTTCTACGCCTCGATCGGCCCATTGGCAAGCTTGCAGAGGCAATTTTGGAATAGCTGTCACTTTCAGATCATCTACACCCTATTCCTGCACTCGGCCTTCTCGGAGCAGTTCGTCATTCTCGAGTCGCATCTGCAATCGTATTATGGGCTATTCATGGCGCTGACTACTGGATTTGCAGCGATACTTTTTATGCCGGTAAGAGCGAGACAGAGAGAGAGACAGAGGGAGAGAGAGATGGAGAGAGAGATGGAGAGAGAGCGAAGGCTAAAAATTTATTGCAGCTCGGCACGAAAATCGCCGCTTTCTTTGATTACGCCAGCCAATCCTCGATCGTCCACCTAATAATTTACGCTACAATATTCTTTGTATACGGTAAGCGGATACTGTAGCTGCGTAAAAATCCTAAAAAATCGCTGCTAGGTTGCCCAATTCGTATAATTTTTTGAGGCTGGCAAACGTTGGAGACAGATATTTCACTGGTGGCTGTTGAGACCACGAGCGGATCGATGTGGAGGTGAGTGAGCGAGATAGAGAGAGAGAGAGGCAGAGAGAGAGCGAGAGAGATAGAGAGCGAGGGTGAGACGAAAAAAGAGAGCGAGTGAGAGCGAGTGGGAGCGAGAGATAGGCAGCAAAAAGAAAAATTCGCAATTTTTCAGGTATTTCCTCGGTCCAACCAGCCCCATCTACACGATGCTCCTCTTCACCGTAGTACCGATGTTTTTATGTGTACGTTTTTGTAATTTATACTCTAGATAGTTACCGATAAAGCAAAATTTGATTATTAAGCATAGTTAATAATTTTGGCGTTTTTTAATCCACTTTTTAGACAAAAGGCGTGGCCGTCTACGATCTGCTAATAGGCGGGAATGACGTGTTAAAGCACATCGACGCGGGTACCCAGTTTATTACAGGTAAAAATTACTTATGATTCATTTTATCTATATTTGTTTTGATTTATACCTAGGTTAAGTTCCCATAAAACCCAAATTCTTTCAGCTCCCCTCTTCATCCGGCGCATCTGCGGCTACGGTATCATGCTGGCGCCGCTGCTGGTAATTCTGGCGTTTGCGGTGCGTTCTAGGGCGTAGAAACTTAGAGTTTTTTGTGTAAAAAATCTATGTTGTACGTTGGCTATTTGACACTATTGGGATACTGTAGTTTGTAGCCTGTCCACTCTTTTGTCTTACTGGCTCCTGTAAAATCCACTTTTCAGGCTCATGCCATGTTGAGCGCGAAGATCCGCTCGTTATCCCTAGGCCAAGCATTGAAGCCGTCTTCAGATTGGTTGAGCCACCAGGTTATGCAGGTATCCATAGCTTTTTGGCTGCACTGGCCCTTTAAAACGTGGTATCCCTCTATTTATTTTGTAGCATCGTCCAAAACCGTACTCCCTCGCCTACACGATCTTCAACAACATCCGCGGGCCCACCTATAGGACGTATTTGCTGGTGATTCTGATTTTGGAGGTAGGCAGGCTAGCAAGGACCATTTGCGATTTTTCAGCTCTTCTTCTTCCTCGTGCTGGCTTGTCTGCTGTTCGGGCAGTTGTATCAAGTGTGGACTGGGACGATGTTGGGGAGTGCGAATTACAGGACGATAGGTAGGTTAGAGAAAGAGAGAGAGAGAGAGAGAGAGCGAGAGATAGTGAGAGAGATATTGAGAGAGCGAAAGAGAGGACGGACGAGAGTGTGAGAGAGAGAGCGAGATAGCCCATTGAAAAGCCCCGTAACGCCAGTCTAATTCCACGCGTTGCGGCTGCATGGCGTCAACACGCAACGCGACCGCATCGCATAGCTTCTAAATATTGAATTCCAGTCCTCCTCTTGCTCCTCTCCCTCCACGCCATCGCTCTAATCGAAATGAGAGCCGCGTACAATTTCTGGGACGACCCGGCGAGGTTGACCGTCTACATCGCCGTCGCCACGCTACAGATGGCGTTTCTTAATGGGTACGTTCACACTTTAGCTTTTATACCTTCACAAGACCTTTAAAATTTCATCAGACGACTTTAAAGGGTTTGAGAAGCCAAAAAACACGTTTTAGGTACATGTGGATGCTGGCGTTCAACCACTCGTGGGGCGGCGACCTCAGCTCGACGGGGCCGATATTTTTATTGGTTGTGAATACGGCTTTTCGGTGAGTTCTTGCTTTCTCATTGTTTCTCACATGCTCAATATTATGCTCACTCTCGCCGCGATCTCACAAGCTCGTGCTCCTCTCGCGTATACTCTATCGTTCTCCCTCACGCTCTCTCACTTTATCTCTCTCTCACTCTGTCTCTCTGGACCCTCTCTCTCTCCAGCTCCGCCTGCATCTGTGCCGCCATCGCCGTCCGCGCCCACATCCGCGAAGCCGCACGACCGTCACGCGTACGCGACGCCACGGAGGTAGCTTATAGCCTATCCCGTTTTAACAACTTTTCCACAGATCTACGCATCGGACGGTCCCCCGGAAGTGGAAATGGACGCCGAGGACGATCTGCCAATTTTCACGCGAGCCCCGAGCCTATAATTTTCCTAAGTTAATGGTCCCTTTAAAATGGTGCCATCGCATGAAGCTCGAAAATTTGGTGTATTATCGCATTTGAAGCTGTTTAGTTGTTGATTTTGATCGCTACGCTACGCATTTGCGGAATTTCGCAATTTCGCAAAAAATACCAAAAATTCCGGTCTAGCTTCACATTCTAAAAAAATACGGTATATTCCTTGCTGTAAAATCATGTGATTTCTTGAATTCACTTTCCAGTTGATTTCTACCATATCTCCTAGCGCTAGCCACCATAAAAAAGTTGTTTTGCCTTTTGTAGTTTGTAGTTTTCAGTATATGAGTTGTATCTTGTATTTTCCAAGTCTTATCATACTTTCTTGTCTCCCCAGCAGCTACCGGTACTATCCGTTTTTGATGTCGATCGGCTTCGTGTGTGTGCAATAAATTTTGAACGATTTATTTGGATTTATGCGAGAAGGGGGCTGGGAGCTGGGAGCTTTAATAAAGTCGGCGACAAGCTAGGTATTTACAGCTTTTTAAAAAATAAAGCCTTTTGTTGAACAAATGAAAAACGATTTTGAAAATTCTGAAGATCACGAAAGGAGCTGGGAGCTGATAGCTAGGTTTCAAAGCAAATCAATCGAAAGACGCGTCTGCGTCGCGGCCATCAGCTCCTAGCTCCCAGAGCTGATTTTTTAAAGCGTTACGAAAAACTGCGATTTCTAGAGAAATGGTTTGACGCTGAGAACTAGCAGCTGGCGCCAAAAAAATCCCACGCGTCGCGTCTGCGTAGCGGCTATCAGCTCCTAGCTCCCAGAGCCAGCTCCAAAAACTACTAAAAAATCTCCACTAAAAAGTTATAGTATTCTTTCCCGTAAGCATGCGAAATCTCATTTGTTAGTGGCTGTGCTCCCCGAAGTTGGCGAGACCCGCAAAAGTGACACCCGCATCTTGAACGACATCGTGTTGTTGGCGATATAAAGCTAAACCCAGTTTGTATAAATTTTTAAGCTATTGTAAGATCTATTTAATTGTTATAATGCCGTAAGTTACGTACCTGATCCTATACCCTGCAGAAGATACGCAAAAACAAACTGCAAAATGCGTCAAGGCACCAGATTCGGCTCTGAAAACGGGAAATTCGGCATGAAATTGAAAATCGGTTTGATGAAATCACCTGGCTCGGGCTGCGACTTGCCGAGCATGGCGTCTATCGTCTCGGAGTGGACGACGAGGGTCCGCAGGATGAAAATCCTAGTAAATTTTAGGTATATAAATCTTCTAGCAGGTTGTTAATCCAAAAAAATTCCGAAAATCTTAAAGGCATTAAAAAATTTTTTTGCAGCCTTCCTCAAGGATAAAATAGCGTAATCGGATCGTTAAAATTCGGCTGAACGCGTAAAATCACTGAAGATGAATTTAATCTTTTATAATTTTTAGAAAACATGAATTTTTAGCGATTTTATGTCATAACAGCGCGTCGAATCGCTCAGTTTTGGCGAATTAAAACAGCAAACGAATACTTATACTTACAGCCCTCAAAATTCATGATGTTGAAATTTTAAGTTTTTTTTTTAAATCAGATAGCATACCGTTGCGTAATCGAATCTCCCTAACCTTTAAAAGCAAAAAAAATAAACGCCCGTTTAGCATATCAGCTTCAAAAGCTTCTTTATTTACAACCGCCCGCCGGATTTTAAATTTCAGCGATTTCCAGGATTTAAATTGCAAGCATATAGCCTAATCGGATCAGCTACATCCAACACCTTTTAGAACCCGAAAAACATACCCTAGAATCGGAAACAACGACGGGTGCAGCGATAACAGCAACGATATCAACAGCCGCATCCTAGAAATTTGTCCGGGGAACAGCTGAGGGTAACAAAAGTTGAATGAAGCCCTAGCGACCTCGGGCCAGCGTGTGTATTCGCTGCAAATAGGCTGCGCCCGCGCGGGTAAACTGGCCCTGCGAAAATCGAGGGCGGTAAATAAAATGGGGGGATAGCTGGGAAGACAACCTTGCGAAACAGGGAAAAAGAACCCGACTTTCGGCGGCCCTGCCAAAAATGGGATCGGAGAAATGGCAGCGGGTGAAAATAGGAAAAAGTGGAAAGTGAAGAAACGGCTAATTTTTCAAGGAGTAGCGTTGAGGCAGGGAAACGCAGTTTTAAAAGTTAAAAAAAAACCGATTTTGACAAGTTATATAGATTTATTAATTTTTGGAATCCATAGGTATTTTGAGCAAAAACAGAGGACCAGAAAATTCCACAGCACAGAAATATAAAATTCTACAAAAGCAAAAATAAAGCGTAAATTCAAATATGTCGTTAAACCTTCAAACCTTATATTAGCAAGATAGAAAAGTGTTTGTATTTATCGACCGTTTTTTTGCTATTCCTAAACCGAAAATTTTACAAATTTTTACATTACAATAATACAGGTTACAGAAAAAATAAACAGGTTGAAAGCGTACGTTGATTTTAATCAGGGCAAATTTAAGGCGGGTGATGGCACTGTCCAGCAGTACCCCCGGGAACACAAAGCGGTCATTTGAGAGAGGGATGGCCTTGGCTGGATGCCCGAGAAGAAGAACGAGAAGGAGGAGGAGGAGGAGGAGGAGGAGAAGTGAAGGGAAAGAAGAAAACACATACACTCTCTCCTCAACAGTCCCATCACTTCTCCCTTCCATCCCGACCTCCTCGCCCTCGTCGCCCCCAATCCTCTGCCATTTTGAGGTCAATGTATGGAGCGGCAAACAGCGGCTGATAGTGTTAATGCAAGGGATTACATTGAAAGTCCCTTGGAAAATTAGATGAAGACAATTTAGAAATGTTTAGCGATGAAGACAAGCAAAAAAATTGGGTATTGGATTGCTAGCAAGGCGGGAAATGTTAGCGAAGTTCTTTCCACGAGATTTTTATATATAAAACTGCGTAAAATGCTATATAAATCGTCCATATTTTGCTATGAGACAGCGCACGATCCTGGGAACTCCCTCTCCCTCGGCTAACAGCCTAGTACCAAAAATTGAACACCCAAGGGGATCAAGGGGTAAGAGAGACCCCCAGGCAATCCCCAACTTTTTTATCTCGGCTTCCTGTTGACTTACAGGCGCGTAAAGTATACCAAAATTCTCGCCTGGCTTTGGCGAGTATTTTGAACTACTTTACAGCCCGGAAGCACGCTGGGGTAGATACAGCAGACCGAGACAGAGCAGATGGGGTCGGCTGAGGCCTGGAGGTAAGATCCGATCAAATCACCTTCGTAGAAATCACCGTCAGCAAGCTAAAAGTCTAAAAGCCTAAAATCGCCATACTCGAAAAAAAGCATGCAGCGCAATAAGTATAATTTCAATGGACAGAAAAGCGGCCAAACATTAACGTGATAAAACGTCAAAAACGTCGATCGCATTGCTTCGTCGTCGTCGTCAAAAAGATTTTATTCACTTTTCAAAAAAATTTCTGAGAATTCCCTACACGACAATACAAATTACGGACTACGGGAGGGAAGCAACTTGTATTGTCGTGTAGGGGACCAACCACCAGATTTTGGAATTTTCATTCTCATTCACAGTGAAATGGCTGCCGGGTTTCTGCCGGATGGCAGCCGGGAAAAATGGCTCTGCCGGTTGGCAACCGGGATCTTGCCGGTTTTCTGCCGGATTTTTGCCGGGACCTCTGGCAGAATCCCGGCTGCCGGCTGCTCGACCTGGCAAAACGCCGGCGGCCGGTTTCTTGCCGGCCCGCTGCCGGGTCTGCCGGAATCCTGCCGGCTTTCTGCCGGCTGCCGGGACACTGCCGGATTCTTGCCGGTGTAAACATGTATTTATTCGTAGCCCTACCCCAACTTTCGAATTTCTCGGCTTTTCCCTATTTTCTTTGCGCGTTCAGTTTCTTCTTTCATAAATTTAGATTTTTTAAAGTTCTTCAACAAGAGGTAAGTATACAGCTTATCAAAACGTTTGATGTTTTTAGAACGCCGTCTGTGAATTGGTACTAGAGTTTTTTAAATTTGCACACCTTTGATTTCTCGCCAAATTAATGGAAGTTTTCAGATAAAGTTTATTTAGATTCAATATCTGCCGCCGTCTTTCTAGGTTCAATGTGCCTGTATGTCAAGTTAAAAGGAACTGCAGACGAGCCAGGTATTTCAGTTTCATTAGCCTTTTAGGAAGTTTTGGGCTATAATGAACCAGCCTACATGTTACACGATATGCTTCGCCAATGTGACGGAGTAGCTTCAGGAAACAAGAGAAGTTTAGTAAAATCTAACCGTTTGTTTCTAGATAAACCCTGTGGTGAGAAAACTGCGCCTGCTTCTCGTATCCAAGCACCGTGGTTTTAAAAGTATGTTTACTATTAAGTTAAGTTTAATGGGTTTAAAAACTCATTAACGCTGAAAAAGGTTAAACTAATGCAAGTTTACAGTTCGCTGTTGCTGCGAACGCCTACTGCCAAGTCTCGTGCTTCGAAAAGTAAGTGATAAACGAAATTAAAGACAAGATAAAGCACTAGTATATTCGCACTCGGTTGCAATCGCGAAGCGGAAGCGGAAGCATTATATTGGCAGAAGCACGGCAAATGGCCCGCGAATAACCGGCAGGATGCAGGCAAGAACCTGGCAAAAGCGATTCGTGAAGAGCCGGCATGTGCCGGCAGAAACCCGGCTGCCGGGTTTTCGCCGGATGGCAGCCGGGTTTCTGCCAGATGGCAGCCGCCGGCTGCCGGCGGCAGCCGGATGGCAGCCGGCGGCTGCCACCCGGCAAGAACGCGGCGATTTCCCGGCTGCCACCCGGCAGGATGCCGGCATCCATGTCTCTGTGTTTTCTTTCCTGATCTTTGCTAGAAATTTTCCGGTAATTTTCCGGTAATTTTCTAAGCCGCCGCCCTAAACTTTATGAGCTTTTGGAGTTGTATTCTTGGCGCTTTAGAAGATATGTTTCCGCTTGGTCGGGAAGTCTGAAGTTTTGAAAAACCTGACATTCCCCCTGGTTTTGAGAGGTTTTCATTTTCGGGCCTGCGGCGCGGTCCATACATTTGCTTTGCTTCTGTGTAGAGCCACGCTTCACTTTGTTCGAGATTGGCTTATCCTTTCCATACTGGATTTCTAATGAAGAAAATCTTCTTTTTGTCGCGTTTCTTTCTCGCGTCTTGTTGAACTTTTCTCCTTTTTAACCTCCTTTTTCAGCAAATGACTCGCCCCGATGATCCACCGCTCCCGGATCTATCCGATGAAGTGCTTGGCAAGCTAGCGAGCGTGTCCCTCGACGAACCACCAGACGATATCGCGCCAGTGGAGGACCCGGTCGTTGAAGCCCCACGTGCGTGCTGACCCTCTAGCCCAAAACTTTTTTAGGTGGAAAAGCGCCCAGTAGTTTCGAGGACTACTTCCAAGTCGTCTCCACGGATGGCCGCACTTTTTACCGTTGGTTTTGGAATCTCGTCTTGATGTTTAATTTTTCTAGCGCAAAAGATGCTCGTCCTTCGCAGTGTTGCCCACCACAAGAAAGGGAAGGCTTTTGGCTGCAAGTACGAAAATTGCGCTGACATCTTCCTGCTGTGTAATTCACAAACGGTATGCTACAGTTTTAAATGGAGGGCTGGTGGCACCGTAGGAGTTATTGTTGAATATGGGCCTTTTAGGTCAGCTACGTCCACGGAGTCAATGTGGCGAATGGTGCCGAGGTGTCGATTGAAGAAGTTCCGATCTACGCGCACGAGCCACAAGCCTCAAGTGTCGGCCCATCGCATATTGCATGTCTAAATACTGAAGACGATACAACAGAATACGCGGTCATCTGCGGCAAAACAATACTACGACTCCAGTATGATGCCGAATTGCTCGGCTTCCAATCGGTGCACATGTTCACAGAAATCGAGCCAGTGAAGGAACTACGAGGTTTTGCTTTTTTTAGATTTTGTAGCCAGCTTTTAGGTATCGCCACTGCTAGAGAACGCAAGCTGGTGTTCACCTTCTCCAGTCCAATGATCCTGTGTATTGATGGGCACGGCGACGGCCAGGTAATATCGCGTAAATTTTTCAGCTTGTTTTAGGTGTTGTCTAGGACACACTATGGGATAAATGAAAGACGCGGTTTCGGAAACGTATGCTACATGGACTATAATGATAAGCAACGCACGCTGGTGACTTCCGACTTGGGCTTCGGTAATTTTTCAAAAGCTAAAGTTAATCCATCTAGGGTCATTCGGCCACAACAGTGCACTGCTTCGGAAGTACAGCGTCGATGAGAACTTCCAGCTGACCAAGATTTGCGAATACGTCTCCGATGATCGGGTTGTAAACGAACTTCAAAAGGGCGCCATCCAGTATGCTTCAGGAATTATGGTAATGATTTCACTTCCTGTATTATATTGCTTGTCTAGATAGACGACGCTGGCTGGGTGCTCGTTGCCGATGCAAAAAAGCCTGCTCTCCACGTGCGTTGCCATCATTTTCCATTATTGTGTTTAGTTGTTCGACGATCAACTACGACCACTATGCCACATCCGCCTCCAGCACGAGTTCCAGCAGCCGTTTCCGTTCACCACCAGCATCACGCTATCCGAGCAGTACGCCGCGCTGAACTGCGTGAGAAAAGGCCGGACGTATTTCTACGAATTGAAGGTTGCTTATTGATTTCTGCCTAAAGAACCATTATTTTAGGATCGGCCGACGCAGGCCCAATTTGCTCAACGTCCGCGGCGTCACACCCCTCCCAAGGGACAGGTTCATTTGGATGGGTCTGTCCATACATCCGTTTAGAAACAATCGAGTCGCCGGGGATCCGGTCGCGGCCGTGAACATCGTGGTGGCCGCTCTTCGCACTGAACTTTTGCTATACATGCCATTCTCATTATTTGCTTTGTAGCTTTTCTCAATGTCCCCAACAAAGGGTGTCGTGTCCTCATTATTTCATTTTTACGCGATCAGTATTCAGCAAGCATTATGATCGTTTTCGGGTCTGAATAAAACCGTTTGAAATAAAAATTCTCAGTCAGGTGCTCTTCGATACTTCCAAACGAAGCCATTTATTGAAAAGCGACACACAAAGAAGGAAATTGACTAGAAGACGGGGTGGAAGAGGGTTTGGCGCCTAATAAAAAAGTGGGCATCTGTCGGTTGGGTGGCTTCGGTGGGTGTTGTTAGAAGCCGCCCGGTCCCTTCTCCCAGTCGTACGGGAACTCCTGCAAGTTCTGTTGAAGTAGCGTTTTTGCGATTCACCTGGGCGCCAGTGGTCTGGAGGGCGCGGCGCATCGTGGCGTAGTACTGCTGGTAGTCGGGTGCGTCGTAGTACTTCAGGTTGTCGCAGTGGACCATGATCTGGCGGTACTCGTCGGGACAGCCAGCGAACAGCTCGCCGACGGCCGAGGTGCGGCAGCGTTTCTTGTACTCGCCGACCTGAACAGTTGCGTGAATTTTTTTTGAATGTTTTGAATGTTAAGGATGTTTGTAAGCTAAATTCGCACCTGGTTCATGTCCTGCACGTTCTTCCAGGGCAGATTTCCGGTGGTGAGCTCGACCTGCATGTAGACCCAGACCTCCACGTCGTCCTTCCGGCACAGCTCGCGCTGCAGGTGGCAAGAGATCGGAGCGTAGCGGACGGTTCCGCGGAAACCGGCGGCGGCGCGCGGCTTGCGGATGACCCCCTGTCGATGATCATGCTGAGTGGGTCAAAAACCGCTTTACCTGGTCGTTGGTGAATTTGCGGGCCATACCGAAGTCGAGCACGTACACCTTGCGCAGCTCGTTCAGCTCGGCGCGGCCGATGGTGTAGTTTCCGGGCTTCACGTCCCTGGAGAGGTTGTTGTTAATATACCGATCTTTAGAATACGAACCGATGGAGGTATCCAATGCCGTGGAGATCCTCGAGCGCCTCGAGGGCCTGCACGCCGGCGGAGATGGCGGTGCCCATCGACATGTGCCCGCCCGGGCCTTCCTTCCTCAAGTCTTGCAGCGACTTTCCGACGAGCGTCATCACGACGTAGTTGAATGTTCCGTAGCGGCCCTTGTCTTCAATCTTGCAGAAGTGGCGACCGCCCCTCTTGCCCAGCTCGGTGAGCACGAACACCTCCATCTTGAGCACCTGAAAAGGGGCACCGATTCAAAATCATAAATTTGAATCCACCTGAATCTGCTCGTTGGCGCCCTCGACCTTCAGGGCGTACATTCCGGTGGGGTCGGAGACCTTGTAGACGGCGCCGAAGCCTCCTTCTCCGAGCTTCTTCTCGATCTTCCAGCGTTCGACTTGCTGGCCCGGCTGTAGCTGGACGAGTTCGGCGGCCATCGGTTTGGTTGCGAGGAAACAGACACTTGCGCTGCACGTTTTGACCGTTTATTTGTATGTGGATTTGCATGCAGATTTGGGTGAGATTCCGGTTTCAGTGTTTTTGTTATGTTGATTTAGGCAAATGAGCATGTATGTGCGGGCTTTTCAGCCTCGATTCTCGATTCTTCCAAACGAAGCCATTTATTGAAAAGCGACACACAAAGAAGGAAATTGACTAGAAGAAGGGGTGGAAGAGGGTTGGCGCCTAATGAAAAAGTGGCCATTTGTCGGAGTTGATGGTGGTGGTGTGGCTTGTCAGTTCTTAGAAGCCGCCCGGGGCCTTCTCCCAGTCGTATGGGAACTCCTGGGCGCCAGTGGTCTGGAGGGCGCGGCGCATGGTGGCGTAGTACTGCTGGTAGTCCGGGGAGTCGTAGTACTTCAGGTTGTCGCAGTGGACCATGATCTGGCGGTACTCGTCGGGACAGCCAGCGAACAGCTCGCCGACGGCCGAGGTGCGGCAGCGTTTCTTGTACTCGCCGACCTGAACAGTTGCGTGAATTTTTTTTTAACCCCTTCAGGATGTTTGTAAGCTAAATTCGCACCTGGTTCATGTCCTGCACGTTCTTCCAGGGCAGATTTCCGGTGGTGAGCTCGACCTGCATGTAGACCCAGACCTCCACGTCGTCCTTCCGGCACAGCTCGCGCTGCAGGTGGCAAGAGATCGGAGCGTAGCGGACGGTTCCGCGGAAACCGGCGGCGGCGCGCGGCTTGCGGATGACGCCCTGTAGATGATCATGAAGTATGGGTGAGAAAACCGCGTTACCTGGTCGTTGGTGAATTTGCGGGCCATACCGAAGTCGAGCACGTACACCTTGCGCAACTCGTTCAGCTCGGCGCGGCCGATGGTGTAGTTTCCGGGCTTCACGTCCCTGGAGAGGTTGTTGTTAATATACCGATCTTTAGAATACGAACCGATGGAGGTATCCAATGCCGTGGAGATCCTCGAGCGCCTCGAGGGCCTGCACGCCGGCGGAGATTGCGGTGCCCATCGACATGTGCCCGCCCGGGCCTTCCTTCCTCAAGTCTTGCAGCGACTTTCCGACGAGCGTCATCACGACGTAGTTGAATGTTCCGTAACGGCCCTTGTCTTCAATCTTGCAGAAATGACGTCCACCCCGCTTGCCCAGCTCGGCCAGCACGAACACCTCCATTTTCAGCACCTAAATTAGGATTGTTTTGGTAGCAGAAATTAATTTTTACCTGAATCTGCTCGTTGGCGCCCTCGACCTTCAGGGCGTACATTCCGGTGGGATCGGAGACCTTGTAAACGGCGCCGAAGCCTCCCTCTCCGAGCTTCTTTTCGATCTTCCAGCGTTCGACCTGGGTGCCGGGCTGCAGCTGGACGAGTTCGGCGGCCATCGGGGTTCGTTGCGACGAAACGGAGATGGGTGCTAAGCTTTTCGAGTTTCTTTTATTGCAGGTTTTGTGCCGTAATTGGGGTTGGTTTCCGGTTGCGCGGATCGGGTTATCGAAATCTAGGTATTTAGGTAAGCTAAATATTATCAAAGTTACTTTTTAGGTAATCAAAGTATTTAGGTAAGTTACATTTTAGGTAATCAAAGTATTTAGGTAAGTAAAGTCTTAGCTAAGTAAAGCTTTTAGGGGTACTATTTTAAGGCAATTCGAAAAGACCAGATTCGTCATTTTTGGCAAGCAAAGCGGTAAGTAAAGTTTTTGATCTTTATTTTTAGGCCAAGGTCAGCGTGCATTACTGTTTTTTTTCCTCCCAGAACCGTTTCTTTTGATTTTTTCAATCACTGCAGCGGCAAACGAAGCCGATTCGACTTGATTTTCGAGGATTACGCGTTGGAAAACTTGCAAAGCAAATACCTCAACAGGTACGGCGTCAATTTTTTTCAAGGTTAGATTGTCGTAGAGAGCAGAGTCTCAGAGATCATTTTACTATATAATTTTCAGGAAAATATGCGGGAAGTAGTAATACACATACTTTCCCGCGTGCTGGCTCAATGATAACGTGTTGGTGCGCCACCCGCAGCACCCGGGTTCGAGTCCCGCCCAAAACCGGTATTTTTGCTTTGCGCCTCTGGCTAGAGGTGTGAAATTAAAAAATTACAGATTTTTCGCAAATGGTTGCTGCTAATTTTTCCACGACTTTTTGCCCTCTACCCGCACCCACCTGGTTCGACTCCGCGCCAAACCGTCGTTTTGCTTTTTGCTCCACTGGTTTGTAATTCAAAAATTCCAGATTTTCCCCAAATAATTTCTGCTAGCTTGCCTGGGTCAAGTTCTTCGCCCCCCACTTTTTCCTCCAATCCTTTCTAACCACTCGAGGTGCTCCACACCGAAACTCGTCAGCCTAATCGAGGTGCAAGACTGAAATTTTGCGCGTGGGCATTGTCGAGTTAAGCGGCCGGCGCTAAAAGGTGCTCTAATTTTTTTGAGGTTGGTCGATGATGGGGGGGGTGTAGCGCGACAAGAACCGAGCGATTTGGCGGGTTAGCGCGCGGGCGGTTAGCGCGGGAAAAGTGGAACACATAGGGCAATGGAGAGTTAAAAGCTAGCTGGGGTTCATTGAGAAAGCAGAGAGGTTGGCAAACTAGCAGAGATTTTTGAGGAATATCGAGTTAGGCGAGCTAGCAGATTTTCTTTGAGGTAGAAGCATTGGTGAAACAGGCAGGATTTTTAGTTCGTGGCGCGTAGTTTCTCTCTCTCTCTCTCTCTCTCTCTCTCTCTCTCGCTCTCTCTCTCTCTCTCTCTCCCTCTCTCCCTCGTGCTCACTTAAATTTTCAACGCAAATTGCAAAACTCGTACCATTTGAAATTACTTCATCAACTCCTCATTACGAAAATTTATTTTCGAGCGCCACCGCGATGGGGGGTTCATCTCCACGAGGAGCACCACCGAAATTGGGCGGATAAACGGGGCCCCCAATTCATTTTGCCTGGAATAATTGGGTTGGCTGTTTGTGAGAAGTAGTAATTCTGGGGGAATGGATGAGGGCGACAAATTCCATTTTCAATTTGCCTTGACTGGCAATTTTCTGGGGGGTACGGTATTCAGGGCATGAAATAATTTTTTTACAGGGGTTATGGTCCGGCTACAAACTAGAGGACGTGCTGAGTATTTTAATATTGTTTTTAGCAAATACACCGATTTTTCCGGTGGTGATCTTCTAAAACGTTTTAGAAATTCAGAGTTTGGTCGAAAATTGGCAATTTTTGGTTGAAAAATCGGTATTATCCATATTTTTTACTAATAATTTGTAAAGCTTTGCGTTTAGAAATAGTAAAAAACATTTTAGATTTGGAAATACTTCCTTTATTTATATTTTAAAAAATGGATGCTGAAGAAAACAAGTTCCCTTGGTTCCCTGGTAACCTACCCTGCCCCCCCCCCCGTTAATGCCAAAGCACCGGAAATTTACAGTAATTTTAGCTATTGATTTAGGTCAACCTTTAATAGTATATAAGTTGGCCACAAGTTTTTATCCCAGCTCAATAAGTAACGTCCAATCTGTTGCCGAATTGGGTAATCCCCAAAATTAGGGGAAGGGGATTTCCGGTATGTTCCTCTTTCCATACGACAATAAGTAGTCAGCCAATCAGAGACACAGCGTGAATTCACTCTCACTCTCTCTCTCCCTGTCTCTCTATCTATCTCTGTCTCTCTCGCCCCAGGCAGGCTGGCCGTGTTTAATCCCGGGGAAGGCCCACCAAGAAAAGATGGGTGGCTGATGCATATAATTAGCATGGCCATCAGCCCTCCTCTCCCACTACGCTATGCACATATGGACACCTCAATTCGGCGGGATTGGCTGCTGATGCTGTGTGCGGGTGATCAACATCATTCAATGGAGGAGGGGGTACGGTAGCTGGATGAGGGGGACGCTGAATAGCATTTCAAGCTGGAATGAGATGGAATTTTGAAGGAGTGTTAGCTTCTTATAATTGAGAACAGCTGTAGGATCAGTGATGGCTGCGGATTTTTCGGACCCGCGAGATGCGACGCGCGCAGGCCAATGCGTCCTCGGGACGTCGACGTAAGCCATTGTGAAATGGAAAGGCAGGCCGCGCGTTGCGTGTCGTGCTGCAGAATCCGTAGCAAAACTATCGCCACCAAATCTATAGCCTTGCATGTGCCTTTGAAGAAGCTTGGAAAGCAAGAATCTCTCTCGCTCTCTCTCTCTCTCTCTCTCTCTCTCTCGCTCTCTCTGTATCTCACTCTCGATCGCTCCGTATCTCTCGCTGTCTCGCTCTCTCTCGCTCTTTCTCGGGCTCCCTCGGGCTCTCTCGTCTTCTCACCCTCTCACAATCTCTGACTCTCTCACGCTCCCTCGTGCGCGCTCCCTCTCTATCTCTCTCTCTCGCGCTCTCTCTCTCTCTCTATCTCTCTATCTCTCTCTCTCGCTCCCTCTCCCATGCTCCGGCGCTCGAGGGGTTTACTTCATACCACCTCCCTTTTAAAGGCACCGGGAAGGAATCGCTATGGAACTTGGTAGCTATGGATTTTCAAGGATTTTCGGCGCCCGCAATACGGAACGCGTACGCCATTTCTTCATCTCCAACTCTTCACCGTAATCCATTACGCCATGAAAAGTTAATGCGCGTTGCGTATCGCGTGTCCGGAAAATCCATAGGACTCAACAAAATCCGTATTCTGGCCTTGTCTGCCCCTTTAAAAACCACCTCTTTGTATGGCTAGGATGTTCACGGAATGGTCATTGGTTTGGGTGGCTCTATAATGGGCATGTAATTGTGTATCTCTCTCTCTCTCCCTTTCTCTCGCTTTGTGGGCGTGTCAATGTGATGATGGATGGACATCCTCCACCCATCCTCTCGATTAGCCGCTCACTTAGCCGCCCCGACAACACCCAACCGGACGGGCACACCCCCTCGGGGCATACGGTAGCCCCTCCCACTAAATAGACGATTAGTAGAGTAGAGATATACTTGGTTGTAAATTAATTAACTAATTGATAGCTAGAGCGTGAATTACGCCATTTTTTTAAGATTCTGGGCCGCGGTAATTTTATATCGTATCCTAAAGATTCGACGCCATGTTTTTAAACTTTGTCTCTCTCGCTCTCACACACACTCTCTCTCGCTCTCTCTGGATCTCTCTAGTTCACACAATCTCTTGCTCGATTTTGCTAGTTTTTGACCATGCTAATTAGGCCGAAATCTATCAGAATTTTCGAATTTCCTTAATTTACCTTATCAACATTGTTCCATTTATTCTTGCTCACGCTTCTTGTATTAAGCTCTCGGCTATCTCTCACCTTCTTTTGCGATCTCTCTCTCTCTCTCTCTCTCTCTCTCTCTCTCTCTCTCTTCGTTCCCTCTTTCCATCTCTCTCTCTCTCTTTCTCTTTCTCTCTCTCTCTCCTCTCAATCCTAACCAAAGCAATCATTTTTTCCAAATTTCCCAATTTCCCCAATAACATCTGGGCCCCGATTTGGGCCCCATCTTTGGCCCTTTCCCGGTGCGGCTTCTTCAAAAATATACCATTCGTGGTCAATGTGGCGTGGCCAATCAACGCCGACGACGCGTCGCTTTCCCTCAACACGAGGACGGCACCAGAAAAAACCCCGGGGGCTACGCAAATTTATTTTCCCTCCGCACCAATCCGTCCGATCCACCAAACAATCGAATTATACCTATTTACACCGTCGGAATACTGGAGTGGAAATTGGTGAAGCGTACAATTTGTCGTGTCTTGTCATCATTTAATGACTGGTAAGGGGGTTACGGTAGCTTGGGCAGTGGATAGGATTTTGTAGACTCAGAGATTGAGTCATTTGGCGAGTATTTTTCCGCAAGGAATCCCTGATAGCATGCCTTTTGGTCTCACTTTCGTCAAGAATCTCTGCTAGCTGCTGATACATTCATTGTTTTTTTTCCTAAGGTGTCCCTGCTAGCCTTCTTTCCTGGATTTTCTACAAATAATCTCTGCATGCCTGCCACCGGGCTTTATTTTCCTAAAGAACCTCTGCTAGCTTGCTCCTTTCTCTCCGATTCCTATAAGAGTCTCTTCTTGCTGCTTTTCGCATTGTCATTCTTCAAAGAATCGCCGCTAGTTTCCTTGCTACGTAAATTCCTAAAGAATTTCTGCTAGCCTACCTTATTGTTTTTGAATCCACCAACTGTTTCTACGCTGATTCCTAAAGAATCTCTGTTCGTTGTCTTTCTTTCGCTTCTCAAATGAATCTCTGCTAGCCTACCAATTCCAGCGATTTTCCTAAGGAATCTCTGCAAGTTTCTCCCATCATCCTGTTGTTAATGAATTTCTGCTAGCCACCACAAAATTTCTTTCAGAATGGACATTGGGTGCAAACGGCCGGCCACCGACGACCCTATCGACTACAGTAGGGTCCGTATTTTCGACTTCGATTAAAAATACTTTAATTTAATTGATAATATAAATAAAACACAAAAATGCAAATTGCTTAACGATTTTTGCAAATATTAGGTCAATTTAGGTGAAACACAAAAAATATAACTTATTGAGAATTTTATCCGGGTACAGTACCTCCAAAATCATCGTATTTTCAGGTGAAACGCGAAAATTCTGCTGGCACGCCATCTCCCTCCCCATCGAGCACGGGGTCCTCGAGCACAGGCGGCCAGAATCTTACCGTGACCCCGAAGACGGCCACCCCGAAACCATTTTCGATTGCCGATTTGCTGGACAATGGACAGCAGTGGGTTTTTCTGTGGTTACTACCGGTAACAAATCTACGGATTAGGGATACCTTATGGCCGCGGTATGTTAGTTGGGCTGTCCAAGGTATTGTTTCTCGCTCTCTCTCTCTCTCTCTCTCTCTCTCTCTCTCTCTCTCGCTCTCTCTCACTATGACCCGAGGGTATGAAAAAGAGACCGACTTCCCCAGGGCATTCTCTCAGACTCACTACCAGCATCCCCCTCAAATAGCAGGTGTCAAGAACAAATACTCCACCCCCCTAACACTTCCGGTGTTCGTTGACGAGTTGTGCAAATACTAGATGATCACCACAATAGCCACACCCAGCTAAGTCTTGGCCAATCGCCAAAAACGCTTTCTCAAGTTTTTTTTTAATTTTTAGGGCATGAGAAAGGGAATGGTACAGTGGTAAAGTGGTGGTGTGCTAGCTCGCCAGGCAGAAGGCGACGGTTCGAATCCCAGGGGGTGGAACTTTTTGCTTTTTGGCCAGGAGCTCGGAATTTTTTGAGGTTTTGATGGAAACGAGATTATTTAAATCAATAATATTTTTCGGGCTGTCAATTATAGTCCATTTTGAGCGAATTTACAAAAAATGGGAAGAAAAGTTCAGAAGGCAAAACACTTGCTTTGAGCGAATTCGAACCAGGGTAATTAGCCTTACAGCCGAGATGACTAACGTTTAGCCACATTTTCCGGGATTTTAAAGAGTTTTTGAACTCGTTTCCGTCGTTTTTGAACCGACTCCACCGAAAAACTTTGGCGCTTAATGTTGCAGCTGGCAGCGGGGTGGGAACTTGAAAATTCAAAAGCGTCGTGATTTATGGCCCGTGGTATTTGGCTGGCTGGTTAAACATGTGTGTTTTTTGAGTTTGGGGGGTTGTAAATTGACCGCGGCTTTCAAACCGACGAAACTGACCCGATTTGAACTTTTAAAGGGGCCGGCAAGACAAGAATTTACGGGAATCATCGGTCAGAAATCCGAAAAACCTAAAAACAACATTTTTGCAATTTTGAAATATTTCAGAACGCTGATTTAGCCTTGAGCGACCCTTTAAACGCTAAAAGTCGATTGATTTGATCCCTACAATCTTTCAATTATTATTCCAGCCCTCCGATGCTCCGAAATCCGCTTCTCGATGCGCTGGCAAACCCCCTCTTCCAGGCCATGCAATTTCCTCATTTAGCAGCCATCCTCCAGCAGGTAAATTAGTCTTAAAGATCCATTGAAGTCAGAATTCCCAGCTTCAAGGCTTTCCGATGCTCAAAACCCGCACTTTTAGGGCCTCCTCCCCATCAACCCATTTATGCCTCAACTCGGCGGGATCCCTGGGCTACAAATGGCCGGCGCGAATCCAGGTAGGGCTACAAAATACAATAATACCGAATCTGGGAGATTATTTTATCGACTTACCGTAATCTCTACAAAAAAAACCGCCAAAATTTTATCAGCTCACTTCCGCGGTCCTTTAAGGCATTCATAACTGTAGCCGATAGCCGAAAAGCTTCAGTAAAAGTCGAAAAATGAATTTTATCGCTTCCAAACCCCCTTTTAACTGCAAATACCGTACTTTGGATGCTTTCTAGACCTAAATCGCAAATTCATTACTGTAACTTTCCTAAAACGATACCGTAGCCCTGCCTCTTCAATCCGTTTAGCAACCCCTATTTGGTGTCCTTTCATATCCGTAAGGGGTATGGAAATGGAATCGAATTATTCGTGTCTATACATCTAACAATGGGATGTCCTTGGAATGTGATTCTCCCCTCTGAGGCCATGCTCCCCATATAGCCTGAGGGCATATTAGGAGCCTTAGGAGGGAGGAGGCGATGAGCTAATATGTTCTCGGTTGATGGTAATGGGAGGGCAAAGGGGTCGGCCCCTTCTTTCGAATACAAATTATTCAACCCCGCACCCCCCGGGGGCCCTTTGATTTTCACGCTGTCCATGGGATTGTCGCGTAGTGGAGGGGGCTATTGTTTGGGGGCAAATCCTTTGTTGCCTCCCCTTTTGGTCATTGCCTTAAGGAGCGGATATAAGGGATATCCCCTATTATTTGGAGCCGTCCGTTTGCATACAGTGAACACTTGAGGGTACGGTAGTCCGCAAAAATGGATAAATCGGATAATAAGAATAATAACCCGATAAAAAAATCACAACCTCAATAGAAAACATTCCGGTCCGTTCCGCTACTGTAGCCACTTGAAAAGTACGGTAGCTAGCTGGGTGAAACAGCAAAATTACAGGAGCCGGTTACGGTAGCCAGAATTACCTCCGGTTCCGAAGGGATACAGTACCCACTTGCGCAGAGCTAGAGCTTCAGATTTTCGGGATTCCGGGGCGACACTCTGGACAAATAGGGGTACAATAACCAAAATTCAAAAATGAGAAATGGCATACGGTAGCCAGGCTGAGCATAAGGATTTTTTGGTCACATGTTGCTAGGCTTGCTCTATTTTTAACTGGAGTTGAACGAGCTCTTTGGCACAGCGGATTTTTATAAAAATGTATTAATTTAAATCCTAAAAAATCAGTACTGGAAAACCGACCAATTACGGTAATTTGGGCACCATTTATCCTGCCACCATTTGCCGGCGGCGAGTTCAATCCTATCGTCCAGGGCACTTTTTAAGATTGCAATCTCCAAACAACCAAAAAACTCTGCGTGCTAATTAGGGGCAAGCAACTGGTGGCGAGAGAGGGAGAGAGCGAGAGAGAGAGAGAGAGAGACAATGCCCCTCGAGAATCGTCGAATTAATCGCAGCGGCGCGGCTCATCCGAGCGTGCCAGGTGGCTGTGGCGGTGCCTTTTTTAAGGGGCCCCGAGTCAACTCTTGTGTTTGTTATTGTAATTTGCATATCGGGGAGGGTAATCGGGGCAGCTGGGCGGAACTTTTTTGAGTGGCCAAAGGGAGCTAGATGGATCGGAAAAATTCCTCAGAATGCCTGCTAGCCAGCCTTAGTCGCAAAAACTACCGTAACCCTGACCCTAACCCCACCGCGTACTAAACTGCGCGTGTAAAAAGTTACCGTAGCCCATCAAAAATTGCGTACTAAATTCTGCGTCCAGATGACTACCGCAACGCGCACTTTGCGTAGCGTTTGCGGAGGAACACAGTGTTTGCGCAAAAGGTTGAAAGCCTGTGTCTATGTCCGAACGCGTACTTTTGCGTACTAGGACGCTTTATTCAAAAGCTACCGTAACCCATATTGTTTGGTTCTAGTTTTTGGGCGCTACCTTAACGGTTAGGACGACGTTTCGTAAAAGCTTGTTAAAAAGGTGGATAAATGCTAATAAAACTTACCGTACCCTTTCTTGGTCTCAAGTGCGCATGCAAATCAGGGTCGACCCTGGGGTTTGATTCCCGGCTGGGGCTGGGTGCCAGCTTAATGTGTCAATGCTGGTGTCGATTTACCTCGGATTTCATGATGGGTCCGGGTGGGCAATTAGCATATCGCTCTCGCTCTCTCTCTCTCTCTCTCTCGCTCTCTCACCCACCTAAGGGCCGGATTAACCTAAGGGCTTTGTGGCTGTGCGGAAGCTTGGCCCGTTCCGGATGGCCCTCTCCATGTCTGTTATTCTTCTATCTCTTGCCATTACCCAGATTGGGGTTCCGGGGGAGGTTGTAGATGGCTAATTGTACCCTGTGGACATGTCACACCCTCCCCCAGCTTGGGATAATGGCCTCCAGCCGAGGGCCGAGAGCTGATAGGCCACCCGGCACACTTGTTGCCCCAAAGGAGATGTGGTTTCCGCGGTTTTAAAGGGACTGCGAAGGCAAAAAACCCAACCGTTTTGCTCCTCTAAAATTATTTCCGGAATCATACTCATTAGAGCGCCATTCTACCCATTTTTCGCAAGATTTAAGAAGCTGGGCAAGCTAGCAGAGGTTGCTTAGGGAATGCGCGAAACTCACATTATAATAGAAAAATCAGGCTTCGTAGAAAAACAAAGATTCGGCGAACGGTAGCCTAGCCGAGATCCTTCAGGAAATCACGCTCATTGTAGCGATTTTCTACTCATTTTTCGTAAAATTGACAAGCCAGGGCAAGCTATCGTAGAATGAGCAAAAACCAACACCAAAATCGGAAAATGTGTCGGAAAATCCAAAGTAATTATCATTGTTTTAGATCTGGACACGTCCGCCTATTCCGACACTAATGAAAAGACGCAATCCAACGGCGGAGACGGACGGCCAAATTCGGAGAGCGGAAGTGCCCTGGAGAGCGATTGCGATGAGGATGAGAACGGTGAGAAAGAGATACGTTAGAAGTCCGAACTCTACCATTAATGCGCCGACTAAATCAATCATGAAATTCAGGTGATCTCCACATATCCGAGGATGACGCGAAAAACGATGGAGGGGACGCGAAAAAGAAAAAGACCAGGACGGTGTTTAGTCGGCAGCAGGTAAAAATTGGCGGATTACGGTAGATGGGCGCGTCTTAGGTTTCCCAACTCGAGATGACGTTCGACATGAAGCGGTACTTGACCAGCCAAGAGAGGGCACATCTGGCTGCTACGTTACGGTTGTCTGAGACACAGGTACCGTAGTACGGTAGCCGTCTCCCTCTCTCCCTCTCGCTCTCTCGCTCTCTCTCTATCTATCTCTCGCTCTTTCTCTCTCTCTAACCCAACTTTTCCAGGTCAAAATCTGGTTCCAAAATCGCCGAAACAAGCTAAAGCGCCAGGTGACAACTGAGGACGGCTCTGTGGCCACGGCTGGCCCTGGAACCCCATTTTCCTTAAGACCCATCCTCCCACCGGCACCCCCTCAGAGGTATGCATTTTATTACCTGTCGTAATCGATTAATCTGCAGTCCTGTCACGACCCCTTTAAACCTCATTGTTCTAGGGTAATGCCCCCGTTCTCGTTAAGCCCACTCGTCGCCAGCTCGACGGCAAATCAGGTAATTTGAATTTCGGAGGACTATATACTACAACAAAATTGACAAGGGTTTACAGGTTACTACAAAGTACAGGCCGATACTAATCCCTCGTTTTCAGGCAATGGAAAACGCCGCCCGCCTCTTCTTCAACCAGTTCAACTTTGGCGGGATTCCAAATTTCAAGGACGTTTAAACTTACTGTAGATTTATATTATTCTTTTTTGCTACTTTTTGCGGATCCCAGCCATAATGCCGACAGACGGAAAATGCCGACATCGAAAATACCGACGTATCCTTGACGCTAGTTTTGAATGACACTTTAAAACAGCCATTTTGAATGCCGAGATTTTGGCGTGTCGAGATTTTGGCTGGTCGGTGTTTTGACTGTCGGCATTTTTGACTTTCGGCTTTTATGTCGGGATTTTTAGTTTCTTTTTTCCAGTTTCTTTCGAAAACTAATTCTGTGTGCAATCTTGCCATTTTCGGGATTTTTTAGAATTACCGAAATAATGGAATTCAATTTCATAGCGAATTCCATTAAATAATTTTATTTTATTCTAATAACTTAAATTGTTTAACCGGATTTAGTGAGTCCATTCGCTTATTCAAATTTGATGTCTTTTTCTCGCCGTTTTTTCTGGATTTTGTGGATCTCTTCTTTTTGTGATTTCGTTTTCCCAATTTTCTATACTGGATTTTCGATATTTATTTCGCGGCCATTCTACAATGCCAATTTGCATGAAATTTGCATGAAATAATTATACCGTACCCGTAGCGCGGATTTTGGGGGAGCAAAACATAAAGAAAAACATTAAAAGAAAGCACACAACTTAAAGGCACCGGGAGGGTCAAAGCTAACTGAATCCTTAGCTTTTTTGCCTTCCCAGTCCCTTTAAAATCACAAAAACTCGGGATTACTGTATATCGGCAAACCATTCGGCCATCGAGCGATCGCAATACGGGTCGACCGCCTGAAAAATCGATTTGTTTCTTTGATTTTTTTGGGTTACGGTAACGAACGAAAATACAGATTACAGTAACCCACCTGCGAATGGATATTCGGGTACACCAGAAAATAGAACAGGCAAAAGATGACAAACCCGAAGAAGAACGTCATCTGGAATGAGGTGGAATTATTTTTTGGAAATTTTGGGTACTGCAGCTTTAAAGGGAGCGTGACAGATTTGGATTTTTAAGGAATTTAAAAAATCTATACCAAGTCCCATTAAAAATTGTTAAACAGTAAAGGATATTTTCTAGATTGTGGTCTAATTTTTGATCAAAAAGCAAGACGCAAAACTCCGGCGGGATCCGAACCCGCGACCCTTTGCCCCATAGCCCAACGTGCTAGCCACTCGGCCATCTAGGCGGCGGCGTAAAAGGCTAATAACTTATTGGGCATACGGTATTTCTAGACGTTAAATAGCTCATTCAAAAGACCTCGTCGAGCTTTTTGGTATGTACATTTTCGAAAAGAAATTCGAAGGAAAAATTGTATAAAGATCGCAAAAACTGATTTCCGGGCACCAATTTTGCTGAATTTACCTGCGTAATCCAATGAAACCGATGCATAAATCGTGGTGTGAATTGAATGTGCGATGGGTTTTCCGCTTTCCCGGCGACGTACGCCCCATTTTTGTCAATCTGGAGCGCCGTGTACTGGGCCGGGCTGCTGGCGGCGGTTTGGAGGGCGCTGCAAAAAAACGAGGTTAAAAGTAGCACCCATAATTTGGCCTCAACAGTGCAAAATCAGCTTTTAAAAGCCATGCGTCGCGTGCGGCGTCGCGTACTTCTTGGTGGCGATGCGGTCGATGCGTTCGAGGGGCTGGCCGGTGAGGCCGTTGGCGAGACGAAGCATTGGCAGCATCCCGGCCACGATTGAGGTGTCTCTGGAAGGTGGGCACAAGCTGAAGCTGACCAGACGAAGCTCACGAAGCTCATGAAGCCAAGCTCACGAAGCTAAGCTCCTGGCTTGGTTCGTTTCGAAGTTAGCGACTTCACTGTGAAGTTACTCTTAACGAACTTGAAGCCATTAATCGTAAGCCTAGTTAATGGCTTACTTTTAGCACACCTAACAGAGATCTTTGAGGAATTTTGAGCCCAAGGAGTGGGCGATCTGACAGAGAGCTTTTAGGGAATTCGAGCCGAGCTGATGGGCCATTAGATAAAGGGATTTCCAAGGCAATCTAGCATAGATTTGTAGGAACCGATTCTAGCTGGGAGTCAAGCTAGCAAAGATTTTTCGGAGGTTGGTGAAGCTACTTGCATGGCAATCTAGCCGAGACAATTCAGGAATCGGACCCAGAATCGTAAGGGAAATTTTGAGGACGCAAGGTAACAAAACAATTTTTCTGAAACGACGGCAACAGGGCTACCTAGCAGAGACCACTGTGGAACTGTGGCCGAAAAAATGCAAAATGTATGCAAAAACTTAAAAAGCTTATAACTCGGCGTTGTTATTGTATCAGCAGCTGAAAGTTATACCAATCGATTTGTCTCGTCGAGCTCTATAAGTGTGCAAATTTTCAAATCCGAATTCGATTCCGAGCTGAGACCATCTCCCTGCTAGCGAATTTTTGGCAAGCTAGCAGAGAACATTGAGGAATGCTAAGTTTTGTGGTGCGAGGTGTGAATTTTTCAGTCTTATCCAGTGTACTTTGGTGTATCGTGCCACAAACGGACTATATACAAAAGCTTACAAAAATACAAAGAAAAAAAAAAGGTTTAAATAGACTTTGCAAAATGGCACAGACTTGGTATACGATGGGATACGGTAAGAAAAATACCTGGTAATCCGCAACCGCTGCCGCATATATTTCACGAGGGCCAGTTTTATCAACGAGAAAAACACGATGCAAAAGCAGACGCCTGAAAGGTCAAAATTTTAATCAAGAAAAAAATTGAAAATCGCCAGTTTGATATTTTTTGTAAACAACTCACCCAGATACACGTCCATCGCCTTGATATACGATACCTAAAAATTAGCATTAATCGTGGTGCTAAAATTTAATTTAACATACCCTCGGCATCACTTCATTATAGGAAAACAGCAAAAAGGTGATGGTTAAAATTATCGAAATCATGTCCTAAATTGGTTAAATTGGTTTTTTAAGAGATTTCAAGGTCACACCTGAAATGACGTCTCGTTTTCCATCCATAATGATACCCAGGAGGTGATAACTACCGCTGTGGAGGGGATGATCAGCTAAAACTGGGAAAGTCGAAAAGCAATGGAGAGAAAGAGAGGAGAGAGAAAGAGAGAAAAGTGCGAGAGAGAGAGGGAGGGAGAGGGAGAAAGAGCGAGAGAGAGAGCGCGCGAAAGAGAAAGAGAGAGAGCATGGGAGAGAGAGAAAGACGGCGAAAGCGCGAGAGAGAGCGAGCTAGAAAGAGAACGAGAAAGAGAAAGAGAGGGCGAAGGAGAGAGAAAGAGAGAGATAGAGAGAGAGAGCAAGAGACAGTGAGAACAATATCCTACCTGCAAAAAGCAAAACCCGGCAGCTCGCGTAAAAACGAAACACACATAAAGTCGGGAGTAATTTCCTATAAAAAGCTAATTATGTTTACGGTTTTTTTGCAAGTTACGGTAGGAATTTTTGCATTTTTAATGCGCTAACCTGTCGCATATTTCTCCATGTGATTTGTTACGTAGGCTTCTGTGACTGAAAAATCGGGCAGCCGAATTCGGTGTAATTCGAGAGCCTAAAAAGCCCATTTCGATTCGATTCGATTCGATTTCCAATCGATTTTTCTAGCTAAAAAACTTCCGAGCTAAAAAACTTAAAAATTGTGCAAAATTTACCTGTATCGATCCCTTCGACCATTCATAAATGACTTGGTCCGCCGTGTAGCCGTCTAAAGGTGTGATTCGGAACCATCCTGGAAAAAGGCTCTTACAGCTCTCGATTCCCAGCTTGCAGAGCTGCGAGTCGAAGGGAAAGAGCGTGAGATCCTAAATGGTGACCGAGCTACCGTAATCACCAAAAGGTTACCATTGAGCAGGAGACGACCAGAGATAATCGTCTACTGTATAGGATATGGCCATCTACGTCTAGCCTGGAAAGAATACTTTGGGATTACTGTAGAAAATGCGGATATGGTGCATTATTGGGGGGGGGGAGAAAAATAACGTTTGATATTGATTTAATAATATGCCGTTTTTACTATTATTTTTATTTTTTTTACTATTAATTAATTTACGTTCAAAGTGCTCATAGTTTTTTACGATTTTTAAACGCAAAAAACTTATAAATTTTTACTAAAAAATACAAACCTTCATTTTTCGATTAAAAACTGCCAATTTTCGAAAAAATTTGGATTTTTGGTTTTTTTAGAGAGGTGTCCCACTTTAAATAAAAGTAAATTGATTAAAAACACTATAAAAACTGGATATTCCCTTATTAGGCATTTTTGTGCTAATAGGAAAAATTATATTACACCCCCGATAATGCAAAAGAACGAATTAAATTAATCTAAATAGTTAGTAACTTTTTGTTATTTTTGCGGAAGTTATAAGCTTTTCTTTAATTTACCGTTGCGTAATCGTGAAGCCACCGTATCCTACCGTAACAAACTCCTGTGCGTCATCGATTGTTTACGGGGGTTTTTCGATGCGATCGCATTCGGCACGAAGGTATCCGGGTGCCACAGAAAGTTTGAATACGACTCGTGCAGGGAGATTTGCGTCTGAAATTCCGGTTATAAACACACACTAATAGGAGCCTTCCGCAATCCAGGGCAAATGTATAGCGTGTCAGGTTGATGGCGTGTACCCTGATACTCAAATCAGTGCTCGAAAGAGGGTTAGTGGAGGAGGTACGGTAATTTGGCTGCACTCAGGAAAAAACGGAATTTTTGCAGTTTGTAGTTTGTAGCTTGTAGCCTTTCCAAACCCTCACCTTCGGCGAGCCATCCTAAAATCGAGTGTTTCGATTTTCTACAGAAAATTAGAATATTCTTAAATTTTTTTGGAAGTTAAAGGAGCCTTGAAGGCAAATCCATAGCCTAGGAATTTAGCAGAGGTACTTTGGGAAGCCGTGCAAACGAGGGTTCATTGCGGAAATCGAGAGAGAGAGAGAGAGAGAGAGAGAGAGAGGGAGAGAGAGGGAGAATGAGCAGCGAGAGAAAGCATTACCGAGCGAGAGAGTGAGAGCGAGAGTGAGAGAGCAAGAGAGAGCGAGGGAGGGAAAGAGAGAGACGGAGAGTGAGAGAGAGCGAGAGGGAGAGCGAGAGAGGGAGAGAGTGAGTTCCTACCTTGTTCTTGAACTTTTTCTTGTTATACCGCAACCGTGTGTCCTGCCAGTGCTCACGGTAGAACAGCTCGAGGGAGTAGTCCTAAAATATGCTAATTTTTGCGCGGCCAGCTAGCAACGATTCTTTGAGGAAATCTGGAAACGCAAACTAGCAAAGATTCTTTGCGGAATTCGGAGATGGGTATCCTAGAAGAGGGCCTTTGAGAATAGCTTCGTTAAAAACTCACCATCGTAACCTCCGACACCGCCCTGACGTTGCTGACCACGACGGAGACGCGCACATGAACGGGACCTAGAGTTAGGCTCAAATTGTGGGGCTGAAAAGGAGAGTCCACCTCCATCCGATCCCTCTGGACATTGCCTATGGTCGTAGCGGATTTTCCGCAAAAATTGGAGAAAATCCCGTGTCTCGCCCTGCTGGAAGACGCTCTCCTTGTCCAGCTCGTTCGGCTCGTAGTCCTGGAATTCAGATATTGAAACGTGGCAACGCGGGGAATACCTCATTCTCATCATCGAGCCTTTCCTCATCGGATTCCTCCTCTGTAAATTGGTGCAGAGTGTGCGTTTTCTTGAGCATCGGAGTGCCGCGTACGGCCGTGGCCTGGAAAGGGATCAGATTGCCAGTTTAGCGATTACGGTATTTTAGCAATAGGGAAAAGGGGGGTTGGCATAAATATTTGCCATGTACCTGTCGAACCTGTGTGATGACGATGAAGACGATGGGGAAGAGCAGTGCGGCCCGGGGCCTCATCGGATGGGGGCTCAAATAATTTGCTAACCTGAGAAAACGGAGGATACTGTAGTATTTCAAAAATAAAATAAAATTTGCTAAAAATGCATTAAAGCGGAAAAAGATCAATTGGGGCTCAATCGACAGTGCTGAGCCCCAAGGGGGGCAACGGCGATAAAGTGAAGTGGTAGACGGACAAGGTGATGTGCTTGTGGATCCCTCTCTCCCTCTTCTCTCTCTCTCTCTCACTCTCTCTCTCTCTCTCTTTCTCTCTCTCTCACTCTCTCTCTCTTTCTATCTTTCGTTCTGTCTATCTATCTCCGGGGAACAATTGAAAACAGATGTCGAGGAAAAAGGAGTGGAGTGGAGAAGCTGCGTTGGGAAGAGGGACAGGGAAATGGCATCCAAGAGGGGGTATTCCGGGAGCCAAACCCCCTGACATGGGTCCGAAGGTTCCCCCAAGGGTTTTGTCAGTCGGTTATTCTTGGGTACAAGTGAACACATGACGAAAATGAGCTGGTACGCTCCCTTTAAAATTGGTAGGTTGCCAAGGGCTAGGGGTTACCGTAGCTAGCGTGGTTTAGAAACTAAAAAAGCAGACAAGCTAGAGAAGCGAGACATTTTAAAGGTATGGTGTCAATTAGAGGTTTCGGGTTTACTGTCGTAATCGGTTGCTCCTACTGCCTTGACAAGATCTTTAAAAACCCGATAGAAAGATTTCAGCGCTTGATTTTCTTATCCTAATCGGACAACACCCGCTGCTGTCACGACGCCTTAAAAACCCAGAAAATCCAGCACATTTTCAAGGACAGATGGCAAAGTGACAGATCGCAAAGCTCCGAAGCTTGAAAACTTTAGCGATTAATACCATTGAATTTACTATCGTAACCGGTTAGTCCTGACACGGGTAAACCCTCGCCTCCTTCCCAAAGCCGGTAAAATTCCCGAGCGTCAGTGTTTAAAGGTGACAGCCTCCAAAATTACTCGGTCTTAAGCGCCTTATTGAATTTCCTATCGTAATCGATCAGTCCGGCCTGCTGGCACGCTCCCTTTAAAACAAAAAAACACAACGCCAATCTACCCGTTCAGGCCATATTCAGGTTTTCAAGGGGTGTTGACAGCAAGGAAATTTTAACCTGCTCGATTCGAACTTAAATTTACTATCATAAGCGATTAATTGGGACCTTACACGTTCCCTTAAAAGTAGATTGATCTAATTTTAGATAAAGTTCCTCAAGGACGAGTCACGCTAGGTGATTCATCCCGGCCCTACGCCTCGGCCACCCACACTTCCAAGCTGGCCCGATCTCGTGGAGGGGGCACATGTTCCCACTCAAAAATGTTATTGTTAGAGAGAGAGAGAGAGAGAGAGAGAGAGAGAGAGAGAGAGAGAGAAAGAGAGAAAGAGAAAGAGGGAGAGCGAGAGAGAGAGAGACAAACAGAGCAAAATGGGTTGTAAAGGAATCGGAAAGACGGGCGGTGCCCCCCTGGAGGCCATTTCGCGCGCAGATATTGCCCTGGAGGGCCCTTGGGCCGGGTTTTTCGCGCCGGGACCCCAAGGTTGGGCCCGGAAAACAGGTGCCGAACATAAAATGCGAATCGTCTCCACCAAATGGGTTATTGTCGAGTTGGTGGGACCGGCTGGGCCCAAGAAATCCGGGATTTCAATTTTCGCACGAAAATTGGGGTGTTAAGAGGTGTAACGCGTACTGTAGCGTAGTTTGTACATTACGCTACAATAATTCTAGAGCGTGAAAGCCGTAAAAGCTGCGTTTACTGTATTCCTTGAGTTTTTGGCTTGCTGCGACCGCCATTACCACTCCAAAATAATGGTTATTTAATTTTCGATCTATACTAGTGGTGTCACAGGGTGTAAATCGTACTGTGCCGTAGTCAGTACGATACGCTACAAAATACCGACCACAGAACCACTTCCACAGGAGGATGTGAACCTGAAAATAGACCCCTGCCGGAAGCGCCGGAAGTTGAGGGGAAGATTGGACTCCAGGGGGAAAGCCCAGAATTCGGCAAGGTTGATGGGATAATCGGTAGGTGGTAGTAGCTTTCAGATCAGGATTGGGATTGGGCTTCTGGGGTGAAGCTGGTAATCTGCCAAAGTGACATTAAAGGGATAGGGACACTAGAAGGGTCTTTTTACGGAAAAAGGCCAGGAAACTCTCTCTCTCTCTCTCTCTCTCTCTCTCTCTCTCTCTCTCTCTCTATCTCTCTCTCTCTCAGCTAAACAATTTCTATTTCTAAACTTGCGACACAAAAACGAGGCCACCCATGCTTTTAGATGTCCTAAAAATTTCTATGAGATGGGTTTTCCAGAATTTGATATAACCCTGATTCTGGGGGTTGAATTGGGGCCAATGGAACGGCCATCAAAGAATGACAAGGGAAGTCGAGACAAGGGCCCACTTTTTAGGGTGGAATCGAATGGATCCCGAGGGGATTCTGGGTGCAACCCAGCAAGAATTCGGGTTAAAAGTAGGGAGAGAGAGATACAGTGAGAGAGAGAGAGAGAGAGAGAGAGTGAGAGAGAGTGAGAGAGGGAAAAGGAGGAGGGAAAGCTAGCAGAGTTCTTCTAAGAACAGGAAGGCTAGCAGAGATTCTTCCAGGAGAAAAGCCAGCTAGCAGCGTTCATTTGAGAATATTCGGAATCAGTCATACTAGCACAGATTCTTAAGTTTCTAGGGAACCCGAAGCGAAAGAGAGAGAGATAGAGTGAGCACGGCGAGAGACCGCCAGAGAGAGAGAGCGAGAGAGAGAGAGAGAGAGAGAGAGAGAGAGAGAGAGAGAGAGAGAGATAGAGAGATAGAGAGAGTGAGTGAGGATGAGAGAGAGTGAGAGAGAGCGAGATAGAGAGAGAGAGTGAGACGGAAGCAAAACTTTCTCGAAATGCTTCTCATTCACAAAGCCCAACCCAACTTCCGATCTAATTCTCAATTTTCCGAGTATCTCGGGCCAGACAAGGAGCTGACACTCCTTTCAACATCTGTCTCTGAGAACGAGCAAAAACCCCAGAATTCAGAAGTCACCCACAAGCCAAACGCCACGCCGAAAGGCCGAGGCCCAGCCAGGGGAAATGAGATCATCCGCCGGACACAACTCTCCAATCCTATTTACGCCCTCCGAAAGGAGCATCGGAATACGGGAACAGGTGTGCAGCGGAATCCAAAAAAGGCGAAAAAGGGTGGAAAATAAGGTGCTAGCGCAGATTCTTGAGGAAATGAAGCGAGCCTGAAGCTCTGGAAACAAGCTAAGCCTAATAAGCTAAGCCTAAACTAAGCCTAAGCTAAGGCTAAGTCAAGCCTAACTTAAGCCCATGTCTTCCTAGAGCCGTAATTCGTTTAGCTTTGCCATTTTTGCGATTTCCGTTGGTGTACTGTAACCGTTTTTCCAGAATGCAAAAGCTCTGACTTCCTAGTCCCTTTAAAACAAGTTACACCGACTTGTTCCATCTTTTTGTTTAAAACCTTTTATTGGAAGCTGATACACTACCTTCCGATCTGCTAATACCCATTCGACATCTATTTGACCACCCGATTGACCGTCGATTGTAGTTTGTAGTCTGCCCCTTTCTTGGGTCACTTTGATAAGACAATACACACCTCTCACTCGGCCGGAATAGCTAAGAAAACACCAATTAGCCGCCCATATTTATGGATTCGGTGCGGAAACGCCGGAAATCTTTGGACGACCGGCAGCGGAGGCTCGATTTTGAAGACAACTATCAAGAAGTACCAAAGGAAAAGAAGGAGGAGAATGGTCCGTTTTTGAAGTTTGTACTCTGGTTTAACGTAAAAAAATCTGGGTTTTGTCCCATTTGCTGTAGTTTGAAGTCTATAGTTTTTGCGCAAAATTTACGTGAAACAGCCCTTGAAAATACGTTTCAATCCTCTGGGCAGTTTCGTTGTAGTTTGTAGCTTTCGGTGAGAATCTAGTATAGTACGCCACGCCACTGTGTACAAATTTCCAGGCACGTTTTTGCGTATCAAAACGTACTACAGTACGCCGTTTTTTTAGGCTTCGACCACAAGCCCGTGTTGTTCTACCTAATTTTGCTGGCAATTCTCGCGTATATCTGCCAACATTTGCATACCTGCTTGCCCGAGCCGCTGTCGCCAAATGAGGGTGCGAAATCGGATTTTGAACGGTTTTTATGGTTTTTAAAGGCGCTGGTAAGCCAGGCTTCTATGGGGTTTTTTGAAATTCTATGGAAAAATGCGAATTTTCACGTATTAATTTTCTTCAATTTGGTGAAAATTAGCCTTCATAATTCCTTTAATACATGGATTTTTCTGGATTTAAAGAGACTGGAAAGCCGGAAATACGCAGTTTTTTGTAGAAAATATACAAAAATCTATTGAAACTGACCTGTATGTAATCATTTTCGATTTATCATATTTTAAGACGGACAAAACTCCGGCATATTTAGTAGAATAAAACTAAATTATGCGATTTTTGCCGGATTTTTGGATTCCGCAGCGAATTTCCAGGCCGTTTTGGCAATTTTCCAGGAATCCATAAACCCCCTAGGCCCTTTAGACTTCCTTTAAAATCTCTCTTTTAGATAACACCCAATTCTCCGAAATCCGCGCCTTCCCCATCCTCCAGGAACTGTCCGATTACGGCCCGAAACCGGCCGGTTCGCACGCTTGTGAGGAGTTGGCAAGGGAGAGGATATTGGACGAGTTACGGTAGGTGGTACAGGCTATAGAAAATCGCCGAAATTTTGCTTAGATTCCTCAAGAATCACAGCAAGAACGCGCAGCTGCGCTTCGAAATTGACACCCAGGTAGGGGAAAAGTATTCACGAATCAGCTAACAATCGATTCAGAATCCCTCCGACTGCTTTTCGTTGCCGAAGCATGATACGGACGGCTTTTCGATATGTTACAGGAATGTAAGAAGTTTCAAGCCGTTTTTAAAGGGGCTGGGAAGAGTAGAAATCGACCCTCCTGGTGGGCTAGGTCTCGACAACGATGGAATATTCCAAGAATGCGTTGAAAACAATGCGAATTGACAATCTAGTCGTATTTCAATGCATTACGAAATGAAATATTGCTTTTTCGCTACGCCAGGACGCGAAAAAGTCTTTGAAACCCTCCCTTTAAAATCCATTTTAGGTCTCCAACGTCATCGCCCGAATCGGGCGTAAGGTGGAACGTAGTGGAACGGAGAAAAGGTCTGAAATCGCGATTCTCCTCAATTGTCACTACGACTCCTGGCCAACCTCTAGTGGTTAGTTTTTCTTAAAGTTAGCCGAAATCCCGACAAGCAATGCCGACATCGAAAATACCGACGCTGAAAGTGCGGTCATTAAAAGCGTCGGCGCGCAAAAATGCGGAGAAAAATACCGAGATAATCTTAAATTAGCCTTTTGGCTGTAGCTACATCGGCTGTCGGTATTTTCCATCAGTATCTCGGATTTTGGTTGTCGGCATTCCAACCTAGCCTAGCACACAATCTTTTCTCCCTTTCAAGCCGGCTCGGACGACTTGAGCTCATGTGCGCTGATGCTCGAATTGATGAGGGTATTTGTCGACCATCCCGAATACCTGAAGCACGACGTGATCATGTTGTTCAACGGCGCCGAGGAGAGCTCGCTGCTGGTGGGGTTTTTTAAAGGGGCTGGCCAGGGAAAATGGAGCTATGGCATTGAACCGGAATTATGATAATAATCCTACCGTAACCCAAAATTACTGTAGGCCGCCCACGGCTTCATCACCCAACACAGATGGCGTCATGATATTCGAGCTTTTATCAACTTGGAGGCGAGCGGATCTGGAGGGCGTGAATTGTTGTTTCAAGCAGGTACGCTCCGGGGTGTTGATCTGCATGGATCGTGGCTGGGTACGGATTCCAGGCTTGCCGGTCCCTCTAAGATGGTTTTTTAAGGGCCAGCCAACGAATGGTTGCTGAACTCGTACCTCGAGGCGGCTGTTCACCCGCACTGCTCCGTGCTTGGGCAAGAGATTTTTCAGGTTGGAGAGTATGCTGGAAATCCCGCGTTACGGTTGCGTTGCGTATCGCCACGCGAAAAGCTACGTTCAACGCGACCGCAACGTGTCATCGTCTTGTAAAATTGCCTATCTTGCGGACTCGTTACAGTAACGTTGCGTGATACTAAATCCTGGGGAACATCTCATGCGTCCGTAACGCGCCCGCAGCGCGGTTTTTCCTAGCGTTGCGGGCGCGTCGCGTGTGATGAGGTGCCGATAAACACGTGCTACCGTCCCGGTCCCTTTAATCAAAGCGTTACAGTAACCATCAGACGCGTTGCGGCAGCGTTGCGTCCCGCCTAGCTGTAGCCAAAGCGTCCATGTCGTGTCAACGAATCCCTTTCTAACTCGATTTTCCAGAGCGGCGCCTACCCCGGCGATACTGACTACCGTATATTCCGGGATTACGGTAGAATCCCGGGACTCGATTTGGCCTTCGTCCAAAACGGTTATTGGTGGCATACGGAATTCGATGAGGCGAAAAGGATCACTCCTGGATCGCTGCAGAGGGCTGGTGGGTGAGGTTTTCGAAGCTTTCGAAGCTTCTGAAGCCTGTCAGCTTTCGCTTGGCAGGCAGCCAAAAAAAATTGTTGACTTTCCGATCCCTTTAAAATAAAAGATTCAGGCGAAAACGTGCTCTCCACGTTGAAGCATCTCCTCGCCTCACCCTACCTCACATCACCTGCCGAATTTGCGGATGAGAAATCAGGTATATAGGGAGTTGTAGCTAGTTGTAGTTTGTAGCATGTAGTCTGTAGCTTATAGTCGCTATGGTTTGTAGTTCATACCTTGCAGTTTTCTTCGACTTCCTCGGCCTGTTTGTCGTCGTCTACCCGCTCGACCTGGCGAACGGGCTGAACTTGGCCCTCATCTTCCTCGTCGCCGCCCGCCTCTTCCTCAAGCTGGTCGACCAAAGACGTAGGGAGTATCGAAACGTACTTTAGCAATAGAAAACGTCTAGAAACCCACAGCCACGCACTAATGGACGGATTGGTATGGAATTTGCTGTATTTCCTCTTCACCGCACTGTTCTGCTACAAGCTGGCCTACCTGAAGGCCACGCTATTTGGGCAAATGTTGTGGTGAGTCGTGCTCAAAAACGTCTATAAACCCCGAATTTCTATAGGTATTCCAATCACCTGCTCGTCATCCCATTCTACGCGTTGCCCCTCATACTCTTCAGCTTGTTGTATGCCATCTACCTGAGCGGCAAGTTCAACAAGCGCCAAGAGGTCGGGGAAAGTCAAGGAAAATTATTTATATTTATTCACATCGATTCATACTATATTTAGGAATTTGCGGAGGCGTTTGAGACGATCTCCGATTTGTTCGTTGCCGCAATTCTGCTTTTTTTAACCTATAAGAATATCGCTTCCGGCTACCTGTTCTTCTTCCAGCTGCTCCCGAGCCTGAGCTTTTTAACGGCAACATTTGGGCCGAACGGTGGGTTTTGAAAAATCTTATACAGATATAAAAAGAACACAGAACTTTTAGGATAGTGTCCATTAGTGCGCTTGGAAAGTGCTAAAACTACGAAAAATTTCAGGAAAACCCCTCTCCCGCGTCTTACTGTCCATCCCGGCAATCTGCCTTTCGCTATATACCGCGGCTCTCCTCCTCTCCATCTTCATCCCAATCATGGGCCGAACATCCAGGGACCCGGAGCCTTTCGTACTCATTTTCGTGTCTTTTGGTGTTCTACCAGCCGTCAGAGCTATGGTACGGTATCTAGATATTGGGAGGCGAGAAATGGACAATTCTACTTGATAGCCCTTAAAAAAAATACATTAATTAAGTTCTCCCTGGCGCTGCGGTCAAAACCCGAAACGCTGAAGCGAGTCGCGCTCTACCTGGGGCTGCTCATTGGCGCCTGGCTTACCGTAATCGCCCTCTTCAACACGGGACCCTACTTGTTTGTGGACGAATACCCGACGACGAAGAGGACACAGCTATATGTGGGTAGCTAACCGCAACGCGAACGCGACGTGCGCTACCTTGCTTTCTACCTAGAAAGCGGAAAGAAAACTGAAAAAATTAGCCGGTGCGAAAAGTTAGGGAAAGATCTAACCGCGAAGCGCCAAGCACAATAACAAATCTCTAACAATTTCAGCACGTCAACCGGGAGCTGTACAACAAGTCTGGCGCCCTTTTGGAGAATCGATCCCTACTGTACGCAATTTCACATGATGACCGCGGGGCCCTGGATATACCCTTTGTAAAAAGAGACGAAAGGTTCACGGTATGGTTTCTAAATCATTAAAATCATTATCAAAACAAAAAAAAACACAAAAATTTAGCCGATTCACTGCGTCTACGCCGAGGCGCCCTACTGCGAGATTCCGTTCTACTTCCCAACCCGAGGCAGGATTGGGGAAAAGTGTGGAAATCTAAATATCTAAATATTAAGAAAGAAATGATGAGAACAAAAAAATTAGAAAATACTTAAAAATTTAGACACATCGCCTACAAAAATACCGAGCCCTATCCAATGCCAGAAGAACGCTCACACCTCGATGTTCTCGCGAAAAAGGCTGAGGGCAATGCGCTACGATATAAGTTACGATTCCGAGGTAATAAATTCCGAAAAACCAGAGAAATTCAATTAGGCAGCCCGCAAATGAGCATCTATGCAACGGCGGTTGATGAGTATACCATCGCGAATTGCTCGATGAAGGGGCATGTAGGCTTCGTTTTTGAAACTAAAATTAATGGAATAGGAACCTGATCCCGAAATGAAAAATGTTTTTCTCTACTATACATGCAGCGGTGAAGGCTGCGGGGATTGGGAAGTTGAGTTCGATTTACAGGTCGGTTTCCGGGCTTTTCGAACCAAATAGACCCATTTTAGCGCCCAGGGACTTCAGCAGTCGCGTCTGACAAGGCATTACTCATCGGCGTTACTTCGCATTATCTACATGGGTAAGTAGGGACTAAAGTAATTTTTTGGACGAAAACTGGGAAATGAAGCCTTTTGCAAAAATTTCCGATAAATGTTTTCAGGCCCAACATGGAAAGCGACACGCTGCGGCAAATCCTAAATGAGATTAGCGAAAAACGAGTGAACGACACACGATGGGCGATCACGAGCAGCGCGTGGAACGTCCATCTTTTGTACCAATACGTTTGAGATTTGTAGAATGATTGGGTGGCGAGGCTCGTGAATAAAGAAGGTATTTGTCGATTGAATTACAAAAAAGCAGAGAAAGAGGGGATGAATTGAGTGAAAAAGAAAAGTCAGACAATAAAAAAGAAAAACAAGAAAAGAAAAGTAAATCAAAATTTATTAACTGAAACAACGCAATGCAACCGTGACACTAATATACCGTAACGGAGCGCCACGGAATGCAATTTATCTGCGTCCTAATTTTCGCTTTTGTCGCTTTTTCGATTCACGTCAAATGATTGCCCGTTTACAAATGTATTTTTAATAATAAAAGTATGATTATTATCCGCGATCATTGATTAATCGAATAGCAAATCGAGATTAAATTAGCGATCTTGTATTTTCGACCAGTTTTGAAAGCATCCCTTTTCTCGTCTTTGCCTCCTTGAGTTCCTCCTAAGTAACCAATATTACCATTTCTCTTTTCTCTTTCTGACGCTACGATATTTTGCTTTTAAATATCCAGAGTTTAGTCGCCGGCTCGCAAATGTCGACTGGAACGACGAACGTCGGACCGCCTGGCCAAACCCTGGGCCCCAAAGAACAAGCCCTGTTCCGCAAAATATCGGTATCCTCGACTCGTTCGTTCCTAAAAAATTGTTTTAGAAATGCTACGACAACCGCCAGCACAAGCAGGGCCTGCGCCTCGTGCGCAACATTCTCGAGCAGCATCCGGACCATGGAGGTGAATTTATTTTCCCTTTCCCATGCTTTCGTTTTAGAAACTCTTTCGATGAAGGGCCTGCTCCTGGCCGCCAATGGGGCCAAGTTCGACGAGGCCTTCGAAGCGGCCCGCTTGGGATTGAAGGTATTGAATTGGCTTTGTTCGAAACATTTTTAGTGCAATGTTCAATCGGCCCTTTGCTGGCACGCTTATGGCATCCTTCTCCGCACCGACCATCAATTCGAGCCCGCCCTCAAGGCCCTCAAAATGGCCATGGCTAAAGACAAGAACAATCAAATGCTCGCCCGGGACTACAGTCTGCTCCAAATGCAAATCCGCGACTTCCATGGCTTCAAGGTACAGTTTCGCCGCTTCTTTATAACAGAAACCCGTTTATGTTACTTGTCACCTTGTGTATTTAGGAAACTCGACTTCGCTTGGCACAGGAGCATCCACATGAAACTCACTGGTTCGGCTACGCGATCGGCTGCCACCTAACCGAGGATTACGAGACCGCGTTCAAGGTCATGGAGGAGTGCGTCAAGAATCGACTAAACAAGGAACGTTCCCCGAAGTATAAGGTCCAAGAAGAAAACTTCATCTCCGAGATGATTCTATACCAATGCCAAATACTTCAGTGAGGCTTGGATTCATAACCGATAATTTTATTCCTTAGGGATGCCCAAAATCATCATCAATTAATCGGTCATCTCGAGGAAAACGCTGCCTTGATCAAGGATCCGGTCAGATACCACGAGATTCTAGGTAAGTTGTTTCCTTCGTTCAAATGATTTTGTATTTTCAGCCGACACCATGTTGCAAGTACGAGATATGGAGGGCAGCGCAAGGCACCTAAAGGCATTGATCGCACGGAACCCCAACAATGGAATGTATTACCAGCTCCTCGAGCAGACGCAGGGCCTGACACCAGGTAGAGCCCTACGATAATTGCTAAGTTTTTGTTCTTTTAGGAACTGACAATGACAAGCTGGTCGAATTTTATGCGGAATTTACCAAGCAGCATCCGAAGGCTTTCGGGCCACGAGTTGAGCCGCTTCGTTTCCTAGAAGGCGATGGGCTGAAGAAGCTGTTTGCCATTTTTCACCATTCAGTATTGTTATTTCAGGGTGTTTGAGATTATCGTCGAAAACCTGCGCAAAGGCCTGCCGTCGTTGTTCAAGTTTATCGAGGCTTTATACGAGGTATTTTAACAACCGACTGTTTGAAAATGATTTTCAGAAGCCGGAGAAGGTAGCTGTACTTGATGAGCTGTTCGAGGAGCTCCTCAGCAAGATGGATAGCCAGAATGACGATTCCTTCTGTTTTTCCGGTATCCTGCATTGCCTACCAAGCTATGTTTCGTTTCCAGATGAGCCGGACACTCGCGAGCTGCCCAACACTAAATTATGGTTCTACTTCTTGTTGGCTCAACACTATGACAAGTATGTAGTGCTTGTTTATTTGATTACTTTTTTCTAGGCGCGGGAAGCACCAGCTTGCCCTCGACTTCGTCGACCGCTGCATCCGTCACAACCCTACCCTGATTGATGTCTACCTTTTGCAAGGAAAAATTTACAAGGTATTTCTGATAGTTTCGATCTACATAAAACATTTTAGCACATGGGTGATCTTGTGGGTGCCATGCAGGCCGTCGACTTTGCCCAACAACTTGACACGGCCGACCGGTAATCCTTGCATGTGACTTCGAAATGTGGGTTCAGGATGCTTAACAGCAAGTGTGCAAAGTATATGCTCCGTGCTGGCCACGCCGCCGAGGCCGAAGACCTCGTTCGTCGATATGCCAAGGTACTGCTTGTTATTTCTATCACCCTCTGTATTTTCTTCAGCCTGGCGAGACTATCACCTCATACATGCATGTGATGCAAGTCGTTTGGTACGCCCTGGAATTGGCCGCCTACCACCGGAACGCGGGAAATTGGGGCGAGGCTTTGAAGTACTGCCACCAGGTTGAAGCGGTAAGCGTAAGGCCTCGATCTTCCGAACGCCATTTTCAGCACTTCAATTCATTTTCCGAGGAGCAATACGAGTTCCACACGTTCTCCCTGCGCAATGGCAAACTCGGCGCTTACGTCAACATGGTGCATATGTTGGGATCCCTTCGCAGGCACAAATTCTACACTCGGGCTGCCCAGATCGCCATTGACGTTTGAGTTTTTGGCGGGCTACATTCATTTTAAGATTTACCTTCGAATGATCGACCATCCGGAGGAATTCGAGAAGAAGCCGTGCGGCGGGCAGAGCAATGATGAGGCTGATAAGGAGCTCAAGAAGCAGGTAATTGCCATTTCTCAGGGCTGCACTAATTTTTCTTACAGAAACGTAAGCAGAAGAAACAAGAGGCCGCCGACAAGAGCGCTGAAGAAAACAAGAAGTCTGCACAAAGTCAAGCGGTTCGGCCAATTCCTAAAAACAAACTGTCGTTTACAGAAGAAAGAGGATAACCCAGAGCTTCGCTTTCTTCAACTGGATGGGCAGACTTTTCTAAATTGCGAGGACCCGCTGAAGGAGGCTACCAAGTTTGTCTTTCCATCATATCAGTCCATTTATTTAGGTGGGCCCTGGACATCGGAGACCTTGGGGCTGAAGGGTCCGCCAGCTTTCTTCGTGCCTTTGAAGTCTTCAGGCGCCTGGTATTTTTTTTGGCCCTCACGAAAAGCTTCTTGTTTAGGGAAAGCCGCTTCGCATGCTGCAATGCCTTGAATGTGCCATCGGAATGAACCCTTCAGATCCCAAGATCGTCGCCGCCAAAGAAGAGTTCACCAAGCACTACGAAGCCAACAAGGACAACATGGAAGAGCATGTGCTCGAGATCGTCCAGGCTTATGTGAATGTAATTTTTTATATATTTTTTTGTAATCGGAATTTAGAACGTGTGACAAGCGCAAGCCAGGCAACCTTCATCGTCGGCTGCTCATAAAGTCTGGAAATTTTGTTGCCATTTACGTGTGTGATTTTTTTAGTTGTGCATAGCGCGTATGTTTTTGTTTGTTTGAGCGGAATAAATTTTAATCTTTTTCGGTCTTGGCTCGAAGAGACCTTTGTTTGTAACACTTCAGGCATTTCGTGCTTCGCATTCTCTTTCGGTTGCAGCTAGCAATCCCATTCAATATTTATTTTCCCATATATATATATAACAACAAACATTGTCTCCAATCAATAATTGGCCATGGCCTTTTCGTACTTGCGCACGAATCGCCCGTAGTCTTCGCGCTCCTCCTCGTCATGCGGCTCGATGTATTTGCTGTAGAAGTGATGCAGGAGGACGCGATGGATGTACAGATACTGCTGAAAAATAAGTTTATGTAGACAAGTCTAATTTCGGCAAGCCTGGAAATCAAACCTTTTCGTTCTGAAGCATGTACGCGCGGTGGTCACGGAGGCGCTGGCACAGATCTTTCACGTCGGGAAAAGAGATGTTCGAGTCGAGACAGCCAATGAATTGGTCGAGCAGTATGGCGATGCCTGAAAGTAGGTGCATCATTTTTTTATCCGGTTCATGCAAGGCTGCACCTCTAGGCCTACGTAATATTGTTCCTCTCCCACCTGAGCGTCCGACACCAGGCGAACAATGGATGACGATCGGGGCTTTGGTGTGCAATTGGGTGAACAGATCGACGATCGTGACGTCGATTTCCTTCGGGACCGACCGGTCAGGCCAATCCTTCCATTGGTAGTGCGTTATCTAAATTCCGTTTAGTGTTATATAATACATCAATCAACGGTATGTGTCACTGTATGGCCATACCTTACGACTCTCCGCCTTTCCGAAGTTGTAATCGAGTCGAAGCTTGCTACCGACGATCCGCTGTGTAGATTTAGGGAAGAGGTCAAAAGATTCGGAGTTGGTGATGGTGATGTTTTCGAGCTGCATCTGTGTTCTTTCCTTCTCGGGCCAGTATTGTGCACATTTGTCGAGGCCGCTCTCCTTTATGTTCGTCAGCATCACGATGATATCCGTCTTCTCCTGGAAGCAGAAAAAGGTGGGATGATATCTAATTATGGCGAACGCTGTCCATTCCAGAAAAAAATCCGAACCTGGATGACCATATGCCAAAAATCTGCACTGGTGATATCCAAGGGGCCCTGTGTGCAAATATATCGCCGGTTGTTGGCGGCCGATCCCTCGACGTAGTTGGCATGGATGTAGGAGCATGGTGCAGGCTCAGCGAGGCGAACGCGATGCTGATCCTGGCACGGCACGTCTTTATATCTGTAAGGAGAAATGGTAAACGATGATCTTTTACAGATGATGCAAGGCAAATGGATGATTTCGGAATACCTACCGGTTTTTGGTCGGATGCTTGGCACATTCCGAGGATGACATGCCCGCGGTTATGTATCTTCTCACTTCTTCATTGTACTGGCGCCTGATGGCGTCGACGCCCAGAGTCACGGTAGTACGGCACCAGGTGCGTACCTAAGTGGGGTGTTTGTAAACAGTCAAATTCTAGGTCAGCGCTCTTCTGTCAACAATTTTATTTAGAAACTTGTTAGCTACTTATGTGAACGCTCACTTTGTCCTGGCTGTTGCTTGCTTGTTTAGCGGGCAGCAAAATGAAGAGCGGGCACTTGCACGCATTTTGCAGGGTCCCGGCGCCATCTGCTGCCAGCGGCTCCCATTTCTCGTCCAGGGCGTTGCGACGGTCGGGGAAGCCGAGCTTCCAGCCCTTTCGGTTTCTGCTCAATACGTGGCATTCCTTCCATAGATAGTGGCTGCCGTAGAGCCGGACGTTGGCCAACAGGTAATCGCCGCTATAAATAGTTCTGTAACTTTTCCAAAACAAAAGCTGCCAGCTGCGAAATCGGGTGGTTCCGTGCTAGCGGCGAGGCAATTTTTTACGGGCGAACAAGGCTGTTGTTCCGAGAGCGCTGTGCGGGCAAGTAAATCGTAGTTAAACAATTTGTATTTAAAATTACATAATACTGTTTTGAATTCAGAAACATATACATAAAATTACAAACGTTCAAAAAATATTGCCTTTTTAGTCGGAAAGGTGTGAAAAATGACCAAATCTGGACAAAAACTGCTGATTTCGAAGGTGTTATAAAGAAATTTGATAATGTCGCAGTGATCGGCGATGACTAAAAAACTATAAATTTATATTAACTTTTATCACTAGGTGAGTGTCCAAAAAACTGAACTGCTCCCCGCTAACACGGAAGCACCCGAAATCGAAATCTTGCGACTTACGCTTTCAGGATGTTTTTGTCCTCGATCTGCGTGTATTCTCTATCCGGAAAAAGTTGAGAATGAAGGTCGGGTGATTGGATCGGTTCTTGGTGTAGTTGACACTAAACGGTGAATAATATGGTGACAAATTGCCAAATTGCCGATGGCTTTCACGAATTTTCCACGTCACGAACCTGATTTTGCAAAATCGTCCGGTTGGTGGGATGGTCCCAGAAGACTCTCTTCTGTCTCGGTGTCTGGTGGATGCCGGTGAGGGCTGGCCGGCTACCCTGTACCACTTCGAATTCGGTCTGTAAGGCCAAATATTAAAAAATGTAATTTTTCTATGGACCCACCTTTTTCATTGAGTCCGCGTCGGCCGCTGTCGGAATTTTGGCGGCTCTCATCGCCTCTCTTTTCTCGTGCTTCATAAATTCCTGCAAGACCAAATAAATCTGCCGAGAATATATACCATCACGTCTTTTCTATGTGCGCGCCGGGCCGCGTCTTCCTTGAATACTTCTATCGTCAGCTTGGCGTATCCTTTCTGGTCGAAACCGAGACGAATTTTATCGTCGCACTAAAATTAATGTTTATTTTCAGGGCATTGGATAGGGCCGACAATTTTCGCATCCTCGATCATCTCGCCGTCACATTCGAGGATACGATCGCCTACCATGAGGCAGATCGCCGCGCGTGATTGCTGCAATACCTCCGCTACAAAAACCTGAAAAACCGTCGCTAATTATATCGTGTGCAGCAAAACACCTTGTGTTTGCCCAATCGGGGCATGACGCGGCTCTGCAGGCCCGTCGGTAGCCCATCGTAACGCCATAGAAACACATCGTAACGGCACGCCGCGGACGAGTTCGCGCGTCTGAAACACCGTTGATAATCAGTATTAATTAAGGAGTTTTTTTTGACGATAATTGATTTTGTGATGTGACAGAGCCCGCTCGATAGTATTTGAAATTCTGAACTTTCAAAAAGACGGCGGCGAACAATCCTGGAGAAAATTGCCTCAGACATTTCGCATGTTTTAGACCGCCCCTTAGAAACGCTAACTTTTTTTCTTTTTCTAACGTTCAACGAATCTCGAAATATAGCACTTGGTCAGGATTTCACTCTCTAAAAGAATCAAAGCGCCCTATTTCACATTGCTAAGCTTCGATATCATCCAAAAACATCTTCTTATTAGTGTTGGACATGCGCCCAGTTTTTTTTGAAAATGATGCAACCAGGATTACGCACCCGGGTGGGTCAGGCGCTGGAATACGTCTCTCAAGTCGCAGTAAATCTATTGAGATCTAAATCGATACGAACATGATAAGATTTCAGACAAACTCTATCTCCTTTTGCCGTTTTGTCTCGAATAATTTTGACGGCCTGTCGATGGTTGTTTGGCATGATGGAGCCGCCGACTTTCAGGAGCACGTCGCCGGCAAGCAGACGGCTATCAGCAGCCTTAAAATATGAGCTAGGAGGTGCCATTTTTTCAAACCGTATCCGGAATAACACTAAGGATCAGACGGGAAGCCAACGAGACGCCGAGTTCCCGCCTCGTACAATCGACGATCACCGTTCGAAACTTGATCATCTCCGTCGGAACGCGGTGCCCTCCAAGATATTCCATGACAATGCGTTGATGGTCCTGAAAATGGGCTCCTGGATAAAAAAAAGCTGATTCGAGACAGTTGGGTAAATGGATTCGGCGAAATTTTGCGTGGACAAAAGCGTGGAATTTCCGATGGATATTTTCCCTTCTGGTTTTGGTTGGAACATGCTTCGTTACATGTTTTTTTAAATAAAATGACCGACGTTGAGGCTGGAAAGACCCCGGCTACCCGGTGTGCTTCGCAATTGTTTCAGTTGCGAAAGCATTGGGCGTAAGCTGTTACAATTCCTAAAAAAAACATTTCTAAAAACGGAAGCGGTTCTTTTAGAAAGCTCTCGAGCCCCAATACGTGGGTTCATGAGTTCAAACTTCTGCCTTTCGGATTCGTTTATTAATAAACCAAACCATGAAATGCAACAATGCGGACGTTTATGAGGGAATATGTGAAAGGGGAACACATAACACGACAGAGAAAATAGGTTTCTGCGCTGAAAAAGAGGTTAAGATCGATCAGGCTTGGAGAGGAAGCTTCCGCTCGACGGCCAGGTTCGCAGGTGATCGTAAGGGATGCATGCATCGTCGGTGATGCTAAGACGGCCCTGAAAATTGAAAGACGCCTTGGTTAAAAAGCCAAAATCAGCCTGCACGGATGCTTGGGCATCAAATCGCGCTGGGTTTTTGCAAGCATCATCTCGGCTGTCCTGTCGTAGAGAGTTCGCCATTTTGCACGCACCAATCTTTCCGCGTTCGTGAGATTTCACTAAAAAATCGTGATGGGGGGGATTAACTGGGCGGGACACTCGTCAGAATGGTAGTCCCATTTGGAACCGGGCCCAAAGTGTCCCATTATCCAGTTTCAGCCCTTTAAACCACTGACTGGACCCAGAGGTAAGATGATTGACTTGCCAAAACTGAATAGGCGTTTCTTTAGAATTCGCGGGCGGGACCAATTTTTTTCCCTGGCCGTCCCGATTGGCGCAGTAGCCAAAAATCAAGTGCTTGAAATTGTTCTATAAAGTAGAAAACTTTTAAAAAACTAGAAAAGTGTTTGCAAAATTCGAAAATTTGGTCATTTTTGGCCGAAAAAGTCAAATTTTCGACCTAAATTAATTTTTTATGAAAATTTGTATAGGCTTAGGAAGAGTTAAAAACAATTTAGGAACTCAACCGGTATTTATAAAAAAATTAGGCTTGGACCGAAAAAATTTCCTATCTTACAGAATATAATTACAACAAAACGGGCTAGAAGCGTCACCAGCCAAATCCAGTCGATTGTACGCATCGATTCAATTCTTTGGTTCTTTGACCGTCGCCTCATTGTCGTAGGCAAAAATCCTCTAAAAACTGATGCATGAAAAAAATCTATGATTAACCAAAAAATATTGCAGATCCGGAAGTCCCATAATTTCTTCATTAGGCTTCAGCAAAAGGGGCCTCTCTGCCATCCTGCTTCGGGCGTTGATGGATCGTTTGTATTCCTGAAAGCATATCGCGTGCGTCGAATCAAATCCAAACTCACGGACCGCATTCTAATTAGGTTAAGGGAACACGCAGCAGGCTACAGCCATTCTCGCATTGATCTAACTGAAAAGGAAGTTACCTAGAAAGAGAGCGCGAGAGGCCGTCCAAAGCGCTCAAGATCCATCATTACACTTTGGAAACGCTCCTTGAGCGTTAGAAGGCGGCGAGTTGAGACACGCAGCGAAGTTTTTTCTGAAAAAAGTTTTACAGCTACCAATGTCCATCGATTCAACGCAGCGACCGGAACCAGTTTTACTTGTCGATAAGTACGAAATCGTCGAAAAACGTACGGAAATGAGCGGACGGCCACGGGCCCAAGCACACTCCTGGCGCAATTAGCAAGCAGATGGCCACATCAGCTCGTCAAAAGTCTTTGAATTCGGGTTGATTAGGGTTTATGGTTGTCGCCCAAAAAGTGGTTTTATGGAATCGAATGTGTAAATAAAGGTCAGAAACGAGTTTAGAATTGAAAATTAGGCGGCGGCAGACACTTTTTAGTATTGAAATCGATATTTTAATTTTGCGATCTACAACCATAAACCGGGGTACGGGTGACACCGGTTTATGGTTGTAACTCGAAACTGGGGTTTTGCTATACGAAAAGAAAGAGGATGAGCTGAAACGAATTAAGCTGCAAAAATAATGAAGCGGAAAGTCCGAAAACGGGTAGAACGGAGTCTTAGGAGGTTTGTTCATCACACCCAGTTTTAGCCTAAAAATAAGGCTTCGTGCCACCCGGGGCCTAGTCGCTTCGGATGGCTGCGAGCTCGTACAGGGTTTCGAAATCGGGGCGCCCGAGGAGCGCGTAGCGCCCAGGCGCCCTGATTTCGAAAGAGTGGAGCGGCAGCCCATCCGAAGCGACGGCCCGCCTTGCCTGACAATGCTAGAAGTCCCACCTTTCAAAACCCCCGTTGCCCCTTTTTCCGTCGTTCCGCCTCATTATTTTTGCAGCTTAATTCGTTTCAGCTCATCCTCTTTCTTTTCGTATAGCAAAACCCCAGTTTCGAGTTACAACCATAAACCGGTGTCCCCCGTACCCCGGTTTATGGTTGTAGATCGCAAAATTAAAATATCGATTTCAATACTAAAAAGTGTCTGCCGCCGCCTAATTTTCGATTCTAAACTCGTTTCTGACCTTTATTTACACATTCGATTCCATAAAACCACTTTTTGGGCGACAACCATAAACCCTAATTTTCCCTTGAATTCAGATAGAGGCAGAAAGGGCAACCCGTATTTAACGCCTCTTCGAGCTCTCCTGGAAATAACGCCCCGCAAAACGGGCTTTTCCCTGAAACTGAGGCCCTTTACGCGGTCATTCAGGGGGCGTTAAATACAAGGGGCGCTATTTACCGGGGGCGCCAAATACAGGAAGGCGCGAAAGGGCGTTAAATACGGGCTGCCAGCAGAGAGTACAGTTAAACAGCACCGTCGCTTTCTCAACCGTTGATCAGCTCATCCGGTCCATCGTCACACGGTATGACGGTCGGCGATGGTTGAGTCCAGCCTAAACAAAACGGGCGCCGAGGTTTTGGCCAGGCCCCCACAGCTTTCGTTAAAAGTACAACACCCGAAGGGCCACTAATTACGAAAATACGGAGTCAGTAGCGCTACGGAATTAGCGCTGGGGTTTGCGGGGCGGGGTACGGTCGTTTAGGTGCGCAATAGAGGGCCGAGCCGAAAGGGAAATCGATCGAGTCATTAACGGAAGGCTTCGAATTTCAAACAAAGCAATACCGAAAGAAGTGATTTTGTTTCATACAGTCCGCGTCATAATGATAGGTTCACCCCATTTTAGGACAGCTTGTTAATCTAGAATAAGTTTCGGATAAAACGGGCGTTGTAATCAGTTAGGGCACAGCTCAAAACCTTCCAGGCCAGTATCCATTTGGTTAGAAAAGGCTTCTGGATTTCGAAGGAATTTTATCTCAAAAAAAGGCTTACTGAGACCCGCGTCATAAAGATAGGTTCACCCCGAATTTTTCCGCAAAAATCATACATTCGGATCTTGCTTGTATTTTTAATTAAGTACCATTGAAGTATACATGAGTTTCCTATACTTGGTTTGACTCGAAAGGTTTCAGGGAATTTTTTGCAAAAGTCGATTTTAACAAAGAAATTACTATTTTTGTGGCAATACGGGCTGGATTTAACCGGAAGCGCAAGTTCCTTCTATGGACTTGAAAGAGCAGCTCAAGACAAGCATTTTGGTATATAACAACGTCTTTGGCTTCGGCGATATTGGGGTGACACACACGAAGAAAGTTGGGATGGACTGCGCAAGTAAGGATTGGCGGCCATTTAGTATGGGCCCCAGTAGGTTCCATGTTTCTAGACCTGTATCTTCGTGAACACCTTAGTTCCTATAGCCGTTTATATACCAAAATGCTCGTCATTAAGTGCACTTTCCGAGATCGCCTACATACTAAAAATTGAAAACGAGTATCGCCGGATAATCCTAAAAAAAGTGTGATTTCTTTGTTAAAATCGACTTTTGCAAAAAATTCCCTGAAACCTCTCGAGTCAAACCAAGTATAGGAAACTCATGTATACTTCAATGGTACTTAATTAAAAATACAAGCAAGATCCGAATGTATGATTTTTGCGGAAAAATTCGGGGTGAACCTATCTTTATGACGCAAGCCTTTTTTGAGATAAAATTCCTTCGAAATCTAGAAGCCTTTTCTAACCAAATGGATACTGGCCTGGAAGGTTTTGAGCTGTGCCCTAACTGATTACAACGCCCGTTTTATCCGAAACTTATTCTAGATTAACAAGCTGTCCTAAAATGGGGTGAACCTATCATTATGACGCGGACTGTATTAGGTTAGAAAATCGATACATAGCTTTGGGCACAGAATTTTGACAAAATACGCTTTCAGCACAGTAGGTTTTTGACTAAAATCTTCCTTTTGTTTTTCACTTTCGTTAGACGTTTGGCCATCAAACAAAAATTTTAAAATTCATATCGTAAAAAATTTACTTGCTAAAAAATAGAAGAGGTAAGGAGACAACTTTGACCGTGGCGAGCGTTTTGCGATCAGCGGCGCATTAATAGGACATGACAGAAATATGGGTTAAGCCTACAAAAAAATTATTTATATACTTTCAATCGGATGCTACGCATGTCTAACGTACTTCGAGCAAAAACACGCCGTGGCAGCAAAACAAAACTTCCGTCAGCCATCTAACTCGAAGGGGAAGCAGTCGGACCGTACCGTTCGTTGCCCTCGAATGGGTGGTGGTGACGCAATTTTAGGCGCCCACTACGGAAATGCGACTTGCAAAATTATTAGTAATCATGTAAATCAAAGATTTCGATGCTATGATCCGGTTATTTAATGCTTAGGCGCCATTTGCATGAAGTTACTTCCGGAATCTTTTCAGGCGAGGGAACATGTAAAGCAAGAGCGTTCGAGCGTTTGGGCACTTGTGAATGTCGGGCGTTTTATAAAAGCCGA